CGTTTTTGGAGTTTCCGCTCTAGTTTGGCTGTTTTGTCATGTGTTTCGACATCACCCAATTTAGCACATTTTTCTTTGTCGTGGAGAATTCCCTCCAGTTTTTTTATGTAGTCACACAGACCCTTCATCAGGATTTGTAATAAAAATTTCGTTGTTGGCCCGTAGAGATTTTAGTGCTTGGAAATGTTCTCTATGCAAAAGAAAATTTGTCGTTGATCAAACTGTTGACGTGTCAGAGTGTAGATTGTTCGAGATTTTAGGTCCAAGACCATCTTGCCATGATTCAATATGCTTTAGATTTTCGGGTGATTCGGCTGCGACCAACTGGTAAGAACAAATACATGATAGTGCCTTCTTTATAAAAAAGGTTGGAAACGTTTGTTGCAGTGCACTGTTCAAATTTTTATTAAGTGGGAAGCCAATTTATACATTTGTGTGCTCGTTCAAACAGAACCTGATAAACTTGTTGTGAGGCGTTGAATTTTCTTGGTTACTGTATTTTCTGTACTTATTTAATAAGCAAGATTCAAGGATGTGTGCTAATTTCAGTGTTTGTGCTTAATCAAACGTGTGTTCTTGCTTCCAAAGATAGAGAAAGAATTGCGTTTTCACGTACCTCGGATCAAATGCTGTAATGTAATCCGATTTAATGCACACATTTGATCGTGTAGGCTTCTTCGATCGTATGCACTCATTCGACCGTGTACGTTTATTCGATCGTGTACGCTTATTCGATCCTGCACTCTTATTCGATCGTGTACGCTTATTCGATCGCGCACGCTTATTCGATCGTGCACGCTTATTCGATCGTGTACTCTTACTCGATCGTGCACTCTTATTCGATCGTGCACTCTAATTCGATCGTATGCACTCATTCGACCGTGTACGTTTATTCGATCGTATACGCTTATTCGATCCTGCACTCTTATTCGATCGTGTACGCTTATTCGATCGCGCACGCTTATTCGATCGTGCACGCTTATTCGATCGTGTACTCTTACTCGATCGTGCACTCTTATTCGATCGTGCACTCTAATTCGATCGTATGCACTCATTCGACCGTGTACGTTTATTCGATCGTATACGCTTATTCGATCCTGCACTCTTATTCGATCGTGTACGCTTATTCGATCGCGCACGCTTATTCGATCGTGCACGCTTATTCGATCGTGTACTCTTACTCGATCGTGCACTCTTATTCGATCGTGCACTCTAATTCGATCGTGTGCACTCATTCGACCGTGTACGTTTATTCAATCGTGTACGCTTATTCGATCGTGCACTCTTATTCGATCGTGCACGCTTACTCGATCGTGACGCTCATTTGATCTTGCACTCATTCGACCGTGTGCGCTCATTTGACCGTGTACGTTTATTCGATCGTGCACTCTTATTCGATCGTGCACGCTTTAGCCCAGCGCTCACGGCAGACTTTTGAAAGAAGAAATTTTGTCTTTAGCATTCCAAAGACAGAAATCTGCGTATGCTCTTGTCAAAGACGAAGATTTTTGTCTTTCAAAGATAGTCTTCGAAATTAAGCATGTTTAATTTTGCCTGCCGTGTGAGTGGCCAATATGCAACTAAGTTTTTAATCACATGAAGGTGTTCTCTTGAAACTTCCCGCCAATCAAATCCTGATTTTAGCTAAACCATCTTAGTTCTCTTATTTAATCTTGATATCTTTAAGGGTGCCTAACCTAGAGGGGCTGCAGGGGCAGCCACCCCTCCTGCTCTCTTTCAGGAGAAGCAGAGGGGGCAAGCAGTGCCCTTAAATATTTACTCCTAGCAAAAGATTATAGAATCTTGTAGATAATTCATGACTAGTTTGGCCACTCTCATTAATTTCTTTCCAAGATAAGGCCATTTAATACACACTGGCATGGAGAATTTTGGGAGGGACACTATTGTTTAAGGACAATAGAGACAAACGATATTGTTTATTTGCAGGAAATTGTTTCTATAAGTGTCTTGTTTATATTTACAGTAGCTACGATGATTGGAAATGATCATAACAAAGGATTATCGGCCATTCTCATCTTCCTGACGTCTAGACAAAAGTTAGACACTTTGTAAGGCTTCTGGGAATTGTTCCTTGTTTACGGAATACTCTATAGTGAAAAATTTGTTTATTCGTTTACATTTTTGTATTTACTTTCGCCTTTTAAAAATAAACGTCGCCCTCCAATAAACACTGCATATTGAAGTTCAGAAATTCAGAATGCGCTGTAGAATGGTCACGAGAAGAGAGGGTAATTGAGTTAATATGAACTTGCAAAATGGATGAACAGCGTTACAAGCAAGATGCAAAGGAGAAGGGCGAGGATCACAAACAGCCATGCTACAAAATTACAGTTAAAAATGTTACGCCTTGTTTTGAATGTTTCCGGAAACGTTTTTTGAAAGTTTTGACTGGAAAATGCACTGCCTTTTTGCTTAACACTGCATTGAGCCTTCAGCAATGGCGATTTGGTTGGCAGCTTGAATTGCTTGTCAGTGAGCAAGGCATACACTGCAGGGTCACCCTTCTCTACCAGTTCGGGTGTGTTGAGCCGCCATTCATGCAAAACCTCAGCTCTATCCTTCTGCAAACCTAGAATTGATGTCATTGCCCAATAGATGTATTCTATGATTTGACATGGGTATCCACAGGTGTTATCATAATAAGTAAACCAAGCTCCCGGAGGGTACTTTGGTGGCACTGTCTTAAAATGGCCCCCACGGGCCTTGTCACAGCAATTTGCCAAATAGCTGCCTCTTTTGAAGCCAAATATATCAGGGTATGCCACAGAGTAGCCCTTAGTTAATAAATGAAAGCATTCCTCTAGCGCTTCGTCGAACTTACCAGGAACAAGAATTTCATCAGCTTCCAAATCTTGAACTTGAACACCAATATTCACCGCTTCCTCAAGGAATGATCTATGCTGCAAACTCTCTTTTTCATCTCGAAACATAACCATGGTTGCTTTTATTTTCAACAAACTTTGGTAAACAAGCAAATTATCAGGCACATTGTCTCCGTCATTGTCAATGTACTGCAAAAACACGGTTGCTCCATGCAGCAATTTATCGTTTGGCGAATCCTCTGTAGCAACAAAATACAACCCGAATACGCGCACATATTTTGAAAAAATATCGAAGGGTTTACCTAAGATATTAGCCAATGACCCATACTCGACGACAAGATCTCTTGATGTGCTGTTTTCCTCAAAAGGCCTTTCTTGTCTTGATATCATTTTGTCAAAACAGGTGAAAAATGTTAAAGTTCGTTGTCAAAAACCGCTTTTGTGTAGACATGGAAAAACCGCTTTTGTTTAGACAGAGGGACTGAGCAACCCCAACAGCCACAGTGTGCTCGCGTTTCTGATTGGCTTATTTGGATCCACATTTCGATCTATGTTCTGACGTTCTATACTCTGTAGAGGGTCAGACGGAAAGCTTCAGCTAGATTCAAGATGTTTGCTTTTTCCAAAGCCACATTGTCCAAAAGTGTGAAAAGAATAAAGAGAATAATTTGAATAGGAATTATTCAATTTTCCAGAGGTGTCGCTGCTATGGAACAGTTGATGCCTCCTTGCCGGATCCTGCACCTTTAAGACCTCGTTTACACTGTGCCGGATAAATTATATCCGCAATAAAATTTTGGAAGATCCATTTACACTTGCTTAACGGTTTACCTGGAAACTTGACAAACTTGTAAATTTAATATTTTAGGAATTTTGGAATTTTAAATGTAAGATTTTTTAACCTTATTAAAATTCACAGGCTGGAGCGGACCAATCCACTTATATCCTTTTTCTATTGTGAAGCCCTGTATCCACTTGATCTCAAATGGCATAATTGTAGTTTGTTTTTTTGCAACTTTACAACTGGAAATTTGGAACTTTACAATCAGTACTGAGACTACAGTTTTGAAAAGATAACACACTGTATTGATCATAAAACATTAAACTGTGAATCTTTTAAGAAACTACGAGTAGTTATTTCAATAAAAAGTTAGGAATCTTTCAGTACTAACAATTTTGATCTGCAGCAAATAGCTTTAAAAGGGGCAAAGCAGAAAAAGAGAAGAATCACTGATGATTCACTAGAAGGAATATTGCATTTTATCATTGAATATATCTAATGCTTGTTATGCTTTATTTTTGCTTTACTTCTTACGAAAATGTTAAATGTTCGTGTTACATTAATCCAAATTTAGAGAATTCCTTGAACATATTCGCGCTTTTATGTTTTAGGCTAATTATTAGGATTAAAATTTTGATAATAATAATAATAAAGAAACTAGAAATGTGGAATTAGGATTATTTCCAAATGTCAATTTGGTAGGTACAGTAGATTTACAGGTCGAACGAAGAATTCCTCAATTTTTTGGCGGTACAGAACTTGAAAATGGCTTTGAAAAAAGCAAACATTTCACAACATTTTAGCTAAAAGCTTTTTCGTCTGACACTCCTCAGAGCATAAAACGTCAGAATAAGGGTCCGAAAAACACGATGAAAAGCATATCCCCAGTTGTGGATCGAAACAGGCCAATCAGAAAAACGCGAGCACAAGACCGATATAATTGACCAATCAGTGCCGCGAGCATAAAGAAGAATTACCACTGGAGTCCAAGAGAGAAAACAAACTCCTTCTGTCTACACAATGGCGACTTTTTCGTTTGTATGTAGATCGATTCCAAAACTGTTAGATGGAAGGACGACCGGGCTCTGCCAATTATCCGAAACATATCGTCTGGTTTGCACAATCTGGGTTGTCAAAATGATGTTGACCGATGGCAGAATCACTTGTTTTAACAGTGTTTCTAGACCTACAAGATCGAGAAGGCCGTTTTCTTGGGTGATGTCGGGAAATGATTCTATTTCGTTTAAAATTGGGTCAGGTCGGGGTTCTTTTTTAACAATCGATCTCAAACTTACGTGTCTTTCAACTATTCGTTTACATTATCGAAACTTTAATACCGTGAATAGACCAAGAATAACCCAAGAAAATGGCGAGACGAAAACATATACAAATCACTGTAGTTATGAAAAGGTTATGCATAATTTGCAAATAATCAAACACAGAAATATAAATTTTATCAAAATTACTAATTTCATACATTTTCAAATTTTAATTTCTAGCTTAACTAGATTTTCTTGCAAAATTTCTTAGAAAGCAGAACACAAAATATCCGTTAAACACTTGGAAGTAAGTGATAAAGGCAAAAATCACCAAGTAAAATGCGGTAAAATGAATACATGCTAAGATGGGAAATCAGAAGAAAGGGTTTTGACAAAGGGCAATTTTCATAAAAGTCTATTAAATCCGTAGAACTGCTCTGCTAGTTGGTAAGCGACAGGCCTGTACGAACGGTTTATCAGGGCGTGATCCCAACTTGATATGGTTGTTGTATCTAGCCAAAGAGATTGCACCTTTGCTAGGCATGGCTCATATGGTACAAAAGCAATAATTTATTGTCTTAAGAATAATTAAATTCCTATAAAATGTGAATTATGTTGGGATAGGATGTTTTAGGCTGATGTACAGACGATTAAGGCAGGTAGCAAGCTTATTGGTACCATAAAAACCAGATGCAATTCATTCAGTACGGCAAGTTACATATTTTATGCTATGCTTTGGCATGATAACCATTTGTAATAAACACCGTGTTACAATTAGAAATATGAATATTGACGCGAAGTGGTCAAAAGACGGTTTATAATGGTAAAGGACTGTTTGGGCAAGTCTTGAGGCAGCGTGACGAACTTTCATTGGGTTTACAGGCGGAAATGATGCAATTCACGAACACGCTCTTGTACACTGAACCGCTGAATTCAAACGGAGACACGCTGAAACGCTTCTGGTCTGTCCTTTCTGTTCTGTAGAATAGCACTGAATCATCCACCGGGCAGCTGTTTAAAAAAATTCAAAAAGTGAAAATCATTTTTTCTAAAATGGAAAAATAGCCAATTTACAATGACAAAATTGAATAACAAGGTGTCTGTATACAATGCAATAAAGGCAATGGCAAAAAGAAGCAATGTTGGCTGACGAGCGTATCATCATTCTTTCTAACTGAAGTAACCGTGACAGTACCATAAATATGAGGGGTGCCATTATGGAAATATTGCATGTCTAGAGTATTGTTCAAGACTTCTGCTAGATATGGATGCCTGTCAAAGAAAACTTCAGCTACAATTCCTCTTTAACACTAACGTTAGTTATAAGGGCATATAGAGGCATTCGACTTTCCTCCTAGGGAAAAATGTTGGCTTTCTAGAAAGTGACGTAAGAGATCAGGAAGTATTTTTTCGTGTGACTTGTTTGACATTGTAAAATATCACCAATGTTTGGAAAGAGGGGGAAGAAGCACGTCTGCCGTTTTTAGAATATCCCTTTTCTCTCCACCCTCTCTATGATCTCGTCAAAACAGTCACCATTCATCTCTATATCCTATAATCTGTAATGTGTCAGTTGTTCTCAATGTTGTAGGAAATATACACGTGCTACATTTGTGTAGCAAACAATATAATCGCGATGCTTTACTTGATAAACAGAAGATAATACATTGTATTTTGGCAGCATATATTTTTTCTTGCATCTTTCCAGATCTATTTTTACAACTGTTTTTCACACACCATTTATCGGCGTAAGGAAAGAAAAGCAGAGAAAGAAAACAGTGGTTTACTTGTCTTTGATAAATTCGTATCTCTGACTGCTGTCAGTCGAGAAGAACGGCTTTCCGTAGCAGCTTTCCAGGTATATTGTTAGTGATGAATTGGGCGACTCCATGCCAACTTGAAAGTACATGTCAGACCCTGGGCTCAATCTCGCATTGATCGAGTCCATCTCAGTGTCGTAGCTTGGGTCTGTAAAAAGCTTGAGTCGAACTGAAAATGTTCCAGTAGATATTCCTGCAAGAAAATTGCTCCTTGTACTTAAACTAAACTAAGAAGGTTTTTGAAGCTTGATATGGCCTTTAACGAAATTGACGCAGAAGTGCTCGTGTAGCCACATGCAGAAGGTTATCTGATGGTGGGTAGCAACAATGCTGGTACCAAAACTGAAATATTTCCTTTCTTGCATTCCTGCCCTAGTAGAACAGGGAATTAATTGGCCAAAATAATTTCTTAAACTCAATTTTAAGGAAAAATTTTGCATAATTTTAGGAAAAACCAGACTTTTCCCCTTTGTTTGCTTTAAAGCATTTCTAAGTATTAATGTGTAACTTGATTGTGTACATGATGAGTTTGTGTACTGTTTTCAACCCGGCTCCTCTGTTTCCTTTTCTATTTCTCCGTTGTGTTGAATTAAAAATTTATTGCTCGGCTCCCAGTTTGGCCAAACAATAGATTTTTAATTCAAGGTTGACCGAAACAAAACAAGGCCCGACCCCATGACACCTCTTTTGTCCTCAGCCTTGTCTGCAGGTATTAAACGAATATATATATATATTTATCATATATTTCATAACATACTTAACACGATGACTGTAAAAAATTAATCATATTTTCATCAGTATCAACTTCACTTAGGATTGTGCTTTAGGTGTTCTTTTTTTGAAATAGTATAAATCCCTGTATAAATAAAAAGCTGTAGCTTTCGGGGGTTTACCCCCTGATCACACCCAACGCCGCATACCAACAACTCGCGCTACGCCACTGGTTCCAGAAGAGCAAACGAGACGAAGGATCTGTTTCTTACAAGGGTTCCAAGACAAGGGATACAAAATGAGTACCTGAAAAATTCACTTGAGTTTTCTTTGTCCTGAAAGTGGTCGGCCGTCTTCTGAATGGAGAAAATACGCATTTAAAAGGCAAACGAAAGGTGGGAAATCGCCTGATGATACCGCCAACGAATGTCGGGTTATTTAGAACAATATTTGAGTACTCAACAGCGCTTCCAAAACTCCTCAAACTAGTGCGACATTCGAAAGGCTTTGTTTCTAGGATAATGTGTGTATCATTCTCTCGTGCACCGCATTTACTGTCTCTCAAACTGAGGTCAGCTGCCTTGATCTTTGGTAAAGACTTCTTTGCAATGGCGACTGAGATCTTTCCCGGCTTGCAAGTGATGCTGCTATCAATGGTGTTTGCATCTGGGAGATAAAAATATACGATTGTTTCAATGAAGCTAGTTGTCTTCTTTGAGCTTTACTCTGAATCTACACACTAACACTACACACAACACTATACTATACTATATAAATGCAAAAATGCATGGTCTTAAAACATTTCTTTAGGCGAGGCAACATCTATTACTTCTCTCATCCTGCAGTGGATTACCAAGAATACTTAGAGCACCTTAGAAGGAATAATGCAATAGATAAAGCAAATTGTAAGTAAGGTACTGAATAGTGATAAAACGGAGAAAAGTAACAAAATAGTAATAATTATGGTGAATTTTATAAGTCATCAACGTATTGGTAAGATAATTGAAATCTTAGAAAGAATACGTTATTCAGACTGACATAAAAAATTTACAAAGAGGCAGTTGTACTCGTAACATTGCTTCAATTTTAAGAAATTAGGAGAATAAGTAGATTATCAACATACGGACTTTTAAATTCAGTTAGTTTGATGGGCTTTATGAGCATGGACTTTCTAATCATTCCAAATAGGGGACAGTCTTGAGAGGGGAACATTGTTGATATTGGTGCTTCTAGATGTAATTCGCCTAGATTTGAAGCACAACGTCTTGACCAGGCGCCAAGCAATCACAGGGACCGCGCACCAGTTTAAATGTGGGAGGGCTGAAAAGGGGGTGACTGGAATTTGTTTTAGGCTATGCCCTCTAGAACGCCGAAAAACGCCTATTTTAGAAAAAACTTGATTATTTCTATTGAAGTTTTATAGTCTGGTTCAGAGAAGATGTCTATAGCTATAAAAATAGATAAAATTAGCTTGGGGATAATAAAACATCAAGCTAGAAAATGAAGAACAAAGGTTTCAAGTCAAGAAGAACTGCTACTACTTAGAAGTATACTATTCAACGTTATGATGGAGCATAGTTAGTGTAAACTTTCCAAAACAAAGTCCAATGCTAGCCCAATGGCAGCGCGGTGCCTGATCAATCAACAACCGAGGTTTGAATACCATGCTTACCGGTAGATCTCCGCTTTCTCTTGTTAGACAGCACGGCTATCTGATTGTGGCAGATCCTCTTTCTACAATGCGCTGAAAGTGAATTTTTGTGGCAGACGGTGAAGTGACACTTGGCATACAACTTGCTTCCCGGTACTCTCCAGCGTTGAAAGTCAAAGTACATCTTGGCTGTCATGTTTGTCTTCATGAGAAGAACATCGTCTCCGATGGCACAGCTTTGAGGGATGAGAGAAAATCAGTATTTTTTGCAAAAATGTCTACCATGAAGAATTTCATCAAACCCTACTCGCTTTAAACTCTGCGTTTTGAAATGCGTGTCTCAAGCAATTGAAGTTAACACAATGAACCTAAGATAATTCTCTGTATTGAAAAAAGCATATTTAGTTATAGAACATTCAACATGAAATCACATTTTGCTGCATATCAAAACATATTATCTCAAAGTATTATTCATTTCTATTCGTTGGCTGTTCTTTCATTCTTTTCTTCCATTCACTAATTTCTATTTCATAATTTCTTACGCTCTTTCAAACTTTTTCTTTCTCGATTTTTCTCATCCTTCCTTGATTTATTTCCTCCTTTTCTTCTTCTTCTATTATTCGGTTTGAGCTTTAGGTTCCATGACTATGAATTTTCAGATTCACCATTTTTTAACTTCTCTTCCTTTTTTTGACATCACTACTGTTCTCTCCCCATTTTTTAGCATACACTAATTTCTCACTTAAGTGAAAGCCCTCCATTCTACTTCGATTGATATTCTATGATTTGCCTCATCTTTCTTGGTAACTTGTTCTTGAGACATTTATCGCCATTTATCGCCATTTATCGCCATTTATCGCCATTTATCCTCATCCATGTTCTAAAAAAGGAACGGCCTACTAACAGGCTAACATTACTCACCCATGCTCAATGAGCATTCTTTTCCTCCTCGAAGATGGGGATGGCTTGATTTTGCAGTGGTCAATCACGAAGAACAGATCTTTGTTATAAGGGGAAACTGATACCTCCAAAACATCTCCTATTTCATTTGCTGCAATATTTAATGGAGTATCGGAGAATATCTCAGTCACTGATGGATCCAGAACGATCTTCCTGTTAAAATGATAGCTTTGGCCTAACCATATGCTCACAAAGCGTTCATGGTGGGCAATCTTGTAAGATCGGCCAGCCGAACTTGATACTTTGCTCTCTGTATATTTACACTTTACGGGGATTGAAAAACCACGCCCGCTACCCGCAAGATAATAAACAGTGTTGCTTATTTCGACGATCGAGCCACTTGTCTTTGCAAAAGTGCCACATTTTCCTCGTTTAATGTTGAAAGAGAAATGTGTCTCATTAACGCTTGCTATGCAGTTTGGGTCTTCTAAATGAATGTTTCCTTGGGCTGCGTTGCGGAGCAGAGACCTGTCTATAGCAACCTCGATTGACTGAAAGCTGCATTTTTTAGAAAAACCTGCAATATTAATTTAGAACAGTTAAATATTGAAAATTGAAAATATTTTTATTTACAAATAAAATCATTCAAAGAAATAAATTTGATTTATCCATATATCTTGTTCTTCAAAAGAAACTATCGAAAATATCTTTGAAACACAAAGGGACCCGGATCTATGCAGGCACCATGATAAAGGCAACTAAAACAATGAAGTGTGTCTTATGCAGCCACCGAAGAGAACAATAAGTTGCTTTCACTTCGTATTAGATCGAGTGCCTAGCAAATAAAGGCTTAAAGCAGCTTTCAAGAATAGTTATAGTCTATACCCATTTAATAGGCAATATTTGAAATAGAAAGGAGGTCCCAAATATTTATGCCAGATACATACCACCAGATATCTTTCTGGTTCGCGATCTTTTTCGCCTAAAGGTTTTTGCTGAGCATCCCCTGGCACAGGAAGATTCCTTGTCTTCAGCATCACAAATAGAAACGTCACAGTGGATGAAAAACATGGCGTCCTTGATTCCGACAAATGTAAAAGATTTCATACTGAATCTATAGCTGTAACTTGGCGAAGAATAGACTTGAATTGTTTCATCAAGAATGCACCTTTAATAAGAGAAGGGAGAATAAAACATTTAGAAGAAGAATTAAGCGAGGATCTCAATTTTTAAGCGAGGATCTCAATTTTTAAGCTCGATTCAAAGCTGCCCCGCAAGTATAAACTTTGGGTGCTATTGTAGTTAAGATTACGGACCTGTTTCAGAAAAGTTTAAAAACATTCGCTGGCCAAACAGGCTAATGTACATACATTAATTCATATATATATAGGGCATTAGCGTTGATTTTTGAGAAGCAAAAAGATAAGACAAAGTCGGGTAGGTATTTGGGAAGTTTTTTTGTTTAATTTTGAAACTCTTTTAAATTGACACACAAAAAGGCGAGTGGCAGATAAGCAACTCAGCATACGGTGAAGTTCCGCAAAGAACAACCTTCAAGAACCTACAGATTTCCTTTCTCTGAATAAGCACATTGCCTTTTTAAGCCGATAAGAATTACATTATAACGGGCATTGTCGCTTGAACCTTTTACTGTCAGGCGACACCCCTATAACCTACCAAATTCACCATCAAATGTTACTGCTAGATAAGAACTTTCTTAAAGGCCCATTGATTACGAGGCAATTTCAATAGGCATAGTTAAAACCACTACTCAAGAACAATCTGAATTTTGAAATGCAAATTTCTTAAAGCTTCGATGCTTTTAAAGCTACGATGGAAGGTAGATAAGACAGTGCCTACCCATCTTTTATGAAAAGATATTGGATCTTATCAAGTCGATCAGCAGTTGGCGTTGCATAACATCTTTCTGGATAAATAGTTAAGAAACTGTCCTTTGTGTTCAATTTTAAGTCGTAAAAAATATCAATCGTGAGCTCCGGCGTCTCTAAAATTCCTGTAAAAAACAAAAATTAAAAATGCTTTTAATGCTAGCAACTGTAGAAATCTGTCTTGTGATAGGAAACACTGACAAACTAGATGCTTTTAAACAACGAGTTATTTATGTTTTATGTGAAAAAAATTTTGCATTTGTGAGATCTTGCATTCAGGAAACGTAAATCACACAAACCTTCTATAAGCATAAATACGTTATCATTTAGAACGCATAGCTTCGTCACTATTCAGGTAAGAAACACCAGACAACCCTACGCTGCAAAGTATACTACGAACGGTTTCCTAACAGTGAATAACTATTCTCTTCGATGCCATTAAATCAGATGTCAAGATCATCAGGGACGCAGGAACTACCAAGGAGCAATGAGGCAGGCTTCAGTAAAAGGGCATCTCAACAATAATACCCCGCTTCTACTCAATTTTTCTTAACCGTTATTATTTTATTATTTTTGTAGGTATCTTAAAAATTGGCATAAGGGATTTCTAAAGCAAAAGATTAACAAAATCTGGTCTTTAATAAGGCTCTTCAGCCAGAATTTTATATGAATCACTCTGATAAATACACAGGGCCGATGTCAAAGGCACTTTTATGAAAACTATACTTTGACCCCCTTGTCTCTCCTATCAACGGGCACCAAGGGATGCTGCCCCTGCGTCTTCTTCTCCCTTTGTCAGAGATTAAACCTCTTTCTCTCAGTGGCGTCGCCACGGGGTGGAAAGCATGAAAAATACCAAAAAAAGGATTTTCTAAGAATATGAGGGTGTGGCTGAGAGAATACGTTTTTGCCCACCCCAGTTTTTTCAAGCTGGCGACGCCACTGCTTTCTCTCTCAAGAAAATCTAAATTTAAAAAGTTTGCAGAATCTTCGACTGACTTACGCCCAATTTCGTTCGAGAACTTCTCATCAGTGTATGCTTTGAGCTGCACGTCATATTCCCCATTCCTTTTCAGCGGCTTGCATACAAATGCTTCGGTTCGCTTTACTTTGAACCCTTTCGATTTCACCGTGACTCTTGCGAATTCACCGCTTTTGACTGGTGGGCCAATTCCAATTAACATTGGACATGACAAGACACGTGACCTCATTCTTATCCCAGAAGACTTTGCTCGCATTCTACCAAAGATGCCGTTCTTAATTTTCGGTCCAAGTACAACGATGTGTTCGCAGTTAATATACTTAGCAACAGCACGAGTCATTCTCGGCTTCGGCCAAACGAAGAAGGAATGCACGCAGGTGAACTTGATGCTCACAACAGGGCACCTAGGATCGAATTCATCGGTGTCCGGAAAGCCAGTCATTAGTGTGTTGCTGTACACTAGGCCATTCCATTGCACTTTCCTTGAGATTCCGCATGCTCGATAGCTTGTTGAAGCAATAAAGTGGGTTTCATTTTCACCAGCTAGAAGAAAGATATTTTTTTGAAGATAGGGCAAGATTGACTGAAGTTCCTTCCATATTGGTCAACAAAAAGGAGCTGTCTTTGAGATGACACATAAGAATTTAAAACTCTTAGAAACCCTTGAGAATATGAAAATACGATTAAATGGTTAAGCTAATCAAAACGTAAAAGCGAAAAAAGAAACAATACGGAGTAAGCGTTGAATTTGCTTTGTGGGTCACCCTGTGTAAAGCGCCTACGCAATGACCTTCTTGCTTTTCTGTATAAAGTAGTATTTTTAGTAAGTCATCGGCTAGAATTAACGCGAATGAACTAACCATCTTAACGAAACATTGCACATCATGTATTTTGTTCACGAATAATCACAGTCTAGAGTGTAGCGGATTGGATTTATATCATCATATTCTGGTAATCTTTCAGTCATTATAGCTGGATCTACTATTTACAAGGACGTGTATCCTTACAAAGATTCTCAGACAACTTCCCAATAGCAAGCTTAAAAACATCAACTTCCACTTCAGCGTCATTCTGAATAATGAAACTACATAAAACGTCTCAAAACGATTAATGTTCTTTTTATGGTCTGTCGATACTTTTGTCTTTTAATCAGAGAAATAAACTAAAAAGAGTCTTTATCAGACAAATTCTCAAGATCCACAAAACCAGGGAAAATATTTTGGCTACAGATTTGACTTATTTCCAAGACTAAGAACAACATGTAAAGTAATCTTAAGAAGGCCCTCTGTAAACCAGGCAAGGACTGGTCATAAACAATATTTCGAAAAACAAGCTCACAACCTCAATAAAAAATGCCAACAAGTTTGACTTCCTGAAGACAAAATCTTAAAGGACTCAAATTCTTATCCTATGATTGAAATTATGCAGAGGTGGCGCCAGAAATCTTCCGACAGAGGGGTTTAAGCTCCCGACAAAGGGGCTAAAATGACTAAAATATGCAATTTTTGTATGTCACTTTGTCAAATTTGCTCCGACAATAGCCCAAAACTTCCTCCGATAGGGGGGCTAGATGCTTCTGACGGAGGGGCTATAGCCCCCCTAGCCCTCCCCTGGCGCCACCACTGAAATTAGGATTGTTTTTCGATTCATATGATTACAATAATCATTACTGGCATATGTTGCTTTTCCTTGATTGAACAACAGTCACCATTACGGTAAAAGATGATAGGAAACCAAAGCGTTCATTTTATCTACTTACCAATACAAGCTGGATCCAAGAAATGGAGTTTTTCTGATGATTGGATTCTCCGGAGGCGGGCTTTTTCAATGATAACTTTTACTCCTTTTTGGTAGCATTCAACTACAACATCATTTGGTTCAATGCCAGCTACTTCTTTGGTCGCTACTGGTGGAGCACCAAATTGGGCTAAAATGAAAAATATTCTTATATCTTTATTCGAAATATTAACGCATCAAAACATACGAAAATGCGTGGCTCTGGTAAGGCGACGGAAGAACCCCCCCCCCCCCCCCCCCTTCAAATATTTTTACATCACTAGATGATTTTTAGGTGATTTCAACCTTCAATGCCTATAAAGACTGTATAGAGAAATTTACAATAGCTTTAAGCTCATGACTAACAAATATCTTTACTGCAAAGTTTCAGAAAAATTTTTGGCTGCTGTGGCCTCTTACAAAGGAGCGGGCGTAGTCTGCGTGAAATTGAGTCTGCACGCAAGCTGAGTCGGTGTCACTAGTGGCTAGAAGTTACAGTCTCAAAGGTTTGCAGTCCCTAAATGGTTTGATCATTACGATTTCATATTATGGTTAAACTTAATCATACCAATGAAAAATCTACTAGACTGGATTATACAAAAAAGAAATTGTTTCTTCAAAATCTCCTTTTGCAATGTAACTAACTTTCTCAAGAAAGCAAGAGATCCTTATTCTGCTAAAAAAAATTCTTGCAATCGAACAATATCGATGGCTACGACTGTGATGATGATTAAAGTGGCGATAAAAATGTGGTGCTGTACCACAAGGTCGAGAAGCTAGCTGTATTTTGGCCAATTGATTCGTTTATGACGCAATTTTTATTTATCGCATACTTACAATTTTGGCTTGTATTTCTACTTTTTTGCCAAATTGCGTGCGATGCTACAATTCACTGCCAAAATGAAATGAAATTTTTCACTTTACGTTGCTCCACTCCTGTGAATTCGAACCCCACTAGCATTTAGGTAGGGGAAAGCTATTTTTCCAATGAAAGAGAAAGCATTAACTTTTCTTGAAAAGTCTCTTCGTCCGGAATTGTAGCCCCCTCTGTGAATGCATCATCGTAGAAGATACTGTCTTTCAAAATATCTCCCAAAACTCTATTCCGAGAAGTTCGTGCAAAGAAAAGAGATTAGCATGCAAAGATACCTATTTCCTCTGCGTCGGGGTGTATTAGTCTACATACAAATACCCTTTAGGGCATATCTCCAGAGGCAAAGTTGTCATGGGATGAATGAAATCCCAAAAAGTACAATGAAATGTCTTTGGGGGCTAGTATGCAGCTACATCTTCCGTGGTTTTTTGAGTGACATTTAAAGACCAAAAATCGCCTCACGAAAATAACAGACACGCCTTATAAACCCATCCTGATATGTGGGCGAATCTGCGCCAAATCTAGAAAATGCAGCTCTTCTTACATTGATGTCAGAGCATCGTATACCGTTTATAAAATAAATAAACCCTTACAGCAGGGGTTCTTAATTATTTTAAGTGCCGGGCCAGAAAAACATATAGATTTTCTTCAGGGGCCAGTTGGTTTTCAACTTTTACATACTTTGTGTTAAAGGGCTGCTCAAAATGAAACTCGGATCTCATTTTTACCAGGCTAAGTTAGTGATAAGATAGACAGGCCTTTTATTTCGTGCCTGCCTATCTTGTGTACCTTCGCATAAACCCAAAAAACAGTTTAGACAAAGGTTTGTAACTTTATGTTTCTTGTACCATGCTGAGTCAGAAGATCGTTCCATGCTATTTTTAGGCTAGAACGTTAATCTTAGCTAGTCTCTTGTTGGGTCGATTTGAAGCGCCTGCCGTCAGGTCAAGGGACTGCATAGCGTATTTTAAAGAAAGGCCAAAATCTTATGTTTGTGGGTATATTAAATCAAGGCCGCCACCTTGGTTGGTGGCAAGAAAAATTTTAAATTGTATTGATCTAGGCATGGCCAGAAACTACACCTCAAATAGATTTTAACAGGAGAAAATTCAAGGCAATATTCTTAACGTTTTCATAACTAGGTCCCATAGTTTTATTTGTTGACATGAAAAAGGAAAAATCTTGCAAGGTTTTAGAATAATCTTAGCATAACAGCGTGTAAGATGGAGAAAAGAAATAAATTAAAAAACAGTTAATTAAACGCTATAAAACGATCAATCGATTGAATAAAGTATTTCCTATTTCGGTACTCCTTTTCGGATCAATAACTGTCCACAGAACGCATTTAAAATTTACTACAGAGATAAAGAAAAATATCAGAGCGGAAAAAAAAACCAAAGATAAATAGAATTCCAAATTTTGAAAATGTTGACAAAAAATATTTTCGAGGTAAGAAGCATTCGGCGGGCCGGATGAAATTTTGCTGCGGGCGGGAGTTGGCCCGCGGGCCGGACCGCAAGTGTAAATTTCTTAGAGATGGACGGATTTGAGGTGGAGTCAGACAGCCTTCATACATATTCACAGATAAATTGGATACAAAATTAGCTTTACTTGAGGAACATTAGGGTCTTAGAGACAACTTTCACGATAGCTACCTTTGGAGAAAGTATGTGGCATTGGAAAGGAATTCATATATCAGTTTTTGAGTAATTTTCACTAACATATTTCTCCGCAACTGATCGCACATAAATTCTTTAGAAGTTATATATTTTCACAATATCCCCAAAGATGAAAATGTTAAAACAGACTTCATAATTCATAGCCTGTTTTAAAATACTCAGTAAATTAAGGATGGTTCAATTTCAAGTTGTATTTTGTTATAATCTACCGGACCTATCTCCCCCACGATTGCTCTTTGCGCATTGCAAATTGAATTTCCTGTACAGCCTCGATTGTGACCAAATGGGATATGCGGTTTGAAAAGTCTTGCGATGGTTCTCCAGGGAATTATTTCCACGTTATTAACTCCTAGCTATTATCTTCTAGTGGTTTTTTTAGGGAGTAGTTGAATCGGAAATTTAGCTGACCGCTGAAAGTTGGTTTAAAAATGAAGAGGAAAGTGGGCATGAGGGCAAAGTGGGCATGAGAGCAAAGTGGGCATGAGGGCAAAGTGGGTAAGGCAGTTGCGGATCTGATAAAATTATCTTTTACAAAGAGATCAAAGAGAACTTTTATTATTTTGCACAGAATTACCAGTCTTATGGACAGTCCTGAAACCGTTCACGGCTACGCATAGATTTTAAATTAATTTAGCTTATACATAATCTTTAAAATAGCTAAAGTTTAGTTTATCTTTATTGAACAGCGTTTGACCGATGCTAAAAACATTTTGCAGCTTTAGCTATGTAGATGCAACAATAAGCATGAAGACGTCATATCATTTAGAAATTAAAACATGTTAAAAAATTGTGAAGCCTTTTCTCAAATATCTTAAAACATTTCAAGCCTTGACCATTTCGAAAGTTCTTGTAACAAATACGCGCAGTGAGTGGACCTTACCCAGCCTGCGTACAGAATCGACTGGTTTTCCCAGAGATGAATTTAGTTGAATGGACAATTTTGGATTGCTTTCCTAGAAACAAGGGCTTACAAATTAGACTTGATAACAATTACATGCTCTACATGTCTTGTTTTCAATAATCAAACTTATTTTTTTCATTATGATACCAAATATATTCGCTCATTATATTGTCGTTTTTGGATGAGGTACCACACGCAAATTACACATTTAATTTTATATTATTTAAAGTCAACGATATACGACCTGAGCCCCAGTTATCTAGCTCCCCGCTTGATCCAATCAATCTTATTGAAAACGAGTTCGCTTGATGAATCGAATAGATTTTTAGAATTGGAATAAGGGATCGATCGATTACTTGCGTTTATTTTGGCTCATCGCAGGTTTGACCAACTTAAGTCACCGGACTCGTTTTTAATTATAGATAACGTGCGGGATTTCGGCTCTTGAATGTTTAATTTTTCAAATTTTGGTCCGGTTCCATCCAAACTTTCATCCGGGCTTGCGGTTTCCGGTAACAAACGGGTTCGGTTCCGGTATTTCTCGTAGAAAATTTCTTATAACACATGAGTGTAAACCATCCTCTTTAATTCATGTTGAGCCGACTTTGAGGAATGGGGGAAGTGGTGGAATTTATTTGGGGGCGAGCCCCTAGGCGACTAGGGCGGTCTTCTACCCTGCTTGGTGCCAGAGTCTCTAAAATTTAGTCTCAGCCCAAATCTAATCACAGATATATTTATTTCAGCGACTCATTCTTCGTCACTGCATCGGTCTGTAACACCATATCCGCCAGGGCAGGGACGGATTTAGCGGGGGGATGTAGGGGGTGCGACACCCCACAAGTTGTCTGTGTCATTCGCTAAATTTTCCTTCCATTCGATAAAAATCATTTGTTGGTAATTCGTAGTAACAAAATAACGCCAAGATTTTATTTGATTTACCTTCTTATCTTCTTTACCTAAAAGTTAAAAACCTAATTTTGAAAATGAGCCTTTCAATCATTTTCGCGGGACCTGAAGGATGTGGCACCGAAATCTAATTACACCCCTCCCCCCATCAATAAATTCGTCCCTGATTGTACCCTGTTTCTTGAAGCACTGGTACCCATTGCAGTGGCCTTCACATCAGAAAAAGAGTCACCTCTTCACACGGACCAATACACTAGACAATTGTTTTAGGATTTACGAGAGTCCCTTTGGAGACCAATGTGTTGTCGGAATCAAATTTCTCAAACAGACGGACGTTTCCAGCTGAGAGAATGATTTAATTCATTCCGAAACAAATCGAAAACCAGGTCAAATGCTGTTCCACTGCTGGCAAATACGACAAAATCAAGAGAGAATTTCGTTGTGTCTGTAATACCCTTACATTGAAATCTGCTTATAAGCCGAACTTTTGGATTTTCCGCCAAGTTCGAAGATGTAAATATTCATAACTATTTTAAATATTTGAGTTATTTCCGTTGAAAGTACGAAGCGATATGAAAATTCCTAATTTTTGACGAAAACTCTAAATCGTATATTAAAGAGTTTCTCCAATGTGAGGAGATGTCACTCTTAAATAAATATAGAGACAATAAAAATACAAACAAAGAACTCGCAAAATCAGATCAGTACCTCAGTCATGGTTGAATAAGGGAGAATTAAAACTTACCAGAAGACCGTTCTGAAATCCAGGCAACGACCATAAACAGTTGTATTACGAAAATCAAATTTTTCATCTTGTCTTCGGTTTTTGCTTGTTTCCCAATTGAGTTGTCAGCGACAAATGCCCTTAGGTTTGTTGCGTGTCTATAAAAGTTCCTCCAGCTTCCATATGACAACCGCTTGAGAGAATTCTTCCTTGGCTTTTCTTGAAGCAAGAATTTGCCTTACCGGAATAGACCAAGCAACAACTTTTGGGGTCCCTCTGATCAACTGACTTACATTCACCGAGGCCTTGATACCCCTGGTGTTTGGAGTATGATTCACACACGTGTCACTGAAAAGAATAATCTCTTTTGTTTTGCGGAGGAGCCAATGAATCTTAACCACAAAGGGTATAAAAAGACCTGATATTACCGAACTCGTTGAACTTCTGATTTGCAATCGAAGAAGCACAGTTACAAAGAATCTTTATACTCCCTCTATGTCCTTTTACTTGTAACAAAGTGAAATCAAAGATTTCTTAAATGTTTTGTCACGAATTTAAAATCATTTCTCTTTCGGAAATCCTCTTTTTTGCACCGTGTGCAAACAAGTTTACTCTTGACTGCAAACAAAACACATCATGAATCAATAACGTTTCCTTTTACAAGAATCAATAAATGGGTGTTACTGCCATGGGAATGCAGTTCTTGGAGGAAAGGAGTTCAAACCAACTCCAACAACTTAAGCTTGCAAGAGCCCCAACAACAACTTCCTCTCAAATTTGGAAGGGAAGGTAGCACTTTAACATTTTTGGTTTTAAATAAGCCTCAGCACAGACAATGGCAGAAAACAAACAATTTTCCATTTCAATTTTCGAAAACAAGCATGTACTCAAGAAGCCAATAAAACCAAACTATGACACACAAGATACTAACAGAAAAAACTTAATATTTTCAGAAGACTTTAATATCGTAAAAAATTATTGTACGAAAAAATCAAACAGCCAAAAAAAGAAATATCTTAACAATGGGCTGTTTAAAGCTGTTCAAGAACGATGGCATAAAATCAGCTAGGCGGTCATTCCAAGACTCTCTACAAAGACTCTGCCCAATTTATTGGCTTTTCTTTGGTGTCCTAGAAGGTACTGAATGTACAGCCATTTAATAAAAACCGGTTACTTTTGTAAATTTGCATAAAGCAGAAGGAATTTTTTGACTTGCTAAATTGGTTATTCTACTACCCTGGTACCAGAGCCTCATAAGTTCGGGGTGCCCCCGCTTCTCTGCTTGGTTTTCCATTTACGCTCTCGAAATTTTGTGGCTCTGGTACCCAGGGTGCAATATTACATCACCACAATAAAAATTGGTTAACCATACATCATGTGTGAGATTACAGTCTTTTCTTATAAGAACCAGTAAATTTAAAGGGCCACTCCAGCCCAAAACTTTTTTTGCATAAATTGGTAGTTAGTCGAGAAAAAGAAGCTATCGTGAAATTTTTTTTCGAAAAGCTTAACTCGTTTTCCAGATATAGACGCTCAAAGTTGAGAATCACCGTAAAAATACGACAAAATTTTTTTCGGAAAAAGCACTTTGTGACGTGTGAAAGGGCTATTGTTTCAACATTCGGCGCTATTGTTATACGTTCGCACTGAAATTCGCACGACTCGGTAGAGGCTCGGAAGAGGCGATTCATGTCGGAATCTCGGTTGTCGTTTTATTTATTTTCCTTCATCGCGATTGATGTTCAGCGGAGGCTTCCAGCCAACATGGACTAGTAATTCGACAAATCAAAGATGGAAGCTTCAACCTGAACTCATATCCTCATCTTGGCAACGCAGCAAGCTTTTCAATATGGAATGCTTCACGAATTTTCAGATGTGAATGGATTTCTGACCGAAGGCATTTCTTATCGTCGTGTCATCTCGGGGATTTCCAGGGAGCTGAATAATAGAATTGATGTCTCACCGCAGTAGAAGAAGAACCCCATTCACAAGATGGAAACTTTCCCGTAAGTCACAATTCATCCTTATTATCATTTTACTATGTTGAATGTTAGGCGAAACTGCAGGGTGTAGAGGTTTGGAGGGGCTTTAAATACAGGTTTTCTAACAGCCAGTCTTGTGAACTGTCCCCCAAATGGTCAGAAATGTGGTAATATGAAAAGTACAACAGGGGCTCTCAAGCAAAATGTCACATAAAATAGTACCAAAAGTAGAAATTTGCTACTTTTTTGTACCAACAAGGGGGCCTGAGCCTCCTAGCACTACATCCCTGCCAATGATCTGTGCACTACACCTTTGCCTGAGGTATAGATGTGTAAAATTTCCCAGGGTTTGTCTCCTGAACCCTTCTTCTTCATGTTCTACCTTGTTCTGCCTTCAATTTTGGAGTTCTGCCTATTTCATCATAAAATTGATGCACAATTTCAAAATTTTGCCAGATCAATATCCAGGGCAAAAGATCTACTACCCAAAAGAAAAAACATGGAATTTACACCCTTGGTTTTGGAAAAAAGATGTGTAATATCCTCATTCTAATGTTTTAAAGGCAGAATTGTTTATATTTGCTAAATTTACCTTTGCTATTCTAGCATTGATTCATATAAGCATAGCCTATATCATTTAAATTCATCTTTGTGTTACTTCAAGTTAATATCCTTAGATGCTATTTGCTATAGTAACAGTGGTTGCCCTTTCACCCCTAAATTTCTCTTTGATCCTTCTAAATATCTATACTCTGAATGCCCCTGAGTGTCCAAGTTTCTTTGATCATTTTATGTTTTAATATGACTCAAAAGTAAATTTCACTGGTATGTTAGTATTTATCCCTGTCAACCTTATTATTCTAGGCATAAAAAAGGTTACAAACTCTTTTATGGATCAGTAGAAAGGATCTTGCAAAAAAATGCTAGATGAAGGTTGGAGATTACATTTATCTGGCTACTGGCTTTGTGGGAGTGATAACTTGCCCCTCTCTTCCATTCAAGAGTTACCACAAAGACCTCAACACATTATTCTGTTTTTGTATTAACATTTTCACAAAGGAGACTATTTTTCTAAAATTATTAAAATTTTATATATAATTTGGTCATATATAATGTTTGCAAATTATTTAAAGCTAGTAACAACATATAGGTATTTTCTAGAAGTTTTGCAATAGATTATTGTTTCATGATACTTTTATAAGAACATTTCTCATGTGCAATAGAAATTACAAATTGCTAGCTAGTTCACTGGCCTGATTGTATAATTCAATGTAGCCAAGTATTTAAATACATCAAACATGTATTTATTATTCATAAATATAGCAGGTTGAGATTCTGACAGCTTAAAGGAGCCGACAAGGCCCCTGTAATAGCTTAAAGGTTAAATACAAAAATTATATTTACAAAAGTATATTGAAAAAGTTGAATTATTAATATAATCTCAAATCCCTTTTTTGTTTGTATAAAAACAAATTTATAATTTTTGAAAAAGTTGTTTGGCTCATGACTAATGGTAGGTTTTTAGTCTTGTCTTGAAAGTTGTATACTTTCTTGTCCATGTCCTCATTTGTCCTGTTTTATTTCCAATAAGTCATGTTGATATGAAGCTCTTTATCCTAATGAATATGTTGTATCAATTCATACAGCTTTCATTCCCGGTATACTGGTTTTGTTTTCTTCTTTCCTCCCGAATTAATTGCGCGATGGTTTTTTAGCTGTTGCACTAAAGGAGGGGCTGATGAAAAAGCGCGAATCTTCTTTTTAAAATCAGGGAACTGGCCTGCCAATACAAATTGCTTCAAAAGCAGCATTCCATGAAAGTCTGTCAACATCCTCATGTCTCTGTCTCGCTGGCCTACTTTGCCAATTTGACTTCTCTGTCAGAAAGATTCGTGCGACAAAAAACTTCCATATTCGATCAGAGTATCAAGACTGATGAGCGATACTTCTCTCTTTATATCGATTCCAGATAAAAGTCTGGCCTTCTAACAAACATGCCGCTGCTAGGCCCTGTCTGCCATTTCGCTAGGTTCTCGTTGACCCTTTGGACAGCCGATGATACTTGCCGCGAACTTACCGAGGCCGAAAATGCTTGTGACGTCAATCCGGAGATCTCCGATAACACGGTTGAAAAACAATTCAACTCAATGACCAATTTACAAACGCTAATAACTACAAAACGGCTAAAGATATGAAAAAAATAATAACAGATTCGTTTGCAGGAGGTCTGATTACATCGTGTTCTGAAATAAAAATTTTGGGCTGGAGTGGCCCTTTAAGTTCGGCTGACTGTTTTTAAATTTTCCGAAAATCTGAGGCAGGATTGTTCTTAATTTATTCTTAATTTAATAGGCTGTCAGCAGTGTGATTGAGTCATGATAAAATGGATTGGGGGTATACCCTGAGTGCCAAAATCCGCTGAGTCATGATTTTCATGACTGCGATGCTATTGGTTGAACTGGAACTGGTCACATGAACTCACCTCGTACTGATTGACAAAACAATTTTCATCAATAGCAAGTTGTCAACACAGATACAAATATCACATGAAACAGCAGCGATCACGCTGAAACCAAATGACCCCCATAGAGAAGTCCTATTTACCATGACTCAATGCCTTCAATGTAATTTAAAGTATATCAAAAGTTGTTGTTATGCTCAGAAACTAGGAAAATTAACGAGGAATACCTCGTAATGTATTTATATCAACAAAAGACGGCAGTTTGATACTAACTTTTTTATAAGGAACTTACTTCAAGGCCTAGTTCCAAAAATTGTTTTTTCGTAAACCACAAATCATCAAATTGTAGTACCAATAGTCAGGGCCGCCGGAGCCAGGGGGGCCACGGGGGCACTGCCCCCCCTGTTTGCAAAAAGTATAAAAAGCGCCCCTTTTTGATAAATAAATTGCGTGTATTTTTTCAATGGCAGATATTCTGCCTTAAGAAACTAAGTAAAATAACATAACTCTGGGCGTTGTTGGAGGACCATTCACTGAATTTCCTTGAATTTTTACTTGGTCTTGATGCAAAAAAACTCAAGCTCCTGTGATGAATAATATCAACTGCGAAGGAGCCTGCCATTTTTGCGAGAAAATATCCGTAGTATGTCTTCAGCAACAAACGCATTAGTGAAAGGTCCGCATCAAGTCCCCGTCGGGCACAGTCAGTTGGTCCAATGTATATCGTGTGTGTTCATGAAGGTAGAAACTGGACCCCTATCTCTGATTCTGGGTTAAGTAAAATGTACCCTATTCTGCGAATTTGCCAAAAATTGTGAAACTCTTTTCACTGAGATCCTTCAAGCTTAAGCAGGAATTGTTTATACCAATTCATGTTAGAACCATTCCTCTTCTTAAACTTATGTCTAGGCAAGTTAAAAGGCAGAGTTCACTAAATTCGATTTTAACAACAATCCCTTATGGTTCTTAATGTATATTAACAAAAAACCAAACAGCTGTAAAACTATAACTGCAACATATTGCTTACTTCACAACATCATGGTAGATGTTAGACATGAAAAAGTTGTGTCCCTGCAATGAGTACATGCTAGCAGTAAAGAGTTTTTAAACAAAGACCTAAATTTCTTATCTAGGATTAGAACAACATTAGAACATTAGAACAAGACTTGATGCTAAATTTATTGTACTTCAATATAATTCCTGCCCCTTTGTGTTTTCTCTGACTGATTAAAAAAGCAATCCTATTTTCAAGATTCTATGTCCCAGAATTCTCGTTTTCAGACCACCCTTTCTCAGTGTTTTTCGGAACTCACATGTAATACGTTTGATCAACTGTCTGAGCCCGCCGGGATCAAGTCTAAGGAGAGTTGAAAACTTGTTTCGTTCATAAGACTGATGAGATGAACTTAATCAATGTTGCAAATAGAATTTTCTATGGCAGTGAAAAATGTGTCCGCACCTTCAGCCGATTGCGTAAAGATTACTTAAACATAAAAATTTGTAGCTTTTAAAGAATATTTCGTGGAGGCGAACAAATGTATGTGTTTAAGTGGCGATTGGAAGGCGCGAATAACAAGGGGGACTAAATTGTGTATTAAAGTAAGTAAATCAAAATCATTATTGGAATGGGCTTTCGATAATCATAGAGACTGAAACTTTGCTTTGAAAGAAAGAGGGACTGGAATTGGCTTTGAAGTATAACTAAGAGTTCGAAAATTTCATTCAGTTCATAATTTGGATTGGATTCGTTGGTATATGTTGAGTATAATGCGCTTGCCACAAGTATGAAAGAAGGATGTGTGCCTGCTTCTTACCCGGGGTCAAATTCACCTACAATACAAATTATAAGGAAAGCAAGTACAGCTTATTGTAATAGCGGTATATATCATAGATGGAAGAATTATTTACACTATCAAAAAACCTGGAAAGCCATGAGATGGGAAGCTATACAAATAATTATGATCAAGAGTGAGTGGTCCCTAAATGGAGTAAATAGCCATGTCTGCTTTCAGCGAAGATAGTTCTCACTATGTCCAGCATGTGTCATTATTTTTATAAATTTCTAAATTACCATGAAATCTGTACCATTTTTGGCACTTATTAACGTTTCGGAAAAAAATACATTCTTGCCCTTTTTATTCGTTTTGGCCCCCCCTGTTCAAACCTGCGTCCGTCGGCCCTGATAGTTCCTTAATTTTGTTCCTTAATTTCACTGCAGCACATCAAGTGCCATGGAAATAGTACAGAAACAGGAAAAACATAAACATTTGAACTTTGCCTTTACTTGTGGCTAGAACTCAGGAGCAAAGACACAAAAAAAGGCTATGTATAGTGAAAACTCACTTTCGGTGTTTTGACAATAAGCCTTAACATTGATGCTTGCAGTTATAAAAATTTGTCAAATTGAAAAGTTTCTTGGGATTTCGTTTTTAGTTGAATAAGTTCTTTGAATATTTCGGCTTTCTACATGTAGGTTCCTTATAAAGTGGTTCCTTATAAAAAAGCGTGTAGTCTATAGAAAAAGTTCATTGTGTTCAGGGCCGCGGAGAGGATTTATGGGCCCCGGGCCAGGACGAAAAATTAAAATCAATAAAAGCCCAAGGCGGACTCTTCATGGGTTTACGCGGAACGCTCCCCCAAAAAAGTTTGAAGACACTTCTTGTGAATATTGTTAGCGTGGCAAAATAACACTGGTGGCTTTTACTTCTGTTGGCTATTTTGATATAATTTACATAGGTTTAATATATTAATGCCATAATGCATACAAATGAAAACATCTTAACCATAAGATATAGAATTCTTTATTGTTGCACGAAATATCGGAAACATGGCATACTAAAGCAATTCAAATTTTCGGTACCAAAAAGTTTTCTGGCAATTTTTTATATTTCAATTTTATTCCATTTAATAAATTCAAGCAAATCAGATACACCAATGCAAACAGATGTGCGTGCCCATGTTTTACTTTTGTCAAAAACGGACATTGCTAGATTTTCAAAATGCTTAAAGTCGTTCAAAGCAATAATATTGATTACAAAAGGATTTAAACTTTTGAAGCAAGTTGACATCAGAATAAAAGTATTGCAGCTAAGACAAACAACAGTCAATGCTGAGTGCAAAACCTTGAGAACCTCTGAGATGAAAAAAACTGTTCCAAAAATGTCGAAGACCAAAAGAAATTATCAAAATTGATCTCTATCTGTGAGTGTAACCAAGAATAGGCTTCCGGTTTTATTGAGCTATTATTTATGGGCCCTTATTTCCATGGGTCCTTATTTCCATGGGCCCCTATTTCCATGGGCCTCTATTTCAATGGGCCCCTATTTCCATGGGCCTCCGGGTCAGCTCCCCCCTGACCCCCCTCTTCTCAGCACTGATTGTGTTACTTTGATTTACAAGTTGCCCCAAAAGTTTTTTTCAAAATGCTTTCTGCCCTTGGATTCCAGAAGAAGGACGCTCTTGGAATTCTCCCTTATTACCTTCTTCTCGTGTTCTTTGCCTTTCTTGTATTGGCCCCGTATTCGCGATGGCCTGGAAGCGGGTGTTGGAAAATCCCTAGGCAATTTGTTGCTTTCTCATTTCAATGGTGTATCAGCATTCTTTTTTGGACACTTTTCTTTAATTTTTCCCAGTCCCTACTAGTCCAAAAAGACAAAAAGTTAACAACCAACCGTGCACAGTAATTGCCGATGGTAGCAAACGCTTTGCAAACACGACAGGATGGGACTTTCTTGCCTTAAATCAAATTTCTCTACGCTGCTATATATTTGCTTAAAACAGGAAGAGAATTTACAAAGAACGATGTCCAGTTACTAAAAGCTTGAGATTGTAGTGTTTTTGTTTTCTTTGGAGAGACGCTCCACGGATGCTCGCAGCCTCGTGTCCACCAAATTTGTCATAGCAACAAAACAGTGAGAAAATGGCGACCTTGAGCGACGACGGTCCTTATTATTTGGAAAGTATCCTTTTCTTGGCAAACTTATTAACAGCAAATCATGAACGGAGATTTTTCTCAGGTTATCGCTTCTTACTGCTATGTAATTGTTTCGTTTTTAGAAGGAATTTGTTTGGAAGAGTGTATGAAAGATATGTGTTTTTAATATATGAAACTGAATATGACTCTTTAAAAATCATAGTAGACTCCGCTGTAAATGCTTGAAAAAATATTCAAACTATGCAGCATATATGCCGTGATGTTTTGAAATGTGTCATAGGATACCTCATCTGTTATATTTTCATTTCTGAATGAGTATAGGTTAGTTAGTTACATTGAATAATAATTTTGAGCACTAACGGTATCATTTTAAAATGGTATTGCTTCGGGGTGAAAACATATTCAGCAGGGTTAAGGGGTAAAGTTCTGAAAACCCGTATGATTATAAACCTAGTAGTCATAACATAACATATATATAAAATTTAATATTGTAAGCACTGCTGCAGTTGTTCATTAATCTAGTTAAAATTACTATTTTTTTCATTAATCTGGTTAGAGGTGGCTCAAGAGCAGCGATAGGGATTCATTAGGAAAAAACCCAACATGCTAGGACCTACAAATTGAGAAAAATACCAGGAGCTTTTCCAAACATAGTGAATTATACATCTGCAATGATATTTAGATGCTTGATTCCATTTAAAAACCACAAAATTGTGATCTGCTTGAAAAAGATTTGCCTGATCCATGAATTTGCAGGTCCCCAGATCAAGAGAAGCTCTCAGTTTACATGGATTTTGGGCCCTAGGTTAATTAAGAAAGCAGTTAGATCTTGTACCTGAATGTTGTTTTGTGCCTTAACAATTTTCAGAAGAGTCTTTGCCTGGAGATCCTTCCGAGGAGTTTCTCAATGAGCAGGTCAGTTTCAATGTTTTAATGGGCTATTTGTTTTCATATTGAAAATGTTCATGCAACTGGGAGCCTAAAAAGTTAAAAAATGGCTTGTGAGTCTAGAGCGTTTTCTTTTAAAAGATCTTTTGGGTGGGTTTGAGAATTAAAACACATTTGGAAGATATCATTATAGCAGGACTAGTGAGAATAAATAACCCTTTTTGTGCTGTAAATTTTTATACAGAGATTGTGCTTTTTGTGCTTATTATTATGAACTCAAAATTGTATATTCCTTGGAACATGGTATGAAAATTAATTATCCGGTTCATCTTTTTATTTTACATCCACTTTCATAAAAGACTTGGCTTAGAAAGCTAGATGTCCTCCCAAACACTTACCATCAATTCAGGTAGAGAGAGGGTTCAAACTGCAAATTGCTCAGTTTAGAGGCTAGCAGTTTGTCAACTGATATTTCCTCTAGATAGTTATTAAATAAGGATAACTTTTAAGGCAATATCAAAAGGCAATTTATTCCATTATATATATGATGAAAATCTTCTCATTTCTATCAAATAGATTCCGGATGAAGATGATTTTGCATTATCAGGTAACTGGAAATTATTTTATTTTAATGATTTGAAGTTGAAGTTGAAAGCAATGAAACTTCAGGCTTTTTTATTGATAATTTACAAGGAGTTTTATTCAACAGCATATTGTTTTTTATAATTTTCATTTGAGCACGTAAGTCTACTTATGGCTGTCAGAATATTTCTTAATTATTGATGGAAAAAATTTTAATCAGATATTTTTATTTTTTTTGTGTTATGGATATTCTTTAGATAATTTCATACCTTGTAATATGAAACATTTTTATCTTTAAGATGAGGAAGAAGATCTTCAAGCTGCTGTTAAAGCTTTGAATGAGCAAAATTTAGATGAAAATCTATTGGTAAATTTTTACTAGCATTTCAACCACCCATCCTTATATTAATCATAATAAGTGGAAGACATAGCTCTTACCCTTACTTAGTTATCCTGCTTTCTTACCCTTACTTTGGTTTGCCTTTTTTAGAAGGAGCTTTGGCATACCAATTCAAGCAATAAATTAGTTTTGAAAACTCTGTCAAATATCTTTGTACCAACTTTCACAAGTTGCTACTCTTAGTTTCATGCTTGATGCAATAATCAGCCAACTGTTTTTGGATAGAGGACCAAATGTTATTCTGCAGGTGAATTGTAACTGTCGCTTGGAAGATTGATTTTCTGACCACATAAAATTAGATAAATTTGTCTGGGCTTTGACTGTGATTTGCAGTAAAGGATGAAAAATCTCACCTTGAACAATTTTTGCGTCCAATTCCTTAATATTATTGGAACATTGAATCATCATGTACAAAACAAGAACAAATAATCTAAAAAATTGTATCCAGATTAAAAGTTTGATGGTTAATGATCTTATCACACAAGAGTAGCAAAAGTCTCAAGTTTTGAATATATCCAAAATAAAACTATAAGCAAACTCCCAAAGCAGTAATCCTTCCTCTAAACTTAACCTTAAAGGAGTGATAATTTTATTCAGAAGAACCACAAGAAGAAAATGGATTGTGGGTGTGACACTTTCAACTTTGTTTTGTTTTCATTGGCCTTCCTCGTTTTTGCTGACCATGTGACTAGCATGCTGACTCTCAAAACATGTAGGACATTACTTAATGCATGGATCCTGGTAGGCCCAGTTGTACTTAAAAATTCATTTTTATGTTTATATCCACAGGTGAATAATGAAGAAGCATCTACAATAGTGAATAGGGTAATGCTTTTCTTTTGTGATGGTTGATACCTCCTTTTGTATGGGTAAAGTGTTTGTGTAGCTGGAGAAGGTTTACTTTGATAGTTCATCCAATTTTTATGATCATTGGTAGGGGAGGGGCACCATAATTTTAATAAGGAACCAGTTGATGATGTTGATGTTATAAAAAAATTGTGCATTGGGAAGATGGAATTTATAAATGAAGAATTTGGAATTATATTCTATCTAATCTCAACATGAGATTAATTATGTATTAGTTCTTTGTCAACTTTGATTCTAGTCTGATAAATTTTTGACAATCATATCAATCTGAGCATTATTTGAATGACAAAGGAGTATTTTTTGCTACCTCTCAAGGTGATCTTTGGCACCTCTCGTATCATTTCTTTAATCCTCTTTTGAAATAATATGGCTTGGGCATCTCGTATCAGTGTTTTTTTATTTTTCCATTATATAGAGACCTGAAGTGGTGGAAGATTTTGTGAGGAACTTTCTTGTCAAGACAGGAATGCATAGAACTCTGGATTGCTTTCAGACAGAATGGTAAGTTAATCAAGATTCAATGCCATTGCTTTAGAATGATTTATATCTTATTTATTGTGAAATGAAGTATGCACAAGTCTTAGAGACTCTACAGTCTCTTTAAGCAATATCACCAAGAACTGCAAAGAAAAGCAGTGCTGAGGTTTTTGGCGGACTGTAAGCCAGTAAGCCATCCCATAGAGCTTTGCAGTATTAGTGTGAAGTTGCAGTAATAGTAATATTTTTTTATCTGGTGCTGTGTTTCTGAAACATTCCCTTTAGTGCAGGAGAAAAGCAGAATTAATGCACAAATCATGACAAAAGCATGAAAATTTGTACAAACATGCAATTTGACATGCTGTAAAAGATGGGATCGGGACCCAGTCTGAGAAATGCCCTCAAGAGCTATTTTTAGAATGATTTATTGTTCCCAGACCCTTGAAATTATTAATTTTGTTGAAAATGAAATCAATGACATGAAAATTTGTATAAATACTAATCATAACACGGAAATGTGATTTAGATTCACACCCATCGTCAAAATGCCCCCAATGCTATTTTTAGACCATGAACTTGTTCCCAGACCTCTAGCACGCTTATCTCTACAACTCCGCTAGAAATAAAATCAATAGCAAGAAACTCGATTTCGATACTAATTTTTGCACATTGAAAGGATTTGGATCGACACGCATCTTCAAAATGCCCCCAAATGCTATTTTTAGAATGCTTAGAATGATTGTTCCCAGACTCCTGAATTGATTATCTCTATAACTTTGTTTAAAATGAAATCAGTGGCATGAAAGTTAGCAAGAATACTATTCATAACAATCAAGAAATTTAGAATGATTTGGATTCACACACGCAAAGAATTTAATTGACTTCCATTTTCAAAATGCTACCCGAATGCTGTTTTCTAGAATGTGTAATAGTTCTCTAAAGAGTTCTTCTCTGGAATGTCGCTAAAAGCCAACTGAATGCTATTAATCTTATTTGAAAGCACGACAAACACCCCTATTAAATTAGCTTTGATTACAAATGATTTCGCGCTTGGAAAAATATTCTTCAGAATCCAGTTGGACGGAACACTCACAAAGAGGCCACTCAGTTTGTAATGAGTCGAATCTTTGCAATCACGAGGAGGTAGAAACAAGCCAATTTTTGGTAGATTTTGTTATTATCGTAATTGCTAAATTTACATGCTTAAATATCGAAAAGCATTGGGTAGAATTGGCTACTGGAAAACAAATAAAAGAAATACCGATCCAACATATTCTTTCTGGCATCGCGAGATACTGTATTCCATGTTTCGGTATGCACCATCAGTTTTTGATACAGTTGAATCGTTTGCTGGCGAGAGAAGCCTACTGCATAGCAGACATTAAAGTCTTTCCCTTGAAGAGGTTAATTCTGCAGGCAGGTCATTTCCTAATAGCCGATAAAAACTTTGCGTTCAAGAGCAGATCGAGGTTCATTGGTGCCCCAAGAACTCACTATTCTTGGTGCCCCCTTCTTTTTACCAATGACCCAAGGCTAAGAAGAGAGGAAGATGATATTATCAGGTTTGTTGATTTTGGTTTTGAAAATAGATATAAGAATCTGGGGTTCAAGAAGGGCGTTCCAAAGCGTTTCACCGTTTACAAGCTCTAGAAAAGGTAGACGAGGAAGATTCAGAGTATTTCTTGGGGAATTAGGGATAAAAGATCAGATCTCCTGGTAGCAATGTGTATGGAAATAACTGTCAAAAAGGGATTGGTTAGCAATACAACGCCGAGGAGAATGAAGTTGCAGAGATTTGTAAAGTTGCAGTTGTTGATGAGATGAATTGTGTTTTACTGTAAGGATCTAGGTTTTGTAAAGAAGGCATAGAAAAGATTTAGAAGCCCCTACCCAGGTATGAGAGCAATACACCAAGAAATCATGGCGTTAGACCTATCAGAGATAATGCTGCCAATCCACCTATTAATAGTGCGTTACAAACCAAACATATGGTTTTTAGGATGACGAAGTTTCCTGCCAGACGAAATAATAAACCTTTGAGGTGTAGGAGATCACTATGCAATTACCAAAGGAGTCGATACGTGAGCAGCAAACGTGAGGAGAACATCAAGCGTGAGGAGAACATCAAACGTGAGTAGCATGAGCTGGAAAAGCCTTAGGGTAGACCTTGCTGACCAAACCCTTCACTAATTGGTTACTCAACAAAAGACTAAAGCTCAGACCAGGTGTGCTGGAACTCCTATAACACCCATAGACCTGTCACTTAGTGAATACAAGCAGTCTCTAAATCAAAAAGGTAAAAATACATCGAACGTTTGTGATATTTCAGGAGCACTGCCATGAGGGGTGCGAATTAAAGTCTGTTTGGAATTGTTATCATTAGTATCTAAATCAAGTTGCTTGTTATTGATTTCATTTTTAGCGGAGCTGTAGAGATTAGCGTGTTAGAGGTCTGGGCATGAGTACATGGCCTAAAAAATAGCATTTGGGGGCATTTTGATGATGGTTGTGAATCTAAATCACATTACCGTGTTATGATTAGCTTTTGTACTAATTCTCATGTCATTAGTTTCGTTTTTAACAAAGTTATGGAGGTAATCGATCTAGAAGTTTGGGAACAATTAAGCATTCTAAAATAGCATTTAGGGGCATTTCTCAGACTGGGTCCCGACCCCATCTTATTCAGCATATCAAACTGTGTAATTTTGTAGATTTTCATGCTTTTATCACTATTTGCGCAAGATCATCGTTTCAGAGGCCTTGGCTACTACACTACTTTAAGGCTACGAAATAATACTCTAAGGAACATCATTGTCTCAAAATTTATTGATCTTTTCAAGCCTATATTTTTTGTCAGAGGCATATATCATTTGTCAGAGTTCAAGCCTTCATCAATATCGAATAATGAGCAAAATATGAGCATCATCAAAAGGCATGTTAATTCCCCATCTTTTAACCAAGTAAGCATTGCAAACATTAGAAGTTGATTAATGTATTAATCAAGATTTCTTTTTCTCGGTCTGCCGCTATATGCCTCTGTCATGCACAACCTGGTCTTATGAGCTCATCAAGTGTAAAACTCGGAATTAGAGCCGTTCTTTTTTACAATCCAAAGTGTGATTCATGAGCTAAATAGAAATTTCAACCTGAACTGTTTGAACTAATTTCGAATCCTTGAGGACTTAAAATTTAAATGGAAAGATTTCACCAGCTTATAACTCCGCTTAAAACTCGCACAGCTCTACCCGTTGAAATGACCCAAGTATTACTTTTCTACTAAATAACCTGCGGACAAGTGACGAGACATGACCTTCTTGCTTGAAGTTTCCACAGTTGTATGATAATGTACTGTGAAGACTTTGGCTAATGGTGCTCTTTAGTCACAAAACATATGGAAAACCCTGCCAAATGTTTTGAAAGCCTAACCTCAGTTTTAAAAGGCAAATTCAGCAATCCCCCCCCCCTCCCTAAGAAAAAATGTTTGTTTCCTATAGAAAGAAGTAGATTGTGGCATTGTGCATCAAATTGATTGGTGTACCATTGTCTATTATCTTTAATGTAACTATATCACTATCAATTACAGTGTAATTCGTTGAAACCATTAACCTCTACAGGAGCTCCTTAATCTTGTGGCTGCTTTGCAAGCAGTGTTGGCAAATTATGGACATTCCAATTCTGTCCCTCCATGCAAGATCATGTAATTCTAGAAGCTAAAGATTAACTGTTTAATCAGGAGACAGTAAAACCATTTTAGAGAATGAAACTCCAGAATGCTATCAGCGGCAAGAAATAAAATCAAGAGGCAGGTTGGAAATGGTTCAACATAATAATGATCGGGTTGGAACAATCAAGGGGGTTGGAAATGGTTGCATAGGCTATAATAAAAGCCGGGGTTCGAACAATCGGGGGAGGAGGCTGGACAAATTTAACTTGGACCGATTGGGTGTTCATTTCCTCTCTCATGTACGGGTCAAGCAAACAAATTAGAATAAAGTTAATAAGTTTACGTAAGTACATTTGCTTAGCAGAAATTATTCAAAAATCATGTACACTGTCATATAAAATTTCAAAGAATGGAAAATTTTTCAAAAATTAATAAGCGGGGGGAGGGGGGGAGGCGATTATTCGGTACTCGAGAGTAGTCAATTGTAGCATGCTGAGTAATCAGGTGGTTAGTGATTGTCAATATAGAGAACACGAATTTTATGGAAAGGCAAATAATGTTGAAGTAAAATAAATAAGCTTGATCTTTTGCCTCTTGTGAGCAAACCTTGGCCTCGCTAATTGCAGACAATGCGCCATCCTTAAAGGATATTTTAACTCTTAGCTCGACCTCTTGTGGTTTCTGTGGGGAGTGAGACAGAGATCAATTTGAAGGATTTTGATGGTATATCGAACCAATTAATGATAATTTAAACGTCCTGATAATATCTCATTTAGAACTGGAAGGCAGTCTGCGTATTCGTCATATTTTAATTTCTAGTTGGTACTCTACTTGATGGCAAAAATCTATTCATAGAGATTCAAGTTGGTAGAAAATTCCTTATTTGTGATTTTAAAAAAGTCCACGTAATACAGAGTTTATGACACATGTGAGGTTTTCTGCAGGCTTTTTCGCAAATATGTTAATCAGCAGCCCGTGTTTCAACCACAGAACCCAAAATATCACAGTCCTGATCTGTAGCGCCAGAGACATAGATCTTTGTTTTCATTTCGTAGTGAATTCATTGTTTTCTGTCGCGTGTATGGTTTTAAGTGCTTGTTTTCTGAGCAAACTGCCATAGGAGTTTAACCAACCAAGAACACCTAGGGTGGATTATCGGCTATAACTGTCGAGGGGAATAAATTTCAAATACTTCCAGGCTTGTTGGTACCAAAAAAGTAAGGGCAGCAATTTGATTCTTTTTTTAAGAAAAACATCCGAAGTGTTTTGTCTTATAACTATAAAATTATCCATTGTTATAAATTATTTTTACAAGCTTTTAAAATACAGTTTTACTATTAATGTAATTTTCGATTTCTTTTTATCCTTTTTCGTTCGACAGGTCCTTGATTGATAACAGGATTCTATCCTGAACAAGTAAACCTGAATAAATAGTACAAGACTCTTTAGAGCCCCAAGACTTTCCTTAAGATCCTGGCTGTGTTCAGCAACGCGGTGGTCTGCATGGTTTCAATCATTGTTCGGATTCCAATTTGGTCTAATCTATTTTTCAATAATTTTGGAACTGTTCTAAGAGCCCCGATCACTACTTGAATAACAGTTATTTTCTTATTCAACAGTACTTGTAGTTCTCTTGCCAAATCTTGATATTTCCTCTTTTTCTCTTTCTTTCATTTCAACCAGTGGTGTAGTGCTATCAAAATAACAAAGGAAGCTCTTGCACAAAATGTAGCAAAAAACAATAGCAAAAGTAGGATTTTACATATTTTAGGCATCAAGAAGGGGGGCTCAGAGGGGCTGAGCCCCTGATTGCTCTGACTACTCTCTGTGATCTCCAGGTATTGCGAAATCCACAATCTGACATGTTTTCTTTTCTTTGTCAACAATAATGAGGTCAGGCCTTCTAGCTTCTATATGATGATCCGTCTGCACTCCAAAGTCCCACAGCAATTGGCTTTTTTCATTTTCAAGGACAGATTCTGGTTTGTGTTCATACCATTTAACAGCATGATTGAATTCTAGCTGCTTGCATAATTTCCAATGGATTGCTGTTCCTACCAAGTCGTGTCTCTTTCTGTACTCCTTTTGTGCAAGTTTCGTGCATTCACAAATTATGTGCATTACTGTTTTTTCTTTTTGTCCACACATACAACAGAGGCTATTTTCTTGGGTTTTGTCTATTCTGCCTTGATGTACTTAGTCCGAATGCATTGATCTTGTGCAGCGGTAATCAGTGATTCAGTTTCTCGTTTTAATATTCCACTTCTGAGCCATGCCTAGACATATCACCTGCTATATCCTTCGTCTGTCCTATGAACTGTCCATGCATTGGTTTTTCTTTCCACCTCTCCTTGATTTCTGCTGCTCTGCGTTTTTAAGGTCATCCACAGATTCTTCATACCAATCTTTTGCTGCTCTTAGCTAATAGCTTTTCGTTACTGTTATCAATATGCTCTCTCAATTATTATTATTATTATTATTTTTATTATATTATTACTATATATGTTTATTATTGTAGTTATTTATTGTCTGAATACTTCACTATGGCGTTAAGTTTTGGGCTACTGATACATGGGCTATCTGTTTAAGCTTTGCTATAACCAGTGACAGCTAATGCACTTAAAAGTGATATTGTAGTGAAACTAACCATTTCAAGAGCTTCAGCCCTAATACGTTCAATAATTGTAAAATCATCTTTAGAAATTATAAAAGCCAGCTTTGCTGTGTGACAAGGGACAATTTCTATCAAAATTCTGTTGAACTTTCAGTTTGCTGCAACTAGATATTGGAATCAAAGTCAACATCAAGTCAGACTTAACCCTTTTTGCAAACTAATATACTGCACTTGGTTTGCAAACAGATAGAGTGCAAAAGGGTAGTTAAAAATGTGTATTTCATTCGAAGCATTTCTGGTCATTTTAGGTACGAATTAAAGATGAAAGGTCTTCTTCAAGAGGAGAAATGTGAAATCGTACCTGATATATACATAAGGTATGTCATTCGAAGTAAAGGCCCATTGCCTTTCCATTTCAACATATTATTTGTAGTGGACACCCTTACACGCATATGCATTTAAAGCGATAAGATAGATTTTTTTTTATTTTTGCTAGGTAAATTTTGCCGGAAACCAGCAACTCCCCTCTTATCCCTAGACTCTGGCTTTCTCTTCAGAAGGCTTTCAAAAGGCTTTCATTGCTGTAATACACCGTATCCAATTTAAAGCACAGATTATCCAATTTCTGCTCATCAGACATCAAAGTGTTTGTAATTCCTGAAATCTGTTTTTTTTACCGACGTAAAAACTATTTTACCAAAAATTGGATGAAATGTGCTCTTTGCACTTAATATTTGGTAAAGTCAATTTCGTGATATATTATATAAAAAATATTTTAGGACAATTTCGTGACAAATCGTTTGTAGGCTTTTTCTTATTTGCTTGATTGCATGGAAAACTTGAATCAGGGTTATTTGTCAGATTTTTACATGAGGGTACCAGTTTGCCTTGCAAATGCCTTTCTGAGACTATTAGTAGTTTTTAGACTTCTAATTCTTGAAATTTTACTACAAGGTTACAAAAAAAATAAAATTTTGCCAACATGATCCATTAATTTCTTTCTCCTGAGAACAAAAAAGATTCTTCAAAGCTTCAATTGATAATGAAAAACTCCTTCACAGGAACCAACAGTTGGAAGATTCATTAAGGACTGCACACCGTGAGGCTGATAGCTTCAGAGAAGCTGCAAGGTAGGGCTCTGTTGTTTCAGATTTGGTTTACTTTTCTTAAGGGCTATCTTTCTAGAGCAGTCAAACAGTAGCAGTTATACAAAATGTCAGTCGATTAATCTTGTCATTTGATTACTGTGACTGCGGCTTTTTAACAATAACTTTCATAACCATGTTTTGTGACTTTTCCAACAAGGAACCATGTTTTCCGCTTTGGTCTCTCCTTTTTTGACAATTTCGTCTGTAGCAAAGGGCCTATTAAAAAAAATGCGTTTTTGCAAGAATTTATTTGGTATTTTTAGCAACTTGGGATAATGGCTTTTTGCCTTCTCGATTTTTTGAATAAAGGTTACATTTGATTTAAGGTTTAAAATTCAGAGTAAGGGAGATTAAGTTAAAAAAGACAAGTTTTTATCCGTGACATTGAATAAACTGGCTTCAATGCGGATACAAAAACTAAATACAACTGGGTTGGTTCAGAACAAGACCTGAAGTCTCTGTACTAAATCAAGAAATGGACCTGTTTGGAACACTTTTCCTAGAGCAGTGAAAAAACCACCGCGTTGACTATGGCCCGTTTTTCCTGTGAACACTGATTACAGTTAAGCGAAATCTTCGTCTAGACCAACAAGAAGATATTTCTAGCTGAACACTAGGATTTGCAAAAATTGTTTTGAAGGGCTGATGTCCCTCGCGTTCAGAGTATCCATGGCAGCGTAACCTTACAGGAAATGTGCTCCCAGGGGTGTAGCTTAGCCTTAACCAATCAACATACAAGCAGCTTGTTTTTAGCCAATAAAATCATCAAACATTTGAAGTCATTTTTTATGCAGTTTTAACGCTTGTGCTTCCTACTGAAATCTATATAAATACACCGCATTTAAATGAATCAGAGGATTTCATCAGAAGCTGCAGCACAGGTTATGGAGTTCTGATAAGAAAAAGGTCAAGTCCCATCTAATCTTTAGTCTTAAACAAATTCTTACAAAGATAATGTTCTTCAATGGCACTAATATGAGACCCTTCAATTCAAATTCCTATTAGTGTTGGTAGTGTTTTGGTCCATAAATCCTCATTTGGTTTAGATTTCAATGGGATTTTAGAAATCTAAATTTTTCCAGAAATGACAAGGTAACACATACAGTGTATTAGAGATCATTAACGTTCTTAAAATAGTGATTTTGGTCATTTTGAATAAATCCAATCCCAGCAATAGAGGAGTGATAACCTTATTATCCATTTCAACTCATTTTCTCATTTCGACTCGCCGTCTAAGGACAGCATAGCTTGATAAACAACCTGGCAATGTTGGAGTTTCTTGCTTTCTTCTGCTGGCGAGGCCTGGCATTCCTTGCTTTCTTTCTTTTTTTACTGTATTTGTTTCTAACACTATGAAGCTAGTCTATGAGGGTAATTTTTAAAATAGCTTCCTCAAATTAACCCCCCCCCCCCTCCATTTAGTATAGTCTGGCCCCGCTAATGCTCATGTGCACATTATAGGAGATCCCAAATCATAGCCAAATGATGTAAATTCTTTTGCATTTTCAAGTAGAGTTACTTTGCAACAAGGATAAGTAATAAAATTCAAGGTAGCAAATAAATTAATGTGACTTACTCAATTTGAAAGTATGACGGAGCAATTGTTTATCTTTAAGAGTAACTAGTTTTCAAATGCAAAACTTTTTTGTAGTTCTTAAACAAAACTAAACAAAAAAACAGACTATGCAAAATTTCTTCAAACTGTTGTTATCTGAATGCAGTTGTAAACAGTTGAATTCTTTATTCACATTGTTAAACATACTTTAGAAAGGCCTGTCAATTATAAGGTATCTTTTAAACAGATGTATATGCTTATCATTGTATTTCTATATAATATGAACGACGTTGAAATTTAGTCGTTGTTACGATTAAGTTAGTAAAAATATTAAGTATAGCGTCGAATTTGTTCGCAGGAAGGCAAGTAACATGCATATCAAACTGAAAAAGGAACGCGATTATCATCGAATGCATCACAAAAGAGTTGTGCAAGAAAAGGATAGACTTATAGCCGACATCAAAAGGTAACCAAATTATTTACTTTGTTTGCTACTGTTTCCATATTGAAATAATTTTTTGCGGCAGTTTTTAACACCATTTATGTTTGTAAAAATGTTAAAAATGCTGTAAATGAGAATGTTTTCGAATTTTTAGTACCATATTGTGGACCATATTTGAGCAATTCAGCTATATTCGTTACAAAATGGCATAAATTTTTATTCAAAGTACCCAAACTAAACTCTGGACAATCTGGACATTTAGAGAAATGCTGATATAGAGGATATCTGCCCTAAGCAAAGTCCACGATATGATTATGGGGTGTCAGTGCCTTCATAGTCCACAGTGTTGCCTGTTGCTTCCCATTTTTCACTTAGTTGGCCACGTGCGACCGTCCCCCATATTGTAGTCCAGAGCTGCAACCATTTGGCCACTTGATTTGCATTGTGCATGATATTAAGGTTTTTTCTTTCCCTTTCTACCTAATAACAAGCTACACCTTTTTTATATGAACGAGTAAATGTAAGTTCAGGCTGACTGTTCTTAATTTTTTTGAAAATCTGAGGCTGGATTGTTCTTAATTTTTTCTGAACTTGATAGGGTATAAACAGTGCGATTGCTAGCTTTTTCGCTCTAGGGAGGTGTTTAGGCCTCATTTGCCAACAAACTGTGTGGAACAAGTTTGAATATTCACCGAAAAAGCACTTACGCATCCCTTTCTTAAAACGCTGTTCAAAATTTCATTTTACAGTAACTCAGCCTTAACTTGTTCTTTATTTGTTCTTAACTTTTGACCAATTTTGAGGCTCGTGTTTTATCAAAATTGTTCTTATAAAAAAGAGTGTATTTTTAAAACTGTTAATTGTTCCGTTATGCTAGTCATGACCCTGTTTGCTGAACACACATGTTCTTGGCCTCTAACGATGGGAGAGGCTACGAGAACAAAATTGTACTTGATGAAGATTCTGTTTTAATTTGTGATTTTAGTGTACCCCCAGGTTTTTCATTAGGTACTGGAGACCACTGGTTTAGACTGGTCTGATAATTTTGTTAGCTGATTCTGTAGAGAAAGTCTAGACTGCAGAATCAGTTGGTTACAGATTGAACATTATAGCAAATGAATGGGAAACAGGCCAACGAATAAAGGAGTTTATTGAGATTATTTTGAGGTAAACTCTAGCTGTCACATTGAGTCCTCGGCCTCTCTGACCTACATTCCTTCTTCTCGTTTTCAATCCACCAACATGAGCTTGTAAGTCGTCTGACGAGGCCGTGGCTATTAAATGTTTTCTCAAATGTTTCTTGCCTTCTGGTCATTGATGTTTCTCACGTGCCTTGCCAAACCAACGTTCGTTAATTTAATATAGTGGCTTTATAAATTTCAACTGCCACTGCTAATTTTTTACAACTGAACCACAACCAACTTCAATATTTAAAGCCTTTAATTTCAGCAGGTAGTTATAATTAATTGATCCTTGATTATTTTAACAACGAGATAAGGTTGCCTGGTAAGTTTAAAAAGAGATTACCAACTTAGAGCTTAGAGCCATCATATTTTATACACCAAGAGCGTATTTGATAGCTCATATAATCCTGTAGCAAAACTCATGCTGAATCATGATTTAATTTGCAACATAATGGAGTACACACTTTTCATAAGAATATAGTTTATAAGAATATAGCTCAAAATCGTTGAAATTTAAGAATAATTTATTTGAGTTTTTTGGAAAGCAAAACAAATGCAAGTTTCGCTCTATCTCGCCTTGGAGTCATTAACATTTTAATGCGACCGATTGTCGCTTAAGAAAAATGTAAGAAAGATCTTAGGTTCTAAATTGAAAGAAAATTACGAATATTGAGGCTTAGCAAAAAATTAGGCACTTTTATAAAAGCATGTATGTTTTGAAGTGCTGACTCAGCCTATCTGATTTTTTTTAACCGCTATCTATTCACGCGACCTGTCTTTTCCTTAATAATAAACTATTCAGACTTGATAAGCTGACAGTTTATAAAGTCAAGAACTGGGAATCAAATTTCTTCTTATTTAAGAAGAGAACGTCAAGTTCCAAAAAGGTCTGAGATGCTTTTGGTAGGATTGTTGGATATTATTGTGATAAAAATGTCTGTAACGTTAAAATCATTTGGGAAAAGCCTGGTAAATTTTGAGATAAAGGAACGGAAGGGGAAAGAAGAACTTCTCCTCAAGATAAAATGCTATTTTAATGCTTGATGGCATTTAATGCTTAATCTGCAGAGTGTTTGCATTATTATTTGTTATAAAGGATTAACGCTTTGCATATTATATGTTTTCTGATATATATGATACAATATATTTTATGTTCTCATCTTTACTATATAAACTTCGTTTTAGAATTTGCATTAACGTAGAGTGAAATGACGATGAACCATGGCCCTGTGCAAGCCACGCAAACCTGTGATTGTAACGCTCTTAGCAACTGTTCACGACACGTATTTTCTTGGAACACTTAATGAATTGCTGCTCGATTAAATTGGCAAATATTCCTAGAACATCTTCCCTTATATTTCCATACCATTTCATTTCCTTGTTCTAGATGCACCCATTTTTTAAATTCTTTTAGACGAGTCTCTTAAGCCCAATTTTGATACAAAAGGTATCTTAGAAATTTACTCCGCCCTCCCCCTACTTCCCCTTAGTCACTCTGTGAAGCTTCATTCGGTATTCCTTGAGCAAGCAGGAACAGGAAACCACAAAATTTGTCATAGAAGCCGAGAGTATATTTTAAAATAACAGAAAAAATTCTCTTTGTTTTCATGTTTCAGAATCTAAAAATTTATATCGGTAGGAAGAGACGTCACTTTTTCTGGCAATGAATAACAGTTTGAAAGTCACGGAAAAAATTCAAACTGTATTTTGAAGGCTTGGAAACTTTATATCAAAAATTGCTTGATTTTTTTGGCCCTAGGCAAGATATCATAGTAAAGCCTTTTAGTCTTAAGAATGTGGGCCTACACTTCTTGCCAAAGCCTCTTGAAAGCGCAGTAAGCACTCTTTAAACGTCTCCGAACCACCCAATTTCTAACACTGCACAGCTCCCCCATCACCCCCAAACACAATGCTGATTAGCAAACTTAATTCTTAAATGATTGCAGCACATCTTGATTTGCACGTCGAAAAGCATCTTTATGAAGCATTAACATAAATTATCAACATTATTTCGGGGGAAAGAGGGTTGCGTGCAATGTTTAGTAAACTTTTCAAGTGTTTTGGAAAGAACTGAAATAATTTGAAAAGTTTCGTGTACTCTTACATATTTTCCTTTTACATACTCTTGCCTTCGTATTTTGTTTATTGACTTTTGTGATATTTCTCTTTGACACCATTCAGCTTCTTTGATTGCTTGAGCTCCATTGTCAATAAAGTAGTTTTCCAAAATCCCCCGAAAGCTTATGTCTGTCTTTCTCAGAATATCGAATTTCAACATTTAATACTAAATTTTTGATTTCACGAATGTTATATGTCAAGGTCAGTTGTCTTGTTCTAGACTGAAGCAACACTATGCCTCATACGAGCCTACTTTGAAAACTCTGAAACATAAATACGAGGTAATTTTTTTTATTAGAAATAATTCATTTCTGATAAATAATTCGTTTTACTTGAACTCATTTCTAAATGCTACTTTCTACATGATAAAGGAATGCGTATTATTAATCCTACTCATAATGATTCTTCTTCATTATGTTTTGAAAATATGTTTACAAATTATTTTTTGATATGTTTGTTTCCAGTTTGAGCAGCTCTGTAATCGTAAATATATAGCTTCACTTGGATGTCTTTGGTACCAACAAATCACCATCACGGAGAGAAAGAGGAGGACGACAGCCTTAATTGACTTATAAAAAGAACACACAAACGAGGCTGTATTTGGAATCTGTTGATGAAGAATAACCCGTAAAGAAAATGCCTTTTAAGGGCTTTTTCTTTACAGATCTATTCAACTTCAGTCTTCCCGCTTCGATGGTTTTATTTGCTTTTCGTTTTCCAGGTTGCAATGAAGGAAAAACTGCTAACAAAACTGGAACGGGATCGGGCTGTGGGCCAGGTAAGAACAAAAATTTAACTTTTTGACAATATGTTTGTTGTCTAGCTTTTCTGAAAGTATGAAATTCTTCACAGCAAAAGGCCAAAAGCTTTGAGCATCTACTGAAATCCAAATTTAGGTTCCTGAAGCAACGTTGCGTCTTCATTTTTTCCTAAACCACGAGAAGCCAAGTCTAAGGACAGAAAGTAAACTAACGAGGCGCCTGGAGTAGGGACGAAATATTAAGATGTTCGCAGTGCATTTATTAAGATAGCATTACAAAGCCATTTTTGCAATATCAAACAATGTGGAACTATATTTCTGCGGGAGGTATTTTTCACCTCGTGGTTAAGAGGATGTCGTCAAGCATCTGCCGGAGTATAAGGTAGCTTTCACTATCTGGCAGAGACCGAGAAAAAAATTATTGATTAGGAGAGAGGTTGAGGTTGCTAATGTTTTCAGTATGTCTATTCTCATGTGCACCATAATTTGGTGTATGGTTTGATGTACATTTTGGAATTAATTAGGGGAGGGGGTTGGGAGTGCAGCCAGGCAGGAATAGGGTATCATTGGTCAGTGCTAAATGATTTCAAATAGTTTGCCGTTTCAAGCCTATACTCAAATGAATTCAAACATTTTTATGGTATTCTATATCAACATGGTTCGCCATCTACGTCACACCTATATACTAAGGTAAGGCATTCCCAGAGTCAAATGACTGTGCATTTGAAATATTCAAGTAAAACCATTTAATTTTCAATACTCGTATCGGTAAAAGTTTGCTTATGAAAGTCTAATGCTCAATCTTGTTATGGACTTTGAATCAACTTATATAATGCATGTTACATTGGTCAATTATGGAGCAGAGGAATCAATAGAAAAGAAGCTCGTTTGCTACAATGGAATTGTTGGGGATACGAACGGCCAAAGTTTAAAATGTAAACGAGACTTTTGAAAAATGTATTGATGGAACATGCGCAGTAAGGTTCGGGAATGCCAGCGTTTTGGAGGGAAAGTTTGTGAAACTTCTATCTCAACGCAAAGTGAACCGAGGAGCGATTCTAAGCGAGTTAGGCATCAATATTCAACAGACGAGCAAGGGAAAAAAGTTTCAATTGACCATACACTCTTAAAATTGTTCTCTATGCCAGGATGCTGTCAGTTTGCATTAGGCCTGTATCGCAGCTACGCGTAACAACCAGAATCGCAAATTACCATGAGGAAAAATCACTCCGTGGAAATCGGATGCACCTTGGTTGAAAATCCCATTGTTTTGTTTTTGAAAGCCCCTGGAAATCCGTTTGTTTTCTTGGAAATCTCGCACTTCAAATTCTGATGATAATGCCCCTTCTCCTTTATCTATTTTTATTTGTTTGAAACAACTGCTTTGCTGCAAATTGCATAGGAGCAAGAATCTTTGTGAACACGGTATCCAGATTGAAATTGAAATAACTTAAATTTCGTGCTTTAAAGGACCCTGAGTCCCACATACAGCTAATAACCTGATAAATTTTTTATACTGGGCAGGACTATTTGGAGTTGTTGCACAAAATTGTTGCTTATGTCTTTTTCTAAATAAACTCCTCATGTCAAGAAGCAAAGGTCTTATGCCAATGGCAAGTTCTTACAATTTGTTTAAAGGAAACATCAATTTGGTTACTAGTTTTATGCAAAGTATGTCCATTAGGTAGTCTAAAGGAACCCAATGGTTGTTATTTGTAATAAAAGGGAAACCCCAGTTGATTGCCAATTGCACCAAGTACAAAGTAGGTATTTGGCACAATTTCAGAAACATATTTTGCTGTATCAATGAAAAAAACAAATGAACTTAGAAAGTTACCATTGGGTGCATGTCCACAACTGTCAGGATATATAGATCAAAGTATTTATAATAAATTGGATTTCCAACAGCAGTGTATATTTTGATTTTGTTGATTCAATGCATTCTTTTCCGATGATGATTTGATAAAACATTGATCATTCATCACTGCATAACATCCTTTTATAACTACAGCATGGACTGCACCATAACTACAGTTTGTGCAAGTAGTGTATTTTCAATAATACTCTACTACATTTCCTTTAGAACTATTTGCTGAATGGGGAGTAACACTACGGGCAGCACCCCTCCCCCTAATATAAATTTGTTCACCAACACTGTAACTCCAGTTCAAAGTATGAAAGACAGAAGGCTTCATTCTAATGCAGAAAGATAGAAGAGGAAGTCTGTCACTCTCTCTGTTATTTAGAAAGGCTGCATGCTTTAAGTAAGCAATTTTTATAAGTTCAGCAGTCAAAAGATAGTGCTTAAAATGCTATAGGTTACCTCATAAGAACCAATAAATTATGTTTCTATTACTTGAATTTTCCTTCACTTTCCCAAATAAATCAAGAACATATGGCATTCACTGAAGTTATCTGATTGACCATTTCTCATTTTTGCAGATGTATGTGCATGATTTAAAGGGAATTTTTGCTTAGCTGTGAATACCTTAAAGTGCCCTTAAGTTTCCCATTTTGATAACTAAAGTAATCTTTCACTGTTCTGTTCAGTGACATGCAAGTTAAAGAAAATTTTTTAATTCGTAATTCAGACATTTTTGAATAAAAAAAATAACATTTGGTTGATCCAACCCCACCAAAAACTTTTTTATTCTAAGGGGTCATTATTTAAGACAGGCAAAGGGATTTCTTATGATGAACAAGACATATTTTCAGAATTCTGGTAATCTCAATGTTACAGTACCACTTCCATTTTTGGAAGTGACAAATAACATCAAAAATATGACTCAAATTAGACCAGTCTATGATATGTTCAAATGAGTAAGGTTTCAGTAAACAGCATCAGTTCTGCCCCTGCCTTTTTCCTTGCCAGTTGTTTTAAATCAGCATATTCCAAACAACCAAGAACACTATGCAAATTTGAAATTATTTCAGAGTTTAGATAATAAACTAAACTTGCTAATTTGTGCGTTAGCGACAGAAATAAGGGGGAGGGATAAATCTAGAAATGAAGAGTGTGGATACTTTGCCTTTCTTTACAATCAAAGACTTACGGGTGTGGGGGTAAATCTGGATAACTCTGCTGCAAGCAGGGGGTATTACAGGGCCTCTGACGAAGGGGGCCATGGGGGGGTGCCATACCCCCACTAATTAGCGAGACAATAACTTTTTTAAAAAATTTTGTTATGATTGTTAAAATCTCCCTTGCCCCCCCCCCAAACTTTCCAACCAGCGTCGGAGCCCATGCGTTATCTAGTTTCCTACGGATTTGTTGGTCGTAATTGAGCTTAGAGGCTTAGATAACCGAAAATATTAATATTAAAGCTTTGGTTGACATTGAAGCTCTGCTCAATGATGCAATTTCATTTATGTTGTTAGGCCCAGACGAAAAATATTTTTCCGTTCAAGATTGTGTATAGCCAACATAGTTCCCAAATTTACAGTGATAATACCCGATGTCCTTTTTATTCGATTCACAGTCCTCACTATAACAAGATATCTTGATAGATAAACATGACGAAACAATTCTGCACCCGGAACCCCGCCATGATAATTCCTTCGGTTCATAATAAATCCAGCTACAAACACAAGAATAATTTCCTGTGTGCTGTAGCCTAATTTGCTTAGAGGGCCACTCCATCTTGGCCTCTGCAAGAAAGGTACTTTATAAACAACAACAGAATGATAAAACATCGTGCAACTCCAGTTTTATCCAAGCGAGTGAAGCTGCGAGAGCGAGATATGAAACCAGTATTTCGCGGCAAAATGGAAGCGACTGCGCATGCTCTATTAATACACTTTTCTCTGATTGGATTTAAACTTTGAGCGACAAACAAAAGGAAAGACAATAGCCGTTTCAGCTCGTATCCCCAACAAGGAAAGCAAGCTGGTTTATCGGATTTGTAGGCACTTTGTGGTGGTGCATTTACGGTTTATCTTGTGGTGTATTTATGGTACTTTTTGTGGCGTATTTGTGGTGGCACAGTTATGAATTAGTCAGTTTAAGTTTAAGCATAATTGTCTGATGAGTTAAGATAGGAAGTATTTGGTTTAATGACAAATAGAATAAAGATCTTAGATCAATTTGCTAAGCTTTCAGAACATTAACTTGTCTTGCACTTCTTTTTGCAAACCAGACTCAAATTTGATGTTTTCTTTCTTGGCAGTTTAATAGCACCGTTGCAATCCACTTCTACTGGCTCCATCTTTTTCAACTGGTATCCCATATTCCCTCTCAATCTGTGAACCGATCTCTCTCCACATTATAACAAACAGCTGTAAAGTAGGATTGACTGATATATAAAGTGTTGTAACATTATTAATGTAAGCTCCAATTTAACCTAATATCTTACTCTAATATCTTACTGCTGTAAATATCCAATTTGTAATGCTGTTGCTTTTTTGCATTAGTCAAGGTATAAATTTTGAAGCCTTGCCATGTTTTAAGGCAGAAGCATTCCTAGTCACAGAGAAAACTTTTGTAGCAGCTCAGGCTACGTTCACACTCCTGTCCGTTCACACTTATCCGTTTTCAAATGAATACGATTTGTCAGTATCACAAGATTTAAATAGCTTGGCAATGTTATGTAATGATATCCAGTAATAGAGTGGTAATGACCTGCGTCTGTGCCAATACTTTGCAACAATGATCTTCTTATTACCTGAAATCATCCAACAACTTATTGCACCTTACCTATCTGTACTGCAACATCTTACCCTGCCTTATTGTCAGGTCAGATGCCGCCTCTCACTTTCCATCTTTCCTTCAGAACTAAAATTGTGTTACAACGAAAAACATGTAATAAACATACAACGAAACAAAACTCGCTGTACATAAGAGAAACGTCTTTGACACTTACGGTTATTTGTTTATTCCAGGTGCAAGGTTTGCAATCAACACTTTCTCAGATAGAAGTTAGTAAGATTAATGTGGCAAGTAAGTGTATAAACATACAATATTTACTGCATTGTTTTAGTTTTCCACTCATTTGACGTACATTTGCGCTAAACCTTTAAACATCGAGAATCATGCATTTTATGATACATGCATGCAGTTTGGTACAAGTGCAAAATAGGTTTTTTCAATTAACGACGTCGTAAAATATATTTAGAACTGTTTAGTTTGATTCCAGCAGCCTAGATAATCATCATGAAATAACTCTTAATCTGCATAATCAATCAGCCAGAATTGTCAATAAACAGTTTCAGTATTTACCAGTCAGTTTTTTTATACTTAATACTTTTTGTGCACTTAGAAATATCTTAAACATAAAATATTGCTTTAAACCTTTCTTTTTCGTATCTTGTATTGTGAAAATTAAGATTGGAGAACTTAGCGTTGCGAAACTTAGCATTGTGAAACAAGTTGAAGATATTCCCAAATTTTCCAATTCTTTTCATTTTAAAAATTTTAAATTTACTACTTAACTGATGACGTCACCGAATAGGTTTTCGATGATAAGCAGCTGAAAATTTGTCTGATCTCATGTTCTTTGAAGAAGTGTACAACAACAACATATAACCAGCCCTTTGTCATCAAATTTAGGAAGATAAAAGGTTTCTTCAATTTTTTTCCAATTTCTTAGAATTCTACCTTTCTAAGAAATCCAATTTCTAATTGCATTTTATCCTTATACTGAAAAATAATTCAATTCTTCTAGATGCATCCACTTCCCCTATGAAGAAGCCCCTCACCAATCAAAATGGCCAACCTAACACCTCTGTACAACTACCGCCCCCAAGAGCACACCACCCTCTGGACTCAGAGTTTCCCCCCGACAAAGGAGTCAATCCATATCTATCGAAGAATAGAGCACCATGTGCACACTTGACACGGACCGGGGGATTTCGGCTCACAAACACTGTCAGTTCACATGATTTGGCGGTCAGTGGGTAGGCCTTTACCGTCTTATCTTGCGTAATTTCAGAGGCTTTTTTCTTTTAACATTCTCTCCACTGCTCGATGTGTTGCCAGGCCTGTTAATCGAGTATCTTTATTGTTAGGGCATGCTTACGTTAAGCTTTTATGCTGAGGAAGTGTTTGAATGTTTGAATGAACTGTTGATAATATTTTGATAATGATTTTTACGTTAAGGAGGTGTTTGAATGAACTGTTGATAATATGGCGCTCTTTCATGTCTAAATATTTTCCATATTGCCAGAATTAAGAACTTAAAATTTGTCTTTATATTCATAATGCTTTTTGGTTCTGAAGGGCGAAGAAAAATCAACTGCATACTAGTGCAAGAAATACTTCATGTAAAATTGAATGCATGTTCTGAGAATGACTCGAAAATTTTTCAAATATTTTGTCTTGAATTTCATGACTGACACCATTGAAGTCCTGTTGTGTAAAACAGATTTAAAATACAGCAAATTCCTAGATATGTTTCAAAAAATCTGAGTTACAACACTGAAAGCCTGTCAAAAATAGACATCCAATAGTAGTCAACTCAGTCAGCAATTGCAACATCATGTGATATCACCGATTGTGTGACCGTTTTGCTTGTCATAGCTGGAAGTTCAAGTAGAACTTTGCAGCATAACCTTCGCTTTGGTAAGAATGGCTGAAGAAAAGAGCCTGCTGTATTGGAAAAACTCTCATGCTTAGGCCCACTTTATTTGCAATTGCCTTACGGATAATTCTCATGAGCAATTTTTCTTTGAATTCCCCCCTTTCCTGTAGATTATTGTCCTTAGCGATTGCATCTTTGATAAATAAGACATTCCTTACCGATATTAATCGATTGTCATGCAATCATTCAACCAGGTATCGATGCGTTTTTACCGTTTAGCAAGAACACCTTTAGTGTGTACACTGCTGTTGCATTGGATTGACAGCTATTTTCGTAAATGCTTCTTTGTATTCATCGAGGGGCAATTCACTACTGCAAAAGGTGTACGAGATTTTCTTGGAGTGATTTGCCCCTCGATATTCATCGTCAGTAATTAAATATTTTAATGTTTGAAATGATGATTGTTTCATTCGATATAAACTGTTTGTTATATTTTCACTGTTTGTTATTTTTATGTTTGTCGCAAAAGTTATTTGCGTATTTGAAGAAAACTTATCACACATTAAGTTCTTTTTTTATGTGCAGGCTCTGTCTCCATCCACGAAAGCAGGTATTGGCTTCCGTCAGCGATGATAACACCTGGAAATTGTGGGCCATTCCAAGGTTTGTTTTCAATTTTTTTTTTTTTTTGCTTTTCCAGCAAGTTTTACTGCCATTGAAATGAGAAAGTTGGTCTTGTGAAGGTAATTCAAATTTTCTCATATTTGATTTCTTTCTATAGTAAGTGACAGGCCAAAATACTGTTCGAATAATTGGCCCAAAAACGTGCGTGGCAGCTGGTCCAACAACTGCTCCAATAGCTGATTTCCTTTCTTAAATGGAGTATTAACACATCTTTTATGCTGTTCCCAAAAATTATCCTTTGCATTCTATTCTGCCAGGGGTAGCTGACCCCCATCTGAAAATGACAAGGGGAGACTCCAACCCCAATCTTCCATGTAGCTACCGCCAAAGTCTCCATTGTAACCGGCCTAATAGTTGTTCTATTGGCAAATCCAATAGCTGGTTTAATATCAATCTGTTACAGTAACCGGCCTATTAACTGGTATATTGACTGATTCAAAAAATGGTATAATAATTGGTTCTGTAACTGTTCCAATAACAAGTACCATGTTTTTTTCTTCAGTAACTGGTCAAATATCTGGTCGTATGACTTGCCTTATAACTTTCTTGATAAAACACCAGAAAACCTTTCAATAGCTGCTCCGAAAACCAGCCTAATAACTCTCTCAGTGACTGCCCCCATTATTAGTTCTATCACTGGTCCAAGTGCTGGCCTGAAAACTAGCTGTTTCCTGTAATTTTAACAATAACTGGTCCAATATCGGTTGTAGTAACCGGCCTAGTTATTTGTTTAATAATATAAAATCAATAATAATACAAATATTGAATAGCGCCCCATTCTAATGTACTCAGTTCCGCTAGACAATTTACAGTTTTTAATAATGTCTGTTTGAAAAACTAAAACCTAAAATCTAAAACCCAGAACCTAAAACCTAAAACCTAAAACCTAAAACCTAAAACCTAAAACCTAAAACCTAAAATCTAAAACCTAAAACCTAAAACCTAAAACCTAAAACCTAAAACCTAAAACCTAAACCTAAACCTAAACCTAAACCTAAACCTAAAACCTAAAACCTACACGTTCATATAAAATGTCATTAGAATACTACTTAATAAGATTTAAAAATATGTAATTTTCTATATGCTATCTTGAAGCAGTGTGACTTGAGAAGCTTTGTGAAGGATTCAAAATTGTTGCTTTTCTTTGCATATTCTGGTAGTGCATACTGCTGGTAACCCATACTTAAACGTTCTGCTTCCAAAGGTTGTTGTCTTTGTTGTTAGTACTTTCAACACACATTTGTTGGAGGACCTAAGTTGTTTAGTAACTGGTCCAACAACAGTATAATTACTGGGTCTCTAACTGTTCCAAAAGCTAGTACAGTACTTTCTTCAATAGCTGGTCCAATAGCTTGTCCAGTATCTGGTCCTGTAGCTGGCCTTATAACTGGTCCGATGACAGGTCTAAAGTCTTTTCAATATCTGGTCCGATAACCAGTCTAATTACTGGTCCAACAATTGGTTCATAAATGATCCAAAAGCTTAGCTAACTGCAAAAACGTAGTTAAACAGGATAGCTAATGGCGGATAACAGCTGCTCAGGTAATTGCTCCTATAACTGGTGAATAGCTGCTCCAGTAACAAGCTCAACAAATGTTCCAATAGCTTACCTAAGCAAGGATTTGTGTGGTGTGATTTAGCCATTCGATGACCTAGGTGTTAACTAAGAAATCTTCATAGAACTGTATAAAATATAGTGGCCTTTAATATTATGGTTTGGTTACATTCTTTGTGCTGATTGTAGCTGTACTGTATGTTCTATACCTGTAGTAAAAACTTGTGTAGCTTACGAGTTTATACTTAACATTGTGCTAGCTTAATGTACTGTATCTGGAGTAGAACTCAGGACGTGAGCTTGTTGTTACATTCAAAATGAAGATATAAAATGCCTATTATTTTGCATCATTGACACAGAGATTGACATGAGATTGACACAAAGATAGCAAGACATGAATTCACGTATATACTAAGAAATGACTCACATGGCTTTAGAAATGTTTTCGATTTGAATCAAACCTCTACTTAATCTTTGTGTCTTCATTCACGTTCTTTAAAAGCCTTCTATATTGTCTGCGCCCTTGTTTTCATTGGAGACTAACTATTCCCCATTTGTTAATTATTGTAGGTTTCCCTTTTTAGTTGGTTTTTCCAAGATGGGGTAAGCATCTTAATAAGCATTTCCAATTTGATTCTTGATTTATGCTGATCATACTCATTTCCCAGCCATTCATGATTAATCATTTTGTCTTTTTCTTATCAAAACAGTGGGGACATTATCATGACTGGAGAGGGCCATGAAGATTGGTTGTCCGATTGTGACTTTCATCCCAGGTTAGAAAAATTTCATTTTTAATAACCTTTCTGCTTAAGCGTTTGATCACTTTTTGCTATTTATTACTTACTGTTTGTTACGGTATGTTCAAAGTCAGCAAAGCTACTTGTGTACGGTGTGTTTCATTGTTTTGCTTTAGGCTTAAGAAAAATTATTAGTGAAATTTGGCTCTGTAAAAGAAAGGAAAAGTTATACAATTAGTAAGGTTTCTGGGAATGCAAAACCCGGACAAAACATGAATGTATGACAACGTAACAAATATTACATCACAAATAAAAGACGAAAATTGACTCTTTCTGGCATAGATGGTCCGGTGAACTATTCCCATTGTTTCTCAGCTTCAGCTGTTAAAGTCGACATTTAAGATGGGTTTTCATGTGGGACGATTTTTGTCTCTTTTAGCGGTTCAAAACTTGCCACCTCTTCTGGAGACACGACAGTTAAAATCTGGGATTTCGCGCAGGCGAAATGTGTCGAGACTTTCGCTGGCCACACGCAAGCTGTGTGGGGCTGCAGTTTCCACTCTTGTGGGGATTTTCTAGCATCTTGCTCTATGGATGGAACATCAAAGATCTGGGATCTTAACAGGTATTTTTCGGTTTTTTCGTTTCTCAGTATCTCCGAATTTTTGTAGTGTTCATGACATCATAGTTTGTATACTCAAAATCTCTTTCAAAGATTTGTCTTTGGAACCGATTCAGTAATCTTAAATGGCAGTACGTTTCATTTAAAATTTGTAATCTGCTACATTTAGAAAATGCTAATTTTTGTAACTTTTTTCAGCACACGATGCCGTAACACGTTACGTGGACACGCAGACTCTGTTAACAGTATCATGTTTTTGCCGTTCTCCAACACGCTGTGCACTTGCTCTGCTGACAAAACAGTATCTCTGTGGGATGCAAGGACCGGTCTTTGTGCCCAGACTCTTTACGGTCACGTTCATTCAATCAATCACGTGATCTTTAATAACAAGGTAACAGTTTTGATCATGGTAAATGCTAAACTGGATCCACTCCCCAAGCCAAGCGTTAGACCAAATCAACCGTATTAAGTTAAAAATACATGTCAAAACTGTTTGCACCTGGCTTTTAAGCTTTTCTACCTGATAATCTAATTGGTTCATATAGATTATATAGTTGAATTGTACTGCGAAAAACGTTCACATCTGCGTTAAAAGCAGGTTGCTTCCTAGCCAGCTACTGAATAAAGATTTGACTTTCTCATTCCTATTCTAATTGCTAGCATTTTTTTAGTTTCAGTGGCGCTAAACGTCTCAGCAAATCCTTTAATTGCGCAGTCTTTACCTAAAATCGTCTTTATTCTTTCATATTCAAGCACTGTGTCCGATTATATTCAGCATCTGCTTATTTTCCATAATTTGGTTAGAATCATCAAAAACAAGAACGTATTTGAGAATTTGGCTTGAATTTTACAAAATGATTTTAATTGCCAGACGAAAACCTTTTTATGTTTTTAATGTTCGCCGTACATTGGATAACTGCTGAGCTTAAATTTCTGTCCATTATGGGGTGTATTCAGTTGACTGTAGGTTATCATTTCAAAGTATTGACTGTCAGAAGTAAATTTCGAGAGAAAAGTATTTTCCTGTTGAAGGGTATTCTTTATTAGGGTTTCCTTTATTTGAGTCATTTGTTCTTGTTGTTGCTGCTTTTATAGTATATTTCGTCCGTTTCTAGGGAGATATGCTCGCCTCATGTGATTCGTACGGTATCGTCAGATTATGGGATATCAGAACTACAAGTGTTCTTAAAACTCTCGATTTTGGTCCGCATCCTAGCAACAGAGTCGCCTTTGATCCCAGTACCTCCGTCTTGGCGATTGCAAGCAATGATGGAATGGTAAAGATGTACGATATAGCTGGGGGTAATACTGCAAGTCTGACGGGACACGAAGACGCAGTTCAAGATGCTGTTTTTGACAGGAATGGTGAATTTCTTATATCTGGGGCATCGGATGGGACAATAAGGATTTGGTCTTGACTGGAGCAGTTGTTGTTTTTGAAACTATTTGTTTTTAAAATTCGTCTGATGTTTGCATTGTATATTTTGGATGTAATGATACATGATGTAATTTCCTTTACTCCTTTTAAAGCCACGCACGAGCTGATTTTTGTGTGAATGTCAAATGTCCTTCAAATATTATGTAAATTCTATTTATACACAATGAAGTGCAGAGGAGAACTGAATACGACCGAAGTTTTTCACAGCCACTGTCATTCGCAGAGCTGTGTTTTTCCATCGAGACCGAAGTATGATGCAGTACTTTAAGAAAGAGAATGCAATCTTATAACTCTTCATGTACATATTTGAAGAAAATCTAAGTACAGCTGAGGGCCATTTTCTAATTTCTCAAAATATCTTGTAAATCTTATAATTTTGCTAAAATATTAAATTTGATCATCCTCCTTATCGATACACCTAACTGTGTGTTATAATGTGGCTTAAGCCGCCCTCTTTGGTTCAAAACACCTTATTGCTTCGATAGCTCCACCCTTGAGTCTGTTTTACTTTGTTGTTCTACCCCTCTCTCCAAATAGTTCTCTCGCCATCTCTCGCAAGTATCTTTGTGTCATTATTGGAGATCGAGGCCATTTCCGTCAGAAAGAGGCCGTTTAATAATAGTTTAATATTTCAAAAAGTTTTTTCCAACGGGAAGAGTTGATTGCAAATATTTATGTTAGGAAAGTATTGTGTAATTCTTCAGCATGCGATAAAGTGAAGATAACAGAAAAGTTAAAATGGGGCTGATGTTTTCCATAGTGTCCCGCTTTAGGGTATGTTGCAATTACCTTCATTTGTGGTAGGCCGTAGCGTAGTAGAAAAACGTTATCATACGTAGCGATTTCTATTTCAAAGTCTATATTGAAATTAAATACACATCATTGTTGGTTATTCTTGCTTTTCTCGCTTAAGTTTTAATAGATGATTGCCTCAGTCAATCAATAAATCAAGTAAAAACAGGCTCATTGAAACTGCCATTTTGCTTTTTTTGATTTGAACAAATATTTTAATAACTCATTTACTCATATACTACAGGCCTTTAGATCAAGATCAATATGTGAACACTCTTTCTTATCGACATAAATATATCAAAGTAAGCATATAACGTATTAAAATATAGAATTGTTATGTTGTAGAACTAGACTTAAGCCAGCCAGAAACATATCACTGCAGTAGTCCCATACCTAACATTGAGGTGCAGTGTGATGATATCCATTTCGTGCAGTGAAATTCCACATACATACAATTTGACAGATAAATAGCAACAGAAACTATAATTAATGACATTACAATATAAGTATCTAAATATAAACATTTTAAATACTAAGAGGAGAATTGTATGTAGGGGAATTTCTTAAGGAGGAACCTTCTCAGTAGCTAGGCTAACCGAGAAGATAGCACCTCCTGTTTTCAAAATTACCGATGGAAATAATAAATTTACAACTAGTAGTGATATAACAGATCACTGCAGTGGCATGCTCCGACAGGACATGAATGGGGAATTAAAGCGCCCCTTCCCTCCACTAGCTTACAGGTCCAGCCTGACCCCACTGGTACCACCTGGCAGGGTTCCCTAGTTCAGGGCTACAAGCAGCAATGGCCAACAGCTAACTCAGCAGGAGACTGTCAAGGAAGGCGGATGAGCTACGACTCCAGGGGTCAACAGCTTCTGGCAGAAGAACTCCTGGAAAGAGGGATGGTTTCCCTTTGAAAACACTGTAGAGGTGGTTTTGGGGGCCCATCTCTACTATTAGCCCCTTAGTTTTATCTATGACCATGACAACAAACCAAAACTCAGATTTTGGGATAGTTGGAGGGTCATGGTAGCCAACCTTCTGATAGAAGATGGTACCTGATGATGAGTGATATAACTAGTATCCTTAGTCATAGCAGGCAATTTTATGACTTTTTCATAAACTTCAAAATTGTTGGACTATGAAAAAGAAATTTGATAGCCTGGACATCCCCAGGGCCACCAAGAAAAAGGGCAGAGCACAGGAGGTAAATTGCCCCAAGGCCTCAAGGGTTAGGGGGTCTCATAGAATAATGAATTCCATTTATGACTTGAAGTAATCCAATGTAACAAAAGTATGCCTACAATTTCATATGTAAAACAAACAGAATGCAAGAACATGGCTGCAAGAAATATTCTGAATTTTAAGGTAATATTAAGGTGTATTTGCCAAAGTTCTCTGCTTATAAGTTCACTGGGGGACTCTTCTTTTCATCTTATCATGGGGCCATTAAAACCTCTTGGCCACCCTGACCTGTAAGTCAGTACCAGATAGTAAAAAACGTTCCTTCTAAAATCAAAACTGCTTGTGATTATATATTTGATTCCCATTGCATAAAGATAAGCTGAACTTTCCATTGAATTTGGCCAAACAGGAGAGGCTTCCAACTGTATTCCCAACTGTATACAAGACAATGAAACAAAGTAGAAAATAAAATAAAAAATAAATAAAAGATAAAAACAGTAAATGTTAAGCTTCAACAATTAATATATTGGCTTTTTTATTATGTCAAAAAAGTAACAAATATGTTGATATTTGAATGACTTATGTCAAAAGTGTAATTGCACATCCTCTTCTAACAACAGTTACAATTTCAATAAAAATCACTAATGAGTTGTTCCTCTTGCATCCTTGTGGCAAAATAGCGTTGATTGTATTGATTGCTGAGATGAAGGGTGTGTCAGTAAAGATTTCTTTAGGGTCCCACCCAAATATCCCTTTCAGGAAAATGTGCAGTGATAAATTTTCTTTAAAATTAGGTATAAGTAACTCCAATTTTGGTCAACCCCCTAACCTAACACTAAAAAGCACCGTACAAAACCAGAGCTCCCTATGCTAAATTATATGTCCCTTGGATTTGGAAGTTCACAATTGGTTATCAGCCACTCTAAAACTTAACCTTTTAACTTAGCATTTTATCCTTCATAAGCAGGGAACCTCTCCAATCAATTTGAGTTTTCTTTATTTGTGCTCTCTTAACTGTGTATTAAATGAGTTGAGCTTGTTGATTAGAATTGCCAATGATTGATTGATAAATCTAAATGATAAATTGTATCAACTTCTTTCTTTCAGAAGCGGGCCACAACAAGAGAAGTACTTGATGGAATTGAAGAGGTGATGGTTGTAAAAATAATTTAACTATTACAAAGCTGTGTAAACATGTGCAATCTGCCAAAGCAAAAACATTACATATATGTAGAGCTTCTCACATTCTCTTGAAATGCAGATAAAGATTCAAATGGAAAGTTTTTTACAAAAGCCCTTTTGGAAATGTTATGATTAATTATGTTCTGATGAGATCTTTTTTCCTGTTTGCCTGACTGAATTTTGTTTTTTTAATGCAGGATGTCAAGAAACTGGAATCAACATTGCAAAGAAATCAAAAGTTACAGAAGAAGATTGTTCTGTCTTTGTTGACAATCTCGATCTGTTCATACTTGGTTGCAATGGCTGTAGTTTACTTTTTCCTGTTGCCAGATAATTGGTCAGACAGGGCCATGTGGCTGCTTCCTTTTGCCTGTTTCCCTCTTTTGTAAGTTTCCTCAATCTCGGTATATTTGTGTATATCTTTTGCCGATTATCCATGGCTAAAGTTTGGTTATCAAAATCTTAAGATTTCATCACAAAAAGTGTATTGCCAAAATATTGCCCCTCCATCAACATTTTCTCATTGACTTTAGATGAAACACAAAGTTGATCTTGCTGAGAACAGGGGGTTCCCCCCAGTCCCCTCATGGCACTGTTACTGGTTCATTTCTTGTCAGTAAGGTCTTTATATATTGAAAAATTGTATAAGATTAAGTTTGAAGTGCTAATTTTTATACTTAGATAGTCTGAATTCAAAAGTAATATAACATTATAACAAGTTTGTTTGTTTTGCTCTCAACCAGGCTGTCAACAAGGGTTACCAAATCTCTATGTTTTTATATTATATATCAAATTTGTCACCTATGTTTAGGGTAGAAAATCAAAATATTATTATGTTGTTGCAATCTTATTTCAAGTTCTATTCTTGCTTTACTTTCTAGAGTCTACCTTTTAAAGAAATGTTTTCATTTTTTCTTTGTGACAAGAATAAAAAAGATAAGTAAGTGGTAAACTTTCATTTTGCGAATCAGACATGATGCCTTTGATAAGATTCAATATTCAACCTTTCAATGAAGCTTGTGTGTATCAAATGTTGTGGTTCTTTGCATTTATTGTAAACTGCCTTTGCAGCAAACATTTATTCTCTTAGTAGACATGTTGACAGCAGCGGTGGCACCAGGGGAGGGCTAGGGGGGCTACAGCCCCTCTGTCAGAAGCATCTAGCCCCCCTATCGGAGGAAATTGTAGGTTATTGTCGGAGCAAATTGACAAAATAACGTATGAAAACTGCATATTTTAGTCATTTTAGCCCCCCTGTCAGAATCTCAAACCTCTCTGTCAGAAGATTTCTGGCACCACCTCTGGTTGACAGTAAATCGAAAATGAGAGGAAAGTCAAATAAAATTGATGTTTTTTATTATGATCATTATAAAAACTATTTCTTTTTGCATTTATATATTTGGATACAGCTGGTCTTTTTCAGCTTTTTTGCAAAAAGGTCAGGGTCCTGAAAATCTGTGCCGTTCCCTATATACTGTATGTTTTGCATATAGAATTTTCTCAAATTTGTTGGGCATTGTTTCAAAGTTTGAAAAATAAGCCTTTGGTACAGTATAATTAATATCCTTTGATACTTAACTGCTATTAATATTTCTACTTACCTGCTCATCCTTGTTCATTATCCAATGTTTGTAATCAGTGGGGCAGCAGGTGGAAAGTTTTAAAGTATGTCATGTTTCTGCTTTTCGTACTACGATATTAATGTATTTATTTAATTTTGTGTGTTCCTTCTTCAAGGAAATACAATAGACGATCTAAATGAGCGGAAAAAGGAAATAGTGAGTTCTTTTGGATATAGATTTATTGCAGATTAAGATCACTAGTTTTTTCTTTATGCTTTGATATTTAACAGTTTAACGGTTTGAGCAGTTTTCTTCTCCGATTCTGGACTTTTCATCGGACGTTATTTTTAATCACTTGTTGCATGTTGCAGCAGTCATTTTTCTATTTAATGTTTTATTGTGAAAGGTGGGTTTAGTGGTTAGGATGCCGGACTACAGATCCAAGGGATCGAAGAGCCCCTGGAATGACCAAACTTTCACCCAGACTGAGGAGAATTGCCTGCTCTGTGTATAACCAGGCATAGGAATCGCGAGGTGTGGTCACGTGAAGAAGAAAAACTAGGACAATGCTCGAGAAGCACAGCTTCTCAGCGTCCTTAAAATCATCTTCAGATATTAGGTGGCAAATGCAAAGAAATGTTACATTGAAAAATATTATTTACTGTAAAAGACTATCTAACAATCATATCATTATGTGTGTTTCACCGCTGTTCATTCATTTGCAGCTTGAAGACGTGATGGATAATGAAACCTACAAAATTGCCAAAGAACTGCTTGAAAAATTTGATCCTGAAGGGAAAATTATAATGGTTTGCTATTTAGTTTAGTTTTTGTTGAATTTTATTACTTGAAACACTAACGCGAGAATAAGAGAACAATCTATGTTCTCTAATTTGTCTAATAGCTTGAAACCTGCATGTCCTTGTTATACCTAGATTGGCATCTCATATTTTTCCATAGGTGAGGTTGAAGCTAGTAGCTAATCCTGTTTTGTGTTAGCCATTAACAATATTTTTTTGACTAACTGGTGATAAATATATATTTATATATAAAATAGATAAACTAGGTCACTTCCACGGTCTCCGCATCAAGGGACATACAAAGTGCGCTTATATCTCTTGGTCGTAACTGTTTTAAGGAAATGTATAATGTGATTCAAGTTAAAAGATTTGGAAAATGCCAAAGTTTTTTCGGAGCCATATAATTTCCATGTACATTGTAATATGTTGTTCTCTTAAGGCCTTACCCTTCCTGAGGTGAAGCAAGGGAGGCGATGCAAATTTTACCTCGACGCAGCATTTACCTCGTTGTGGGGAAAGCGTATTACTGGATTTTTCACACGATCCTTTTCTTTCTACAGAGGGATACTGCTATTAAATCGGTTCCAGCCACACCAAAAACACCATCACAAGGTGATAAGTTGCATTCATTTACTGTAGACTTCTTTGCTGCTTCTTGACTACTCAATATTTCATTGCTTGAGCTAGAAGGCACCTACCATGCCTGCCAAACATCTTGGTATGTAAACGTCAGTTTCAAGAGCAAATTCAGCCATTCCCCTTTCCCCCTTTGAACAGTGTTGGTTTACTACAAAACGACGTAGGGGATAAGGAAGAAGGCTTTTTCTCCGACTTCTATGGTATTTTTCTAAATTATCAACATTGTTTAGGAGGGAAGGGGTGCGGAAATAGGAGTATTCGGGAAAAGAATTGGAAAATGTAAAACACAACGCAATTTGCTGGCTGTTCCAAGTACTTTTGGCAATGATTCACCTAGTTTGCATCAGAAACAAAATCGAGTATCGATTCACTAAGTTTGGAGAGTTGATATTCGCTTGGTTTGTGACCCAAGCTAGAACGAACCAGACCCATTGGCTAAAAGAGAATCCCTTGCAGTTATTGACAAGTACTTTTGAACCTTCAGTCATTGATACAATGTTATAGTTGTCTCGCCACTGTTTCACTAGTGAAAGTAGGTTTTAATCAGTCACTTATGGTTTTACAATTATTTTTCTTAATGAAAAATAAATGAATTGGAATAGGAACATACCGATCTAAAGGTGCAAAACCTACTATTTTAATGTAGTGAGTCGCATGCAAAATGCAAATTTATGCAAAAAGTATATTTGTCGAGCTGTTTTCCAGACTTCCGTTGGAGCCATTAATTTATTTCCAAATGATTGACAGTCTAATAGCAATAAGGCTGTGAAATCTTTCAAAACTTCAAAAAGCACCCTGGGAAGATAAGAAACTCGGGGAAATTTCCCATTTCTTTTCTGAAAGGAATGTCATTGAAGCTGAACGATCAATGCTGATGTTTCTATTCTTCCTATAAACATCAAGCTTCATGATCCCAGCTTTACTTTTTGTTAAAGTAGCATAGATTTGCTACAGGATTATCATGACTGTTATGTTCATCTTGTTATCATACTGTCAAGAACTATAATTTACTTTTGCAAATTAGTATCTCACATATATTAGAGAAATTTTTATTAGCGACATATATTCAAGATATAAGTTCTTCCTAAAATATATTTACGTTTTCCTTAGAAAACCTGCACTTTCAAAATCATTCATGATTTTTCTTTACTCAGGTGAGCTGCGTCACCGAACAAACGGTGTTAAACCTGGGGAGATAAACGGAGACCAATTATTCAAAAGCCCACAAATGCAAGATCTACGAGGCACTCCTAGGCCTGGCGGTCCTAATTTCGCACCAAGATTTGCCACTCCCAATATGAATCAAAGAACTCCGTATCCAGTTGGTATTCAGCGAAATGGAAATCAATCTCCCGCAGGTTTTGCTCTTATCGTATATATATATATCGTGCAAAATAAGAAACACTTCAGGAAACTATGTTGGAAGATAAATGGAAGCATACAATACTTAGCATACAGTACTTTTCGTACGACACTCTTGATAGTATAAACGTCGCATAATGACTAAGTTAATTCAGATGCTGATCGAAAGCAAGTTCACTTTGTCTCCATTTCAACTTGTCAGCTTTGTCTCGCTAGCACTATTATTCTTTGCAACTTTCTCTCCGTTGGAAACTAATTTATAACTCTTTTTGCTTAAATTGGATGTTTAAGATATGTTTTTGCCATTACAGTTTTTTGAAATAAATTCTATGTTGTTCAGTAGATAGTTATGTTGTTTTTTAACTTGTTCTGTTGATTTCTAGCTTGTTAAAGATCCATTTTACGTCGATCAAAGAGCTTTTTCAGTGACCTTGATGGTTGTTATGTATTTTCGTTATTCTAAGCTCTGTATACACATATTTTACACCTACTGCATTTTTTTGTAGGAACGCCAAGACCCAGAGCCACACTTCAAATGTATCCGGTTTTGCCCTTGGAGCGATCTGTATTTGACAAGGTGATTTCATTCAATTGCTGCTTGATTAAGCACATTTTATGGCATATTATAACTGTAACAAAAAATTACCAAGGTTCTGGATCGAAAACTGACAAAGTTTTTACAAATATTCCTCAGCAAGAACCACCTACAAAAATTCCACTTAAGTTTACATATTCAATAATTAAATTATTCAATCCGGAGATGCCTGATGGTCGCATCAAGGGTGAATTCAGAGTAGCAACTTAAAACCATCCTTTTCTGTACTTGAAAGCGTGTAACTAAATGATAAAGCGGTAAAGCAGTAACTTTCATTTCAGTTTTCAAGTAGATGTTTTACTTGTCTTTTATATCATTCCAACACTCCATTATAGCCAAAATCAGCCGGAAAATCAAGGGAAATCATAACATTTAGATAAATTTAATTTTCATTTCGCTATAGTTTATATTCATAAGTATTTGTATTTTATGTAGTAAAATAATAGTTAAATACTCAAGTATATTTATTCGTATGAATTATATTTTTATCATAGGGATGTTTAAGCTATGAATACCTTATAAGTTATTAATAAGTTAGCTATTTTATCCATATAATATTTAATAATAGCACGGTGAATAGCAATCTTGACTGCTCTGATTTCATGCTCACTGAACATTTGCTATTGAGCGGTAATTCAATTTCAGCAAATCCTTCAAAGTGATGGAATAATTCTTTAAATGACAATTTAAAGTAGAAATTCTACTTTTTATCATTGGTAGTGCTAACATATTAAAATTTAAATTCGTTTTTCAAATTTTCAATTTTCAATTTTAATTTTTAAAGATACAGAGGAATACAGCATTTCTTATTTTCGGTGCCAAATCTTCTACTTTTAAGTTGCTATTAATGTTATATTCTTTGGCAGTTTAGTAATCTTGAATGTCCTTGCATTTTGCTTTCTGATGTTTCTCTAATTGTCATTAGTTGTTGACCCAACAACAGAATCATGCTAAAAATTTATTTGGCACGAAAGGCAGAAACACTTATTACACATCATACGAAGCCTCCCTTCTGTTTACGAAAATGTTGATTTTTCTTTTTAATATAGATAAATTATGAAAAATTTAATTTTTTCAATAGGTTGCCGAGTACTTTATCGGAGATGGGCCGAGCTATCGTTACGCGTTGATTTGCAAGAATTGCCATGGACATAACGGCATGGCACTGAAGGATGAATTCGAATTTGTTGGTAAGTTTTGTTGCTTGTGTTGAATACTCCTAGTTGGATGGTTGGGATTCAAAATATAGAATGGGGCTGTCATTTTCATGGAAAGAAGTAGATAGAGGTCCAAAAAACAAAGGGGTATGTTTGAAAGAGAATATATTACGAATATCCAAAAGAATGAAAGGTGATGATAAGAAACTCTTTAATTCAGGAACTTTTTGTTTAATATACACACTTAATCCTTACAACTAATAAACGGGGGGCCTAATGAACTGCGAGTGTGGCTGGATTGATTCCTTCAAAATAATGCTTTCAAAACTGTTATCAGAAGCTGAATTTGAATTTTTAATTTTTTTTCTGACTCAAGCAGCTGGCTACTTTAAACTATAATCTCATTAAATACAGCTATAAATTGCAGAATACAAGTCAGTTGCTTGGAATGATTGAAAGGAACCTAAAAGTGCTTACGGGTATACATTAATAGCAAGTTTAATTCAATAAAATACTAAGAATGAAATCACATAAAACTACATTTATTTAACAAATAAGAAGATTTCACATGTTCAGAAAGACCACGGAAAAAATCAATCTTCTTCATCTTGATTTTGACGTCCTTTTCATAGCGTTCAATTGCTGCTACTGTGGAGCACCAAACCCAGCTAGAAAAGCTCGGCCAAATGCACCAGCACTGGAAGACTCTAAATTGTCAGACCAGGGGACTGAACAAGACAAGAAGACAGAGAAGGAAGGTAAAAGCGACGAAAGTGACCTTGAGAGTTCAAAGGAAGTCGAATCAAAACCTGGACCTGGTATTCCATTTATTATACTTCTTTTATGTCTGAAAGTTATGAGATCAGTTGTGCTGTTCTTTTTGTACAGAACATAAGGCTACGCCAACTGCTTCTTTATTTATATATTCTTAAGTCATAGGACATAGTATTAGCGATCTTCAATTTGACAATTTTGTACTGCCACAAAAGCCAATTAAATGTTCAAGTTGCTGTATCTCAACTTTGTTTTCAGGCATAGATTTACAAAGCATTTTCTAGAAACCCTTTTGAGTTTTCTTGCGAATCCTCAAAACGGTTATATTCGTAAGATGCACATTTTATGAATAGCTCTTTATTTTCAGATGAAACTGATGACGACATCAAGGAACGCTGTTCTTCGGACGACGGAGCTGCGGATGGTATTGTAAAAGAAAATAAAGATATAAGCGAAGAAGATGAATAAAATTGATTCCGATGACTAATATAAGAGGGGGGTGAATTAATAGTTCTCAATGAATATCTGACGAAGGCATTGAATGATTACTAATTTAATCAAGGCCGTTCGTCAGGATTTGAGATATGCGCATTAGATGCTCAGTATTTTTTGTTATGAGGTCAGTGTTCAACAGGTAATGTTTGCATCCTATACCTGCGTTGTACAGTGACACACGTGTTTCAGTTGATCTAACAGTTATATTCAATCGAAAACAATAGACAATACAGCTAACTGGGCATTACATGTCTCAACCCAAAACTCGAAACACTTCCAAATAGCTGATAATTTTCCCAGTTTCAAAAGTGTATATATCGCCGTTTCTACCTTCCGGGGGACTTTGATATGGGACAATTAGTTGGGTACTCAATGACAAAGGTGTCGGGGCAGTTGAATCGCAGGTTAAGGCTTAAGAAAGAGACTAGTTTCCCACATCATTTTGGACTTTGTCTTAAAAGTGTTTGATCATTTAGCATTAGCGTACCGGAGGCAAAGAGTTTTCCAGCAACCATGTCATTTTTCTGCAGAAAGTTGCCAAGGCAATGATGACATCGAAGTAATGATTAGCTTTCTGTTGACATTGCATTTTGGGGTTATCAGTAAAGTATGATCGATGTTATTTATAAATAACAGGATTTTGCAATACAGAAGGTGAATTTTTTATCAGCTCTGTGCTGGGCCTTGATCCAAACGAAGCTTTCATCAATAACGTTTTTTGCTCCATGCCCCACACTTGACTTCACAGTTTCATTATTATTCTTGTCGTTGTTGTTGTTGTTGTTGTCATGCAAACACTTCTTGTACCATTCATAATGCCTTCACAGACTTGCATAATATCGTAAATATGAAGATAAACTCTGTGATCGTAGCTTAATCAAACATCGTTTTTCTTGGAACACTGCGTTGAATATTTGTCTGCTTCACAAGCATTTAGCTCTTCCGTTTCTCGAAGCATATAATATCAAAGAAATATGTCTTGTGTATAAAATAAGACTTTTCTTGGAAATGGTGTGGCTACAACTTGAAAGTGATCATGATTGGGAGGAATTCCAGTACAAAACACTGGGTGGGCTATGGTACTATTCTATGAGGCTTATACTATATAAGCTACTGAACAAAATGAGAGAAGTCCTAATAAAACGAATGAAAAATGGCTTTGAAAAAAGCAAACATTTTACAACATATTAGGAGGAATATTTCGGATAATTGGCAAAGCCCGGTCGTCTTTCCATTTAGCAATTTTGGAATCCGTCTACATACAAACGAAAAAGCCGCCATTGTGTAGACAAAGAGTTCGTTTTCTCTCTTGGACTCCAGTGGTAATTTTTCTATAGGCATGCGGTATTGATTGCTTTTTTCAAAATGTTTGCTTTTTTCAAAGCCATTTCCAAGTTCTGTACCGCCAAAAACGAATTGATTTGATAGGCCAAATTATTTACAAAGTATTCTGATAAACATACTGACCAATGTCCGTTGCTATGTAAATGGACAGCTGTCTGATTTTATACTCTGACTTGCAAAGCCAGCAAGATAAAAGTTTCAACCAATACCTTTATTTCCATATATTGTCTGTATCAATTTGACAAGCAGTCTTAAACAAAAATTTTGGTGAAGATACTCTCCAATGTTTGTAGCTAAGACAATTTTAGTCAAAGCCTGTTATTTATCTAATGAAAACCTGTATTTTAAGCCAGTAAGTACCTAACTAGAGTAACAAAACTTATATCTTATGAAAGCCAAATTATCAATTTTATGGAAAAGCGAAATATATCTACAAAATGTCAACTTTATGGAAAAGCAGAAAAGAATTCACTTCAGCTGGAAATGAGGGACGTTTTGTCTTGAAAGCGGAAGCAGTGACACAAAATGGGCAAGAAATTGTGCCCTCGTCCACTTTCTAGTTCATAATATAATTTGAAGAAGAAGGCAATGGGGTCCGTAGCTCCCCAATAATTTTTAGCGTAAAGTGTATATTTTCAAAATATCCTGTACAACCTTTTTACATACTATCGGATACCATTGCGACAACAATGTGAAATAATGCACTCTAAGGGACCAAAATTTAACATTCAACCAAGAAACAACACTCAACAAGATAACATTTGTGTTGCTAGACTCCCATTCTGGCCCCCTTGTAGTTTTCTCTCGCCACTACCCTGCAAGAAGAAAAGTAGCACCTAAGGAAGTTTTCATATTTAGGAATACCTAAAATTTTGCAAGGGAAAGAAATAACTTTCCTTATTATTGTTCGACAGCTGGGCACACACAGAGTAGCAAATTTGCTATTGTTATGTTAAGTGTTGTATACAGTGAGTATACAAATGAACTTATTGGAAGTTTTCAAATGTCACCATGAGTATCGGTGTTGGATTGATGTAAAAATGAAAAGGTGATGCGGAGCTGGGGCGCCAAGGGGCTAAACCCCCAGTTTCGCCAAAAACGTCAATGTTCGTGTAGGGAGCCGTCGGTCAAGCCTCTTTTTATTCAATTTTAATCGCCATCCCAAAACTCTCATTGTTCCGCGGCCCCTATAATGAGTTGGGCAGTTTTTTACAATCCGTCTTGAAATTCTGCGAACTTTTCAATTCTTCCTACAAGATTTCAAGGCACCGAGGCCCCGAAATACAGTTTTATTGCTTTTCTTATTATCTATAAAGTGGGAAATACCTGTCATTCATTTGTTACATCTCAATTCAATGCATTTGCTACGAGCAGCTGTTAAAATGCAGGAATATTCTCAAAAAGCAACAAGGGAATCTATTGTTGGTAAATAGTGATCTATACTCCACAGATAGTTCGCATGTTGCTACTTGCTTATCGCAGTATAAGTAAAGGTTATAGTAAAGTTATTCAACCAACAAAGCAGGCAATCAAGATAAAATCATAATAGCTGAAATTACACACTTGAGCTTTTCGAATAAATTTTGAATATAAAGCAATACGTAGAGATCAGAAAAAAAGATATGACCAAGTTAATGTTATTTGTCAAAACTGGTAAATGTTTATCGTTTTCCCCTTTCCAAAATCAGGTTTATTCTGGCAAACATCGTTTTCCTTGGTGCTGATTATGATTATGATTATTATTATCGAGAAGAATGAGGTGAACGCGTTTTCGGCTTAGCTTTCATGTTGAGTTGAATATTGACCAACATTCTACATGCGTTTTTAGGCCTACGGAAGCAGCGCTCAATATTCATAAGTTTATTAGTTTATTAATATAACTCACTTTATTGTTGCATCTTCATTCGTTGTTGCAGACACAAGTGCCCAAAGGCTTGTCGTTTCCACACTCATTTGCCTAATGGTGACTATATTTCAACAATAGCAGGCTGTGAAACTGTGCGAGCTGGATTTATTATCCGAATGGACCCATTCGCCTTTACAACATTCTCACGCCAGCTGCAGCACTACGCTTTTAGCTGCCATTGAAGAGCAAAGATATGGAATATCTTGCTTCTGGTAAGAAACAAGGTATGAAGATCTTTCAGTATTTTATTGTTTGAATTACAAGGAGTTCAGCGCCTGGGCCTAGTCAAAACATGCCTCGGCGCCAGTCCCACGGCCTAAACTAAACACTCATAAGCTTTGTACATGTTTTTTGTGTTTATACCCAATACGTTTCCATGTTTTAGGTTTCTTGCCTACATCATTTGTTTTTAGTAAGGTATTAAAGTGTCCTTTTCCGAATTATTCCGTACTGCTTGTCAGTTTTCACTTTACAAGTATGGCAATTTCCTTATTGTCGATATCGTTCTTTCATTCAGGATTGATTTGATAAACAACAGTCAGAGCTATAAAGCTATAAATCTCCAGCATTCCTAATAACCCAACATAGTAATCCTTTCAAAGATCTGAAATGTTTTATACTTCAAAAATGGTAGTTTTACTGATTTTATCATTAGAAACTGCCAAATTATATTATAAGTTATGTTTCTCAAAGTATAATGACTTAATTCTATTGTTCTTTATTTTCATCATAGCAACCCTAGCTCAGAAAAGCATTCTGTTGTTTATAAGGCATGTTTTTCATCTTTACTTTACTTAGGTTTTTAGTGATACTTTCCAATGTTTGGGTGTTGTAATGACTGTTCTCATTCAATCTCAAATATGATTTTAAGGATATAAACAACTTTACCAGGTGCTTTCAACAGAGCATATTCTTAAATTGAAGGCATATTTTTAAATTGAAGGCATAAAATTATTATTTATGTTTTAATATATCAGTTGAAATACTGCCAGTTAAGTGAAATTCCTCCAAAACAGTATACAAACTTATATTTAACTTATATCTGCTTACTTAAGAGTTGTGTTTTACTTTCACATTTCTATGAATGAGATCAAAATGATTTAAAAGTTAAAACATAAAAATGACTTTTTGTTTTTATTGCCAACTTGATCATCACATGCATATATATATATGTATATATATATTATCGCAATTTTCGGCAACCAATCTATGCTTTCTGATTTCTAGACTTAAGTGGATAGAAATCTAGAGCTTTTCCTTCAACGGGGGCTGTAAGTTGTGGGTCTTCGTTGATTTAAAAAAGCCTTTCTTATACATCTGCCAGCAATGCATGATAATTCTTAACAACATTTCATATAAGTCATTTATGTGATGTGTTTTACATGCAAACCACTTATTACCTTTTCTACGGCATGCAAACATACCTTGATAGTACAAAAAATTTTTGGGAAGGGCCATTTTGTCATATTTACATTTCACTTGCTTTGCAGACTTTGTTGTTTGTTTATAAAGGCACCATAATATCATTTTTTACTTTCCACACATTTGTTGATATGATGTCTGTTATCTAAATTATTTTCTGGGTCAAACTTATTTTGTTATGACAGTTTTATTACACCTATTTATTTTTATTCTACATTTGTGAATCTTCATATTTTTTAGGGCTGAATTGTTCATTGTATTTTGTTTCACTTTCATTCTGTACCATACATTTTTTAAAAGCGATATGAAATTTAGTTATCCATCTCTTTATTATGAACGAGCAAAGTAGATTTTTAAGTGTACAAGAATAAATTATTTGGCCACTATACAGAAGACATAAGCCTTCATTATAAATCATGGGTCAGAAGTAGTCATACCCAAAACAGCATTTTGAATCTACTTTTTGTATTTTATCCTGTTTTGTAACACTGATATTCTTTTGACATGCCATTATTGTCCTATTTTTCAGCTGCTATCAAATATTTTTAATACCAGCATTAATTGATAACCTCTCTACTTATATCAATGATGTTTTTTGATATTCCACTTTTGGCAATCTTTGAAATTTTAAAAATTGAAAAGGAAATCCTTTCAAAGAATGTTTTGAAAAAGTCTGGTAACACATTGAAATTCAAGTATAAGAGTGCATTTTTATATATACTCAGTTTGTGTGAAATATTTATTTTTTGGTTCCACATACCGAGTTCAGTTGTTTGTTATTTTTATTTGATAAGAAGAAAGATGATCCTCATTTGATTGGGAATTTATACAAAAAGGACCCTTACTGAAATGTTATTTTTATGCTTATTTTATTTTTCAAATTTTTTTGAATATCGACAAATTATAACTATGTGAAAACTGCAGGTCATCTTAAATTTTCTATGGGCTTTTTTGAATTCAAGGCGAATTTTTAGAAGATATTAATAAAAAATGAATATCATCCAAATTTCAATGCATTTTTTATCTGGTAGTTTTCACAAGGGGAGATTTTAGTGTGAAAAAGCCAATCAAAGATTGTCTTATTATTAGTAAAAAACTGTGAAGTCAAGTATTTCCTTTCAGAAGATCTTGCCCCTCCGTAGATTGAGCTACCTTATACAGATTTGAAAATGTTTTGATAAGTAGAACAGTAACATGAAAAGGAAGGAAATAGAACAATTAATGCCAAACCTTCAAGTATTGTTTCAACAATTGTTTGATGAGAAAAAAGTGCCAGTAAATTAGCTTATATGTGTATCAAGGCTATCTTAATTTGATGTTGTATTTTTGCAAGTCAAACCCTTAAGTACTCATTTAGGTATACAAGTCTTCGGTATTCAACTGGTAACAAAGCTGGTTTAAAAGATGCTGCATTATAATTTCTTGTGACATTTGTTAAAATGATTTTAAAGCTTGGAAGAAATTAAAGTCACCAACATTTAATTGTAACAGCTAATAGCCATATATGGGTTGAATGTTTTTTTTGAGGATTTTGTTTCATTTCTTTTACTTTCCATCACCACTGAGAAAATATCTTAGATCAAATGGTGGTTAGTGCAACAAAGAGAAAAACTTGATCAATTTAAAGTTATATACCAGTTCAGCATTATTTCAAAATAAATCTTTTGGTAGAATGGCTTCCTTTAATCTTTCAGGAATTTATTCTCAAGCAACCCATGTAAGAATTACCCGCTGAAACACTTTTGATCATAAAATGTCTATATCCACATATCAGTGTTTTTTTAGAATTGAGAATCTCCTAAACACCAAACGATTCTACTAATGAATTGATAAATTGCAATGTCTGAACATCACAAGATTCTACATCCATGGTTAATGTATTTTTATAGACTTTTTCAAGGTTGGGGGTTTGGGTGTAAGATAGGCAGAGATATATGATCCTTTAGGTAACTTCCTTTGTGATAATGTTCTGAATTGGACAATCCAAAAATTTGAATAATCTAAATTTTTACAATGGAGAGAATAAAATCAATATTTGTTGCACGTGAAATTTTAATTTGTATATTGTTGCTTTCATGATTGGAGCAATAAAGAATTTTGTATTCAATAAAAGTTTTGTTGGAAAGGAGTTTCAATTTGTTTCAATACATCATTTTCATAAAGCTAAAAATTTCAAGTCACAGTCAAGTTTGTGCAAGTAAATTTGGTCGTTCAAGAAACATCTGAAGAATGCTTGCTTTTTTGTTGCCAAGAAGAATATAACCCATCTAAAACCATATTTATTTATCAGGACACTTAGTTTTTAAGTTTTATAATGATCCTGGGAGTGAGCCCTGTTCTCTACCTTATTTCATCACTTCTTCAAAACAAAAGCATCAACTTTATTTTTTCCAGCATTTTTACAGATAATATAACCTTTGTGAAGTGTATCAATCTTTAAAGAAGGCGTCAGAAAGGAAAACATGTTGTTATATTATCCTTTTAAACACTTTCGAAGGAAAATGTTACAGTCATTGCTTCGAAAAAATCGACTTGCCATCTTTACGCTTTGATAGGTTGGTTGTGATGACGTGACCCTTTTCCAGTGCTGTAAAGCTGTTGTAAACTACGTATTATGAAAGATAAAATTAGCCATGAATCTGCAATTTATAGTTTTCTTTTTGTGGAAACATTGCTGGCAGCCGACTTTATATTTTATTGAAGATAATCCCTGTAAAAGCAGTGAGATTCATTCGTGTTACTGGTCCTTCTGCAAATTATTCATTCACAAAAAACACCTCCAAATCACGGTATTTTGCGCAGCTGCCGTTTCATGACGCGTTTCGTAAGAAAGCCAGTATGCAAGCAGGTGTTTGTCAGTTTGTGTAATTGCAATAAAAATCATGCTGATGGCCTCTGTAATCTTGCAAATAAAGCCAGAGGTTCTTGAGCCCCGATTATTTGAGACGTGAACTGTGCGATGATGAAATTGCTGCCAAAGATGTGCATTTTCTCACCCGGTTCATTTTGTTCTGCAGGAGAGTTTGTCCCAAGCCAACGGAACAATAAAGTGGAAAAACCACGTGACGTGTCGATGTTTGAAGGAAAGAATATACATTCATCGCCCGTGGACGGGAAGCTGTTGTGTAGTTACAGTGAAAAGCTTTGCATGCAGAGGAGGCTCAATGGGTTTGCTTTTTGCATTCGCCACATTTTGGAAGACAGAAATGCGCCGTTCAAGCAGTGCCAGTTCTTTGCTAAGTACAACAAGAGCAGGTGTATCAATCCCGTGCCTATATCAGAGAAAAGAAAGTGAGTGTTTTGATCTTAAACTTCCATGGACTATAGAATAATGTATTAGAACAAGTTCCATGGACTTTGCTGTAATTATTTTTCAAGGACTCAAAAAATTTGAAGGCGAAGATTTCTGATTCGGGGCTTGATGAACAGATAACTATTTTCAAATTTTCAAGCTATGTTCCAGATTATTCGAATACGCAAGAAAATATTTTTTCTGTTGATGAACTGACAAATCGAAAACAAATCTCTAATTGGCTAAATGAATTTACCCATCTTGTTGTCCGTATACATGCTTGTGGTGAAAATGCTCTGGTTATGAAAGCTAGCAACAAAATATGATATTAATTAATATAATAGAGTTGGTTTAAATGTGTATTTATTTTCTAGTGATATGAATAGATTTATATTGAAGTTTAAGAAACACCCAAAAATACAAAAATCCATCTTGCATTTAAGCTATACGCCATTTTGTTGTTTTCAAAAAGTGCGCTATATTTGGCCCTTTTAAAATGTTCGTTTGAATATACATAGTCGCCTTGATACAGCTTTTAATTATTCATCCTTGCACACTCTCTTTGCCTATTAAAACTCCCTTGGTACAATAATGAGTTTTATATGCATTAAATAATTGATGTTTCTTGTCTGAATTTCAGTTATTGTAACAGTCATATGCAAGTGTTAGGCATTATACCCAAAAAAGTGAAGAAAAGGAAAGACACTAATGGAAAGAACAATTCAAGTGACTGTCTTGATATTACCAACAAAAATGGAAAGACTGTACACAAGGTGGTTCCAAAACATCATGCGGAGAGCGAATATTTAGCAAACCAAAACAACAAATTTCAATTGAACAATCGCAAAACTGGAAAAGAAAGCAAAAGGGCCAGAAGTAAAATGGATCTGCCAAGGAAGGACAGACACAGCGGAGTTGAAGGCATGATGCCCCCATTAAGGTGGAACCCACACAGTTATTTATGGAAAAAGATTTTGAAAAGGCGTAAGGCGGTAAAAAATAACTCTCATATCGGGAATGTTTCAAGCTCGGAGGTGGAGCAGTTCAGAAATTTATATAGGAAATGTAAGACAGAAACAATGGACCTGTTCAAAACTTACAGTGAGTTGATATTTTGTTTTAAAAAGGTTTTTCCATTTGCCACCTTTTTGACCTGCCTTTGAAAATGCGCATTTGCGGTTAATTAGCAACATCGGTTGCAAAGTTATGTTGCCCCCTACCACAGATTTTTTCGCATGTTGATGGCACCCATTCATAATCCCCCTTGAAATATCATTGACTAGTGCAATTTTAGATACTTCGGTATTAACTCCTCCCCTGTATAAATGACGTAAGTTCTTCAAGCGCCGTTGCTCTGGGGGAAAGATGTGGAGGGTCTGTGACTGCTTCAACAAACTGTAAATTTTCAAAGGCACCACTCTAGCTTCCGTGTGCTCCAGTGACGTTTGTTTGGCGTTTAGAATTTATGGTTGATCGGAACATATGTCATTTGTAAATTGTTTTTATAGCTGAGTTTTGTCGAAAGAAGAAGTTCTAGTTTTGCCCGATGATTGCTCGATCAGAGAAACTACATCAATTCCATAAACTACATCAACGATAGGGAGATAACTTATCCAATGTGCGTGTTACTCTCCTTTTGATTTATTACCTCGAAAAGTACATGATTTTAACGGCCACACATCGAGTCATTTTCCCCATATAAGTTACTGATGTGACGATCTCCTTGATAAAGAAACATGTTTTTGATCTAGTAACAAAAGCTGCACTGTTTATTATCGAGATCATCTCATCGTCTCCTTTCGGCAATATCTACCGTTTGGTTATAGCTTTTGATAAACGTCCAACGAAGGGACTGGTGAAGTGAATGTATTATGAACGTTCAACTAGCCTGTTTGTTATAATCTATAATTTTTTGCTTCAATTTACGTATTCCTGTTTCCGCCATGTTGACGACTGTTGTCTCATATTTCAGTGTTCGATTGTATTGAAGAGGATTGTTCGGAGTACGAAGAAATACCAACACAATCTGATGCTTCTGCGGATGTTGTGTATGTTTTGTTATTAAGTCTTTTATGTACTTTAACATTCTGAACAGCATGTTGTTTGATGTAGATCTTATCAATGTGTATCAATGAATGGAAACTGGTATTGCTAGAAACCCCTCCGATTGTCACAAATCCTGAGTTTTTAGTTTGAAGTGGAGTTCTAAACCCCAGCATAGCCCCAAAAGTAGAGATATACGATACTGGAAATCCCCGCAAAAAGTATTTCAACTCTTAAGAGCATTCAAGCTGTCATTCTTTGATTAAGCAACTTGTGTTTAAGAATTTTTTAGGCAAAAGTAGATACTCAGAAAACAATATTTCATAAAGATTTCTCAATCTTTGGTTGCAAACTTTAAAAAGTCCTTGATCCTGAAATGACCATTCGCATTTTTGAAATAAGAACCGAGAAAAATCTGACTCTTGAAAAAGTAGTTTCTTTTGCGGGGATTCATCGGATGGATTGGTATCATAGAAGTTTTAGCCAGTTGGTCGTGTGCTTCAGCTGCTCTTAAAAACAAAGATAAAAAAAGTAAGGGGAAAGCATACGAAAATTCTGAACAGGAACACGAGGGAAGGGAGAAAAATAATTGCAGTGAAAGAGATAATAGCAACGAGATTGGTGGAGAATTAAGGTGGATCGCAACTCAAATAGACGTTTGTTACGACTATCGTCTTAATTTCGCCACTAAAGTTTGGACAGTTTCCTTGTTTTGATTTCTTCTTTGTTCTTTTTGATTCAACAGCATGAAATTATTTAGGCTTTCTTAGTTCAAATTTAGGCCATTAGAAATATACAAATAATAGAAGACTGTACGTTTCTGCCCAGTTTCACCAAAAGATACATATTTCAATTCCAAGCAGCGATTAACTTGTTTGCCATTACACACTTTATTTAAGTTGTTTTGTTGTTGTTTTTTCTGACCATTTCTGTAATTCATCGTTGTGATTTTCTCATTGGTTCGATTTGCAGCTGTTCTTTCCTTATACGAGAGTCTCCTTTAGTTGAAATTTAGAGATCAACAGAGTATGATGCCTTTGAAAGCCATGCCGTCAAGCAATCACTGTTACCCTCATTTCCATAGAGCATGTCAGCGGTAGAGTACCGTGACGCACTTTGTATTTGTTTTGTGAAAGGCCTTTTTCAGTTGCTCCTTAATCCTGAGGCCGCTCCTTAATCCTGAGGCCAGCTGTCGTGATCCATGTTTGCTTATACCTCTTTACGGTTATAAGCTGTGGAAAAAAATCCCTTACTGTCAAGATTCTAGAGCTTTTGGCTGCATCTTACGATTAGAAACTGTTTAGTTGTATTTTATTTCAGTTATACAAGTATTTATATTTCTTTTTCAATACAGAATTTTGCTTGACAATGGTGATGGGATCCATCAACGGTTAAAACACCAAGGATCTCAACTGAGGCAAAGCATCAAAACGAGACTTGAGGATAGACAACTAACGTACTCCGTCTTGCAGTCACTGATAAACGCTGCGAAGGCTGCTGCAGTTGCCACCGCCAACGTCCTCGATTCGGATACAGATCATAAAAGACTACGGTATGTATTTGTAAAAAGCAGTTTAATTGAACTAATCATTTACATGTAGCCTCATAAACTGCCTATTCAAGCCTCGACACTTGAATATGCAAGTCGAAAAACAATACATCACTTTATAATATGAAACTCCCGGTTTTTCTTCGCGTGGTGAAGACCTTTTTAGCCTCAAGTCTATTATCAAAATTCGAAGATATTGCTGGTACCGACTGCAGAAGCGTATCTGACAGGGAAATGGGGGAGGGGGGGTCAGAAGCATTTCACAAAGGTGCACAGGTAAGAAGGGCACTAAATCGCAGAAAAGAGCGCACTTTTTAAAGATGCTACCTGTTACAAAAGGGCATTTTTCAAAACGTTTGGAAGGCTCGCACCCCTTGTTTACCCCCCGGCTCTGCGCTCCCCTGTTTAACCTCTCCCCTTCCAGTGTTTCATTGGTTGCTTGTGTATACTTTCGACAATTTATTCAAATATTCTACGAAATATTCAAGATAATTATCTTAAAATGTTTGCTTTTTTAATATCTTGTAGCACTAAGAAGTTATTTATAATGCAACAAGATTTTTTTATAGCAGGAAACCCAGGAATGTATTGTCGGTTTTAATCTCATTGATAGTTACTGTAATGACTGCATTGAAACGGTCAATGAAGCATGTTTGTGATCACTACAAAGTAAAACTGCAAAATATTACTGGGAAATAAAACTGCTTGATATAAATTGAAATAAACCTGCCTGTCATTGCCGAAAGGCAACTCATTGCCAGTAGCAGATGATGCTCCGTCTTGGTGCTTCGTTTTCGCTGCTAAAAAAAATTTCTGTTCGTGTATAAATTCACAAAACACCGAGTTGTCAATACCGTAAATCCTCGAATCCTGGGGGCTTACTTATTTTTTATATTTTTGGATGGGGGCTTATTCGAGGGGGGGCTTATAGAAATATTGTGGACATTAAGAAGACATTATTAAAAGACCTCGATTATTTTAGTAGGATTTACTTTATGAGCCTTTAAATAATTACTACCAAAGGTATGAATTTGTTGTGGTAATTCAATAAAATGCTATAGGCAACCTCAGATGGCGAAAATTATCAAATTGAGGGGTCCAATTCGAGAGGCTTATTCGAGGGGGGGGGGCTTATTGACAATTTGTAGTTCTAGGGTGGGGGCTTGTTCGAGGGGAGGGGGCGAGGATTTACGGTACTTACCTTTGCCTTTTCCTGTTCTTCATTTTACATTTCAGTAGCACGTTGCTTTCAATCAGATCGATTTTTCAGGGGTAAAAGAGTCAAGACTGCCAAATCAACCTGCTCTGCATCCGTGATGCCTGATGTTAGATGCTCAAAGGCAGCTTTGCCATATGCACGTCACTGCCTCAAACGTATCCTTTTGACGGTCTTTAAGCTCGATTTCGTAGTTTTGAAGTTTCTATATTCATCCGCATAGTTGTATATCTTTTCATTTATTTTCCAGTATACCTTTCTGTATTCTGATAATATTCAAAGCTCTCCAAGTGCATCCTAAAGAAAATTTGAGACATATCCCTGCTGGAATCGTTCTTAAATAAAGAAGAGTTCTCAAAATTTTGTGGAGAGCACCGCTGAAGTTGTAATACGATGGATATCAGATCACGCAGATCCGATTATCTCAAGAAAAGGTCTTCGACATAACTTTATCGAATGGTTAAAGGAACTAGTGTTTGTATTTAGGTGTTAGTAAAATTGTAAATCAGTAAACTCAATCTATAGTGTTTTGTCTGCAAAATATATTTGTTTAATCTTCAATTCAAATAAGTTGATTGGATAATGGTTGTTTATTTACAGTGTTATTTGCAGTGTTATTTGCAGTGTAAAAGTACAATTAGGTTTAGTGACTTTAAAAAGCATTGAAAGTAAAGAGTTAAGTTTTAAATCTTTTATTTGCCCTACTACGGCTTGCTTGGAAATAGCTGTCTTGAGTTTGCCTTAACTTGTACCATTAGACATTTCATCCGACGATGACCAAGTTTTATTTGGAAAATGCACTGCAAGGTTTGCCGCAGGCTCCCATTGTGGTGTCCCAGTGGTTGACCTGATCAATGAACGACCTCTTTGCAACGAGCATGCGCTTAAAAAGGTTTGTCAAGTTTTATCCCTGAGGTATTGTTTGCTTTAGTAGTACGCACTGTGAAAGTTCACATCGCAGCATTAAGTTGCATAAATTTAGCTTTTTCCAGCAATCATTTTTTGATCGAGATAATGTACTAACTGAAAATCCCTCGACAATATCTCGAAAGTACTTAAAATAAACGAAGACTAAACATCTAGCTATTAAAGTTGAAGTAAATTGTCTTACGAAACATCGCAAGTATTTCTTGGTGACTCAGTAAGTAAATGCTCAACGTATAGATAATCAGTAGGCTAACCATTAAACTATCACGACCTATGCATGAACATACCACAGAAACATACCATCATATTTTTATTTGTAATTTTCATATTTTCAATCTTTTTTGCAGATTATTTCGGCGAACAAGGAGGCATCGTTACCAGCAAAAAGATTAAAGAAACCAGAGAAAATAGAAAAGAACCGGACGAAAGCAGCTCTTCCGCGCAAAAATTTGAAGGCACAGCTGCAGAAGAAGTTTGCCATACCGAACAAGCCGACAAAGAAAGGAAATTGCCATGTCGGTTCAGTTGCAGCAGACGAAGACAGGCCTCCTCCTGAGAAGAGGGACAGTTTGAAAGTGACCTTTAAGGCATCTAACGAGAGCAATTGGGTGCTCAGTGATAATGGTAGTGATGCTGATCAATCAAAAGGTATTATTGTTGCACCTCGGCCGTATGAAGAAAAAACGGACAACAGCTCCTCAAACGATTTACCATTTGATATCGAGGCAGACTCGTTATCATCGCCGTCTTTACTATCGGAAGATGAGGAGCGCTATCCACTTATGAACATCGGTCGAAACCATCACGACAGCTTCACGTTTGATGACGATGACGACCTCATTCGCAGTAGCACCTTTCCTATGAGCCATGTTGCTGACGGTAGGGATATCAGAGATATTACATCACCAACGCTAACCCAGCTTTCGGCTGAATCGATCCCAGTTTCATTGGCTTTGAGAGAACTTTGTCCGCCTACCACGCTGGCGCTGGAGAAGACGCAATTCGATTCTGCGTCATCATTAAAACAAGACCCAGCAACACCCGGTTTCAAACGGTCAATTAACCAAGCCTTTGACAACCCGGTGACTGAAACTCGAGACGAAACATTAGGTTCGCACAGAGCAATAGATAGAATAAGATCAGAAGGGCTGTTTTCAGTAACCAACTCCCTTATAACAACTGACAATTACAATGTGATTGATACAACTATCGCACCTTCGACAAGCACCATGGCTCTTACATCCAATCTGAATTCGGTTTCATGCTCGGTCTTATCAACTGCTTCGACTTGGGCCACCAAATTTACAATACCGACTCGGAGTGAACAGCTAACGGCACCTGGGGTTGGTTTCATACGAGTTGGACCGTCAAACCATAACAGTATTTATTCACCCCCATTCACCTCGCCGTCCCCTCGCTCTAAAGCCGATGTGTTTAAATTTGAAAACAACGCGAAGCAACCAGAAAATGATTTGATTGTGTTACCTAGAGACCCTCCGCCTTATTCAACGGCTGTTCGAGCTTTAGACAGAAAGTTTGATGCTGAACCTCCTCTACAAAAGGTCAATCCAGACATTTTTCTATCCACGATGTACACAGTTTCTGAGAGTTCTAACTGAAGATTTTGCTTGTATAAACTGGCATTTGAATGCATTCAATGTAAGTAAGATAATGTGTATGTAATTTTTAATTGCACGATAAACAACTTCATTTCTGTACGGGGCTTTCAACTCAGGTGTTTTTCTTACCATTTCTGTGTTCCAAAAATTCGTTATGTTTGCATAAATTATTTCATTAGACTCATGATGCTGAACTTGGTCAGCGATGTTTTCGAAATAGTGTTTATTACGAAAACGTGGTTCAGGGGATGTCAGGCTGCAATGGACTCTAAAGCATAATCAAATATAGAATGCTTGCTTGTTCTCAAATTCTCAGATTCTTTGCTTCGGTGGTTCACTGCAGAGCTCATGAAAGAAACTAGTTGATGCTCTCTTATTTTAACACAGATTCTCCCAGTTTTCCGTCTGTACCAGTCTGTCTCACATCAAGGTTCAACTGCCCCCTCCCCCAGAAAATTCCCAACATGGGTCGTTGCCTCACTAATTAGAAAAACTTCATCGACCGCCCAACATGATCTCTAGAGTAAAGTGGTGAAAATGCGTTAAGTGTGAAAATCTAAATTTTTGCCATTGCAAAATTTGCAATTTCAAGTCAGCTGACCTATAACATTGAAACTTTGGATGTGCGCATCAGCAAAAAGGAAACTGGTCATTTTTAGTCATTTTATTCTCTATAAGGGTCAGACAACAAAAAAGCTTAATTATAACATATATTTGTACTTGAAATAGATATCTTAGCTGCTAACTACTGCCATTACGGCTGCAAGTAGGTACATCATTCCAAATTTGCGGTCTTAACAAAAGGAAGCTTCCTGACCAGAAGGTAACTTAAATTGGTATGTGATGAATTAATTTTTCGGTTCATTGTTGACCTTAATGTTGTTGGTTTTAGGTTGATAGTGTCCTGCATGAAAGCTATGAAAGAAGGGCTTGATGCTTAGTTCTAATTTTTTAATACTAAGGTTTACAAACGATTTTGAAACGGCTAGCTAGAAAGAATGTCGTCTTTACATTTGTGAGCTCGCTCGTGGATCTTCCCACCTTTTTCACTGTCTTTCAATTGAAAATGCCAGACGAGTAGGCAGTAATAAAAAAGGAAAATATGTTACCTTTAACTTTTTTCAATGTTTTTCAGCTGCGCTTTTCAACTTCGATTGGAAATGCGATCGTCAAAAGTTAAGCCGAATTCACACTGTTTGATCGCCACGTGGCGCGTCACCGGGCTTCATGTTTCATGCAGTGCAGACACGAAGCTTTGCGCGTCATGCTTTCTCGCGATTGCTTCTTGTGATCTTGTGATCAGACCAAGGACAGATCCTTGTCGTACACAAGAAAGCACGAGCTGGAACGAAGTGAATGCGTTTTTCACGCGCACCGGCTGTTGTCTACGCCCCAGAAAAAGATATAAACAAGAGCACCCTTAAGAACGCCAAAAGCGGATAATTTCGCGATAAGTAAACCATGAGAGATAGGTAAATCCGTGAAGATGACCCCCTCAGTATTGTAATTATCAAAGCATGACATTAACTATGCTCCCACAGCAGTTTGGAACACACGCTGAATTCCAAGAAATGTTATTTGAATTGACGTGGATATAATGGATGGAACTTTGATGTTATACAGTCTTTCTTTTGAATAAGAACTTTAAAATAACCACAGATTATTGACCAGGAAAGCATATGGGATTAGCATCACTGGAATGCGGACATGGTTAGGCGATGGCCTAATAGCAGTAATTAATAAGGTAACATTTCAAGTAACTCACGCCAAGACAACAATTGGCTCAGATCTAAACTGGATCGGATCCAGGCTAGCCTGCGTCACAGACCAGGGGCGGAAATTGCGGAGGTGTGGGGGACGGGTGCCCTTCCAGATTTAGCTAAATTTTCGGTTAAAATAGGCTTTTGTCGCTAAGTTATGTCATTTGTAGGGGAAATTTACTTGCTTTTGTGGGGTTTCCTGAAAAATGAATTTCCGCCATTGTCACAGACCATCTCCTCCACTGTGTTTGTACCGTTTTGGGGTCTAGTCCGAAGGGAACTGTTCCCTTTTCCTCTCGTGTAAAGAAGGGTCAGGACTACAATGCCTGCCAAAAGTACTTGGAACACCCGGCAAATTGCATTCATTTTATATCACTCATTCCTTTTCCAAAAAAGAATTTACTACTTCTACCCTCTTCCCCCTAGAACAATGTCGATAATTTAGAGAATTATCATTGAAGAAGCGCAAACGAAAGTGCTTCCTAAAGTCCTAACCCTCTTCATAGTACAGCATTGTTCCGTGGGGGAGAGGGGGATGATTGATTTTGACCTTGGAAACTGACGTCAGTGTTCCAAGACTTTTGGCAGGCATTGTACTTGTTTATCTGTTATTTTACAGAAATGGACATGCTCGTTGGGGAATTACCCTATTCCTATGAAAGACGTCTATTCCACTGTTAATAATGATCCATGGTACTTTCTGTTCCTATTGCAAAATTGAGTTTGCTTGCAGCCTTTAGATATGAGCCTAAAACTAAAACAGGAACAAGAGGGGTGTGGGAGCATGAGGGCCTTGTGACCTCAAGATTTGCAAGGGCTTTCAGAAGGTGATTTTACAATGTTCCTATTCTCTTTCTAAATAACTTATTCAGTAATTTTCTTTTTTCTTAATTGCTGATAAAGTGAAATTTAGAATATCCCATCGTTATGTTGGACACCTCTGCAATGTTGGCTTTTTCTCTGCTTTCCAAATTCTCAATCTGATATATATATATATATATATATAATATATATATATATATATATAACCATGTCATGCCACCCCCTTGCTTTCAGCCATAGGGGCAGCGGGGGAAAACATGCCCTTTAAAATGTAACGAAGTCATGCACATTTGATATTTGAGCAGGCTCCCCTGATTTTGACCGAATGATAACCATAACCAAGCAACAAAACCTACTAGGTGTGTATCAGAGAATGAGGTCTGTATGAGATTGTTTTGAAAAATCTTAAACCAAGTTTCTGTTTTTATAGCTTAAAGTTTCAACTGGTTTCCTTTAAGTTACCTTTTTGGTTTGGTTAATCAATAAACAACATTCTGAATCAGATGTTGAAACGTAGTGGGCATTTAGATACCCTTTTCATTATTCTTAACATTGCCATTCCGACCCCAGTTTGTATGCAAGTCAAATGCTAAGTGTTTGAGATAACTGCCTACCGTTGCTCAAAAGGCATATTCTATCTCCGAGGTGTAGGAACCGTAGAGGCACTGGGGGCACGTAACCTAAAAGATTTTGCAGTAAACGAAAACGTCCTTTTCAGAAAGTGCCCTATAACATTTTCCCCTGTTACAACGAGTTTAAGTTGACTGCAGGCACAACTTTCTTTCAGGCCAAGCACTTCTCCATGATAGATTCCAGTGGCCTAGTGGTAACTGGGATCTATCATGCTCTAGTGGTGCGGGGGCAGCACGGGGGCAATAAAGTGCCCTTTTCAAAAAAATTGTTTTCTCAGCAATGTTAATTCATCTAAAAATTGGAATGCTAATGAAATATAGGTTTCAAGCATCTCTTGATACCTACATGCAAAACAAAAGTCAATATTTTCCATTTTGATGAGAACTGGAAATCGATTTGCAAAGAAATTTGACCAACAAAAACATTATCGTTGATAAGTTCTATTTAACTATCATGATCATGCCGAAAAGATTTCAAATTGCTATCAACGTTGGCTACCATATGTTCGATATATCAGTCAAGGCATAAATGATGTTTTCAACTCAAGCAAAGATGTAGGAAGTAGGGGACACGTGCACGAATCCCCCTTTTTTCCAAAATTCAGTTTACCCTGCCCCTTTGCAGCTTCCTCAGTTGCTTGTTTTGCCAACAACATAACGAAATAGTGCCCTTGGATTGCTTAGATGCTATACGAAATGAGCAAAGGGGTACCCTTTTGGGGTGTTGATCTGAAATGTTTCTTTTCGATCTGCTTTAAGAAGTACCAAAAAACAAGCTAACAACAAGGTTTACCGAAAGGTGGTGACGATGGAAAATTGGCCATGGGCCTTGCGGAAATGAATTTTTCAGGTGATCTAAAGGGTATGATCGCCAAAATTTTTCTGCTCGCTTCTCTCACAAAGTGGCTCCATTTTCGATTCTGCTGTAAGGCCTCCAAAACCTCTCGACGGCACTACATACAACCATAGACACAGCTAAGCCAGAAAATGATATCTATATAATTGTAGCCATTCTGTATATACATAGATGATTATAATTGTAGCCTTTTTAACAATAATAGAATGAGATGATTTTTTCTGCTCTCAAGATCTTTGTCAAACAGATTTAGCCAAATATGGAACTCAGTTCTAAACGAAATAAGAACTCCCCAACTTTACAAAACTTTAAGAAAAAATCTCAGAATTTTCATCGCTCAATACTTGTGATCTTTACAAGAAATACTAATGCGGCATCAGTTATATTTGATTTGGATTATATTTAGTGTTGGTAATTTAAATTAGTTGACTTTATTTAGATTGACTAAAGTTGCAGATTGTACCAACTTTAAATAAAGAAAGAAAGAAAAAGCAACTTCAAAAGAGTTATATCCAAAATTTATATCAAGCCACAGGGTTTATTTTAAGGAATTTTTTTCACTGAACATATTCAAAATTTTTGAAAATTTGGGTGTCGCCTTTCGAAAATTTTCATGACCACACCCATCAAACTAACTGGATTATGAACAAAACTCGATCACTTTTAGATAATGAAAAAATTTCAAAGAGATTTCCTAGATTAATATCATTGTTACTGTTGTCGTTTTTAATATTGTAATGCTCTTTTAAAAGCATTATGTGTGCAGGGTGGCAAAACGACTAAACTTTCCATTAAACTTCTGGCTAAACAAAAGATGAGTGAAATGTTTAGTGAAATGTTTAGTCGTTTTGTCAGGGCTTTATGAAACAAAATCTGAAGTCTCAGGTATATATCAATCTCATTGCATCGCAATACAGATCTCAATCTTATATATGTTTGGATGCCAAGAGATACAGCGTTTGGGCGAGTAACAAAAAGGCTGGTATAAAGTTTTGTAGTAGAAGATCTTTGAAAAATATTTAAGGTATATTTGAAGTTTTGATACTCCACAAAACAATGACTTAACGAAGAACATCATTCTTTACTACCTAAAAGGTCTTCGTAGCATATCTTCGATGAAGGATAAGTGCAAAGCCTTGAAGAATTTGTACTCGGGGATCTGTTTCAAGTATTATCACGCTGCCTCACTATCCTTATCACAAAGAGAGTTCAGAGGGTAAATCTCTTGAATACTTCCAGCTATTCAAATTTGGTATAAAAGCATTAGTTTGGTATTAGATGAGCCGGCAGACATTTATAACCCAAAGTGTTTGGTTTGTGTTGGATCATAGCTATTTAATTAAATCATTCGTCAGTTTTTCTCAGCTAGAAGTCTAAAAATATCCAGTAGATCTTAACTTGATACTTATTTTCACGAAGGCTAACTTAAATCTTAGATCCACACGAGGACATAATTATCTGCACACTAGCATCGTAGTGTACCAGCATTTCGGAGCCTTTGCGTGTTGGAGTAATTAGTTAGGGGGGGGGGGGTGCCCTTACGTCAGCTGAATGGTCTGACATGATTTAATTTTTCGTGACAAGAGCTTGGACCTAATTGTTAGATGCCTATATCATACCCTTTGTTACACGCTAGTATGGTACGACCATCCACTTCTCCATTCTAACAGTTTATTTCTGCGCATGTATTAATGTTATTTTGATACCATTGCGTCGAGACACCCCATAGGACTTGGAGAGTCCTGTTCTGCATACTGTGAATACTGTATCGAAAAGGTTTTTTGTACGTTTTCTGGAAAACAATGTCTTTTGAACTATTTTATGTTTTATCATGTCAGTTGTCTTCCTATTAACAAATGATGAATAATGCAGGTGATAGCATCGAATATGATGTAAGTGAAGATTGGAGTTTTAAATTGGAAGGTTTTTGTTTATTAACATCGCGATTAAAAACAATTTCGTGGCATTTTGTGATTTCATTTGATTTCCCTTTCTGAATATAACAATAACGTAAATTATAAGATGCAATTTTTAAAGATTTGTTTTGAACAACAGAAGATGACAAATTTGTTAAAGTAAAAACAATGAAAAAATAAACAGAGAAAAGTAATAGATAATTAATATGACACAGTGTTTGTGCGTTCAACTTTTGAAGAAATGCAAATATTGAAAAACTAAATTGAAAAATTTACTGCTACCATGGTAGAAATAGTTAGCTTAATAAGACTTAAATTGCCTTAATTCTGGAAAATATGATTTTATGTAGGCCTAAGTTTTTAGATAGCAACTTTTTAGCCTAAACTCAATTTTCAAGTAAGGATAACCTATTGCTACTTTAAAAAGAAATGGCTGATCAGCTTCTAATAAGTAGCTGAAGGGTTTACGCAATGAAAAGAGCGGGCATTTGTAAGGAGGAAAAATCTAAACATAGATCAAGTGCATGTGATTACTGCAAGAAAAAATTGAATCACGTTATCACAAATTCAATCAAGTATGGACAATCAGGATTTGAAATTGCAGCGTGATCACTTCCAAACACTGCATAATAGGCATGCTTCAAAGGTTTGTTTTCTGGATTGCGAATCTAACCTATGCTAAGAAATCTAACATCTATAAAATATTTTAACTTGGAATTTTCAGAGAGATTTTGCAATAATTGCTGGGAGTAGTATTAATACGGAACAGTCTTTCGAAGGTGATGAAGCATAGATCGAAAGCCATAGCCAACGAAGGCTGAGCAAAATTGCAAAAAAATTAACAAAGAAAATTCGATTGTGCCTATAATCAGTAGATTTACGATGAATTACGTCTTAAATTGAAATAGGGAAGATTACAACCTTAAAAATCAAAATATTTAAAACTAGGAAATATTAAAAATGAAGATATTTGTTTAAACTTCAGCTTTCATCCATGAGTTTGGTTGCAACATCAGGCACTTCAACTTCGACTCCAGAAGATCCACTTTTCCTAACATTGTTTGCGAAGAACAAGCCAAGTGCGACACATACACTGACAAACATAAAAAAACCATTGACGAAGAAGACAGCACCTGGATGGATCGAGGCCACTGCATAGTACACCAACGGGCTTATCATTGAGCCAATCAGAATAGCAAATGTTTCGAGAATAAGCAATGCTGCAAAGAGAATGCCAACTGTCGAAGGGGGAGTTATTTTGGAAATCATTGCTCTTATGGTCGGTGTAGCAAGTGATCCCAAAGCGAGCGCTAATTGGGAAAGGTAGAGCATCAAGGGCGAGTTTGCAAACCCAATCAAAACACAGTATACAGCTGAGATTGATGTGGTCAAGAACAGGATGGTGAAATCGTTCAGTTTAAGAAGGCGTGTGTAAAGAAAGTTAAAACAAACCATACCCAGAAAGGAAAGAAGTGCACTTTGAAATGACAGAAAGTAGCCTATTTTCTTAGGACTAAAATAATAAGGATGATTTTTTAAGTACAGAATAATCACTGACCTCTCTCCTGAGCTTGTAATTGTTGTGAATATTATAAGAAAGAACAATATAAGGCCATAATTCCGCTTGTCACTGGCTTTTAATATATTGTAGACTCTCTTGACAGTTGTAATGGGATTTGATCTTTGTGCTACTGACAAAAGCCTTTTTAGCAAACTTGGCTTAGGTTCACTGGAAGTAATAACCTGGTTGCAGGATGAACCCTCTTGCACAAGATCCCTCTTCATGTCGTCCTTTTTGAGCAGTTCTTCCTTGCTTTTCTTTCTTTTTTCATCTTTAACATCGGCTCTGATACCGTCAGCAATGGTGATTCTCTCTTCTTTACTATCACGTGTATCACTAATTTCCTCATTTCTAGCCTCCATCTGATCGTTAGAAGTTTTCTCTCCATTCATCTCTCTGCTTTGCTTCCTAGTCTCGTTTACAACTGAATTCAGCCCTTCACATGTTTCTGTAGGCGATGCTATTGGTTTTACAAACAGAGCGAGGTGCAAAATGGCCATAATACAAAACCCTATATTCAAGATAAAACCTCCAAGGTATCCAATCCTTTCTATGATGAATCCACTTGAGAGATTTGCTGTGAATCCAGATAAATAGGTGGCGGCTTCTAAAAAATTTATTCGTAATGTCCTTGTTTCTTCTGTTGTTATATCTGATATATAGGAGCATGCAAATACGTACAAGGCACTTACATCACCAACAAAGCACGAGAATATACTAACCAACATCAGGAGCCACGTGGTGAAACGAAGGCCACTTTGTAGAATAACAACAATCAAAATATTTTCAATCATTTGACTCACTGGCGTCAAAAACATGAGTTTCTTTCGTCCAAACTCTTCTGACAGTGTTGTAACGAATGGCAAAGTCAATACAGTTATAAATGTAGCAAAAACCAAACATCCACAAAACCACAGGCTCGACTCTTCTTGCAGGATGTCATAATCTTCCTTGAACGAACCCGTTAACATTGCTGCACATTTCGTTTCGTTGTGTTTTTTTAAGCACAAGTGTTCCAATAAAATCTGCGGGAAGGCAACAAAATTGAGCGAAAGTGCCTGCATGCACAAGAATACCAAAGGCTCCACAGTAATTGGCATACACTTGAACGGCATTTTAGCTGATCTTGGTGCTTGCTCTCACTCTACCCTCAGTCGTGTGGCACAGATAAATTACTATGGAAAATTGAGATGGCAACCGAGTATCACATTGCTTTGGTTTTATTCATTGGTACGAGGATGGCTCAGTTGTTAGAAGCGCTGACTACAGACCCAAGGGTCCGGGGTTCGAGTTTCTGGCATGACCAAACTTTCACCCAGAGAGAGGAGAGTCGCCAGCTCTCTGTAATTCCAGGCATTGAAATCACGAGGTGTGGTCACATCGAGAGGAAGGACCAGGACACTGCTCGGTAAGCATAGCCTCTCAGTGTCTTAAAAACTACCTTCGGATGCTAGGTAGCAACAAATACAAGTACAAATACAGAAATACAGAATTGGATTTTAATAAAGCGAATTTTTTTGAAATATATCAAAATCATTCTCAGTTTTAAACTTCAAGGGGGGAGGGGGGATTAGTGTCCAGTCTCCAGCATCCTTCTCATATGCTGACCGAACATCCAATGTGAAACGGGTTCTAGTAGTTATCAGCAATTAATAGTATTTGTAAGTGTCCGTAATTGTTTCATTTAGCTGTTACCTGTTATATGTTTTTATGATAATGGCCACAGGGTAGTCATTGTCTTTTGTTCCCTGTGGTCCCTTCCCTGTAGTGTTGTACACTTTGTAAAATAATTAGAAGGTATAGTAGGATGTAGACGTAAGCATGTATCGTAAAAGATTTTATATGATATAAAAAAACAAAAAAATATACCTGCATTTGTGTTAAAGACTCTCCGTTTTGTGTAGACAAAATTCAAACTTTTCGATGCCACAAGCAGACTGATAAGAAATTGCTCATTCATTAGAAATCTATAGCAAAATATAGGATTGCCAACACAGAATTCATCCAACTAAATGAAAATTCCCTTGCAAAGGGAGGCTGAGCCCTCTTAAATTTCTTTGAGTTTTAACAAGGTGGGCTGAGCCCTAAAATATTTTTACTATAATTATTATTGTTATTATTATTATTATTGTTATTATTAAACCTTCGCCCTGATCTTCTCTTGAGGACTAACAACAATTACCTCTACATTTTAAAGCTAACTGTTGGCCTGAATCCAATCTTAACACAAATGCTACAAGAAAACACAGCAAGTATGCTCCTCTTTTATCTGGTTTACAGCGGCAGTTCAAATGTGTCTCTTTTGTTAATCTTTCTATGAGCTCTCTTGGCATCTTCGGCAATTCCTGCATCTCCTTCTTCAAAATGTGTGACTCTCTCTCCATCGATCAGCAACAAAAACGGTATCTCATTTCTAAACTTTCCAACATTGCCATCCGTACTACGTACTACATATTTTGTTGCAAAAATAAACCATGGACAAATCCGGAATTGCATCCTTTTTAACTTTGGTAGTTTTATTTTTCTCAGTTTTTCCTTTTACCTTACGATTGTTATAGTTTTTTCTTGTAAAACCAGGCTAGCCAATTGCAAATTACCTTGTAATAGTGAGATTTGTAATTGTAGTTTAAGTCGAATTGAAAATGAAATGTTTCCATTATTATCATTATTATTATTATTTCAATTTTCACACGGCGGTGGTGTTGACTGCCGGTAACTGCTGGATAGCAGGCCAAATTCCTTGGCTTTAGGTATCCAGTACTTTTCTCAGTATCTTTGCGGTTCCTAATAGGCAAGCTTTCTGCAAGAGTTCTGTGCTACATTCTATTTCAATTTTCTTCATCCAGTTCTCAAAGTTCTTTCCAATCGTACCCAGAGCTCCAATGATTATTGGCACCAGAGCCGTCGCGAGGCAAGCCTTGTTGGGGGGGGGGTGTAGACTACAAATCTACCTAATTAAAAAATAATTACCTCAAATTCTTAAGTTGCTGTCACAAACTTCTGCAATACATTTTGGCGATCTAACTGTGTGGCATATAATTTACAACATTTATTTTATTTTAAAATGATAATAACGGACTTTTCTAATAGTTTTGCCAAATCTGTATACCGGGACGGGCAACTACCCGAGGCGGCACCATGGTTGCCGCCGAAGGAGCAGAAAATTTTCGAATTTTCATGCTTCCAGTTCCCTGGAAAATGCACTCAGTAAATTTTACTAAAGCCATCCTCCTAATCCTACCAAAAAGTATTTTATTTTTGCGAACAAATTGAACAGCAGATAAAAACAACTGGTACAATCTCACCGTGGTCTTGAAAAATTCCATGTTGTCAATTACCTCTTGAGCTAGGTAACAAGCAGCACTGGTTGCCTATTTAGATCCCTCTTTCCAACTTAGCATGCCTTTTTAGGTGAAATGGACACAAGACACAATTTAACCTAAAAAGTGCCTGGATTTTTTTATTTTGTGCCAACAAGAAACCTTCAAATCTTCAAGTCATTAGTTTATTAACTTCCTCCATATCAAGAAATATCATGTTTAGCCAAAGGAGTAACTATTTTTTTTGCTTGATCCTTTATTGATGTTAATGCATGAAGGTCGCTTAAATACCTTAAGCGTTTCTTTCACTGGGCGGATTTTACCTGAAATTTCCTATCGAGATACTATTTGGGGGCTGTGACACTCCCCCACACCCTCCCCGGCCGCGACGCCCCTGATTGGCACTATCTTGACTTCTCTTACATTCCATAGTCTCTTGATCTTTCTCTTCAAGTCTTGATATATCTCAATTTTTTCCTTTTCTTTTCTTTCAATCCTGGTGTCGAAGGGGTGTTTTTCGTCAGAAGTTTGTATTTTCGTCAGAAGTATGTGAAACATTTGGAAAAAAGAGAGTGCTCTGCTCTGAGAAGCAACAGCTCTCATGGCACAAATTATGTGTGTTGTTTGTGCATTTGCATCGAACATAGTTTGCTACAGTTCATATAATTTCAATATAATTTCTTCTACTTACTCTTTCGAAACACAATATTACATCGCAATAGGCAGCTAGGACTCCGATGTGCTTCACAATAGAAAATTTTACGTTGCCATGACTTTTAGAGTGCCCGAAGAATGAGGGAAAGGTCTCTTTTCAAAATAATTGTTTAATAAGTTTCTTTGGTTTTGTAAAGCAAAGTCGAAGCTATGCAAAAACATTGCATTTATGAATCAAAAGCATCGTTACGGATTTCAAAAGGCGTGTGTCCTGGCGGGACTTGTGCCTGACAGTGGGGTCCATTCGAATTGAGGGTTTTACCAAATGGCAACCAAAAGGCCAGTTTCGATATTAAGACAAGGGCTCAATTTAGCTTGCAATTTATTATAGATAATGAGCTACAATCTTTCCCGAATCAAGAAGGACCAGAAATTGTTCAAAGAAGGACCAGACGTGCACAAAGAAATGGATGCTACCAAAGACATAATTTCGGACCTTATGCTACCGTTTGAGGGTTATTGTCAAAAAAGACTACAATTTGAGGATATTTTTGAAACATTTCAGCTTTAGCCCTTTTTGACCCTGACTGGACCCTCCGTTTAGGTAATAATGGGAGTGCCCTCGGGCCCTACGAAATTTAGCCCGGGTTCGCCCATCTATCGTAGGTGGGTTCGACCAGACCCGGGTAAACAGCATTAACTTTTTGTGTAAACGCATAGTGGGTTTAACCCGGGTAGTTGTGAACTCGCACATGTGCAATAATGATGAACGGCGGTGAAAAAGAAGTTCTCCTTCTTCTAAGTATATGGGGAGCGTCTATGGGAGAGTCCGAAAGAGACTGGCGTTCGAAAAATGGCGAAACTTTTTCCGGTGCAAAGCTATGAACTGAGCCACTAGCAAAAATGAAAGGATAAAGCAGCGAAAAAAGAAATATAAACAGATAGGAGATAATGATAGTGTTTTAGAAGGGACCGTACTACTTGCACTTTCTTTAACAAGATCGACGAAATACTCAAAGGCAATTACATGCTATTTTTTATAAGGAACCTACCTCAAGGCCTAGTTTCGAAAGCTCCTTATTCGTAGACCTCAAATTATCAAATTGCAGTACCAATAGTTCCTTAATTTTCACTGCACATCAACTGCCATAAAAATAGTACAGGAACAGGAAAAACATAAAAATTTTGATTTTTGCCTTTACTTGTGGCTAGAACTCAGGGCATAAGCACAAAGAAGGCTACGTAAAGTAAAAACCTCGCTTTCGGTGTTTTGACTATAATAAGCCTTAACACTTATAGAGAGAGGGGCGAGACAGCATTGACAAACGGATAGCAAACAATCTATGCGAGTATTGGCTGCAAATGAATGGAACCGGATTTTTAGTTCTTGGTGCTTGCAGTTATAAGCATTTTTCAAATCAAAAAGTTCCTTAGGGATTTTGTTTTTAGGAGCATTCTTTAAATATTTTGGCCTTCTACGGTGCCAGTTACACTATACCGGATTGCTATCGGAGCGGAGCAACTTTCATAACGGGTAGGGGTTTGAGTTACACTACGCCGCACGAATCCGGTACACAACGCTCTGATTAGCGGAGTGAAAATAGCTTGCGCTCCAGACCTCTAACTTGAAAGTCAAGTAAGGGGTCTGGAACACAGGCTAAGTGAAAATCACTCCGCTCTGGAGGTGATCCGAAAATCACTCCGGACTCACTCTGTAGCGGAGCGTTCTAGTGTAACCGCACGAATCCGATATGCTCCACTTTGGAACAAAGGATTTTCTTATTGTTTTCTGCTTGAAGCAATTCGATCGATAGTGAACAATGGCGCTTTCTGAGATTTTGTTGCTGTTGGATAATGCCAAATCGAAATCGTCAAAACATTTTCGTATTTGGATTTTATCTCTTCCCGAATTTTAATGAAGTGGTCCTTGGACGAAAAACATACTTAACACATCAGTTAGCAACACAATCTCGCTACGAACCCCATCATTTATCTCTCAGTTTCATGGTTGTTTTCGTCATTTTATGCATAGCTATTGGCAACGAATTCGCAACAGCACATAGTTTCGAAAAAATCATCAAAAATTTAATCTGGTGGATTTTGTGTACCAAAGATGCAAAGGAATACAGGCTTATGATCGAGCGGAACGTCGTAGCGTAACTGCTACCCCAAATATCACTCTGGAGTAAAAGTTACTCCGCTCTGCTCCGCTCCGATAGCAATCCGGTATACATGTAGGTTCCTTACGAAGTGGTTCCTTATAAAAAAGCGTGTACTGCAAGGCCATTTGCCATCTACGACGGTGAAGAGGATAGTGATGAGAATAAAAATGCTGTTACACATCAGGTGGATAGTCCTTTTCCCCTAAAAGATGAGAACAGTCCCTCTCATAGCCAAGCCCTTCTCAGTCACTCAGTGACTGTCACTGTCAACTTGCAACGACGTTCCCAACTTTACACCACAAAGACCGTTGAACTTTGCAACTTCTAGAGCAAAATCTGTTATCATCTTGTTCATCTTTCTCGCCCTCTAAAAGGAGAAGATATAAAGTGTTGCATACAATAATTTTGAAAGGAAAAATTCTCCAAACATTACTAATGACGGTAGCGTAAACTCTGACCCCCGTCACTGGGCAGCTTTTCTTTTTAGTTTTGCAAAGAATTCAGCAAAAAGTCTCATGACCACGGTGCCCATTGAACTGCGAAGGAGCGTCGCAGCATCTGCATGGATGATTTCTTTTATATTTGAACATATCAATGATTACTTTTACAGTTTTCACTGGGTAAGGGAACAGAAGGAGTGTTGAGCTCCCATGGCAGCATCCTGGTATTGAAGCTGCTGACTTATACAGTTTAAGTGTGGCTTGTTTCAAAGCAATCGCAAGCAACCACAGTCGTGTTGTGATTTCCCGAAACAGTCACGATATACTTATAGATGAATTGACAGTTCTACCGACGATTTCTTCGAAATGAAACATATTTTATTAATCTTTTGCTTCATATTTGCTGCATCCAACAGTTTTGTGGAATCTGCATTGAGGTAAGTGATGGTTTTATTTTCCATTAGGTGATACAATTGAATTTGCCTTGTCATACTTCTTCAACAATCAACTTCCGCACTTTGAACCGGCAAAACCAGACCTGTTCCACGGAAGAGACTAGAGTAAAATAACTCTCATTGAATACGTATTCGATTGACTTACTGCTTTGTGTTGAACGATACTTTGCAAAATAAAATCAGTAGTTTGCGAATAGATCTGCAATGTTTTGTTGAGAATATCCTTTTGATTAAGCAGAGGCAGCGGTTAATGTGATGTTTTAAAATCAAGTGATCCTGTTTAAATTAATACCTCGAAAATTTGTAAAAAAATAGATTTAAAACAGCTAACTCTGAAAGACTGTTTTTTTCGGTCAAAGAATGATCTTATTGACAGAATCCTAGTCTCTAGCAATTAAGAAATGGCATTTTGACGACGGCTTAATGAAACAGGCCAAGAAATGTTAGTCACTACGTAAATTTACAGAGTTTTGCAAACAAACAGATCTTTAATCAGTCTGAATCGTGAGTTCACACTCCTTGCAAGATAAACAGTTGAAACCAAATTTGTTTGTTTGTAACAAATATGCTGTGCAAATTTGTTGTCTTGTACCTAGGCAGTGATGATTATGTAACGTTTCCAGAGAGAAGATCAAAATCATCTAGGACCAAAGTAGATTTTTGTTTTTGGTCCTTTGTTAGATTGAAAATGTAGTTTTTAGTGTAGGACCTCATTTTACTAAAATTCAATAAAGCTTGCACATCTCTGCATCTAAAATGAAAGAAATGTAAAAAATCTAATAATTTACCATCAGTGTTTTGGTAAAACATTCATGAAAGCTCTAAATGTATATATCAAACTGATCACTAATTGTTAAAAATTGTTTGTTTATATCCTTATTTGACCTTGAAATTATTAATTTCATGTTTATGGTATTTTGAAGTTTTTTGTTCTCGCCTTTAAAATGTTATGCAACAGGAGGTACAACCTTGCTTCCTCCAAAAACAAGAGGACATTTGTATCAACCGAGTAGGAGGGGCCCAAAAAAACTTAAGTAGCATAAGTGAAATACTTTTATTTAGATTTAGATGTAGTAACACTTATTTATCAGGACCTGCCTCCTCCAAAAATATCCCACAGCATACAAAGCAGATCGAGTTGGCTAATGAATGGGAAGAGGGGGGAGGGGGGGAGGGGGTTGCTGAGAGCCTCAGTATATTTTAGAGGATTATCTAGGAATTCTTCAATTTGAATAAGAATTATGAGTCCTCTGGAGTGTTCTATAAATGTTTTCAGCCTCCCCCAATAAACATTTGTTGAGCAAAGTTGAGATATGAAATGTCTTTCTAACTTGCTAAGAACTAAAATGAATACTTTGCGAATAAATGTTAATAAAATGTTAAAATGATAAACTTTAATTCAAGATATCATTTGAAACCATTAAAACTGCTTAAAAGATGGATCTTTTAAAGGAGAACAGCAAAAATTTTGGGCTACTAAAGCCATGAAACATTTGAACATGCAGCATGAGAACAAATGCACATGGCTTCCTAAAAAAAAGACAAAAAAAGGAAAGAGAGGACATGGAAAAGCAAGCCGCTGCTTCTAAGACTTATTCTTAAAGGAGTGAGGAGTAGCCTTCGTTCTCTGATTTCTATAGGCATTTCTTTCAATATCATCCCAGAAGAAGTTTTCAACCATTTTATACAATTACAAACAATTTTTTATTGATGCATCTAGATGTAGATAGCTTATGATGTGCCAATAGTCAGGCTTGCCAAGTTGCTTATGTCAATATCTGATATAAACACAAAAAAGGCTAACAAAGGTATGATCTGCTTTGAAATGTCTTCTAAGTTAAGTGGGTTGCAGCCTGGTTTGCAAACTCCATTCAATGGATTAGGTTTGCTAAACATAGACTGCTATTTTGGTAAAGTAAAAACAAGAAGACAGCAAATGCCAATTGTTTGTTTGGAACTTTTGTGATTAAAAAAAGCTATGGTCTTTAAGCAGCTCAGGAATGCCAGAGAATAGGGGCTTGGGGTCAACTGCCCCTGTTGCTTTTTGATAGGAGGGGCAAGGGAGCTTAAGTGCCCTTATCATAGAAGTTTCTTTGACACTGGCCTTTTGTAGGAAATCAAAGATATCAATATGAAATCCTGGCTGTAGTGCCTTATTTATGACAACATTCTCGATTAACTCTTAAAGAAGTTTCTTATACAAAAAGTTAGCTGATTTTTAAGACACTGACTGAAAATAAAAACAAAATGACACTTACAAAAGAATTATTGGTAGCTGGGAATTATTTTTCAAATGCTTTTTTACTCAAGCCTGCCCTCCTTTGCCCCTTGGCTGTTTTGGCGTCCCTGAAGCAGCTTAGTTCTAAGTTTACTTGTCCTGGCACTTGAAGCAATCCTTGATGCCATTAAATAGTGAAAAGTGATATTTTTATATTTTTGATATTTAGTATTGTAGACCAGCTAATAATATCATACCTGTTGTGAAAGATTTATTGTCTCTCACTATCCCTACCAATATCTTGAGAATCTAGAAGAGACAAATAAAGCCAGTTTTTCGACAGAAGTATTTGCAATTTGGTATTGATTCTTAGAAAAATCTGTAGGGGAAAGACGGGATAGGGTAGAAGGGGCACTTTTCTATCCTCTTTTGGGATTCAAAATGGTATGTATTATTTCAACTTAATACATACTTGTTCACATGTTGCTTTTTATCATAATTTTACAGAATATTTTAGATTACAGGGAATTTAAAACATTAATCAACAGGGACAGCATCAAGAAATTCAAGGGGGGGGGGGGGGGCCCGAATTGACACCATTATTAGATTAAAAAACCAACTTTTGAGAATCGCACTAAAATGCTTCACAATAATTCATGTCTATGACTTAATAGGGCACTCGTTATGTGGTACATTGCAGTGCCGTCGGAATGAAATTCATTTTGGGGCTGCCTATTGTTTTCCTTCTCATTCACTACACTGTTATAAAGGAAACATACTACAGTTTGACAATTACTAGGGGGCTGCAAGCATTACAGGCGCATTGATTTTCGAACTACCAATATTTTATAAGAACTTTGAATTGACTTGCATTTTTGGATGATTTTATTTCATTTAGAAGAGAATTCCAAATCTTTGGACTCAAAAAGCTAACAGATTTTATATCATAACTTATAGTTTTAACCTTTGGAACAGATAGAGTATCCATTTTTTGAAGATCATAGCTATTGTGTTTTGGGAGTAATTAGTCTTTCATAAAGGCTGGATTTAAGTTGTGCAGAGTTTTGTAAGCTTTGTAAGTATTTTTTTATATCCATTTAAAAGTTACAATACATAAATACAAGCTACGCTTCATACAAATTTACTTTACAATACTACTCGGATGATACCCCGAGGAGCAAAAGACTATGACTACCCCGGGGCCATAGACACAGAGGTTAAGATAAACTACTATAGTCTGTCTCACATTACATGCCACGAGAAAATTTTGTAAGCTTCTAATGCTACAAGCCGAATGGAGTGAATTATTGTGAACATAATCTTAATGCAGCATCTATCCAATAGTTATACGGATTGAAAGTAGGGGGAGGGGCTATATGTCTTCTAAAAAGAAGAGGAAAAATAACTTGTTGGACCCTTTTGAACAGTTGAGGTCCCTTGGCATGCAGCCAATTTCCCCCATTGTCACTCTTTGTCACATTTTGTATGTCCATACAAGCAAGGTCGGCTTCGAAAGAACACATAAACTTGTAGCAACAAAAACTTTGCTCAAAAAACACCATTAAAGGAAATATAATCTCTCAGAAGGTAAAAATAATAACAGAGATTTCTAATCCGTCAAGAGCTCTTTTCTTATCCTTTCATTCAAAGCAATTCAGAATTCAATCGGTTGTCTGTTAATTGAATTTCAAAAGGGGGCCGATCGTTTGCTTGAGCCTGGTTTATTTCAACCTCTAATCTTCGAAGTTGCTCTTGTAAATTTTATGTGTGCTAAAGATTTTCTAGGGTAGCTGTTTTATATCACAGTGAGCTATCATTACTCTAACACATGGGGCATGGCCAAAACCGTTACTCTTTGAGAAAAATCCCTAATATTGTTTTTATTAAAAAATTGCGTGCACTATTTGGGAGGGGTGATGCTGATGAACCCTCGGAGTTTCAGAAGCCGTTTCAGGAAGTCAAACGATCACGGCTGCGGTTAGGGCTTTCTTATTACCCCTTTAAACTCAAATGTTGACTGTCTCACCCAAAGCAATTAATCAATATTGACATTTGAATTTATAAAATTTAGCTAAGCGATTAGAGATAAGATTTCGTAGAATATCTTTTAGGATAAAAGGAGACCATGAATGATAGCTTATCATTCTTATTGAAAGAAAGTATCCCTTATTTCCTAGAAGATGCTGCTTGACTAGGTTTCTAAAATCACGACTGTCTGTCGGGTTTTTCAATGTTTGAAGCTGAAAGAACATTAGGCGTAGTTTAGACAGCGCTTTATGGGCGCAGCGAATTAAATTATTGCCCATAAAATATTGTGAGTGTCAATTTAATGCGCTCTTAATTCGCTGACTAAATCCGAGAGCGAAGCAAATAATTGAATTCGCTCATAATGCGCTCACTTGGGCGCGTTATGAATCAAAATATGAATCAATTCAAAATGTTCGCTGTCTAAAAGCAAACAATGAATTGAGGCGCTCTACTGGCGCATTTTGAGCGCATCTAATTGAATTTAATTCGCTGCGCCCATAACGCGCTGTCTAAACTACGCCTTACAGACTCTCCGCGTAAAACTTGAAGAAAATGTTTTTCGTTAATTGCTTTTATCACGGTCAATGTTTCAAAATGTTCAAAAGTACTTTAGTTTGGTAGAAACTCTGTCATTTTAATGCCAGGCAGCTTCTGTTTACTGCTATAAAATCCCATGAAGTTTGTCCCGACGTCTTTCGACAGTTGGTTTTTCTGGTAGATCCGTGTCAGTTTTATATAGGTCGTCAAGAAATGAGGTAAAATTTGATCACATCGCATGAAGTTGGATGCGACGAAATTCGACAGTCGGTTTTCATAACACGTACCTATCAGGTTTACATATATTGTCAAGAAATGAGGTGAAATATGATCGAAGTACGAGATATTAAGCATCCTTATTAAAAAGTTTTCCAGGCTCTTATTCATAAGCACAAAAGGCAAATGAAGTATTTTTCATATTGAATGGCGTCGACATGGAGCTCACCCCAGATTGACTCACGGTACCCTTGTCCCTGTGTCAAAGTGCACCCTGACCTAAATGCGAAATTCCTTTGCCCCTTACAAAAATTCAGTCTGACTTTAGCCCGCCTCAATCCAACTTCAACTTGCGGCTCCTTTTGATGTTTCATTTCAAAATATCTTATTCTTCCACAAAGATTTTTGGCGTCTTATGGATTCAACTCATTTTGCAACTTTCGTCATTTTTAGTTTGTTTTGATAATCTGCTGGTCATTAGCTGTAGAGATATTGGCAAGCTTGCTGTAAATACTCTCTTTTGACGTTGATGCCTTTGAAATATTAATGGTTGTGTTTAAAGGAAGTATTTTGTGCCAATGGCTCAAAAACTTCCATGTCATCACAAATTTGTACCAAAGCTAATCTCGCCTAGGTTCTATTCTGTGATACTGCTATCATTGACAAAATTTCGCATCAAAGGAAACATAAGAAACACTAATACCACTATGTAATAGAAAATTCTTAAATTTGATTTGCATGGTCAGCAGTTCCCAACAGATCGGGTATACCTTACCAACTTATGCTGTTCATTTCTTTGAACCAACCCATCGGATCAGAACAGTTTACGTGGGAAACTGATGAAATTTTAGAAGCCGTCCCGCATTCGCTCTCTGTCGACATTGCTATTAAACATATTTTTGTCATGAACTTGCAGTAAAAAGAATTCTCAGTAAAATATATTTTATCATTTAAATAACTGTTTTGTCTAAATATAAGTCATTATTTTCCAATTACCGTTTTGACTGTCATAAGGAGGTCTCCATCGACCGAGCTATTTATTGCAGGAAATATAGATTTTAGTTGTTTTCTACCTTAAAATTTGAATACTCTTGCGTTGCAGTGACAAGCCAAAGATTGTGACCACAGATGGACATTTGAAAATCCAGTCTGCAGCCAATAGGAATATTAGTTTAGAAACTGACGCAAGTGGAGATGTCAATCTTGGGGGAACTAGTGTCAAGTCAATGCTCAAAACGGTATTGATCTTTTAAAAGTAATTCTGTAAAGCCTTTCAGCTACAGGCCTGAGGCCAGAAGGGAACTGGGAGGAGGGGGTTACTATTATTTGGTTTATATACCATGTTACAGTTTATCGCTTTAGCCCCTCTCCCCCTCTCGAAATTTCTCCTGGCCTTGGGCTTGTTCTTCTATGTTGATGTATTTTTGTTGCAAGGGTAGGTGCCTTTTTTCAAGTGAGTGCTATAATGGGGGCAGTAGGAAAGGGGATCAATATACAGAACCAAACCTGTTTCCTTCACACTTTTAAAATTGCGATAATCTTGAAAGTTATTTTCAATGATTATGCAAAACCCTACCATGTCACAGTTATGCAACCTAACATGGTTACAATTTTTTTAGGTGAGGAGGTTGTATGAAGCTACCTAATATTAGAGACTTTTTGAATGAAAGTTTTGTACGAAAAACCTACTAAATCCATTTAGAAATATCTCGTTGTAGGCAAAATTCAAAACGATCGTCTTTCATTAATTCTATTACTGAAATTTTTCCAGCATATTGAAACAGAACATTCTATATGTGGTGCAATTTCTTTTATTCAAACCAGTGACATGAAATCGAAGCTGGTATTTCTTCTAGGCATATTTTTTATTTTTTATTTATATCGTTCACAGCAGCATCATATTCCTCGCAATTTTTTAATTTTTGGAACAAACTCTGTAGTTTTTGGAACAAAGTCCCTACAAAACTTATTGCCTATCTAGCGATTGACAACACGGAAAAACATGTAAATTCAAATTTGTATTTTTAAGGTCGAGAGCGTTCCTGTTCTAGATAATCTTAGCATAACTAACGTAGGTTGACATAAATTTAAACCAATTCTGAAACTTATGGAGAGAATCACGGGTCAGAGGAAAGAACAAACAGAGCTTGTTTGAGCTTGTTCATCACGTGAATCATCTAAGACTGCCATCTCTGTATGTTTGTTCTCATCTGTTCTTCACAGAATGGCGGGAGAAGACATCATTGTAAGTCTGGCTTTGACAGACTGCCGTGTGCCAAGATAGTATTATTAGCGAAAAGGCCGACAGTCCCCCTAAAATGCCCGCTTTGTGAACAGCAATGGCTGTATCTATTTTAGAAAATCCACTTTCGTGAACATGAGAAAATCCAGATGCAAATCTTGACATTAAGAGGGGAATATTCAGTGATCAATTTGTTCGCAAAACGGATAAGAAGATGAAATGTTTGTCCTTCCTGTAAATAATTGGTCAATTCATTTCATTTCAAGGATTAACCTGATACCTTAAAAGAATTTTGCGACACAAATTTTATTTCTACTACGGATTTATTGAAACTTCGTTAGGGTAATCCTTCCCTTTTAGTTGACAAAAATTTTACTTGTTCTTAATCTTGATATTTGCAAAATTGTCAACTGATCGTAAGGAAAAACCATTAGAAAGAAGTTTAATTTACATTTTAAAAGAGTTATATTCTTAAAATGTTTAGCAAAATTAGAGGAGCATCATTTTTTAGAGTTTCTCTGGGTTGCCAGGACTTTTTTGTTAAAAGTTATCAAAACGCATGGAGCCCCCATCCGTTCCCCTGTATAGACGTGTCCCCAGTGAGGCGAAGCAAAAGAATCAATAGTGACATTCGTCAAATAAGAAAGAGATCTGATTTTTAGATTGGTTTTATTTGATCGCTTCTTGTAGGATTCATTGCAACAAAGCCATTTTCGTTATGGAAACGGGTTCCAATCTCCCCTACCTTGTTATTGTTCCCAAACCAGAAGTTCGTACAAAGAATGTGAACTCAGTTTCGAAGCGTACTCAAAATACCACTCTTCTATCTTTGACCATTATTTCAAGTAATCCATTAAATGAGACGCGTTTCCAGCCATGTCTAACACTGTTAGTGTTGCCTTTTCATGTGTCAGCCTTTCTCATTTATTCTTTGGAAGGCGTCGAAAGCAGTCGGCTGAAATGAAGGCCCTCTTGTGTTTATAACTATCTTGTTGTTATCTCTGTTTGTTACTCTTTCTTAGCGTACATGTTTATTGATGCAGTACACTAGACGAGATTTGTGTACTGTGGCGGGATTTGACTAGCTGACTCTGTAGGCTTTGAGTATCGTGATTTTCCACTCTTCGGCATTGCTGAGGGAGTTAGAGCTATCAAACGACAGTTTTTAAGGGCAAATTCAGCCATTCCCCTTTCCCCTTTTGAACAGTGTTGGTTTACTACAAAACGACGTAGGGGATAAGGAAGAAGGCTTTTTCTCCGACTTCTATGGAATTTTTCTAAATTATCAACATTGTTTAGGGGGGGGGGGGGGAGGAGGTGCGGAAATAGGAGTATTCGGGAAAAGAATTGGAAAATGTAAAACACAACGCAATTTGCTGGCTGTTCCAAGTACTTTTGGCAATGATTGTCGGCCTTTGACCACTTATTAAGATGGCAGGTTGCGAAATAAAGTTCTTTCTACGATTTCCTTTTAATTAAAAGTTACTCCTTGGACCATTATTCAATCCTAGCATCCATCAGGTTATCCCTATTTTACTTGATATTTGTAACATAAGAATTTTGCCGTTCAGCTGCTTTTATCATTCATTAATTTGTTGAATTGTTTTACAGATCTCCTCTTTGAAAGATCAAGTTACAAGACTGAAGCAGGTAGGGGGTTCATGCTATTCAACATTTTTTCAATCCATATCGATACATATGCATTTCCTGTCGCTTTGAATTATCGTGTACCACGAATGTTCATTCATAGGCCGAATTATTAACCTGATAGGCTGTGACGTCATTGTGTGACCTCTCAACGATAAACTGCTAATCTCTAGAGGAAACCATTTCTTTCAAGAATTCATTTACCCGTTCGAATCTTTCTCCAGTTGATACCTGGTCCCAAATTCATCTGGCCTATCAAATCCAATCACAAATTGAACCAGGAATACAATACGTGCACGAGACAAAGATGGTTCCGTACGGAGCTAGCAGTAAAATGACTACACGAAATAAAAATGGTTCCAAACAAACCAGATCGAAACTGGCTCTACTTGTTACTTTTTAAGGGCAAACTCAGTACTGGCTCTTTTCGGGGTAGAATCTGGCTTATTTTAAGCAACCCCCTTTCGGACAAATAGTGGCTCGATTTGGGACGGGAAATGGTACCAATTGGAGCTAGGCTTCAAACGAGAAAATTTTGATACCTGCCTCCTGCTTTTCAGTTACAGTGGGCTTGTTAGCTATGCCTTTAAATGGCAAGTTCTACATCCTTATAGTATCCTTATAGTTTCTTCAATAAAATTGTTTCTTTTCGAATATTCTATGCGAATAAACCCAGATAAAAAAGGATGCTATGACCTCCCTTTTGATGAATACACATTCGATTACACATTATGTAATGCGAGAATCTTTACAGACCATGGGCCTGTTTCGAATAAAGCATATTTGTCTAGTTTTATAAAAGCCATTTACCTCTGCCTTTATTCAAACCGTCACTCATAAACTATGTACGTTGCGTGTGGTACTTCTTTGATTGTTAAAAAAACGACGTTTTGAGCATGTACTCGTTATCAAGTCAAATGAGTACATGTTGATAACGAGTAAATGCTCAAAACGTCGTATTTTTAACAATCAAACTATTATATTTTCATTCTGGTACTAAATTTATTTGCTAACTGATTATCGTCACTCATAAACTTTTCTAATCAATGAGCAAGCATGTGCGTATATGGATCTAACTTTGTAAAATGATCCTTTCTAGTTTGATTTGTGACTCCATGTAAGATTTATCTCCTGATTTCTCCAAAGGGATTGAATAAAGTATAAATTGGATTTAAATGCCAATTCCTCTTTTTAGAAAGGTATAAAATACATTTAAACCATTCACGAAGTCTATAAACACAGTTTAGAGATTTCCGGCTGCACTTACAAATCACGTATTGAGAATAATGGAAATATTAATGAGAAAGATCACTTACTGATTTAATTTTTGACACTAAAGACCATTCCATATCGTCATTCAAGGTTTGGTTTGCAATATCTGTAATGGCGAAATTAGGTTGTTTCGTTAAAAAAATGTAAAATGCAGTAAATAAAGGCATTTGAAACAAGTAGTAGCTCTGAAGTAAAGCCACGATGAATTGTAGATTTTCAATTCTGTTTTTTGAGTTAGGTATCTCAGGGTGTTCAGTTGGAAAGACTAAAAGGCAGTAAAGTTTTTAGTTCCAGTTTGGATATTGTGACATTTACTTACATTTAATGATCGAAAACGACCGTATGTAAGTACTCGACGTTTTGTAACGGCGACATTTAGTCTAGAAATCAAAATTTACAAGATTGAACCTGAAAACCTGAACAGTGTTCGGGTACATTTTTCATCAAAAAGTGGCAATCCCTAGATTGTAAGCACAAAGCACCGATGATTCTTTTTATTTCATCCTTTCTCAAATATTCAGGCAGCCAAATCAACAAGAAACCAGGTTTTCATCCAAGTTTAATGCTCCTTTAAGCCAATTGTCTTTGATATGTAACGTCTCTTTCGTGTACAAAATCCCACTTTTCTTTCGCAGACTTTTATGCCTTAGGGTGTTGCACAAGACGAATGTTCCGAATTAAAATGCTGCTCGGTTTTAGGATACTGAGAGCTGCTGATCAAGGTCCCGACTGGATTAATCCGATGCACAAATGTACTTTATTTCACTATATACAATCTTAAAGAGCCTTCTTTGGCGGATTGTTGAAAACCTAAGATTACATTTAGATAGCTGATTTATTTCTACTTTCTCCAGCGTTTACCCATAAATCATAACCATAGCTGTCAAAGTGACGCTATCTTTTAAAGTATCTGTAGAGTAGGTTTCGTTTCTGTAAAGTATTTTAAAGTTACTCTACCTAGATCTTGTTAAGTGTATTTTGGAAAAGCTTCGGTCTACCTCTGCATGGCAGTGAAAATTCCAAACTCGGGGGAGACTAGCTAATACTTAAGTCATCATCAAACACAGCCACCTAGTCTGAACTGCACAGAGTCCAAGAAAGTGTTACTTCTTAATGGGATATGTGGCTGAAGTGAAAGTACGAAAGTTACACGGGAATGCAGATTCGACTTGGCCTTCTTCAGATATTTCCAAAGCTTAGAAGAAATACCCAATTTTATTATGCACATACCCACTTACGCGTACCCTCTTCTCCTTCAAACAATGTTTTCAATACGATTATTAGGGAGCTAGAATACATCCAATTTGTTGCTGTGGTAGGACGCAAAACAACCACTCTTTGCCCTGTAAAAACGAGGGCCAATGTATCTTGCTTACGTCATAAATTGTTTGCTGTCCAAAAATGATATTTAAACTACAGGGCTACCAAATGGCTCTTTGAAATGGTTGTAGAACAGAACACCACCGCAACAGAGGAATTTTTTTTACAGGCCATTTTTACAATAGCACTTTAGGAATAAGAACAAAGTTTTTATGACGAATCAATATGCTGCATTTACAAATTAATCACTGTGACGTCATGAAATCCAGTGCTCCTCGATGTCTAATTGTTACAAAGTATATTTGGTTTAAATTAAGCCATTTTAAAGTTGGTGACAACCTTTCAGTTTTAAGATCAGCAGCTTTGTTTTGGAGACAAACAGACAATAACTTTCTAATGAGTTCGTCCATTCCCCTTTCTTGGGAGCAAATAAAGGGGCTGAATGCAAAGCGCCATTTCTTTGAACTCAAGATGGGAGTTGCCGTACTCAAAAGAATACTCTCTAGGAGCAAATGCAGAAGAGTCAAGAAAGCTTCACAGAATGAAGAACCTAAAGCCCAATCTCCAGTGAGAAAAAGTCTTGCGAAATTTCGCTGCGAAATACTTCACGCGACAAATGCCTTTGAATGCTTTTGTTGACCTCACGACATTGGAATGTAAAGTTTGGAAGCGTGACAAAGGAATACGGAATTTGATTGGCTGTTGAAGGATTTCGTTAGCGAAAAGCGAAAAAAGTTAAACTCATTTTAACTTTTTTTCGCAGAGAAATTCTTCGCGAGAAATCCCAGGAAAAGATCACTGTGCATGCCTAAGACGTATTTCGCGCGAACTTTTTCGCATTTCGCTGATTTTTTTCTCACTGGAGACTGGGCTTAAGATATTCGACCTGCACCTACCATTTCAATTTTTATGAATACTGCAGTTTTTAGATTCGACTCTAGAATGTGTGTAGTTAGGTTCTTCTATCGTATATGGTGAGAAATCAGCCAGTCCATCTAAGTTTTTTTTAAAAAGAGTTCTTTCCTTATATATTCGTATTTATTAATTGTTATTTTGATGATGTTTATTTCATAATTCTTCTTTACTTACTTTTATGCATAGCTTAATGTAAATGTTGATTTCATCTCTCCAGCAAGTATCTCAAGGTGGAATATGTGCCCAAGACAATACTGGCAATAGCTGTGGTGCCCATGGCGTATGTGTGCCTACAACTGCCGCTGCCAGCAATGGGGTCGGTATTTCTTTCTGATCTCTATCTTAATTTCAAGCATAACTTCATTACAATCATCAACATTTTTATAAGGCTATTTCGTCACCCTACAGTGCTTTTGTTTGATGGGATGAAATGCATTGTGTTTCTCTCATACAGAGTCCAGAAAAGTTGTTAACCTTTCCCCAAACAAAACATCCCAGAAGGCTTAACCTTCCTCACAAAACAATAGAAATTGGGCGTGTCTAGGGTGTGTCATAGGAGTTTCCATTGTTTTCGTGGAACTTCCTCCAGTCAGTGGCCATGCGACCGTAATGTTTTCCTAACTCTGCTCTCATATACCAGGTAATTGGAAGCGAAAGAGTTTTCAAACATGATATGTGCAGCAGTGAGGCACCACTCCACTTGGAGCCACTGCACCACCTCTATATGTGGTCATGATTTAAGAGCAGTCCCATTTGATTTTCAAGTGCATTTGATAATTGTCATATTAAAGCTGTTCTGCTATTGGTAGGCCCAGTTAATGTCCCTGAATAATTTGTCGAGATTACTGTTCCTTGGAAGGTGTTTTTCCTAGCTTTTTAGCTCCTTACCCTTTCGAATAAATGTGCTGTATTTTGCAGACTGGTTACAGATGCATATGTGACCCGGGATGGCAAGGCACCAAGTGTGACAAGCGAATATCCACAAACCCTTGTGGTAATGTTCTTTGTCTGAATGGAGGTACCTGTGAAAATAATTCTGGCGCACCTGTCTGTAAATGTATCAACAGGTTCTTTGGACCAAGGTGTAACTTACAGCAACCAACAAGTAAGTGAATCTTATGTGCTGATACAAGACTCTGTCTTACAAGAACAACTGGCTCATATGAAGAGTTTCTGGAACTGCAATGTTCATTAGAAATATGAGATGTAGCGTGAATTTAAGCTGCTTAAAATGCCTTTTAGTTTTAGTGTTATTAATGTTGATGTTAGAGATTTAAACATTATTATCAATGTCATCAAGTAGAGGTAGTTTCATTGCCGAAAACTGAACACATATTTCAGTTATCTGCTTTAACTTTTATTGTTTCTTCAAAGTAATATTTCTTCACATGATTTTGTTCATCTTTCATATAGTCTCCAAAAAATCCATCACATGTGTTCCAAACTTGAATAATTTATAGATTTCTTATATAGTGTCACTGTATGCATTGCCCTCCATTGTTCTCGCACCCAGTTTTGTATTTTGTTCACAATGTCGCAGTAATTTATAATTATCCTTTTGTATTAGCCTGCAACAAGAATTTATCCGACGACCAGGGTATTGTCAGTTCATCTGGCTACCCGGACGCTTACCCACCAAATGCCGACTGCACATACCGGATCCATTCGAACCCTGGAACGATCATCCACCTTTCCTTTTCCGCGGTCAGCCTGGAAAATTCACCCAGTTGTACCAAAGATTACATCGAGGTAATATATTTACAGTTTCGGTTATTTAAAGGTTACTCTTGTGTATAGTTTGATTATGAAATTGTACTCATTTTGATACTGTTCCTAGCCTGCAATCCTAGACAGAAGTGCTAAGACAGATTCCTAAAGACAAAGAAGGTAGCATCAATACTTTTCAAACCTATGCAACATCGAATACCCCCATTCAATGTCGGGGTGCACGCATTTTATTAGGCGAAATTAAACGGAAAAGAGGGACGGACAAATCTCAAAACTTTCAGATTACTTGTACCTCATCGCTCCTTTCATGAACTGCTTTTCCAGTTGTTCCTTTGTAAACAAGTCAGCGCCGTGTTACAGAATACAGCGAAGAACATTGCTTCTTATTATCCTTTGCAGTTTAAATTTGCTCAATTCCACAAAAGCTACTCGAAATGGCCAGCATTCAGCCATTGCTTGATAAAAACTGCAATCATGAAGCAACGATGCGTCTTTATTGATTTCCAATTTCTTCCGCATACCTTTTCAGATAACAAATGTAATTGAAAATTCTATTGAATTGTATTGTTTGGGTATTTCCTTTTTTAGTCCATTGACACTTTTGTTTAGCGTACGTCAATTTTGCTTGTGCCTCTGGTGTTTATTTGTGATATGCAACTCACTTCAAGGGTTTTTGTTGTCTACATAAAAACTAGACTTGAAATACACAATCAGTACCATTTGTTAATTTAATATTACTCCGAGGTGTCAAGTACCCTATCACAAGCCGTCCCTACTTTGTTAGGGGTCAACCCCTTTTTTGACATTCTAAAAGAGAAATAGTCTTAAAGAAAGGAAGATCTCCCGGCTGGAAGATCATTCCCCCTGATTTAGTATGTTATAAAAGGCCTTGGCATATGTCGATATTTATTTTAAGTTCTGGCAGATGACCTGTTCTGAGTTTCTTTCTTGTACAATAATATGTTACCGGGTTTACTAAGCAGAAACTGCAGTTTCTACGAGGCCCCCTTTCATAAATGCAGGCAAACTAAAAAGAAGAAAAGATGTAGGAAAAGGATTTCGAAAGATTTTCATGGTAATTTCGAAGTGCATCGACCTAGCCGTCCCGCAAAGGCCTAGTGACACAGCTTCATCGTTAAAACCCACTAATATTTTGAAAGGCTGGATATTATCCCCCCCCCGCCAAGTGCAAATTCATACAATCATTTAATGAAGTGGTTTTTTAAACTGCGTGAAACAAAAAATAGGTTTTGCAGCGTTTCTATTGACGTACCGTCAAGCCTTTTAAAATGTTCTTTTGTATGACAGAAAGATCGTTAGACCGGGAAAGCGACACAACTCTCTTTTTCTGTTCCCTTTCATTTACCTCAGGCAAACGTCTTCCCTACAGCCTCATACTCGTTACTTGCTTAGTTTTTAACTTAGTGTTACCCTAATATATTTCCTTTATACCTTTATTTTGATATAAAACAATCCCTCTGAATAATCAAAATGACTAGGACGACAAGACCTTTTTTGAGCATCTTGCCCCTTGAATAATGCATGCCTAACTCGACTTGCTTTTACTTATCCAAGGCTATTCTCCTCTAACTCTAAATTATGCCTTATGGGGCTATACAAAGCTAAAAACTTTAGAAAACTATACAAAGCTAAATAAATAATTTTCAGAGTACACGGAAGCAGCCTACTTAGTAATACGCATAGGTTTGATGTCACATTTAAAGATAATGTTGTCCTTTTGATATATTCCCACGATGCGGGAATATTGACATTGGCATTGCCTAAAGTAATGAAATACACAACTGGTACGCTAAGCCACAAGGAAGTCTTAAGAATATCCTAAAATAAGCGTTATTAGACTTTGGAAGCCTTCTTCAAAAAGCGGTTTCTCCCTTCTTCAAAAAAACACAGAAAGCATGGCAGCATTTGAGTATAGTGCTTCGATCCAGAGCATATAATGAATTTGAGCAATGTGAACCTTTATTTTGTTAACATCCCCTGTCTTCTCATCCCTGTCATGCAGTTACCATACGCAATGATCATGTGACTAAATGATATCTAATTTTTGTGCATAGATTCGCGATGGTGCCGCAGCTTCGAGCCCGCTTCTCAAAAAAGTTTGCAGCCCCCTCTCCAGCATCGAATCAACTGCCAATGATATTTATATCAGATTTGTCACCGATGGAAGCAACCAAATTGGAGCTGGTTTCTCCCTTTACTACTTTGTCAAGAAATCAGGTATGTGTCATATCTATTTCTGTCATTTCTGTCAAGTTAATTTTTCATCCACTATGTTTATGACAAAATGTGCGGATCGAAAGTTAGGAGTCGATGAATGGTGCATTTGCAGTTATCTTTTTATTTGTATGTCCTAGAATCTATCCTATATCGAAACAAACACAGTTCCTCATATGGACATCTTCAGCGATCTTAGGGTTGAACGGTCCTGATTGGTCAGACAAGGAGCCAATGAAAAGCACGATTCATCGTTTGCTCTAACCTTTCATCACTTGGATGAAAATTTCCATTCACCAATCAACGCATAGTCTAACATTTCATACAATGAAGAGTATCAGGCCAAAAGTTCTAAGTATGATGTGCAATGCAATGCTTTTTGTGACATTTTTGTATTTCATAGTAAGAAAAAACTATGAATTCTACGCTGGATGTAGAAGCAAAATATGTTGGCGCATTATCAGTTTTGTCACCGTTTTTAATTATTGTGCTAGCTGCATGTTTTTCTGTTAAGCACATTTGTTTTTACATGGATTTCGAATGCTTAGTCTATTGGAAGATACTAAGTATAGCACTACAATAGATCCTCTTTTGCCGAGATTTCAAGCACTAACAACTCAGCAGTAATAACTTCATTAATATACTGTTTTGTAATACTTATTTTCTTATTCCAAGTACCAAGTACCAAGTACTCTTTGTTCAAGTTGTTGTATCCCAAGCTAATATGCTTTCCCAGTGCTTGAATTCAGCCTAGCAAAGTAATAATCCATACGTCGTGCAATAACTGACTGATTATAATTGAAAATATTAAATATGTAAAATTTTTGTAATCTGATTCTTTTAATCTTAAACGTAGAAACTCTTCATTTGAAAATCTTCATTTACGGAAGAAGTTGCATATACAACAAGCTGCGTTATAATTTTTTCTCGAATTTGCAGAACAAAGTGGATATAAAATAATTTTAAAAATTTCACGCCTTGTGCCATGATACTTTTGAATCCTTCATCTACAATGGTTATAATAACAAATCTTTTTTCGGTCGATTATCTTGAGACTTTCTAGGCAACGATGGTCCTCATAATTGCTGTGCAACCGAGAAAGAAGCTTCTGAGTAAACGCTAATTTCTTATTCCTTCAGGCGTTTGTGGTGACACATTGACATCAGATAGCGGGTCGATTTCATCGCCTAGCTGGCCCTCTTCTTACTCAAAAGCCACATCATGCACCTGGCTCATCAAAATGCCTTCTACAGAACGCGTTTCGTACACAGTTTCCCAGCTTGTGATCTCTGGTTCAGCATCAACATGTAGCAGCTATCTAGAGCTTCACGATGGTCCAACCGAGTCTTCACCCATCATTGCCAAACTTTGCTCCCATACAACATTGCCAAGTGCAATTACAACATCGAGCAACCTGTTTGTTAAGTTTGTCACTGATGGCTCCGGGAGCTTGTTTAAACTTGATTACACAACGCGTGAGTGTTATTTGAATCCTCTCACTTACTCTGTTTGATTCTTTATCTTTTCTTCTCTTTCTTCTTGTCAGTTTTCACAATATTTCTAATTCTTATTTTTTTCTACTCTCTGCCCTGTTTTGCCTCTCAATCTCTGTATTTTTTTCATACTTTTTTCCCTCTCGTTAAAACTTGTTTCTTTTCCTTGTTTCTTCCTCTTCCTATCTCTGTCTCCTTTTTCCCTTTTGAATTTTTCCTCATTTCTACCACCCTCGGCCTCTTCGTCATCCCCCTTAACTCATCATTATTGCTTCGTCCTTTTCTTTTCTCTCTTTCTCTTTTCTTTTCATTCACCTGTTCTGCTTTTCCTTTTCCAATTTTTCCCTCTTCCTCTCCATATCCGTTTTTATTGTTTTTTCTGTTTCCTTTCGCCCATTTCACTCCATTTTGCTTTTCATGTCTTTGTCAAATCTCTCATTTTTCTCTTTTAGTTAGAACTCTTTCTCCGCGGCTATGTGACTGCAATTAGTTTTCAACTCAATCAAGTCCGAAGCATTAACGAGTAGTCATTATTTTAAAATATTGTATACCCATTTTAAAATTTGTTCAGACTTTGCAAAGTTAAAGATTTTTTCAGACTTTTATCTTATCATTTTCCTTTCCAATCTTTTTCCTTTTTCTCATACCTTTTCTCTCCCTTTCTTTCTACATCTGCTTCCTTTCCTTGTTGATCTCTATCTCTTTTTCCTCTTTTCTTTTCGAATCCGTTTTTGTCTGTTCCTCCTTTGCTATATAACCTCATTGAAAATTATTTTCCTATTCAGTTAAGTCCGGAACATTGAAATGTATTCATCATTTTTAGTAACTACGCACTCATCTTGAAATTTTGAAGACTTTGTAAAGTAAAATATTTTTTTTGAACACAAGCCTGTGGTGGCAACATCACATCTCCATCTGGCACAATTCAGTCGCCTTACTTCCCCAACTTCTACCCACACAAGAAGAAATGTACATGGACAATAACTGTACCGGTTGGCAATGTTATCACGCTGAGATTCCCAAATTTCGACGTTGAGCCAAGCACTAACTGTGTTTACGACTATGTCGCGGCCTACAACGGCCCAACTACAAGATCACCTTTTCTTGGTCGGTATTGCTCATCGAATCCTCCTACGGCCATCACTACAAGTATGAACCAACTCACCCTACTGTTTAACACAGATGGTGCCGATTCTTTTAGAGGATTTCGAGCTACTTACACATCAGCTCCTGGCGGTAAGTGATTTTTCAGAACATCACTTTCAAGCTAAAATTTCATATTGGCTCTCTAAGATGTTATTACCTTCAACCGTGGTTTCTCTTTTTTAATGTACAAAAGAATGCTTATTTTTCAAATTAGTTGCTCTTTTCAATTAATGATAGGCTGAGCAATTTGTTTTGGTAGATAAGATAAGTTTAACTAACAGTAGGATACTTAATTTGAAACAGTGATTTACGAATTGAGTAATAGAGTCATATTCTATTTTTCAATTCAAGACGCTGTGACCTTGAGGGCCCCTATCAAACTGACAAAAAAAGAACACTGTCGGAGTTAGTTTTGTTGTTTTTCATGCATGTCCAAGCTTTTTGCAGTTAGATTTTATACTTTTGTTGCTAAATTCCATCTCTAAGGGTCACATTCACAGTTCTGTTGCACTTGCCTTCTGCATTTAGGTAGAGTATCGATTAGTTGTTGTCTACACTTCTTCTAATCATTTTTCTGTGTAAGGAGACAAGGATTATTTTCGAGGAAACTTCTCACTAAGAATTATGGACAACTTCGCTTAAAGTAATTTTAAATAAATATTTTTCATAAGGCTGTGGAGGAGCAGTTACTGGTTTAGGCGGGAATTTTTCGAGCCCAACTGATGCAACGAACTATCCACACAGTATCCGCTGCATATGGACGATAACTTCTTCAGACAAAAAGCGCAGCGTGCAGCTCCATTTCCTTACATTCAACCTGGAAGCAGATTCAAGATGCATGTACGACTATGTAATGTTCAGAGACGGGGCCCTAGCAACATCTCCAGTCTTGTACAATAACACAAACGGCGGTCGATTTTGTGGCAACGGCAAGCCACCAACAGTTACCTCATCTGGTGAAAGTCTAACTGTGTCATTCATAACAGATGTCTCTATTGCAGCAGTAGGATTCTCAGCTGTCTGGGTCACGGTACCAAAAACTAGTGGTATGTGTTTTGTTTTAAATGAAGCATGTCTTTTATTTAACAATAGTATACATTTCACATCGCACCGAGAAAACTTACACGATGATACTCTTAATTCTGTTATGTTTGTGTTTGGTTTTTATTTAGGCTGTGACCGATACTTAGCGACTCCAACTGGGTCCATCACATCACCTAGCTACCCAAATAACTATCCTCACAGATCAAATTGCAAGTACACCATTGGAATTGCTTCTGGCCTTCAAATTGCACTAGTGTTCCAGGATTTCGCCCTCGAAGCCCATTCCGAATGCAGATACGACAACCTCAAGGTTTATGACGGAGGCAATAGCACATCGCCACTTATCGGAACATTTTGCGGTACAAGAGGCCCTGGACGTATCGTTTCTACTGGCAATATGCTTCATCTTGAATTCAATACAGATTTCTCAGGCTCAGCAAAGGGTTTCTTCGCCAACTACACCACTGGATCAGCATGTGAGTACTACATTTTTTCAAAATTTCAGCCGCTTAATTGTGGACTCCGGAATTTATAAGACAAAGAAATTAAGAAGCCACTTATAGCTTTGTGTAGTCCATTTCCAGATGGAGATTCTCTCTATGAACAATCACCAGACGTTGATAATTCAAGTATCCACAGGTTTTGAAAGAACGGATAACACCTTTTCGAAGGGTTTTGCCCTGAGAAAAATCCTCGCTTGGGCTGGGGTTAATGAACTAAGGATTAAAATAGACTCCAATAGACTAAAATAGACTTATTTTGAGTTCCAGCTGATCCCAAAACATATTTTCGTGACATACAGGCATCGTGTAACGCGCTGATCCCAATTTCAGTTGCCTTTGTGCAGACTCCACTGTAGAAGGATCAAATTGAAGACATACGTTGGGTTTTAAAAAGAGCGAATCTTGAATTTTCTGTCTATTTCGCCAGGAACCCCATAATGTTTAGCTGTTTTGTACAGCACATGCGCTATTCTACTTTTACTTCGTAAATCTAAAAGAACTGCTTATTACAAATCTTAATTGAAAAACCTGTTACAAATCTTAGTTAAAAGAACAAACTTTAGCATATCAACAATTGGCCTCTACTAGTTTTTATTTAGCGAGAGTGTGAAATATTTTGCAAACTACGCAAGCGAGAGGCAGAAGACCAGCTTTTTAAGTTTTCTATTTTTTATACGCTTTGATCAATGTTTTTCTAAAGGCAGTAGTTGACTTGCTAAATCACTATATTTGAAAAAAGTAGCAAAGGCGGTTCACTGTATATACTGTCACTAGGTCACTATAGGGATTCACACAAGGCAGTCGAAATAAATCTACTAGGTATGCGATAAATTATAAGCGTTTTGAAGCATGGAAATTCGCCAAACATTTAAAGGCTCCAAATTGATTTAAAGCGAGGTTAATTGAGTAGGCCTTCAATGGATAATCTACAGCCTGTCCATTGGGGGCCTATTTTTCATTTCACGAAGTAATCCCTCTTTGTAAAAGCATTTTAAGCTATGTTTATTGTCATGCAAGTGTTCGCCGCATGCCTTCTGGTTTCTCTCGGTGGAAGTTTCTTTATAGATTTTGTTAGCAATACCTATGTTTAGATGGGAAATCTAATGTTCCTCGATCTGATTTCACTGGATTATTTGGGCTATATCAATTACATGGCTGCTAGCGTGTGTAAATTTACAGCAAAAATGGACAGTACCAATGCCATCATATCGTTACTAGAGACACAGACACACAGTCTTTGAGTCTGAAATGGGAATGTTGAGAAGTGTGATCTGCGTAGATTGGACGGGGTTGACGAAATATCGAGAATAGGCTTGATGCCCTTGGGAAATGCCCTTTTCGTTTGCCGAGACACCCTGTCTTCCAAAAGTATCTTTGTATTACCGGCATGCAAAGAGCATAAAATTTATTGGAAGGACTATGAAATATAGTACCCATAGAAAAACTTTTTATAAAATATTTGAACAAAAAGAAAGGAGGTGGAAATTTCAATCACTTTTAAGGTTATGTTTTCAGCCATTTAGAACCTTGTTTGAGGTGTTCATTACCAATTCCTTTTTCCTTTGCTTTCTGATGGAAACACGAGATGCCTGCACACGAGGTCCTGTTATCAAAGTGAGATTTCATGAAACTGGATAGTACATGATAAACATGATATGTCTCAGTAGCACATGATATACAGTGACTTTCAATATACATTGCCTACTCTCTAATTAAGCATTTAAATGTTCAAATTTTGAGATACAGTTTAAAAAATGGAGTTGTCATTTATATAGTCTGATATTTATTTTCGTCGATCTTCGCTGACAAAATTTACCAGGGTATTCAACATAACGATGAACTTTTCAGATTACCTCTGACAATTATGCTACCTGCTTCTGACTAAATGTATAAATTGTACAAAAATAGTTAAAAATAAGATTATTGAAAGAAGTAGGAAATTTGGTTTATTCCTAAATTCGTCTTCAATAAGTAACCATAATTCATTAAAGGGTGTTATAAAAGGGTTTTATTTTTATTCAAAAAATTGAATTGTTCAACAGAAAGAAGCTTCTAGTGCTATCTTACAATGTGACAGAAATTGCAAGTCACGATTTCACAATTGTTTATGATTTCAAAACGGTAGTACAATGCCTGCCAAAGTCTTGGAACACTGACGTCAATTTCCAAGGTCAAAATCAACGATCCCTATCTCCCCTATAGAACACTGTTGGTTTACAATGAAATGTGTTAGAATTTTAGGAAAAAACATTCTCTTGCCCTTTTTTATGATATTTTCCTTAATTATATACATTGTTTTAGGGGGAAGGGGGCGGAAGTAGTAATTTTTTGTCGGGAAAGGAATGAATGATATCAAATGCAACGCAAATTGCAGGGTGGCCCATTTACTTTTGGCAGGCATTGTACAAATTTGTAGAGCTTGATCAGGTTTTTTCCTTGCCCTTTGACGTGACCTAAAAAGGCGAACCTTCGACTCTAATTTTCTACCAAGTCAAATACTTGCCGGTTCTCTTTCCTGGAAATATTGCATATTCCTTGTCAATCATTTTGTTCAAAAACTTCATCATGAACTATCCCGTGTCGTCTTTCGATGGCCTGTAGTCTTTCTTCAAGCGACATAGCTCTGACATCCCTTACATACAATATTTCTTCTTCGTCGTCTTTTGTGTCAACAACTTCCTCACTTTTGCTCTTAACCATCATCTTTCTCTGTTTTGCTAGAAATGTCTTGAGTGCATCTTCCTTAGATTGGCTCTGACCTTTATTTGGTGTAAATTTGTCGGTATCGGTTGCTTGTTTTGCTTGGATCAGTTCATGTTTCCGGTATGCATTCACAAGTTCCGGAAGGCGGATGCTTCTCGCATTCATATAATCTCGCGCAATATGCCAATGTTTGCTCGGTTTTCTATGGGTAGCAAGTGAGTCGTCCGGTTCAGTTGTATCTTCTTCATCAAATGTACACATTGACCGAGATCGTGGCCGACTTCCTTTATTTGGTTTTTGATCTGTAGAGACTGACCTATCAGTCCGAGATCGGCTCTGTGCCGTCATGTCCAATGAATTGGTTGCTCTTCGAAGAGAGTTGCGAAAAATTGCATCCTGATATACACCTTGTTTTGCTGGTGGAGACTGGATTATTTGCTGATCCTCAGCCGACATCCAACTTGACTTGATGCTTCCGGGGAATTTCGATGAATTTACCCGCGATAAGGGCGTTATATCTATAAGGCATTTTGCTCCCTTTCTTGGTAATATGTCCACAGACATGCGTTTATCGTTATTTCGATGCCGCCTTAAGAGAAGAGGTGATACAATCGCGTCTATATTATTTCTGTAAGGTTCAACTTCCAGCTTTGGTAATGTACTTTTTCTAGTAATTTCAGGTGTCTTACTTGTATTTTCACTCGCAATTGACCGCCTGTCTGCATTTTCACCATTTTTATTACATTTTTCTGAAACTGCATCCGGTTTGTGCCCTCCATTTTTGTCCTCGAAGCCTTCAATCCGTACTGAATGGATTCCCGATTTTGCAAGATGTGCAAAAGTTCGCCGGGTTTTGGCGTTTTCTGTCTGACTCTGAATACTTCGTTCTTTACGGAACGTACCGTTCCTGTATTCAGATGACGTACCATGAACTTCAGTGGGTTCGGTACTGTTTTTCAATGCGTTCTTCTGTGGATCAAGGTCGTTGATTTCTCCTCGCTTGTCTTTAACCGCATTTGATTCTGTTTGGTAGGTAGTAGAATCTTCTGGTGAATTTTCAAATAAATCGATTTTAATAACGGGGATTTTCATGTCCATATTTAAGAGATAAACTGGCAATTTTTGCAGGAAGTCTAGATCTCTGATGTCTTATCTGTGTTCAAAGGTCCTTCTGTCATGGCCTGATGACGTGCTTCTCCTGATCTACAACATAATGAAATTACTGTGTTGAGGATTTTCGTAGATCACCATTAGCTTACTTGAGTACTACATTAAAGATGAGCAAAGGTCGAAACGATCCGCGTGACAAAAATTCTGAGAATCCGCGAGACATAAAGCAACCTGCTAAAAGATGTTGGTAACATAAGTCGTAGATAGGCCTAGATGGGTGAAACACAAAAAACTTCATTTCTTAGCTTGTTAATGTCAGACAAAGCGGGGTATTCATTTGTTTTTTGAGCCGGTTGTTTTTACTAGTTTTCACACTTTCTACGAAAAGAGCTGTGATAGACCTGCAATGCATTTAGATGAACTACTACATCTACAACATGCCTACAGAGATGTTGTAAATTGAACAAAAATGTTGTATATTGAAGAAAACTAGGCTTGCATTTCATACATATAAATAATATGATTGGTGTTTTGGTTCAGTATAAACGATATGCTTGAAAATTCGAACTGGAAGAAATGTTTTCCTAATTTGACGGACCATATGTGTTTTTGTTTTAGCCAACTTTTGATAGTGTTAACTCGAAGAAATACTGTTTTGAAAAGCTCGAATTATCGGATGTAGACTATAAATAAGAAAATGACACGCCTTCAGCTGGAATCTGCAAACGACAGCAAAATCGATGGAGATAAAATCCCACCAATGCCATAAATGAATGACTTTTAATTGGAGATTAAGACCCTGGGTGCCTATTCGAGGAGCGCTTTTTCGAGAGGGGCGCTTGTTCGAGATGGGGGCTTGTTCGAGAGGGACGTTTATTTGAGAGGGCGATTATTCCAGAAAGGGGCTACGTTTTCCCAACATGTTTTGACTTTTATTTGCTTTTAACATGAAACCCTTTGAAAATATATTTTTAAAACATTTGAATATGCAATTTTCTTTTTTCTAACACTAAAATTAACTGTGCATTAATTTTATACTTTTTTGACTCAAAGACCGAGCGCTTATTCGGAAGGGGTGCTTATTCGGAAGGGGTGCTTATTCGAAAGGGGTGCTTATTCGGAAGGGGTGCTTATTCGGAAGGGGGTGCTTGTTCGGAAAGGGGTGCATAATCCATTATTCACGGTTTTGGAAAAATCTGTTATTCTTTATTGGAAAAACTCTAACATTAGGGGCAGAAAAATCCTTGTTATGGAAGAAGAATTTTTTGAATATGTTATGCAAACTTATATTACTGCGACAAATTTGTCTTGGACATCAATCATAGAGATGATGAACTGCTATTTGTGTTTCGTTAACTGATAAACGTAAGTATTACTTTCGAAATTTCATTTGGTATGGAATGAGCTAAGCTACGGGCAATCGATAACAAAAATCCAGGTATTTACCTCGTATTAAGATCAAGATCAGATTGTATTTTACTTTGAGAATGTCGCAATCGACAATTCAACAACAATGAGCGAAGTGCATCCTTGTGATTCGACTATATTCTTCAAATATTCCCCAGTTAAGAAGAAGTGAAGTCGATTAAAGAAAGACATCACTTTGGATCGGGAAATTTGAATTGCCGTTGTTAGAAAACTTTGCTTACCGATGTTTCTCTCATTCTTCGTCTACCATCTTCGCCTTTATTAGAGAGAGCTCAAATAGCTTTGTTATCATTGCATTCTACGCCACATTCAAATCAAGGCCTGCTTGCAAACTGTCATAACAGGCCCATTATATCACCTTCTTGAGTCTTTGTTTTGAACTGCTTCCTTTTTGATTCGTTTTATTCCCTTTCTGCCTCTTCTATTCAAATGCATTCAGTTTATCGATTTTTATTGAAATAACGGCTTCCTTTTGATACCCTGTGATCTCTCACGCCTTTGTCTGCGTCACAACCACTTCAGTGGGTTGAATTACATGGGCTTTTCAAGAAACTGAATACATCCCTCATCAGCTTATGTCAATACTGGTATCCAATACATTACCGCGTCAATAACAACGGGAGCCTCAAAAATGCATGCCCAAATTTTTAGAAAGCATTCGTTCTGCTTTGGTTTTCTTTTACAATCCATGGTTTATTTTTGGATTTTTAAGCTGCATGCTGAGGTTGATTTCTTGATCACGTACAGTCAATTTATAAGAACCAGTAAATTGAAAGTTCAGGCTGGTTTTTCCTAATTTTTCAATAACTTTCAGCCTGAATTGTTCTTATGTTGTTTTATAAATGTATTATGAATGGGTGGAAGTCTGTTTGATATATGATCTTTGACGTAAAAAGAGAAAAGGAAAAGATCATACGCGCTAGATACATTTATTTTAATTGATCCGGAAATGAATTTTTTTTTATTTTTTGATTCTTTTTTTATAAGAACCAGTAAATTTAAGTTCAGGCTGACTGTTCTTATTTTTTTTCGAAAATCTGAGTCTGGATTGTTCTTAATTTGTTCTTAATCTAAAAGGCTGTCAGCAGTGCGAGTGCTAGCTTTTTCGCTCTAGGGAGGTGTTTAGGCCTCATTTGCCAACAAAGTGTGTGAGACAGCTTTAATTTGCTGACAAATTTGAATATTCACCGAAAAAGCACCCACACATCACTAAAAATCCTCGATTTTGAGAAACAAGTTGTTCAAAATTGCATTTTGCAGAAGCTCAGCCTCAGCTTGTTCTTAATTTGTTCTGAACTTTTGACCAATTCTGAGGCTCGTGTTCTTATAAAGTTGTTCTTAAAAAAAAGAGTTTATACAGTCGAACCTCTAATAACGACAACCACCGATTAGCGGCCACCTCCCAATAGCGATCACAGACCTTCAATCCCAAACGCTTGTGAATGTTTTTACTAAAATTATGATTAAATAAAATTTAATCAGAGATTACGGCCACCTCCCATTAACGGCCAATAGGCCTTGGATCTCAAAGTTATTAGAGGTTCGACTGTAGATATTTTAGGGATGCATTTATTGTATATTACACCTCTTTAAAGAACATAGGGGCGTCAAAATAAACTAGTGGCATCGAAAGCATTTTAGGGGCACAAGTGCTAGGATCAACTTTGGTAGGAGGGAGCTCTTTTTCGTAAATCTTGTTGAATAAAGTTTGCTCTTATTTTATCTACAAAATCGAGTCTGATACGAAGCAAAGCAGCAGCATTAACTTTTTTAAATAGTTAATGTTATGGAAGAGCTGTTACGGCCGTTACACAACGGTATATTAGGGTTGTATCCGAACCTTTAATCCGAGCCTTTCAATGGAAAAAGAAGAGGACTAGCATTTTTGTTTTCCCTTTAAAATGCAGGTATCGTGGAAAATGCAAAAAACAGAAAGAAAATTTGGAACTTTGGTATACTAAAAAATTACTTGCTGTGAGGATAACATTCTGAAAAAAAACTATAGTTGCGCATCCATTGTTTATTGTTAAGGGGATGTGTTTAAAGAGAACATTATTCTTGATACAAGATCTACATTTATTGAAACTGACTATTTAAAGAACATTAGTGGTACAACTTTCATCGTTTTGCCATTGTGGTGTGACATTGAATCCCTCACCTTCATTTTGGCCAGCCTGTCGGTGGTTACCAGATCAACTAATTGTTTCACCTCCAGTAGCTTGTTAAACCTTAGACCTCAGATAAGTCTAGCTTAAAGTATCCATTATCTTGTGTTTGTTCACACTGCCCCTACTAAATGATGTCTAATGCTGGGTTAAGATGGATTCAGTCTTCATTTCACCAACATGGGTCTACAGCTCCTAAATATACCGAAAAAGCCCCGGATGTTACATGGAGGGGTTTTTTAATAGAATGGACCAAACCGAGCATGATAATTGCTAGTAACTTCAATTGAATAAGATACCTTCGTTACAATAGTACTTATGTCGTGCTGTTTTTATGAGTCGGCAGTTTAACCCCTTATCCTTATTGACTGCTTACCATAGACATAGAAGCCGCCGGGGGGACAGGAGGCAAATGTCCCATACTTTTTAAAGGTTCAGGTAAGAGATAAGAGAGCAAAGATAAGAGAGTGGAGGGGGGGGGGGGGTTGACCATTTGAGGCCATGATAAAAAATTAGCAGGGATTTCTGTGAGGTCGCTCCCTACACAGGTTTTTAGCCTTATAGAATCTTTGTTGAGGTATAACTTCTTACGTCCTTTCTCCTTACAAATGACTTACGTCAGAATTTCATCAAAATATTTTCATCAAAACAGTCAGAAACTGCGACATGTTTAGAGGTTTTTCGCTCTTGTTTATATGTATCCATGGCAACTGCAGTGAATTCCGTCCAGTGGGTGCCCTTCGGATAAGAAGCTATTGTTTTGGAGAGCCTGTGTCTGCGATTGGTGTGTGGGCTGTCTTTGTTTTATGCGAAATCTGCTTATTAATGAAGAGTGATTTTATTTTAAGTGCTTGCTATTTTTAGGAAAAACAGCAAAAAGTGGATAAAACGATTAAAATTGAATCATTGATAAAAAAAGAATAATATTTAATAGTCACGCCATATCATTTTGAATTTTACAACACCCATTGGAACTTGAATGTGTCATTTGTCAGGATTTTGATCGAAAGCGTTTGCCTTTCCAATAAGTTAAGATTTGGTTTGAAGTTGTTCGAAAAAGCCTTCATTCCCCCTGAAACAATCTCTGGGAATTGAAGAATTTTCTCAGGTAAAGAAAGGCGATTGGTCTGATGCAATGAGATGATCAGAATGCACCTCATTGGTCGGATGTTAACAGGCCCATTTGATGTCCTGTTTTTTGTACCCCCTCGTATAGCAGCAAATAAGGAATTCCTCAAGCTCTGAGCGTTACAATCAATAGAAGGAAAAGGACCACCCCCCCTCTCCCTAGCGTTAAAATGCCTTGCATCATTAATCTTTGACCAAGCTGCTTCTAAGGTTGTTTAGATCATTTTTTGTAGTTGTACTTCCGGTATGATATGAGTGCCACAATTTGCCAATATTCGTGGGATCGAGCAACACCATTTTAGAGCGGTGCTTACCCCTGTGTCGCAAGTGTTGCTATAGAATTTTCCGACTCAATGCAGATTCCAAATAATGTTGATCAAACGAAGTTAGATCTTTTTCATAACATATTCTCGAATTTGCAGTATGCGGTGGCATGTTGTATTCATCTTCTGGATTTATTCGATCACCCAACTACCCACAACCCTACCGACATCGTGCAACCTGCGTTTGGGTGATCAATGTTGCTGTTGGCAACATAATCAGTGTCAACGTTACCGATCTTCAAATCGAGACAAGCACGGCCTGTAGATACGACAACGTCGCTCTGCGTGATGGAACTAACAGTTCTGCTGCTTTGATAACGAGACTGTGTGGAAGTGCAAGACCTTCTACCTTATTCAAGACGACCAATAATGTTTTGTATGTTGTCTTCACTTCGGATGCGTCCATCAGTGGGCGTGGATTCGAACTACGCTATACATCAGGTAAGGCATGAAATGTTGAACAAATTTCTTACCTAGCCAGCTTTATTATAGACTAAAATCTTGTTTTTGAACCCCGAAAGTATACGAAAGAAAGTAATTTGCTCTGGAGACATGAGAAGAACATCTTAAATATCTGTAAGTGTGTAGCATAGCGAGAAAGATGAAAAATCGCAATTTCTCATTTCCTTCCTATCTTTGCATGTTTATTTAATATTGCTAGCATCCTTGGTATGTCTGTCAAATACCATTTCATTTGAATGAGCCCTCAATGTATCTTCGTTACGTTTTTGCTATACCCCCCTTGACTCAAAATATCTTCTTTCTCTCTTAATTAGTTTTTAGATATCATATTTTGATAATGTTTCTATTTCTGCAGGTTGTGGAGGGGTGTATAGAGACCTCACTGGAGTTATTACGTCACCAAATTATCCAAACAACTATCCGAACAGACGATCGTGTAACTACACAGTCCTTGGAAATGTCGGCGATGTTATCCAAGTCAACTTTACATATTTCCGAACAGAAACGTCTTCAACATGCCAGTAAGAGAACTTTTTTCTATCAAAATTTGCAATTCAATTCCAAGTCCGATAGTAGAATCGCAGGTTTTAGTTGTACTTCTAGACCTGCAAGACCGAGGTGGCTGTTCTCTTTGGGGATGAGTTTTGTTTCTAATACTAGACGGAACATTTTATTCTATCTTCCAACAAAAACCTGCGATTCTGCTATTGGGCAGCATTTGCTGAAAAACCCAGATTGTACAAAAAACTATTATGGCGACATGTCTCGGATTATTGATAAAGCCCGATTCTCGTTACATCTAGCAGTTTTGGAATCTATCTACATAAGCACGAAAAAACCGCTATTGTGTAGACAAAAGGAGTTCGTTTTCACCTTAGGACTCCATTGGTAACATTCTCAATAGGCAAGCGGCACTGATTGGGTAGCTTCAACAGTCACGTGCTCGCATTTCTGATTGGCCTATTTCGATTCACAACTGGGTATATATTTTCTAGCGTAGAGTTTACGATCTATTTTCTGACGTTTACAACTCTGAAGAATGTCTCAGACGAAAAGCTTTAGTTTTCTCCAATGTTTGCTTTTTTCAAAGCCATTTAAAAATCAAATTATAATTTTGCAGCTATTTCGCTTATCGTAGAAATAAGTCTTATAATTTCATCACACATGAAAAGGATGATAATTTGTAGGTTTTTGATAAGAGTTTAGAATGCATGGTTGGTATGAGGTTTGATTTTTGTTGCCTGCCCTTCGAGAATCCTGCAACCAGGTTATTTGTATTGCCTGATATTCGCTGGTTTTCCAGCATGGATTAAGTCTGTATAGTTACAAAGTTATGTCTAACTAAATTCAAGCAAGTTTGTTAAAACGACTTCAACTTTCAATCATTTTCTTTTGCGGTATGCAAATTTTAAGCATAGAATTTGATCGTGTTCAAGGCTCCCATTGTCCCTGCGTGTGTAGCTTTTCCAAAAAGCTCACCACTGACATCACCTTGTTTTTCTTAAGCGTTATTTCGATCCTTTAAAGTATTCTTGTTGGGTATTATTTGGATTAAATCAAAACAAGTTTTGATAGTTTCTTTTAATCTCATTTTAATGAATCTTCCATCTCTTAATAGGCATGATTATGTCAGTGTCTACAATGGCTCCTCTGCAAGTGCTCCCATGATTGGCAAATATTGTGGTGTTCAGTCTTCATTCAGTGTCAGATCAACTGTTTCAAGCCTCTTTATGATGTTTAGATCTGACTCATCACTCAATTATAGGGGATTCTCTGCGAACTATGAAATAATCGGTAATACCTTACATTCAAAATTCTGTATCATTTATATGAGCGCATTCTCAGTCAGGCCTATTTGAAATCTTTATATTTTTTATATTTCTGAGTCTTTTGGGTTGATAGCGACAAAAGCAATCCCTCGTACGTGATAACTAGTCTTGTGGGTTAATAGCGACAAAAGCAATCCCTCGTACCTGATTGCTAGTTGTATGCCTATGTAGACGTTTCATTTGATTGCGCCAGAACTTGGTTGCTAATCGCTAATAGCCGTAAAGGTTGTTTCAGGCACTTTATCACGTACCAAGATAGATGTCTAAAAAATGTTTTGTGATCAGATATCTATGAAAGGGGGGTTTGTGTTTAAGCGGCTACGGAAGAAAAGTGTTTTTGCGTCAGTTTCCATTTTTTACTTTCCAAGGTTGCAGTGGTGTATACACCGCATCAAATGGAACAGTGACGTCACCAAACTATCCAAACAACTATCCGATTAACCGAATTTGCAAATCCAGAATCAGGGTTGCCAGTGGATTTAGGGTGCAGCTTAATTTCAGCGAAATAGACGTCGAGACGCATCAAACATGCAACTACGACTTTGTCAAAATTTACAATGGTCCGGACGAGACAGCCCCACTTCTTGGAAACTACTGCAGTCGCCATGCTCCAGCAAGTCTGACGTCATCTTCCAACGAAGTTCTTATTGTTTTTAGATCTGATAGCTCCAATACTGGAAGAGGTTTTAGCACACGTTATACAAGTGTCAGTGGAGGTATGATTGCTATTCCTCGTATGTTTTTGTTGTTTTAGTCTTCGAATGCAAAATCGCAAGATACAGACTTGTATTTAGGTCTAATTGAAAAAGCATGAAGAAAATCCTACTTGGCCTTGACAGAAATTAGCCAGATTGCAATGTGCCATTTTGGGAGACACAGCCAACTGTAATTTTTTATTCACATGAAGAGTAATTGTCAATAAAAATTGCTTTAGTGAATAAATAAATTTCTCATAGTATATAAATAAAAAATGAATTAAAATATGAAGTTTGCAATAAAATGATATGACCAATGCAAATTTTCACTTTACATTTGACATGCTCTCGTGTTGACATTTGAGTTGTTTTAATATAGTTACCTCATCAATTGCGAATTGAATTTTTATGCCGATACCTTTAGGTTGTGGAGGCTTTCTCACCTTTTCAAATGGGTACATCTATTCACCAAACTATCCTCAAAACTACCCAGTGAACACCCAGTGTGTCTGGGTCATCACCGTACAAACTGGTCACAACGTGCAGATCAACTTCACCGATTTCGAAATGGAAGCGCACAGCTCTTGCAGGTATTTTGAATTTTACGCTCTTTACAAGCCGTATTACCTGACGTAAAAATGAAGTAAACATGTTGAACATTGACCAACATCAGTACAAAATACAGCACACGGACAATCATTTTATTCTACAGCATCTTATCCTTTCGTTTCCTGTCTCTTCCAGCTTCATTTGAAAGTAGTTGTTACTTTCTGTAAGACGAATTATACTTCATTGTGACAGTTTAATTCATTATTGAATAATGCTTGCTGATCTTTTGAAAAATAATTGCTAAATGAACGTAAATTTTATGCAACTTCAAACTTTATTTTCTCTGGTTTAAGAGAAACAATATAGTTTAGAAAGAATGGCAAGTTTCGTTTCTTTAAGTTTGGTTTGATAAGGGTTTATGATTGATTTCGGGTTGATATTTTATCACAGTTAATTTCTTTCCAGTTGACTGTGTCATAACTTTGCTGGTTTACTATTTTGCTTATGCTTATTTTTTAAAGCTTTGATTACATTCAAATTACTGACGGGTATGGAGCAAATGCAACAGAGCTAGCAAGAGGGTGTGGGACGACCAGCCCTGGTTTCACGCAATCAACGGGCAATGTTATGATTGTCAAGTTCCGATCGGATGCCTCAGTGACAAGGAAAGGCTTCAGGGCCTACTATAAAACAGGTACTCTGGCACAGTCTAGTTTTCAAGCATTAGAGTATGTTGCTAAATTCGAGTTCAGTGATCGGGCTACAAAGTACACACAATTGCATTAATAATATTTGTTAGTTGCACGAGCTATAGTCATTGGAAAGCTCATAAAGAGGGGCAATCCCAGGGGTTCAGATGGTGAACCAGATAAGCTTTTAGCATTTTCCGAATTGGTGTATTTAACCAATTCATGAGCTGAAGTAAGAGGATCTACTTCTAAAATTATCGCTTACGTTGTTTGTCAGACTTTATCTGGCGTTGATGCTTTAAGGATTCTTGGACGAAAAACACCTATGTATTCTATGTTTCCTCTTTCGGTAATAATATTTTGCGGCAAAATATCCTTGAAGCAACATTTTTTGTAGATATTTTAATGTAATCCACATTTTTATTCTAGAATCTTTCTGCACTTTTTCAACAACCAGTTTCAAGAACAAATATTAAGAATTTTGTTCATCACCTTAATTTAGTTCATATTGATACAGTAAAACGTCAAAAATGTTTGGAAAGCCTTACCATAATAAATTTAACTTTGAATATCTAGCTTTGAGTGACCAAAATTATTGGGTGTTATTGAGCTGCCGTAGATTGAACCTGTTGATCCAAGGTTTGAGCAGAGAGAATCTTCGCATTGTATCCTTAAAATTTTTCAAAAGGATCAAGGCAAGACTCTTTGCAGTGCATTGTAGAAATTATTGAGATTTAGATGCCTACTAACTAATCGTATTGCCTTATTTCTACATCAAGGATGTGGTGGCACGGTGAACGCAGATATTCCCGGCGTAATAACATCGCCGAATTACCCACGAAATTATCCTCACAATACCGAATGCATTTGGCTGTTACGAGGAACGCCTGGTCGCCAGATTACTTTCACCTTTACGAATTTCGATATTGAATCACATTCATCTTGCCGTTACGATTTTGTCGAAGTTCGACAAGGGGATAACAGTAACTCGTCGCTGGCGGGAAGATACTGTGGAACAAACTTGCCTAACACGGTGACGTCATTCGGCAACTCATTATACGTGCGATTCTTATCTGACACCTCATCAAGCGGAACTGGGTTCAGAGCCACATATACAACTGCAACTTCAGGTATAGATTTGTGCTTAAAAACTTGAGCCTTGAGACCCATGAGTCCTTAACTAACGAAAGATTGGTTAAAAGCTATAAGTTTAAATATAAACCGTAAGCAGACGTCTTGAGTTGATTAGTTAGATATCAACCAATTATTATCTAACATTTCACTTAATTTCCTCAAAGAAATGTATTTGGCTTAAATAATATTTAATATCTGATTATAAGGAGTTCTAGGAAGGTATTGTAGGGGAAAAGTTCAAAAACCCTTAGGACAAATGGGAATAAGGAGCACGAAAAATGTCTCGTATTGGGTATGTGCATTGACTGGAAATCAATTTGTAAATTTCAAATTTTAGGTATTGTTCTATCTTATCACAGCTCTATTAAGCTTTTTCTACACGTTTAGCTTGTGGGGGAACATTTACCGCCCTTAATGGCTCCTTCGCAAGTCCAAGCTATCCAGCCAGCACACCAGCAACAGCTGACTGTCTTTGGAAGATACAGGTATGTTCAAAACCATGGATATATTTCTTAAAATATGTTAGATTTAGGCAAAGAATTGCAAATCATACATTATTTTGTTTTGGTTACAAGATGCTACTATTATCTCTGAAGTTGATCTGTAAAGTTCGGCTGTGGTATAAATCGTGGTCAACTGAATGTTCGTTGCAGCCGTGGTATGGTACCTGGCGTTTTGTTGACATTTAATGATATAAATGGTATTGGATCATTAACTGAGTAAGCAATTTCTAATTCTTCTTTTATTACTGGAGTTTGACTTAACTCTGCATCAACTGAATTTTATTTCTATCAGGTTGCACCAGGCAGCATTATCGACCTCAGGTTCACAACGTTTAACATCCAGCAGTCTTCTTCTTGTTCAGATGCGTATTTAGAAGTCCGCGATGGCCCTCTTGCTTCTTCCAATCTAATCGGCCGGTACTGCGGCAGTTCGCTGCCGCCGAATGCATATTCAACTCGTGAAAACTTATATGTCAGGTTTTACCACAACGCAGCCAGCGGAAGCCCTGGCTTCCAAGCAACATTTGGTGCAGGTATGTTGTCCTCAATAACCATTTATTAAAGAATTGATTGATAGGTTTTGATAATGCCATTTTGGTTATTGTCCGGTGTTTTATAGTCCGGGGAGTATCAGATTAAGACCCTATTTAATATAATACATTATGTCTCCTTTTCTCTGTACCCTTTTTCAGTTTTTTTTCGTATGTGTTTCTGTTAAAGTGAATCATCAGTTTGAATATGCTTTATTCATAATTCGATTTATTAGATTTTGCACCTCAGAATGCCAGTTAATTAATTTGCAAAAAAGGATGTGTTTCAGTTTTGTAATAATCAATTGATGCATCCAAAAATTCTTGATTCTTGTTTAATCATCCAATGCTACTTGTTTTGCTACCAGCTTTTCTTAATTACAAAATCTACCGTGGGCAGCTTCTCATAGATATAATGTTACCTTTCAGTCTGCGTCAACACTATAACATACACTCAGGGATATATTGCCTCGCCCCGATGGCCTGCCTCTTATCCAAATAGTAAAGAATGCAGATGGACGGTCACAGTTCCTGCTGGACGAAGAATCAGTGTTCGTTTCACTGATTTTGACCTTGAAGATCATTCCAGTTGTAACTACGATTTTTTCGAGGCTCGTGACGGGAATCTTGCAACATCAACTTTGGTATGTTCATGTCATTTAACTAACTACATTTAGGTGTATTTCAATGAAAATACATATCTGTAACAAATTGTTGGAATTCTGTATCGGCAGTGAATTTAAGACAACATCTACTAGAAAACTAGAATGCTCCAAATATGCAAGGCTACTGCGTGTCCTTTTTGTTTTCGCAGTAAAGAAGCTGCCACTTTATTCACCAGGATCTATCTATAACAGAGGACAGCGATTTAATCAAAACATTAGGTTGAATATTCTACCTTCTGGCGATCACTTAAAGTTTCGTTCTCCAATTACATTGAGCAGAACAGACTCTTTGATATGTGCAGAAAATGCTTCTGTTTTTGTAAGACTGAGTCATAGTTATAAGCTGTACCGATTACCCTAGATGTATTATAGCGATCTTATTTTGTATTTTTGTTAGCTCGGAAAGTACTGCGGAACCCAGAATCCTGCTGCCTTTAGCTCGACTTCAAACTCGTTATTCTTGAAATTTAAATCGGACTTTTCAACAACTGGCAGAGGATTCCGGCTCTACTTTGATGCTGGTGCACCGACAACACCGTTGCCAGGTAAGGAATAAGGACTCTTTCATTCTATTCCTCTTAGACTGTTATGATATATCCTGTTGAAGTTATGAGAAATGAAGCTTTGAAATTTAGCTCATGAAGAATTGATACATATCCAAGAAAAAACTCTTTCTATTGCCAGAAAGTCACCACACCCTCTATTTCGGCAGATATTCCGTTATTTTAGAAAAACGCGACCGCCCCCCCCCCCCGTCCTCACAATGACGTTTCCTATAACCCAGTAATGGCCTAAGTGTTCGAATCCCTTTCTTTAAATGTTAGGGCCTTCTTGCTTTACCAGTTTATGTGTTGAAGGAGGACCTCAGCACAAAGGACTTATTCATGCAAAAACTTGGCACTGAGGTTGATAATTGATGGTTTGTTTCTTCGTTGCAGGCTGTGGAGGAATTTTTGCCGCGTCAAACACTCTACAGTACATAAGTACCCCAAATTACCCACAGAATTACCCTATCAGTGTCACATGCACTTACGTCATCAATGCTGTCAATGGACATACAATCCTCATGAACTTCACGGACTTCGCCCTTGAATCTGGATTTGGATCATGCAATGCTGACTATGTCCAGCTGAGGGACGGAGCTACGTCTTCAGCTCCAAGTTTAGGCAGATTCTGTGGGATAAGATCCTCGTTTACAGTTCATACTTTAACAAGCTCCTTGTACGTCCAATTTGTTAGTGATTATTCAATTGTAACAAGAGGATTTCGCGCCAGTTATCAAATGAGTAAGTAGTCATTTTGTATTACATTTTTGTGATACTAACCATGTAGGTATTGGGAAGAATAGCTTCCTTAATGAAAATATGATTTTGGCATAGTATTTAAAAGGTTTTCAATCAAATGTCGAACGACTGGGGCATTGAGCTATATAGAAGGGTCCTTACAAGTGTTAAGAATCATAATCCCATGTCCAGTGTTAGTGTTATGTCTGGTAGCACTTTCCTTAATCTCTTATTCAAAGTCGCTCACAGTTATGTAGGACAAAATGATTCATTTGTTTTTTAACACCACTTAACGGGAGCTGTCTAAACTTTCTCCAGATGGAGATCATCGTATCTAGACCGATAACTACGTACACTGTAGTCAATATCTTTTCAAACCTGCTCTACCTTGGTCTTATCGATAAATTCTGGAGCGACGAACTCAAAACTCACTCATTTATTCTGCAGCTTGTGGTGGAACGCTAACAGCAACAACTGGAATTATTAAACCTCCGACTACGGGCGGACAGTACTTACCGAACCAGAACTGTACATGGCAGGTAACCGTAACAAGCGGTACAAAGATCAGACTGACATTCACCCAATTTGCTATCGAAGGAAGCACAGGCTGTACAAAGGATTACATACTCGTGAGAAATGGTCTAGCTGCAGATTCGCCCATTATAGGCCGTTACTGTGGTTCTACTACACCATCTCCAATTGTAACTAGCAGTAACAGAGTTTCTGTGCAGTTTGTAACTGATGGAACAACCCAGTCATCCGGATTCATGGTAAACTATACCCAGTTCGTTCAAGGTAAGGTTCTGCCTTGAAGTTGAAGTTGTTGTTGAAGTTGTTGAAGTTGAAGAACAGCTTCTGTACTGCCTTCGTAACTAAGAAGCTTATAAGCTAGAACTTTTATAAGGCAAGTGACGAATTCATTGTCGTACTACCTTCGATAAAGTGCTCTATAGAAAGCAGGCTAGCCATTCCCCAATTTTTAAGGCTAAATTTTGTAGTATTCCAGCATCCTTTCCCGGTACAAGGTGATGAAACCGGGTTTCCCAAGTACTTATCAAAACAACGAGAATTGCTCATACACAATATATCCAAATCCCCAGAGACCGAGAGAATCTGGCTTGATTTCAATGTTGCTTTAGAATTAAAGCCAGATTATGCCCCGTAGCCTTAATGCTCAGGATTCTTAAATTTAAGCTATTTTCTACAAATTTGTTTCTGTTTGGAGATAAAAAGGTGTTCTTTTTATTTTCTACTTAAACTTTTTTCTACTTATCACTTTTGTTGTTAAAACTTCGTACTGATCATTAATAAACTTTTTTTTGCCAGGCTGTGGAGGGCAACTCAGTATTTCAGATCCTCTGGCAATAGGAAACCTATCTTCGCCAAATTACCCTACGAATTACCCAATTAATATAGAATGTACATGGGTGTTGAATGTGCCGGCTGGAGACACCATCCTGTTTACCTTTGTGGACTTGGATATTGAGACAGGTGCCGGTTGCAGGTGGGACTATGTTGAGCTTAGAGACGGTGGCACGTTAGGTAGCAACTCGTTGGGTAAATTTTGTGGCAGCAGTGTGCCAACACCGGCACGCTACATCTCAACTGGGAACCAATTGTTCGTTAAGATCAGATCGGATGCATCCGTCACTGGGCGTGGTTTTACAGCTTCCTGGAAAATAGGTCGGGAATAAATAATCTTTTCTAGTTTTTATTCAAAACGCATTTGCAATAGTTCCTCTGCTCTTACTGGATTTTACAAGAAGATTTCTTGCCTTTTCTGGCTTGAAAAAATGTCTGTTCAAGCACAATTTTTTGTTTTTTGTTTGGTTCAACTTTTAAAAACCTTAAGATTTTAAAGCGATTTGAGGTTTCCTATTTTACTTAGCAACCCTAAATTTGTAATTTTTCCTGTTCTTTCTATTTCATTTTTTTTATGTTGGTAACTTCAAACATTGAAAATACCTCATGTTTACAAATCAGGTTGCGGAAGGACATTTACCGCTGCAAGTGGCACAGTTACGTCTCCTGGTTTCCCAAGTACATATCCAAACAACAGGGATTGCTCATACACAATACAGATCCCAGAAAACAAGAGAATCCAGTTGGACTTCAACGTTCTCAGTGTTGCTTCTTCTCCTCCCCAGTGTACTTCAGATTTTGTTGCTGTGAGTGCACATTTTTTATATGAGAAACACAGCAATCAAGTGAAGCTAGGGTTTCGAAGCCTTTCCAATAGTAACTGCCCTAGTCTAGCCTGACCATGTTTCTTAAAAGTTTCTTGATTTTCAGCAAATCTGGACGCGTGTGTGTATTTCCTTGTCACAATATGAATTCAAGTAAATACCTGTTTAAGAATATCAATCCCAGGCTTGTTTTTCTATTTTAGGTGTAATCCGACTAGTTTAGACCTAAGATTGAATGCCTTTGTTGGTTCTTGTTCAATCTATTCGTACTTTTATGTATATGTTATCATATTCGACTCCTTCAATCTTTTAGTCGTTTTATATTCTAATTGCCATTTGAATTTAAAGGATTTTGCTTTATCTTGTTTATAAAATAGAGACAGATTTTCCATACTTTAATAAACACCAATCACAATTTCTTCCATTGAACTCCACGCATAAAAATAGACTCAGTCTGGATGTCAAACGTAAACATGGTTGATAATTCGATCAGCCCTCCTTCCCCCTCTTGATTCCTCCATGTGATTCATGTTATGTCTGATTTTGGTAGTTTTCTTTCGTAGATTCATGACGGCATGAATACAAGTGCTCCCCTGTTGAGCAAACTATGTGGAAACACTTTACCATCTTCCATTCTTACAAGTGGAAGGAATGTGCTTATAAGGTTCAAATCTGATTCATCTGGGGTCGGTAATGGATTCAGAGCTGTGTACCAAACAGTCGGCGTTGGTAAGAATGATGACACTTACAGATTTGCTTCTGTTGCAGGCCTAATTTTAGCAATGAAGGCATTTTAAGATCAAACTATTTTTCTCTTGTGATTCTTGGAAAATGTCCGAATCTATTATGTAATTGCTCGATCTTTTCTTTTCTTCTCTAATCAGCTTGTGGCGGAAGTTTGTCTGGAGACACTGGCACATTTACGAGTCCCGACTACCCGCGTGCCTACCCGCGCTCAAGAGTTTGCACCTGGGTTATTACTGCACGAGCACTGCATTCTGTTCAACTGAGGTTCACCACATTTAACATGCAGACAGGAGCTCCTTGCAATACTGTAAGTTTATCTAGCTTAAATAGTAAAATTTGACATCATACCTGCTCGTAACAGGACGGTATCAAAACGGTGTGTAAAGAAGATCATAATTTTATATTGCCAGATTGCTCCTAATCAGAAGCCATATTTAAGGGGAAGACAGAGTTTTTTCGTCAAACAAGAAATTATGGACTTATAAAAAGCACTAAAAATAAACTGAACTATAATATAAGTTTTGAAATGAGTGATGTTAAAGAAACAGGATAAAGAGAAATTACAGTAAGTCGAAGTCATTCTGGATCCCGTGTTTAATTCGTTTAATTGATATTTCTGTGAAGTGCATGTAAAGAAGAGCAACTATCCTAAGCCAACTGAAAGGATTCTTTCCCCGCTGTCCCTATCCAACCCATTTTTGCTGTTAGGTATCCATTAGTTAAGAAGAGGCGAGAGTCTAAATTATGGGTCGAGCCTGACTCTTATTACCGTAGTCAAGTGCAGCTGGGCACTTTGGCATCCAACGTTAGCAAATGTAATTTGTAAAATGTAAAATTTGAGATCTTACAAAAATATCTTTTTTAAAACAGGATTACGTTGAAGTTCGTAATGGCGACAGTGAAGCTAGTCCTCTCATTGGCCGATACTGCGGTAGTGCTCTCCCCGCGCTGCTTAACTCCACTGGTACAAAAATGTTTGTCAAATTCGTTTCAAACTCGGATTCTACTCAGCTATCTGGATTCTCAGCTACATACAACTCATACCTTGCTGGTAACTATTTTGATATCAAAACAATCTTTTGTTGGTGCAAACCTAAAAATTGGCTTTGAAAATAGCAAACATTTGAGTATACTAAAGCTTTTTGTCTGACACTCTTCAGAGTATAAAACGTCAAAACATTGACTGGGCAACCTCATCAGTCAATATGCTCGCGTTTCTGCTTGGCCAATTTCGATCCACAACTGGGTATCTATATTTCCTAGCGTAGAGTTTTCGATCTATGTTCTGACTTTTTATACTCTGAAGAATGTCAGACGAAAAGCTTCAGTATACTCAAATGTTTGCTTCTTCCAAAGCCATTTTTATGTTTTGATATTTCAATCTTGATTTTATCTGAGACTTTCAGACTCTGAAAGCACTGGTAGTTTTCCTGCCATAAGGAAAGGTTAAAATAAAAAGGTCCTACAATTTGCGTCGTTTTAGAGAAGTCGTAACCGATAATGATGTTTTAAAACTTTCGTAGCAAATATTCCAGCTAGAGTCTATGAGATATGCCGGCAAGAGAAAGTAAATTCCTTTCTTGCCATTGACAAAAATTTACTGCATTGTTTGTTGAGGATGCGTCACTAATCAAAAACAATGCACTAAAATAAAAATTTCGAAGGAGCTGTTCTTAACACTGTGACAGGATTTATATCTCTTTAATATATTTTCGTACGGCTATAAAAACTTTGTTTTTTTCTACGTATAATTGTACGGGAAAGCTCCAAGCTGCAACTCTGAGGTTAAGGCTTAATGCGATCATTCGGCAACATGCATGTTCAGCTCCCGACCCCAAACACCATCACGGCATCTAGTTCAGTTCACAAATCTTTGTTCATTAACCATTTTCATTTACTGTACTTATTTTTACTTTTCTTCTCCTTCAGGCTGCGGTGGTAACTTGATAGCTGAAGCAGGGAACATAACCACCCCCAACTACCCCGGCAATTACCCAACAAGGGTGGAATGCGTTTGGGTTCTCACCGTTCCAAGCGGAAGTATTTCAATAATTTTCACTGATTTCTTGATAGAAGACCACTCGAGTTGTAACTACGATTTTGTTGAAATTAGGTGAGTATATTTTGGTATCAATTTTTCCCCAGCTGACGCAATAAAATTTTCAAGTCCTTTCACATACATATTGCTACCGAGTGAAATACCCGACTGGTAACAAAGACTTCTATATGTCATAGAAAGCTGAAACAAATCATTCTAAAAAGCACTTTTCGCCCGAAACTCTTCAGAGTAAAGAACGTTGGATAATGTTTTGCAAACATCTTATGCTCTATGAGCAATAAACATATATACATACTCCGTTTTGTTTTTTCAGGGATGGCAACACAAACACTTTCCCTCAAGTTGGAAAGATCTGTGGATCAACTGGCTTAGGCTTTAATTACACATCCCTCGGCAGATCGTTGTACATCAAATTCAGGTCTGATTCGTCCGTGACCTCCCGTGGTTTCAAAGCTTCGTGGACAAACGCGGGCTCTGGCCAAGGACGTAAGTAAATTTGAGCGAAGTCGGTGCGAAGTTTAATAGAATGGTTTTGCGTCGAGTCTCTTTGCTGTTGGTTCTAGGATTTATGAACAAGGCCGAGACAACTTTAATGTCTTGCAACAGATTTGACTGATTTTGCACATTTGGAGGCATATCGAATGTTCTATATGACGTCATCATTCACGCGTTACGAATAGCCCTTTAAATCAAATAAGCGTCACTGGTTTTTCACATCTACTATTATATGGTCTGTTCAAGTGATTATTGTACATATGTACAGGGTTTTACTAACTAGGGTTCAGAAAATAGATGGCGCTAAGCCTCTAACTCCGAGATTCCCATCATTGTCTTTAACAGCACAGTGGATATTTGTTTTCTCTCTCTATGTCAATGTATATAGCGTACATTTACTTAATTATTTATGTATTTCTTTCTTATGAATTTTGTATTGAATTGTTTGTTTGTTTCTTCTCAAGAGATATTAAAGAGGAGGGGCTGACATCGGAGCCTAATGCAAGAAAGCCCATGGGTTTCAATACCAGGAACAATTAATAAGTTTTGAATTTCGTATCAATATTGCTAATTCTAGCAACATTTAATCAGAGTGTCTTTGCTTACCTCCATTTAGAATGTGGTGGTATTCTTCCCGTGGCAACGTCTGGAGAAATCACGTCACCGTCATACCCATCACCCTACCCACCCAATCTGAACTGCATTTGGCTGATACAGGTCACGACCGGCTTCCAGGTTACTGCAACCTACACTGAGATCGACATCGAGCCTTCTTCGCAATGTACTAAAGACTACATTCAGCTGCAGAATGGAGCCGTGTCAACGTCTCCTTCGCTGCACAAGTACTGCGCAAGGACATTACCGGCTCCGACTTCCTACCGTAGCTCAAGCAACATCATGAGGGTTACATTTAAAACGGATAGCGCTGGAAACGGACGTGGATTTAGGCTGCGCTACAACCAGACATTAGAAGGTAGTTCAAAAGGCGTCTTTCCTTATCCTATTTATTTGTCGTGCTTACTTTGCTCTGTATAGTTTGGTCGATCTTAATGCATCGATGGGATGCATTCTACTCCAGCAGAACATTTAACCTAACTTTTCGAGAGTCAGGTTCTTCTAAGTTCTTATTGTCAATGTGCTTATGGTCATTTCAGGCCCCACGGGTTCCTATTCCAATGGTTTACTTCTTGCTTTTGAAGGAGAAATAGCCAAAATATTTAACATGAAAACATTCCAATTTAATTCTCCTCTGAGGTCAAGCACAGGTACAAATTATCCTTAGTTAAAATTCATTAATTATACCTGCTATATTAACAGCTTTTAATATTTCTCAGCCTAAGCGCCGTTCCTGGGTAAAGGTTGCCTATTCAAAGAAACACAGGCTTCTCTTTGTTTGGATTTACTGTAGGAGCTAAGATTGTCCATCCCAATTATTTTAATGGTGAATTTTATGCTCGTGGCTTCAAAGTTTATATCCATTCTATCGCTGTATTCTAAATCTCTATTTTTCTTTTTATGGTTGAATTTGCTTTTATGAAAAGCTCTTTATCAGTTCTAAAGTTGCTTCGATATTGAGTTCTTTTGGAATAGGTAGTCTCTTTTATCTGAGCTCAATTTTTTTCAATAGGCTGTGGTGGCGTGTTGAATGCTCCGCAGGGTACGATTGTCAGTCCAGGCTTTCCAAACAACCATCTCCACAACCTTGAGTGTGTTTGGATCATCAATGTTCCATCAGCGGATAGAATTGTTCTTTACTTCAATGGGTTCAACCTGGAGAATGGAGCAACGTGAGTAGAATCTCCTTGCCAATAAAATTACTCCAATTAGATCTCGTTGTCTCAGTTTGTCTCGATTCACTAAAACTTATGTTTGAAAGCTACTCAACTGAGATTCCGAAGGAAAAGATCTATTGCTGTTAGTACAATTAGCTGTGGTTCTCTTGTCTATTATTCTGATACTAGGCGTAAACGTTTGTTGCACCTTGGACCTAGTGGGTTGTCAGTGTATTGCTCCAGCGCCTGGACATATATTAATGGTACTTGACGATTGTATGATTTTCATCTTTACATTCAGGTGCCAGTACGACTACCTAGAGATCCGGGACGGCGGAAGCAGCAGCTCTACCCTTTTACAAAAGCTTTGCGGTCAAAATGTTCCCGCACCTGTCAAATCTTCAGGAAACTCTTTGTACCTTCGTATGCGAACTGATCAGAACACTGCATTGCAAGGGTTCAATCTTACCTACTCCACAGGTGATTGTTTCAAAAATTCTGCTTTATTAATTTGTTAAAGACTCATTGCTAACAATAGGCCTTTGCGAGCGTGGCGACGGTCCAAACAATGGCAATAAACTTCTATAGATTAACCAAAACTGATTTCAGACAGTCTAAAAATGCATTATGGGATGCTTGCGTAGCGCAATGGCTCTTTGTTAGCAATGAGTCTTTAAGGGTATTATCATAACTCTTCCAACTAAGACATGACTGTTCTATAAAGAATAAAATTAAGCGAATGAAGGCCTTCAAGTTATTGACTTCAGCTGTTTGTAAACAGTATTTGACCCAATTTATTTGCGTTCTGCAATCGTTCCTCTTTGAATTGTGCCAGTTGCAGTATCTAGGCCTTAATGCAATAAAATGTAATAAACAAACGTTATAGGATATGTTACTGAAATCGTTCAAATCTCTCTGCGATTGAACAGTGCATACACATATCAACGAGAGAATTTAGTTGTTTATTTCGCTTCAAATGTCATGGTCGTTGTGCATTAGAGTTATTTGTTCCTGTTTCCTCATCATCACTTGCTGTACTTTTTCAGTAATTACTGTTTTCTAAAGAGGATTTATTCGTATATTTGTTCATTATTTTTGATGATTTCTGCTGCTTCTTCTGCAGACTGTGGTGGCAACATCTTGAGCCGCAGCGGAGTAATCGAATCACCAAGGTATCCAAACGCATATCCTCCAAACAAGGACTGTGAATGGGGAATCCAAGTGACTTCACACTACCGCCTGAAGCTCACCTTTTCACAGTTCTCACTGCCAGCTCCTGGTGTTGCTGGTTGTGATGATTATGTTCAAGTCAGAAATGGCACCACTGCTGTGACACCGCTAATTGGAACATACTGCAACCGAGGACCATCTCTGCCTATCCAGACCATGTCCAATCAGATGTATATGAAGTTCCACTCTGATAGCAGCACCAATTCATACACGGGATTCAGTGCTGCTTTTGAAGCAGGTGAAGTTCCACTCTAGATGTCTTACATCTCCTTGTTCCATACTTGAACAATGGATAACCGTAGGCCTTTATGCAGTCCAAGGCCATTATTTCTTAATCTAATAGAGAAGTGTGATATTTTTCTACATTTTCGTCAAGATTAATTTTAAGCTGCAAATCTAAAAGTTGTTATAATTATTTCAGTGTGTGGAGGAATCATTACCGATACTAATGGAGTGATCAGCGCGGCACCAAAAACAAGCGGAGGCTACCATCATAACGAGATATGCACTTGGCTTATTCGATTCCCTGTGGGACAGCGCGTTAGTATTCAGTTCACGAGCTTCCGGCTAGAGTATACCGCTGGCTGTCTATATGACTATCTGGAAGTTAGAGATGGCGATAGTATCGGATCACCAATTGTGGGTAGATTTTGCGGCTCAATTGTGCCACCCCCATTTATCAGCACAGGCAATACGCTGAATGTGACATTCGTTACCGATTATTCAATCAGTTTTGATGGATTTTCAATGAGATACACCAATGCCGGACCAGGTATGTTAAAACTTGGTTTTAATACGCTCTCTTCTCAACTTTATTTCGCACACGCCAAGACATGAATCTCAGCTGCTTTTTTATCTTGCTATTTGGATCACGCGATGACAGTGGAAATTTCGCAAAAAGACTTATCATGGGTTTGGGTACTTATCATACAATGTATCAGTACTGTAGCTACTGTTTTTTAGAGGAATTCAGTCATACAAAAATTTTGAAAATCCTTTGTTTCCATTGATACCTCGTTTGTTGCTATGGTTCTCAAACAATGGTTCCATCGGTGTAGTGCGATCCTTCTTACGGTATTCCAATGTAATAATGTTCATTGCATTGTAGACAGCATTTACCTTCCATGTCGCATTTTAAAGAAAAAGTTCTGTCTTTTAGCCTGTGGTGGAGATTTGAATTCGACAACAGGAACAATAAGCTCGCCAAATTACCCCAACGCGTATCCACATAACGATGTCTGTGGTTGGGTCATAAGAGCTCCGGCTGGCCAGAAAATCAGAATCTCGTTCACAGCATTTAGTCTTGAAAGTCCAACCGGGAACACTTGCCACGATTTCTTAGAAATCAGAGAAGGAAGATACCCAACTTCGCCTCTCTACCGAAGGTAGTTGAATCTCAACCTTTATATCTCTCAAAAGCCCATCCATACACACTTGATTGGAGTTGATATTAAGGTGTATTATACGCAGTCGATTCAATAGCTTTACTTAAAAAGCACTATAACTCTATATCATAAATGTTTATACTCAAGAGTGCCGAACTTATAGTTAGGAAGGGGGGCTGTGCTGTAGGCAAATTCAACGGACCACACCCATGCCCACGCCCAATATACTTGCAATCGTGTTTAAGACTCTCTGTTGTGTCAAGGAATCATTTAAACTATTCAATGACACAAAAAGACTGATAAGAAACTGCTCAATCATGAGAAATCTATTATATCACAGAGGGTTGCCAACAGAGAATTCGTCCAACCAAAATGAACTCACTAGTTATGTAGGGGCTGAGCCCCCCCCCTCCTCAAAGATCTCTCTGAATTTTAACAAGGGGACAGAGCATCCCTAAGCCCCCCCTCCACGGCACCACTATATAACCTTTAAATATGGATCTTTTTTGCTCGGTAGATACTGTGGTAACAATGGACCAGGAACCGTTACTAGCACTGGGCCCTCGATGTTCATAAGATTCCATACAGACTCAAGCATCAATTCAACTGGTTTCACGGCTACTTACCAATTTGTACAAGGTAAATGCCACTTTTAGCTAACATGACTACTTTCATCATCAAAATTTTAACCATAATTGACATATTCAACTGATAATTGAAAAATCTCATAACAGCGGACTGTGTATTTTTTAAGGCTGTGGTGGACGACTAACCGCCGACACGACCGCAAAAACCTTTACCAGCCCAAGCTACCCCAGCAACTATCCAGCCCCTGCTTATTGTGAATGGCTTATCACAACGGATTCTGGCTACAAAATCCAGCTGACATATAATGATTTCCAACTGCCGGCTGCTGTCAACGGTCAATGTGGCAGGTAAACCAATCTAGATTCCTTTTTTATCTTTTGGTTTTTCAGTCATTTAACTTTCTCATTCCCAACAGGCAAGTGGTACTGATTTGGCAACCTCAACAGTCATGTGCTAGCGGTTCTGATTAACCTATTTCGAGCCACAACTGGGTAGTATCAATTGTGCAGCCGTTTCTGTCGAATAAAGGTTTTGGTTTCAAAAGCTATGATTTCTTAAATCGCTTTGTATTCTTGCATTCCTGATCTAAAAGTGTATATTTTATTTCAATATTCAGCTCGTAAAACAGTATCTTGCTAAGAATAACTGTTCAATCTAGCAGAACCAAAGTTATGATTATCCCCCCTCCCAATATCCTTATCAAAAAAATATTTCTTTTTAAAAGTTGGCTTTAAATTTAACACGCTTGTATCTCTTTGCTTACTCAACTCCGTCCTTGTTGTAGTAACTACCTCCTCGTTCGAAACGGACCGTACGGAAGCTCGTCAGTAGGAAATCGCCTCTATTGCGGATCAACAAGACCACCTCAGTTTATAGGAGATACCACGGCATTAAGAGTGATATTCAATGCATCAACAAGTGCTAAAGGATTTTCAGTTTCTTACCAAAAAGCAGGTAATTAGCAATGGTAACCTAGACCTTCTCCATGAGCCTCTGTTTCGCTACTGTCTCACTTGACGGACGCTACAACAGAATAAAACTAAGGCAGTAGCGAAACAGAGGCTTATGGAGTAAGTGTAATGGTAACCTACTAATTTTTCCAGTTTCGTTCTGGTGATTCAGTGCCTTTCTGTCTTCTGTTTTGAATCTTTCCAAACATTTGTCATTTTTTGCTATACTTACATAGCCTAATTAACAAAACTCTTAAATCAATTTATCATGTTTGCATCATTAAACGCGCCTTTCGGTATCGCAAATTTAATTTCTTCTTTCTTAGCAAAGACAAGGCTTTATGAATTGAGTGAATTGATTTCACAACTGTTAAATAAAATATACCAAAAGTGTATTAGTTGATATTTTAGTCATAAATTACCTTGTTGCTGTTATTTAACGAAACGAATGCATATTCTCAGACAAAAATTATTATCCAATTGTTCCTTGACCGCATGGAACTATAAAAGCAAAACTCTTAGAATATAATCAATGCTGCAGAGAAAAAATATTAAGGCCATGTAGAAGATTTTTGTTCTTCTTATACAGCTGATTTGATCGTTTTGACAAAGTGAGCGATTAACATGGTTAGAATGACTTTATTTTTTCAGCTTGCGGTGGCACATTTATGGCGAACAATGGAATGATAACATCACCGAATTACCCATCATTCCACCCTGTTGATATCGAATGTGTGTACAAGATCACAGTGCCCGTAGGCAACAAGATACAGATGTATTTCAGGGAATTTAACATCGAGGTTCATTCAAGATGCCAGTACGACTATCTGGAGATACGAGATGGTAGCAGTGACAGTGCAACGTTGGTTGGTAACAGGACATGGTGTGGAAACGTCCTACCGCCCTCAATTGTCAGTAGCAGTAATAATTTATACATGAAATTCAAGTCAGATCCTTCTATTACAACTGCCGGTTTTGCTGTTTCCTATACATCGTCTACAAGAGGTGCGGTTTTGAATTTGTTGTATTCAATGTTTTTTTTATTTTAACGATACATTGATAAATCAAATGATTTTTTTTATATGCGAAATGAGGCCTATATTTGTGAACCAAAATCCCATTTTGCAGCAAACAGTTTTAATGATGTACCAAGTTTCAATTTGATGTAGTCTCTTGACATTGCATAGTTTGGCGACTTGCAAATTTCAATACTTACCTTTAGCTAAGGAACTGGAAAAGCTATCAATAGGGTACATTTGTTTCTGTGGTCTCACCTCGTGCATTAACTTTTACAACCAATGATGGATCAAATGCCAGCATTGTGCTTCACAGAAAGGTTCTTGTTGATCCTTTACAATGATAACTTTGAAAGCTCTTTATATATATATATATTATCACATTCGCTTTGAACGAATGTATCCCTGTTTCATTTGGTCTCTCTCTCTTCTGTCCTCTTTCATTTTGCCTCTTCGCATTGGCCTTTCTCCTCTGCAGTCTGTCCTATTACCTTTCTCCTCTAATTCTCTCCTCTACCTTCCCTTCTCTACCTTCCTTCCTCTACCTTCTCTCACCCACCCTCTCTCGTCCACCCTATCTCTTCTATCCGTTCTCCTCTACCCTTTCTCTTCTACCCTCTCACCTCTGGCTTTCATGTTTGATAGTAGCGGGTAGCTGAGTTCTAGTTGCTAAAACTCTACTACGTTTCCAAGAGGCTTGAAGAAGACTGCGGAAATCTCATCAGGATAATCATCATTGCCCATTTGTTGTTAAGGGAAATATAATATTTATTTGTGCTCTAGATTGTGGAGGAGACTTGAACAGCAAATTCGGAGCAATCACAAGTCCATTTTACCCCGTGGGATACAATGACAATTATAACTGCCAGTGGAAAATAACTGTTGGTGTTGGAAAGAGGGTCCACTTGAAGTTCTCTGATTTTAATCTACCCTATTCTAACGCATGCTCCACAACAGATTACGTGGAGGTATGTCTTACTTTGATTTGGCGATTTTGATTTTTACTGATGACGTAATACAAGGCAAGGCTAGATTGATATTTCGGTATATTTTTGTCTATAAAAACCGATTGGTACATGTTTCGCTTTTCAAAATACTTATGATTTGTTTTTTATGTATTCCATAGTGTACTAATGTATCCCTATTGCCTTCAATTCACATGCTGACGCCATTTCATTTAAATTTTCCTAGTACTTCTTGAAAAAGATTATCTGATAAGCAGAAAGTTTTTTGGTATTTCTTTGGCCATTGAATTAATATTTAGTAGTCTGTTGATTGTTTTCTTAAAAATACATCCTTAATTCATAAATATTATCATTTTGCTCAGATTTTCAAATGCGTATAATTCTGGGGCTTGCTCTTTAAAGACTCATTGCTAACAATTAGCCGTTGCGCTACGTAAGCATCCCATAATGCATTTTTAGACTGTCTAAAATCAATTTTGGTTAATCCGTAGAAAATTACTGCCATTGTTTGGACCGTCGCCACGCTCGCAAAGGCCCATTGTTAGCAATGAGTCTTTAAATGATCTTTTGTAACAGAGTTGAGTAGCCTCTTTTCACGACTTTGCTTTATTTAATCAAGTGAATTTTCCCTAGATTCGAGACGGAGGCAGCTCTGTATCCACACTCCTTGGCCAGTTCTGCTCAGACACCATCCCAGCCTCTCGTAACACAACGAGCAATCAGCTGTATATCACTTTCAAAAGTTCTCTTAGGACCACCAAGTTCAGGGGCTTCCGGGCCACATTTGACGAAGTAGCCTAGAGCCGTTAAAAGTGACCGTTTTTAGATCAAAGCATCCTCTCTGATTACCTAAATTTTAGCATAAAATGCATCCTGGATGCATTTTCATTTTGATATATTGAAGTTTGCCGTCCAATTCAATGACGGCTGAGGGTTTAGGTAACATAGAATGGTTAACACTTCATTTATAATCGTAAATTAAATTAGATTAAAAACCAAATAGTTTTTCTATTATATTTTTTCTAATGTTCATAATCTCCATCTGTGTTCTGGGAGTCATACTCCCTAAATCGAAGTATATATTATTTGTGCTTGTTTGGGATAATTAGAATTCGAAGTGGGATCAATTTCGTTCCATCCTCAGCTATTTTAAGCATTTTAGAAAAGTTGTCGTTTTGTCATCATAAAAAATTCCTTTGATAACATATTATCCATTTCTCCCCAATGTTTGAAAATGTAAAATTTGGAAAATATTGTCTAGCATTATCCTCTGACCTTTCTCTTCTGAACTCCCCCCTTTGGACTCTCTCCTCTGAACTCTCTCGTCTGAACCCTCTCCTATGAACTCTCTTGTAAAAAATCTATATCCCCTGTACGTCTCCTTTTTCATATTTCATGCGCACATATCCAGAGCCTTTCAGAATTAGCTGGTCACGTGTGTACCACCCTTCCAGAGTTGAAGTGTTTGATTCTCTGTTTTATGGTATTTGGTGATATAATTACAGGTGTTTGTATTTGCGGACAAGATGCTTATATTTTGAACAAATTACGAAATTATTATTGTAAATCTATTTTTACTCTCAGTTTTTAATAATCTCGCACCTTACGTTCATAGAAGTTTTTCAATATGCTGCACACTCTAGGGGATTTTAATTGTTTCTTAAAGGTTATTGTTAATTAGTGATGAACTTTTTAAGTTTTTGGTGTCCCATATTATTCGAATAAAGTTCACGTGTAGAGAAACATTTTAACAAAACATGCAACCTGAAGATTGGTCCGCTTTATTAACTCCAGGTTTTTTCAAATCGCTTAGCTGTCTACATAGGGAGACCATTGCCCCTGTTGTATTAGGACATTAAAAGGCAAAACCTTTCCTATGCTAACATTACAAAAAAGCTTGTTTCAAGCTCTGTTGTTTCAAGTCACTGTCCCAATAGCCATAGATTCAAAACTGTTTGTTAACCCTGTGCAGATTTACATAAGATTACACAAAAAGTTGTTAATTATATTTTATTTTTGATTTTGGTAATTGTAAGGCCTGGTGCCAACTCGTAATGATGATTTTCTACCATTGTTGTAAACCTGTTTTGTATATAATACTGCGTTGATTATAAATGTAAATTAAATTTTTTTGCAAGCTGAATATACAATTATGAATAAGAATTACTGGAATAATTGATAGACAAGTAGTAAATGGGATTTGATACTTGTCCATGAAAGCGGTTCTTTATTGCATAAAATGTATCCAAAAAATGTTGGAAGCTTCTGTAGCCGAAAAGATTTTTGTTCAGTAAAATTATGTAAGAAGTTTTTGCTTCAGACAGGAAACATCCGATTTTGGACGAGAATGTCGGCTCAAGTCCCTTTTTTTAAAAATTTTATAAAGTGGTTCGGTTTTCGAAGCCAGTTTTCTCAGAAAATGTTTTCAAGCCGCCTTTGTGGAACGTCAATGCATAGATCCACCAGCAAATGATATGAAATTGAGTTTCAGTGCAACTTCAACGAAAGATTTGCAACGTTTAAAGGCCATCTATCTCGTTGTGGATTGGTTAACGAGAACAATAGCTGGAACAATAGCCTAAACACGATTCCAGCGCTCCGCCATATTTTTTACAATGCGATAAATAAAAGGGGGACTGGAAACAATAAAAAATCCCTTTGTTCTTATAATCAATCAACGTCGTGACAGATTGCCTTTAAGAGCGAACATTAATATCCTTGTATTTTGAAGCTAGACAGAAATAATGGTGACGAATCTATGGGAAAACAACTCACTTTATGTTTTAGCAGAAACATGAGGTTTTTGGGTTACAGGAATGCAAGTGTTTTTAACAGAGTTATTGATATTGTGAGACACTTCAGTATCGAAACAAATACACAAAAGTTGTTGGGAATTCTTTTCAGGTTTACTATCGAATTTTGAAAGAAATGTTAGGCTTCTTTCACTTATGCCAGAATTGTTTTCAATTTTTTGAAAAAAAGACAATTTGAGCTGAATTTAGCAATAGAACCGTTAGGTGAGAGTTTTTTTCACATGCTTTAGTCTGTTTTCACAAAAGTGTAGGCAAGCAAAAAGTTTAGGTGTAAATTTTTATTGAAGGTAAGGCTGATGACCTACAAAAACGTTAGCTTCTGCAAAGCATTTTGAAGGGCGAAGAGCACAATGTCGAAAACTTCAATTTTTAGGAACGAGTATTTAGGAAATCGAAATCACACATTATTTTGAATCAAAACAATTTTGTGGCATGAAAAAGATTTCCTGCAAAACATTATAAAACTAAAAATAAGGCTGCAGGCTTGCAAAAGTACATTGAATTGCCAGAAACTAGATTTACTTAATTCTTGTTCTTTTGGTTCCCTTATCGATAATATCGTATATCTTTGAAATTAGTGAAAGAACGGCTTTTGCCTTCATTGAAACACAATATTCTATTTCTCTTAAAAGAAAGAATCTTATGAATGAAGAATTCATTGCTCAAACTTCCCAGAATTCGATATGAACGAAAGCTGGCTAATTTACGGTGAAAGAAAGCTGGCCAAGTTATCGGTTGAAGAAATGTAATGTTTAGCAAATTGTTCCTGATCAGTTTATTTGCAGAATTATCGGCAGTAGAACGGTGTATAAGAAGCATAAATTGCTTCAATCGAGGAACATTCCACGTATATCTCGCATGCCTTCAGCAAAATCCTTTTGACTTCAAAAAGAATCATCGAAAAATCCCTAAAAAATTATTTCTTTGAAAAATCTCTTACGGTGTTTGGAAAGAGACCTCACGTCTACAATGGTAAATGTCAAACAGCGTTCCAGATCACAATTTTACTGCTGTATTGGTGCAAAAGAGGCTGGCAATTAATAGACATCAATTTTCTTTGCACTCAGCCTCTATTTGATAAAATAATTTACCCTGAATGAGACAACTGCTAGCATTCAATTCCCCATTATCAGCTTATATCAGAAAATTTCTACACAAATTTAACAGATTATCTAAATACTATCAACGGCTCTTTTGATTTTAAAAATTCAAATTGTGTTTATTTCACCCATGATATTAACTGGTCGGCTTTTGTATTTCTTTGATATTTCTCCAGCAATCTATAGGAAAAACAACGAAAAATTACATGAGCTGCGTCGAGACAAATACTTATTTTCCTTATTCATAACTGATTAACTATCACAGCGACTTTTATGAAATCTCTACCAGCCTTTGATCCACAGCAAGGTACACAAAAGGCAACAGCTGTCTACGAAGTCTAGGGCAACTCTTTCTGCTATCAAGGAAAGAAGCTTTGAAAAACAGAAAGGAATATTTGAAGTTAAAATTTCAGCTACAAAAATCTTATATCAATTGAAAAGATTTTAACATATCAAAATACCTGTTGTTTTAGCTCCTTAGTTTCTCGAATAATTAGTTCCAGCTTAGGCTCTGTCTCGATTTGTAGTCGTTGCGCGTTCTCCTTCCGTTCGACAATAGCTTTAGCTTGTCTTAGCAGGTTGTTTGCAGTCTTCAGTTTCTGTTGAAGCGAGTCAGCCAGGCGATGTACGTAGCTACAAAATGCAAGAATCATGAGTTCGAATTTAGTGAGATATCGGTAAAAATCAAGGTTGCAAAAAAAGTCCACAACAACCAGAACAAGCCGAATAAAATGAGACAAAATCAAACAGCTGATTCAACTGAAATTTTGCAGTCCTATCATTCGATGTATCAAAGTGAAGAGTTTCTGCTCAAAAATTAGATAGTTGAAGGCAATCGCAAAAGTATAGAATTCTTCAAGTGAAATGGCAGCCGAAAGTTTAAAAGAAGAAAGCAAATTAAGCTGATGTCCACTCTGATATTTCTTATAAACTCCCACTTTAGGATCCAGGCAATCTTAACCTTGCTGCATCGTTCCAATAGCTGGTTGATGTCGTTTGTTCTGGTGTTGATGTATGTGACACTTCTAAGGGTATTCAAACTGATGTCGATATTGAATATTAAATAATCTTGACAGTTTCATAAACCTTCATTACTATTCAATAACCAACACCCCCCCCCCCTTGAAGAAGTGTCCCTCTCAAATATGCGCATGTCAAGCATTTTTACAAATCAGCCCCTGGGGGTTATCAATTTAGTAATCACGGTACAAGTTTAAATTTTACAGATCATAAAATCAACAAACATGATCTAATCAATGAAAACTCACTGAGGCGAGCTTTTTAGTCGATATAAATTCTGCATTTTTGCTGATGTAATGTCATTAAGAATAGATGAGACTTTTGACAGCATAGCATCAACTTTGTCCCTTGACTGTATTTGAATCGTAGTTGGTGCTGACTGAAACTGAAAGAGGATGACTACATATGCAATTTGCCAATCTTTTAAGTTTCTGCATTACGATTACGATCAATATACAATTACCGTCCATTAGTGAACAGGTAATGGCAATAACTTTTAGTAACATTCAGATTCTATCGTTTGATGAAAGTAGTGCAGTATAATGCAACGCAACGTAAGTAAAGTAACGCAACTTAACGTAACGTGAAGCCACGTAACCCGTAGCAGTGCAGAAAGTATAACAACTGTAAATAGACAGGATTTGGCAGTGCAGTGTACGATATCAGACAAGATGCAATTATGACAAAATAGTAAAAGATGACATTGTTCTTTTGCAAAGTAAAAGGTTCAAAATAATTAGGCATAAAAAGAATTCCTCGCTGATCATTGCGTGCAGCCCACGTACACCGTTAATACACCCTTTCTGAGTCCTTTGTTAGATTTTTATATTTGATAAGGTACGACGGTGTGTATATTGTATTAAAAGAGTAAAAAGAGGTCAAAATTTTATTCAATTCTCAGATCTCATGTCATAGAACAGAAAGCAGTAAATCACTCTACGGACTATGAACAGTCTATTGAGCTGCCTATTGACCAACCCGATGGTTTTTTCTATAGAGACATTCTGGCAAGAAATAAAAATCATCCCCTACCTGTTTGGCAGACAATATATCACCTTCTGAACTTAACTCTTCAAGTCTTTGCTGCAAAAATGACTCCACCTGAAAACATACGCAGTCTTCATAAATTCAATATCAAATTTTATCAACCAAGCTGATTATTTTTCTCCAACGAAGACACAACAAGGAAAGGTGCAACTATATTTACCTCAAGTAATTCGTCAATAAATAAATTGCGTGTTTCTGTATTTTCCAATATTGATAAGGCGTCAGAACCCTTTGCTACTTCTCCATTATTCTCATCTGGCAGAAAAAGTATAAAAATTGCGTAAAACAAACAAAAAATGTAATTTAGTCAACTTTTATTTACAGACATTTAAAAAAGAAGGAATGTTATAAATATTGAATTTTTCTAAATAGCAAAAGTGATAACACGTTAGCATTCCAGCAATCGCTTTTCACTTGCTGAATGTAAAAACCTATGATGAATATGATGGGGCTAAGAACGTAAATTCTGACAAAAATTTACTTTTGCAATTTCGGCTGGGATTCTTAGAGTGAGGAAAAAATCCAACAAAAAGCCATAATGACAGAAATACCACGAATCGCACGAAAGCTCAGTTTCAACTCCAACCTGCCCTTAGATTAATAACACATTTTGTGATGAACATTCTGTAAGCGTGATAAGTTAATTCAGAAACCCGCCACAAATTTACCAAACAGGACAACCAAAAAGAAGAGGAGATGTTTTTATCGTCACCCCCATGCTAAATTCACATTTCAAAACCTCAACTCGCATTCCAGTGTTGTTTAGACAGTAAGCCATGTTAACCTTTAGTGTGCTGTTTTTCAATACAAAAATTGCAGTTTGAACAGGGCCTGGCAATCCAAGCTGCAGAAGACGATTGCTGAACAAAAGCAAAATTGATAAGCATGAAGGGAAAAAATTTGGCATTGCTTCGAGTATCGAATACCTTTTCCTTGCCCAGCATCTTCACACTCAATTGCAGTATCTTTATCACCTACGGCTTCTATTCCAAAATCAATTTCGGCTCCATTGTCTTCAACTAAAATCCCAGTGGTGTCAACAAGTTCAATCTCTGCATCTCCAAAGTCGATCGCGTCTGATGCATCTCCAAAGTCAATGACGTCATTCGTGTCTTCAGCAGTGTCCACTGCTCCCCAGTCAATCTGAAATGTCAAGACAACGAAACAAAGTAAATCCAACGTCACAGAAAATGGAACCGATTCTGCTCCATATCAAAGGGAACAGTTGTTATGTTGAACAGAAAGCTTGTCATGGAAGTTACTTTTTTGCCCTAACAAGAGTGAAAATCACTGTTCTAGCAAGCATTTCAAAAACAAAAAAGCCTGCACAAAGGCAACTTGCCATCGCGATTACACGGGATGCTTATTAAGGACAGACAATTGGAATAAAACCGTAGCAAGAATGCAAAAATCGCAAGACAAACCTCCGCAACATCATCCAATTTATCATCCAGATCTAGAGTTATATCTTCCTTGCGAACATCCTTCGGTGCTTTGCCAGTTCTCCATTCATAGACAGTGGCGTTTCCGTGTTTACAAACAAACAGAAGCATTGGCGTGACCCCCGTCTTTGATACTTCTTCTGTTTTTTCACTTATGGCACCCCTGTTGAAAATATATAAAATCATAAAAGCAGGTTTAAACGAGGTAATATGGTAAAGAGGGTAACATCCTTTATATTTGTGTTGAACAGAATCTTTGTCGGTTATTTTTCACAAACAAATCAGCTTGATATCTAAAGCGGGTTTAGTTAAAGATATAATTTCATCCATTAGGGTTTTTTTTTTTTTTTTTTTATATTCTCATAAAATTTTACAAAACAGACAACTACAAGACGATACCACAGGGAGCATGGAAATACATAGCAACCCTGTGGCCATTACATTAAACATATTTGATTCAAATTAAGGTTGCATTAAATGTTGCAAATTACATGTTACAGATTACTAATAATTAAAGACATTTACAATTTTGATGTTAAAACAAAAACAAGGACAAACTACATTGACGAAACAAAACAAGAACATTGAAAGACAAATTACATAGGAGAGAAGATTTATAAAACTACTTAATGAAACCTTTCAGAGGTCTGAATATATTTTAATGTTGCCTCAAGAATTTTTGTATTTGAATTTAAAGATAATTTTTCATGACCATAAAGAATTATTTGCAGTAAAGCTTCATTCGAAAGGTTTGTTAATCCATGGGGTTGCAATATAGCCCTCACATTGTCAAGAAGATCACGTCTATCTGTATCATAAGCATGGCAGAGCAGCAAAAAGTGTTCCGTATCCTCAATACCATCATTTACTGGGCACAAAGGATTCAGGGTATCACTGAAGTTATGTTTGAATTTGTGAAAATTCAGCTTGCTAAGTCCAACACGAAGTTGTGTCAAAATGGATAAACCTTTTGGGTCGTGGATGTTGTAGACTAGCTTTTTTGTTGGACGGATAAATGCAAATAGTTGTTTTTTGAAAGCACTTACTGAGTGGGATTGTTTGATCTCTGGGTCGAGTTTTTCCCATTCAGATAAACAATTTGGATAAAAACTAGCTTTAAATTTCTCAGTTCTCGCGTGTATTTGCCCTACTGAAGCCTGTCTGCGAAGAATGTAGCCTGATTTCTGAAGTTCGGGTATAGGGCTTCTAGTGTAATCTGGTGTCAAGTTATTGATTATTTTAAAGAAAGAAACAAGGCGTCTACTCCATCGTCGGTGGTTTAGCGATTCCCATCCGAGTTCATCATAAATTTTTTGGCACGATGTGCCCTTCCAAGCCCCAGTTATTGCTAATGCGGCAGAGTATTGAATGGACTCGAGTTTTTCCATCGAATTGGTCAATGTAACAGTTTGGCTACAATCATGAGTATTTTGTGGAATGTGATATATTACGTCACCATAATCCAGATGGGGACGGACATAGAGTTTATACATTTCGTTGAGCGTATATCGCGGCATATACTTTGAAAGGAATCTCAACATCCCTATGCCTTGTTTACATTTAGAAATAATTGATTGAAAGTGACTAGCGAATGATAGTTTAGAATCAAGTATAATACCGAGGTGTTTGTGCTCGTGGACCTTCATTACTGGAATATTATTAAAAAAGATAGGAGGATGATTCGTTGGAGTTTTCTTTTTGGAAAAGATGACCTCAACTGCTTGCTTAGTTGGGTCAGGATTAAAAGTCATTCGCCAATTGTGTGCCCAAAGCTTGATGAGGTTTAAATCATGGTTCAAATCACGTGCAGCTTCATGTGGGTCGTTTACAACTGTGAAGATCGATGTGTCATCGGCGAATAGTTTCACATTACACGTTAAGCCATCTGTCAAGTCGTTGATATAAATTAGGAAGAATAGAGGACCGAGGATAGAGCCTTGGGGGACTCCAGATGAAATACTACCCCATTTAGAAGTTCTTCCATTCAAAACAGTGCGCTGCTTTCTATCATTGAGAAAGCTTTGCATTAGTGTTAGTAATTTACCAGAGACACCACATCGGCGTAGCTTGTATATGAGACCTAGATGCCAGACCCTGTCAAAGGCCTTTGAAATATCGAGAAAAACGGATCGGACATCTACCGTGGGATTGCAGTCGAAAGCAGTAAATATGGAGTTGACTATTGTCAGTAACTGGTTGACAGTTGAATCTCCTGGGCGAAATCCTGACTGATTTGGGTTTAATAAATTATTTGTATTCAGATGATGATAAAGCGAGTCAAAGATCAGCTTTTCCAGAATTTTACCAAAGATTGGGAGAAGAGAGATAGGACGATAGTTTTGCTTCATGTTCTTACTGCCTTTCTTATGGATGGGAACTATGTTAGCTTGCTTCCAGACTTCAGGGAAAACACCCTGGCACATACACGATTCAAAAATCAATTTAAGTGGTAGAAGAAGTGCATCATCGCATATCTTTATCATACGCACTGAGATATCATCACAACCATGAGCCTTGTTTGGATTCAATGATCGAATGATGTGCAAGATCGTATCGTCAGAGATAGAGAAGGCAGTGAGCAGTGGAATATTCGGTACAAATAATGGAGGAAGTTCGCTACCAGTATCGATTGTGGTGCACTGTTGGATAAAATAATTATTAAAAATTTCTGCTTTTTCAGAAAAATCCAACACAAATACATCATTTTCTAACAGAGGAGGGATTATTGGTATTTTGGCTTTGTTCAAAATTTTATTGATCAAGGACCAATAGAGTTTTCTACCTGTTTCAGGATTTGAAAGTGCTCTACCTATTTTCGTAAAGTACTTGTCCTTAGCGTCCTCGATCATTTTGGATCCAAAAGATATCATGTTGTTGATGGCCTCGAGCCTGTCCTCCGGCTGACCATTTCTTATGAAGGTCTTATAAGCCCTATTCTTCTTCTGTAAAAAATTTTTGATTGACTGTGTTAACCAAGGTGCCTGGCGAGACCTGACTGTGATTGTTTTGTTTGGTATAAAGTTTGAAAAGATATTCAATAGAATCTCATTTAGATTTTTGACTTTAGTATTAGGGCATGTGACTTTCGAAAAGGTATCACTCCAAGGAAACATCTCAATGCTTTTCTTTATTGCAGTCACATTTGCTCTATCATAGTACCAAATTTTGCGTTTATACGAAGGTGGAGACAAGTTTGTTACGCTTAGTTTACCAAAGATAATCTGATGATGACAATGCTCCTGTAAAGAGGGGTGAACACCCGATTCAAGGAATAAATTTGGCTGATCAGTAAATATAACATCGATGCATGACCTTGAATTTCCAATAAAGTGCGTTGGTTCACTTATAAGTTGATGTAGGCCAAGGTCAGATATGAGCGGTTCGAAAAGTTTGCCCTCTTCATTTTCAATGTCATCTACCCACCAGTTTGTAGAGCGGCAGTTGAAATCCCCCGTTATAATAACACAGTAAGGGTTTTCACCAGACATCTTGGACAACATGAGTTCGAATTTATTCATAAAAGCCTGAAATTCGGATGGGCTCTGACTTGGACTCCGGTAGAGGATGGAAAAGAAGTATTTCTTTTTATCTAGCTGAATTTCACACACAATGCATTCAGGTAGAATTGCAAGGTCTTCCCGACTTATTGCTGGGAGAGAATCTTTAACGTAAAGACCTACACCTCCTCGTTTTATGTTTAATGGATGGTTTCTTTTGATAAATGTGTATCCATTAAGGTCTAATTTTTTTGAATTTACTGTGCTGTCAATGTGGGTCTCGACAATGCCTATTAAGTCATAGTTATAGATTGAATTATACGCTTCGATATGAGAAACACGTGCAAAATCGTGCACGCAAATACTATTCAAGTTCCAGGAACAAAAACTGAAAGTACTGTGATGTGGCCCTGGGTTGATTTCAACGTCACCACTCATTGCAATTGTTTTGTTTGTTATCCACTGCAAGTAAAGCGTAGAGGATACTGAGCAAGCGGCATAAATGAATGTATATCTAAAAAGCAGTGATTGGAAAATAGAGCGTTTGTAGGGATCGAGAAACAAAAGTGGAAAGCGCTTGATTAGTTCAAAGAGTACATATCCAATTTCCTTGGCAGACGAGTATATCCGGGCGAACATGTGCAGAAAACTAGTGTCCGAATAAGACGTTAAATTTGCTGTAGTCTGGACAACCATAGTGAGTGGTAAGGCAGGAATTGCGATTAACACTAAAATGCAGCAAGAGATGTATAATTTAAAGATTGAAAGAAGCACTGATATGGGTTTTACTCGTAAATGCGTGTTAGCTTTTGTGATTAAGGGTAAGCGGAACGATGATATTGCCGCTCGCCAATGATTTATATCAACCGGCATCATAGCACATTAATCTCCTCAACAAGTGAAAGGCTACTTCGCAAGTCCATGGTTTAGTATGACAATTCGGTTTACTTGGTTTTTCTCTCACATACAAACAAAGGGTAAACAAATTTACACAAAAACAATTCACTGTTAAAAACAAAGCAAAAACTACAAAAGGAAAGGCTCGGTTTGTCATGACTTGTCAACAAGGTGCTTGGGGGCTAGAAGGTAACTTTCTTGCGGAAATATTTGATCTTCACTAGATTTAAAGATTGGAGAAGAAGCATTGATAATGGTCTTGCTTGTAGGTGCATGCTAGCTCTTGTGATTATGACTAGGCATAAGGGGAAAAGATGCTACTGCTGCTTGCCAATAAAGCCATGGCTATGAGGCGATTTTTGAATAACAAGCAGTCTTGTCAAGGCTCGTAAGAGGATAATAACAAAGATCCATGCAATTTCCCATGCAACGAAACAAGCATTCATGAACTCACGAAAATCGTGCAATCTTGGAAACTGTGGCATGAACCTATGAAATGCGCTCTGAAAAGTATATTCAAATAGTGAAAAATCTAACAGATGATTTGCATAAGTTCCTGGCCACTTCTCTTATTTGTTTGGCGTTTCTCTAGAGACTCAACGAAAATAAAAATTTATTTGCTGGTAATATCAAAACAAGCTGAAAACATAACACAAAAGGGTCGGTGGGAAAACCAAAGTACCTTGGAGGGAAATACAAAAATTAAAGTTTATGGAGACTTCAATAACTCAGATAAATCACGTTTTCGAAAGGATATGGGAGAGTTCTTCGTCAGAGTTAAAGAATTTGAAATCTCCACTTGTTGTTTTGATGCCCATTAGGGTTGTTTTCTGGCAAATACTTGGCTATATTTAGAGCTGATATCCTGACCACTGGATAAGATTCGTTACTTAGCAACCTAAAAAGATTAAGTTTAGAAACTCGCAATTCTAGCTGCGTGTGTTAAATGTATCACATGTACTCCGTTTATTCTATATCTTGTATTTTGCTCTCCTTTTTCTTTGTAATGGCCATCGGGTAGATATGTACCATAACTCGCCCAGTGGTATCGTTGTTGCAATGTTGTTTTGTCAACTGCTTATGATAGATAATAAATGGAAAAACATATCACATACCAAAAGCTATCCGCAAAATCATTACAAATTTCCTCACCTGGAAAGGATAAAATTTACAAATTCTGAATAATACGCTACTGAATCTTCCAAAGTTTTTGTTTTCTCTGCAATGCTTTCGAATAATACGGGCAATTCATCAACCAGTGCCAGAAGTTCGCTCTTGATATTTTCACCCTAAAGAAAAAGATACTCTAATTGATAAAGGTATTTTGATGAAGTACTAAAGATACTTGTTGTGAGAGGTGCTCATAACTTGTAGGAAACTTCAAGTAAATTTACAGCTCCTAACCAAAAAACAACCTAATGTCATAATATCGAATAAACGAATATATAGGGAAAGAAATCAACTAGATAACACTTTTAGAATAATCAAAGAGCCAAATCACATATCAGGGAACAAATCAGGAAACTTCAATAGAGTTCTAAAGTGATGACGTCAAAAAAATGTATTTTTAGAAATCTTGAAATATAGCCTGAAAAGCATCGTGAAATACCCCTAAATGTGCAAACTCAGTCAAATATGTTACGAATTGGCTGAGATATAGCCACATGTGTATTGGCTCTTTCCCCATCAAACTGTATTTTGGTCTCGGTTCATAACTTTATGAACAGAGCAAAAATAACAGTGATTCGTTAGCAAACTTCAGATCTTTCATTGGCAATATCTCAACCGATTTTAGACATATTTAACTAATTTAGCATATTTGGAAATATTTTTTGGTGACCTTTCATGTTATGTGGTTAAAATTCAAAAATTCACCTCTGCTTGAATGAAGAGGAAAGTGTTGATTGTAGCGTATAAATAACTGCCATTTTTACTTCTACCTAATCCTCTCATTATTGGGTATACACAGTAAGAAATAGGGTATGTTATACAAAAAAATATTGAACATTCTTTGTAATAAATTGGTCTTTTTGCAAAGCAGCTTTCTTCAGCTTTTATAACCCTTTCTGCTTGGTTTGTGGCAGCTTCAAGTAAAGTTCCTTTTGCAACGAACCACACAATCTACTCTATCCCAACCTGTTTATCATGACTACCCTTTGTCGACAAATAGGGATATCAGGAACAGCCAGCCTTAAGAATCGACTTCCTCTTATCAAACAATGGAGGGGAAAGAACATATCCATAACTATGAAGCAGTGTAGAACTAGATTGCTTCGATATTTTCCATTCTTTGCTGGCCTAAAAATAGTCTTTAGGTTTTCGTAGAATACACATCTCAACATGGCCATTTTATCAACAATAACACTGACATTACGGTCGATTCGATTTGATTGCTATCTAGTATAAACCATCCTTTAAAGCGTTGTGATAAAACTAGACAACAATATGCAGACAAATACGATAGACTGTTAGTCTAAGACCGATAGACTTTGAGGGTTTGGATACATACCTGCACGCCCATCTGTTTGCATTCGTAATAATATCTGTCTTTAAACAACCCCGCATTTGTCATATATTCACTCTCCTTTCGCGTGCAGTCCTACAATAAACACTGACAGAATTGAGATCAAATAAAAAATAACTAGCAAACAATGTTTCACTTTAAAAAGGCTTTATTCTTTCACTAGGGAAATTTTAAAAAAATTACAAAAAGATAAATGACGAGGTTTTCTTGTAAAAATTCTAGCAGTAAAGTTGGGAAAAATTTCACAAACTAATAAAAGCGCACCTTTATTAAGGAGATACCATTGCTACATTAATATGTCATGGTCTTCAAGGTGTACAGGATTCAAAACACAAGAAATACTTCAATGAATTCACAATAAGTACTACGTCAAGTACTTACTCTTTGAGTCTGTTGACATTTTGATATTTGTCTTTTAAGTGATGGAATTTCGTAATTGACATTTCGAACTAGGAAATGTGCTGTTTCGGCTAAAATAACAATTGAATTTGTATGATAAATACAAAAATTAAAGAATTTTAATAACAATTTCATAGCTATTGCACAGACACTAAAAATCAATGTTCTTCAAGATCAAATGGTTAGGACCTAGTATCTAGAACCCCACATAAGATCAACGTACAGTACAGACAGGGTCTGGCAAATTTTTCTCTCGCAGAAAGGTTTGAGTGACCTGTGCGATGATGATTACAAAAGTACCGTCTTAAGGACATACGTTCCACAAGTCGATTTTTTTATACGCGTTCAACCGTTGGCATTGATTGAATCTGAAAAATAGTGCCAGCCAGATTTTTTCTTACTTCCATCAGTTGGAGCAAGGAAACTAGGCAGATTCCAAAATCACTTGCGACAACAACTAATCATCAAAAACTCTAAGTCGACACCTTATTTTAAATATTTCTGTAAATCTTGATAGCAATTTCAAAATCTCATCAACAGCATTTTATTAAACAGGGCTCTTAGAAATTTATGAAAAATATAAACAACCCACCTAAATGAATATTATCGTTTTGGTACAATTGCAAAATCTCAGCCCAATCCTACAAGAAAAGAAATTACAATCCCCTCAAAAATAGTTTCCAGATACAAGAATGTTGTATCTTCAATCTAAAAGGGAAATTAAATTAACAAACACTATCGTTTTAGCACAATGCAGGGTTGTATGGTGTAATATTTGAGCAATATTGAGGATTGCGAGGCTTAAGTTGAGGATCAGGCCATTAGTGCCCTAAGGGCATGTCCCATTTAGATTTATCCGTAAGAAACCATATATCACAAAATCCATAGAATCCGTCACTACGATTTTGTCTTCCATAAATCTCCTCTCCCACGTAAAGCAAAGACATTGAAAAATATTTGTTTTGATGTCGGCGAGTAGATCTTTGGAAATTTCGGAGATTTACCGCCATGAACACGATTAAACAAAGAAAGTCTCGAGCTTGGAATAGCAGTCATGCCTTTCCCTTTATAAGCGCCCAGGGCTTGTGAAAAATTTGCGAGGTTTCGGTGGGCACATATCGAGGGGAGGAGGAAATTATCGTGTTGATTACAGCCCTTCCAAACTCAGTTCAAAAAGAAGATGCCTGGAAGGCGAAAAGAATAATATATCTAATCTCTTTTTTATCTTCGAGTTGATAACTTTTCAAACTTATAGACTTGAAACTAGTCTACAACTATTCCATCATTCCATTTCTACATGTTGCCAGTTTGGTTGTCTTAACAGGAGAAAAAAGTAGCCAGACTCTAATAACTGCCCTTGACAAGGGTGTGCTTAATTCCTAACTTGCAAAAAGTGCTTGTGGGAGAGAGGGTACTTAAACAGACACACCAGACAGGTTGGGCGTTAATTAGAGAAACATGTTTTTCTTTGTATCCTTTTTTGTTATATCTAAAAAATAACCACTGGCGAGCAAAAATTTCAGCTTCTGGACTGTCATTTGTGTACCCTTTATGACAAGGTACTGACAAAACATGGAAGAAAACCAACCGCTAGACAAATCACTTTGAGGTAGCACAGACCATTTCCATTACCTTTCAGCTGTCCAATCGTTAAAGATATCGATAATGACCTAATGGTTAGGGCTTAAATCTAATATATATACTTTTAAAATGGCAATATGGCAATGGAAACACTCTGTAAAATCTTGGCATCTGCAAATCCGAAACCAAAGGAAGAGACAACGTAGTACATTCTTGACCCGTGAGAGGCGGATAAAGGACAACACATGGTCTTTTATACTTTATAGAAAGCCTCTATAAACGGAATAAATGTGTCAATCATTTTCGATCAATATATCAATCATGGGTTTACCTTCATCTTACGCGAGGAATACTGTCCGAAAATATTTTTTGAGCCTTCACCCGACGCCTTTAAAATTTCCATAACTTTCAAACAACGAAAGTAACCAACACCTAGAAAGTATATTTCATACAAACACTACTGTGAAACAATCTGCGTTAAATTTTTAGGCTAAAGCTATATCATTTGAATAATACATCTACAACCAAAAATGTAGGAGCCATTTTCAAAGTGTGGGCACATTTAGGTAAAAAGGGGCCCCTTTGTAAGCTCCAAATAGATACATTATTTAGGAGGGAATTTTTCGTACAGAGGGAATTAGCGTATGATTTATGAATAAAAAATACACTACGATCTTTATCTTATTTTTGTATATAAATAGTTGGTATTAATTAGTTCTACATACAACAGTAAATAATGATATTATTATCATTATTAATTTTTTATTATTACTACAACCCTCCGCTTCTGAAAAAAGGGGAGGTACATGCACCCCTTGACACAATTTAATATGTCTTTGCCCAACAGTATTCATGGACAAACAATAAACAAAAGCCAAAGAAGTTGAAAATTGTAAATTATAACAATGTAAGTAACGTAAAGAATTTAGGAAAATGAGCAGAAAAATACTTTGCAAAAATTCCACTTTCGGTTTATGCACATTAAATCTATCCTAAAATTTGAAATTTACTGTCATTCCGAAAGAACAGATGTCAACATTCATAAAAAACCTACATGCTCCCCGCATCAGTTCTTGGATGCTTGGATCCGACGGTATCTCCTTCATCGCGGCATCGACTTTCTCTTTTATCAAAGCTGCAGACTGCTGCCATTTCAAAGTGCAATGGCGACGATCAATCAACCAGTCTACAATCAAATGGAATAAAAATTTAATTCTAAAAAGGACTTGACAAATTTTTCCTACGGACAAGCTCAAAATAATAAAACAGATGATTTTCAAAACTTCGAGCCTTCAAATGTACTCTTAAACTATCACACTTCTCTTAAGCTATCACTCTTCTCTTAGACTAAATTAGAAAAGCTGACAGCACTTAAGGTTGACAATTTCCGAAAAAGCAATTTCAGCAATAACAGATCAACAATGTGCTGCGTTAGTAACATACAAGATTAAAAAATGTACAAATTTGAACTTGACCTAAAAGAAATATTACGACTTCTGTAACAATTAGTACGGAAAAGACAGTTTTGCTATGAAAGACCTGATTCATAGCCTCTGGTGGGCCTTATAACTCGTCATTTATATAAAGCCTCAACTCTGGTAATACCACTAGATGTTAAAATTAAGAGCTACTATGTTCAGATTGTTTGCAAATTAATAGCGTTTCCGTATGTGTTTTTGCAATCAATTCATTAGAAGGTGACAGTCTTGAGCCAACAACGAATCTTATCTCAGCTCTCACGCTTGTTCGATCAATAGGCTTTCATAACTGGTACTGGTAGGCTTACAATAAGACTCTTAATGGGTCAGCAAGACAACACAGCTCATGAGATCGCATTGCTTTTTGCAACTCCGTACTTCGACTTAGTTTGAGTGCCGTGGTGGTCCTATTTGCACAATACCTCCTCTGGGTTTCAAAGTTACTTTGACTTGCGTCTAGACACTGGATCTATAACAGTACATAGAACAAAAACGGGATCTGCCACTGAATAAATTCGGATAGCAAACAGTATCTATAAAGAATTGTTTAGACAAGACTAAGGCTATATTGAATTAAGGTGTGGGTGCAATGAGAGTAGTGGGTGCGACGAGGAACGAAGAACAGTTCTTCTGTATCTGCTAAGAAAATGCCTTCAAACAAAGAAGGGGAAAACAGCTCTGACATCAAGGAGATGCCAGCGAAAGTATAGATTAGCATTTATTAATTAACCTTCTAAGACTGTTTTATAGCTCTAAAAATCCGTATCAAAAAGTAAGTCAGAAACAATAGCTCTACACAACTGCGATTTCAGTCTGTGTGGTATTCTGTGAAAAATTAGATACATTTGAAGAAAAGAGAATTTTCTCATTATTCAATAAAAAAGAATGTACCACTATTCTATCGATTTATAAAACTAATAAAATTTTCATAGGAAAAAGATTATGCAGCATTGACCTTTTAACCACTAACTGTTCACTTGTGAGACCAGGATCAGTAGCACACCATGTAAGCTGATCCACACAAAAAATCAGATTTAATAAATTCATTTAATTTCAGACAGAATAAATATCAAAGGAAGACATTCCCTTAAATAGTGATCCGTAAAAAATAACATGCTGGTAGGAGATTAGTTATCATTCAAACTTCGCCTTATTGTTCTTTACCATGTCCTAAACAAGTTGGGAAGAAGACAGACGGAATAGTAGATGAGTCTAAAAATCAGCACTATATTCCTGTCTGTGGCCAGAAATACTGTAACTGTGATTTATTTCTCTACACTCTATTTCACTGTAAGATGTTGTTGCCTATCCAGACAACTTTCATTCAAAAGGCAGTTTTCCACACAGGATTTCCCATGTGACACAGCCCCTTTAAAAGCTGAGACTTTGCATGTCGCTTTTGCTTCAGAAACCTTTTTGTTTCTTAAGAAAATTGCTCAAAAGTCAGAATCTTAGGGGACACTTTAAATTTAGTTTTGATTTGCGTGGACCAGGGGTTCTTAAGTATTTTGAGTGCAGGGCCAGAAAAAAGTGTGGATTTTCTTGGAGGCTGCTTAGTTGTGAACTTTGAAATAGCTTCAAAAAAGCTGCTCAAAATAAATTTAGTTCAGATCTCATACTTAACAGGCTAAATTAGAGATTAAATTGGCAGGTCTTTTATTCTGTGTTATATTCGTAATATCTATTTTGTGTGCTTGTTTTAATGAAATCAAGCTGAGGAGATACTGGAGGGTTTGCCTCAATGTGCCTTGTAAGACGGATTTATACACCTGAAGCCAGAAAAAAGCTTCCTTGGGGGAAGAGGCTAAAAGCTAGCTACTAAAATAGTTCACACAAAGTTATTTATATTTTTAGGTCAGGAATTCAATTTTCATCAGGTCAAGTTGATACACTAGAAGTCAAATTAAGGAACAGGGAAATGTATTTTGAAATGGACCAACATGTAATGATGTTAGATAAAGGCTGCCACCATGGCTGAAATTGCACCTAAAATAGAATTTGTCTGGATAAAATCCACAGCAATATCCACAAGGTTTTTTATAACAAGGTTCCATTGCTTTATCTTTTTCAATGTTGACAAGAAAAGGAAGGGTCTTGCTAAGTTTTAGAATTAGCTTAGCAATCAATTTGATAAATGCTTGAAGCAGATGCTGTGGTACAGCATTGAAAAATTGAACCATAGCTCTTTGTTCTTTCAGCAGAGGCACTGCTCACATCCTTCACCCGGTATTCCCTTTCATAAGCTTATCATTGCATATAGTTGCATAAATCACATTGTTTATATTGCTAATCCTACAAGTAATTCTGTGAGTCAATGAAGGTACCTTCTTTTTTCACTTAATATATTGGAAAATGTAAAAAGAAAATTTCCAGTCTTCCACATAAAATTGGCCATGGGTTGTATTTTTCAACCAGAAAGAACCCTCTATTATTCGACCTCTATCAAAAAAGAAAGACGTGGCTCTTGAAACTTTGCGCATAAATGTCCTAAAAACTTTTTATTCTAATTTTCCTGTAACCTTCAATTTGCAAGCAACAGCAAAGCTGTTGGTGCTCATTAGAAAATGTTGTCCAAAATGTGCGGAAATGCTTCCAAAAGCTTTTTGCCTGAACTTTTTTTGCTGAAACTTATCCACTCAAAAGTTTTCAGTTTAAAGTACTCTGCACACTGGGGGAGGGGCTCTGGAGGGGGACAGAGAGCAAGCATGTGTCTTGTTGGGCAAATTCTGCAGAACATTAAGATGTAGAACCTTAAACACAGCTTTATAATTCATTGGCAAATATCTGGCATGAGGTTCACATTGAGCCCACCCTTAGACATTTGTCAACATGTACTGTTGAAGTTTGCTTAAGCGACTTATGGTACATTAGGTCTCATTATAATGCATCATGGTTTTGATGAAATAATCTCAATGCATAGAGGAACCAGATTGGAAACTTTGTTGCAGGCCTGCAACAAATTGCCCACAGACACATCTGAGCACTTTAATCTTGCAATTTGAACATGACAAGAGTTGAAATCTTTTCCCATCATTTGTTGAGTAGCCAGGTACGCTGACCGTTTGAGCAGCAGCTGAGATCAGAACCTTCATTGAAAGTGAGGGCCATGGGGAAACTTCATTGAAAGTGAGGGGGGACAAGTGTTTATATTGCTCAAAGGTTTAGTGATTCTGACACCGGTTAGAGGCAAGGAAAATTTTGAGATATGACATTCTTAGGATGATCAGAAAATGCATCTAAAAAATTTACAACATCCAAGGCAATTTTTTCTAATCCTTCTTTTTAATCATTATGACCCATTGGTTAGATTTTGATTTAGCAAATGTTCTCTCCTGTTAACAAAACAGAGCAATTAACCCTATTTCTAAATTCAACAATAAAAAATCAACGTCTATACAAAACTGCAACTAAACATACTTAGTAAGAAAATTTTCAAGAATTTTCTATCTTTAAATATCAAACTTTGTGTACAAAATTTCTTCAAAGCACATAATTAAAATATGTGTTAGAGTAGTTGTTTTGGTGGCTTGGTTGTAAGTCACTATAACATACTCTATTTAGGAATGAAAGCATTTTATGCCTTGGAGTAACAAAATTCCTTCCATTACTTTATATATATGAAAAATATTTTCTTCTGGGCACTTAACAACCAATTCACCAGTACCATATATTTGAACTATCTCTTTCTGTCCAAATAAGTTCCTTAGGGTATCTTAAAACCTCCTTCTGTTACTTTTTTGTACTTTTTCCTTCTGTTACTTTATTATCTTTAAATATCTGTAGCTGTTTTAGAATTCTTCACTCCTCAATTTATAAAAAATGTTGTCATACAATAGGGTAGTCATTTCCCAAAAACTGTGGAATGCCACAGTGATTTCAGTGCTCTGTACAATGTGGCCTGGCCTTTTAAAGTTTAGGTGCATGATGACAATTATTTCATTATATTCCAAACACTTTGACAGGAAATATAAGATTACTTAATCTTCATGTCTCAGAACTGGCAAATAAATTGGGAAATACAAAGGGTGATATTTGTCTCATATGGTATTATGATAAACTGATCAAGATATTGTTTTGAAGGCTTTAGTACATTTCTTGCAAATATTAACACTATAATGATGCCAAGAGTTCTTAAGTATTTTTAGCCAACCTTTGAATTGCTTTCTAAAGATTCTTGACAGCCCTGAAAAAACTATACTGTTAACTAAGGCTTGCACAGATTGTTGAGGGAGTTCAACTTTTACCTACAATAAAGCTGTATGTTAAGATGTGCAAGGCATACTAACCTTTGATAACCTTTATATCTGATGTTACCCCTTGTTTCATCAAAGTTTTTTGGATAAAGTTTGATTTACACAGTGTCAGATCATTTAATATTTGTCATAGACATAGATCCTTCCGGTACTTTATTCTTATTTCTTCTGTTACGCATGCATGCTTAAATGCATGCTACAAACATGCTATCACTTTACTAGAAAAGTTACTTTCTTTGTTGCTGACATTGAAATTTTGCCAGTGATTTAAAATGAACGATCTTGTAGCATCTTTCATAAACAGTATAACAGCAGCTATGCTGCAGCATTGAGATAGAATTTCGATCTCCCATAAAGATTTTATTCTAGCAAAGCTATCCCTCCTTCCGTTACCAAATAAATAGCCTGTATCCAATTAAAAGTGACATTGACCATTGTGCTTTAAAATTTGCACACTTGTATATTTGTACCTTATGAACATTATCAAAAGGTTTTGTTGTTTTTCCTTGCTTTACGTCATTTTTATGGCATTAAACATCTATAAAATTCCTTCCGTTACTTTATTCAGCATGTTGAAATATCCGCAGGAAGTGTGCATGCTTCATCAAGTTTATTTATATATTCAAAAAGACAAGATTATTTACAAGGACAATACTGGTTGTTGACTAATCTTACCAAGGAGTTTGTTATAATGTATGTCGATAGGCACGTTCTCCATCGTTGTTTAACAAGTTTTGAAGTTTAAACTCTGTTTTTCAGTTTACAACTTCTGTTGCCTTTCCTGAACGTGTACTTTGTCTACCATTACTACCAGCCTCTTTTACAAAAATAAACAACCTCGTTCTTTGGTTCGAACTTATTTGAAAGGTGAAACTATTTGACTAAATTTCAGTTTCAGTTCATGGGCTCCGACAAAGGTTGAAAAGTGGGGTGGGGCCAAGGGAAAATTTAACACCCATAACAAAAGATTTTGAAAAAAACTTTATTGTTTTCAAAAAAGTGGGGGGCCAAGGCCCCCCCGGCCCCCCCCGACCCCCTTCCTCGGAGACCCTGCAGTTTGTTTTTTAGATTTGATAAAACATGCAATTTAAAATACATCTAAACAGATTTTAAAGCGAAAAATAAAGCTATCAAAGTCATATGTGAAAACAGAATAGATGAATTAAAATTGTAAAAGTTGCATCTTGAGTGCGGGAATTTTCTCGAGTTCTTCACAAAGAAAGTAAAAACAGTTTTGAAAAGAAGTAATCCTTGGCCCAAATAGACTACCGCCTTTCATTTCATGTCCCTCCAATAAAGATTAACCAATTTACAACGTTAAAAAGGAATAATCGCCCTACCCCAGGTTTATTTTCCCTAAACCGAAAAATTTCTCAGCCTGAAGACATCAAATGAAGTTCTCTAAACTAGATTTCGAATAAACTTCCGAATAAACCTCAAATGAATGTCTCTAGGACCACACTTCCCATTAGGCCCTAAGAGTTTTTCGGAATTTCAATATGCTATAATAGTGTTTTTCTTGCACGAATTTCATATAAGTGCGCAAATTCGCAACCTTTATATGTTTAAGCTTCAAAAATTGATACTGAAGCTTCCATTTTATATGAACTGACATGGCACCCTAATTTCACAAAAGAAAAGAAGGATGATATACATCCTCTTACATTACCGCTCATTGTATGAATAAAGTTGAAAGAGCAGAGTTTTGCAATCACGCCCATTCAGATAATCAATTTAAAGAAAACATAGTTTATAGAAGGCTTAAAGTACTAAAAAACAACGCCTTGTTAGGAGAAGACGTCAGAAACGTGGACGCCATTCGAGACCTTTCTAATTATAATAGGAAAATAACCAAGATTTTATGTAAAAAGGGCAACAGTAAATATTTAAAAACTTTGGAACAATTGTAAACTACTGTATTGTACCTCCCCTACAAGGTTTTCACTAGAAACAATTTCAGCATTAATGTCAATGTGCCATGCCCTTTTCTCAGTAATGTTTGACCAAGACGTGATGAGTATTCAGATATTGGACTCCCTTTTTATTCACAACTTCAAGCCCGATATTAGCCCGATATCAAGACTTTCTCCGAACAAGACGATGTGAAGGATTTTATCCCGATCTGAAGAAAACCCTTCAATTATGTTGCATAGGTAAATTGCCTCAAAGAGTTCATTTTCCAGCAAACTGGAATCACTCATAGTAAAAAATTTTCTCACCCTTCTTCGGCAACCATGGCCTCGAGTAGTACAAAAATCAAGACTTTTTGTTATGATTAAGGACGCATGCTTATCATAAAAAATTGAGCAAAAAATCCTAATTTTTCATGTACTGGGTAAAAGATGTACCTGTTCAAATTGTTAATTGAGTTTTTATAGTAACAGAGGCAATGTTTTATGCTTCCAATTAATTTTTCAATAACTAATGAAATTTCTTTTATCTCAGTTACCGAAAGTAAAATGCTCGGACTTCCACATTTGTTGATAGGGAGCCCCCATATGTGCCTGGGTCCGTGTACCCTAAAAATTTTAGTGCTGCCCTGAAGGTCTCTAAAATAGCGAAGGTAATTTCAAGGCTTCCTGGAAAAAAAGGCTTAACGAATATTTTTCTGAAATACTGTAAAGTAAGAGGATTAATAGAATAGAAATAGTTTGGTCGTAGAAACTGAAAGATCAAAACCTATTATAAATGCATCTTTCTTCAAAGTGCATGGTCTGTGGCGTTTTATAGAATCCCTTTGGCTCAATGCAAAGGCTCATTTACAGTTATCATTTTTGAGCCACATTTTTGTTAATGTTGTGCAGTCTGGGGGTTTAATGAATTAGTAGAAGTCAACCATTTCGAAGAACTGCAGAAACAAGCTGCGATGAAATTAACTGACAGCAGTTTTAATGCTCCAGGCAAACCTCTCATAAGTAAAAATCTTGGGTGGTAAACTATCGGAGAGTTAATCACTATCGAATACCAAAATTGTGTTCAAACCACTAAATGGATTAGCCCAAAAATATATATGTAATATTCCAACTTTGGCATACGATGTGTCAAAATCCGATAACCAACCTTAGAATGTCTAAGAATATCTGTGAATAGACAAAATTTTATAAAGAGGTGCTAAGCATTGGAATAGCCTCTTGGTTGAGCGCAAACGGGCGACCAGTTTTAAAACTTTGCACAGTCTTTTTCCTTGTTTGTGCCTAATTTTGATTTTGCTTTAAGATACTTTGTAAAAGAATTGTATTTAGGCTAAAAATGTTAAAAACAAAATTAATGTCTCATATTGCAAGCCATTAGTAAGGGACCCTTTGCAAATCAGCATTATAGTTACAGGGTTACCCTCAGGGTTAATGAAATAAATGGAATTAAATAAGCCCTCAGAGAGGGAGAGTGCACTACGTAAAACTGCCGTTGGAAAAAACTCTCCCTTTGAAGAAAAGTCAGAGGTTTTATTTTGATAAGTTAGTTTTAAGCTCAATCTGATCGTAAAATATGAAGGAATACAAAAAAGTGAAAACGATACAATCATTTAGAAATATTTTGTAATATGAACATTTTTGTATAAATCTTGTTTGTTGGAGTCAGGTGTTCTAACTCAATTTAATACAATCTGTGATTCATATTCATTCTCAGACCAACTTCTGGCACCCAACATCTTTTAAAACTGAATGAATCGAATGTTTTTACTAATCAAATTTAAGAAGAAACAGCATTTATCTGTAACCAAATTTCGTCATATTATCAAAATGTACAGTTTGCAACATACAACAACTTGTTTCAGTCCCAAGACCACGCAAGAAGAAGGCACGCCTAATGTATGAGATCACCTTCATGAAGCATGGATTTTAAATTTAATGTACTGCATTGTTGAGATCAATCCACAAAGCAAACAGATATAAAATCTCAGCAAAACATAACATTGTTTTGATAGCAAAATATGTATCGGGTTTTTAACCTTAAACAGATAAACAATTTGTGTAATAAATACAAATATAAATATGCAAATAAATTATTGGATATGACTGTACATAAATATTTACTATATGTTCATGCTTTTGAGGACATTGCCAGATGATACCCTGGCCAAAAGGACTGGAACCACGCCAGTTACTCTGCATCTCGGATAGAGTTTGTCATCAAAGTAATGTAACAAGAAACGTGTCCATGGCTGTTCACGTGATGGCCTGCTTTACATTCGTGTCCGATAACAGTTTTCAACATAGGAATAAACTTGTCTTGGGGAGCTTCGTTGCTGGCAATAGAATATCATTTTCGACCTACGGTACATCCAGCTGTACGGGGCATGTTCTCTTGAACTCATGAACGTGACGTCATCATTGCTAAACTACGAAGAGCATCTTGCTTTCTTCCACCGTTTCAGTGGCTATTTTTCAAAGTACTCAATTCAAAGCATGCATCTAATTTTTTCAACCTTTGTAGATTTGGCTAAACTACTCGTTTCCACAGATACCTGGCTTCGTTCATTTATGTAGTGGTTTGCTATTCTGCGACTTGCATTCGACTTCAAGTTTCAGCCTTGCATTGAACTTTTGAAATAGTTATAAAACACAGAATTTACTTTTATGGTTCTGAAACTGTTTGGTGAAAACACTTGGAAATACCACCTGTCACTTTTCCAAATGCGGGTTGTTTTGCCTTTCTTTGGTAGAAGCTGCTTGTTGAATCCGAGGTTGAAGCCTTTGTACAACGTGGATTCGAAAACATGGCGCCGATTTGGCATCACGTCGTGTTTGAATAGGGTCTCGGTACTAATATTTTTCTAAAAGAAGAAGTAAGTAATTTAATCGAATGTAAGCATTGTGTAGTAATATTAGGATTTAAGATTTACTAAAAGAGTGAATTTGGTAGCAAATAAAGCTTGGAATCTATTTTGATACGAAGCTTTACAGCTGCTTTTGACATCCAATTGGGTTGTGACAGACCGCACCAAAGTGTTATCTGAAAACCTTTAGCTATGTATTTCTTTGAAATGCAACCTTTCAAAAGTCATAGAAGCAGGCTACCTTATTTGTAAGTTAAAACTGTTTTTTGGCAACATCTGAGAGCATTCTCTGTCACGGTCGTTATTTTGCAAGAATTCTGAAAATAGCTTGGTGTGAGAAGTTTCCAGTGCTGACTGTCAGTAAATTAAGAATTTGCTTTCAAACATTTTAAATTATACACAATTTTCACTCACTGTAGCATAGACTTTTCCACGTGAATTCATAGCAATGCTGAGACCAGATTTTGCACCTTCTATCCGGTGTGTCTGTGGACCATAAGCATATAGTACCAAATCCGCTGCAAATAATTACAAATACTTCAATAATATGTATTTTTAAAGGCAATAGCTCTTAATCAAAAATCAGTATACGAATTTTTTTGCTTGCATTTTATATATAATAATTCCCTTTCTGACTTTGGTGATAAGTTCCCATTTTAGTTTTAAAGATAAAGTAAGCTTGTTTGCTAGACATTTACCAAGATTGAAAAATGGAAAAGGTTCCTTTAATATTTCTTGCAGAATCTTCGATACGACATAAATATCCATGCATTGTGTCCAACCATAGCAAAAAGCATTATTAACAATTAAAATTAGCCATAACTATAGGTGTGGAATTTGAATTTAACCCTTCTTGATGGTAACTTCAGTTGATTGTTAGCCGTATAATTTTACATTCTATTGCAATTTTCAATGTTTATTTGCTTGTTACATATATGGCAATAATCAATAGCACTATTTACAAAACTGGTGAGGCTGAAAAATCATTTCAAACATGCTTTCCACACCCCCCTTTCCTTGCCTGAACAAGCCTCGGCGCTAGTTCATTGACGTTATAGATAAAAAATCCACTCACTGTTTTCATCATTCATGTTTCTTGTTAAATAAACTTTTTTGTTCGGGCTGATCGCCACAATTCCAAATTTGTGGGCCATCTTTACGCGTCTATAAGTCGAAGGATGCTCAACAACTTTTTTGACAAGTGGAGCAGCTTTTGTAAATGACATCACAGCAATTATTGCAATCTAAAATTAAAAAAAAGATTTTAAAATTCTATTTGTTGTAAGTGGATCTAAGAAATGAAATCAGTCTTTAAATTAAAATGTAATCAAACAAAATATTATCATAGAATAGCTTTAGCTTAATCAACAAACATTTGAAGATATGTTTGAACCCTGATACCCTGTGAATCGATCAGTTCCGTTCTTTCTTAATTTTTCTAAGATTTTACAATTAAAGGGGGTAGCTTGAGTTTATTTGCATAGCTCTTGTAGAAGTCCCCTTCAGTTATGTAACAAAAATCTTAATAGCCTGAAGCATAGTTATGTCACAAATTTCTGAACCCCATTAGTGACCTGATTTTGCTGCCTTGTCACGAAGCGCCACGAAAGTCACGAAGCGTAACGTTCAACATCCAAGAAGAAATTGCGGAAATCTATCCAAAATGCATTTTAACATAATAGGCATTTCTATTACCGCTTTCAGAAAAAGCGAATTCTTAATACTAAATGTAGTACATTAATTAAAGCTAAAAAACTTCTTTAGTTGATACCCTTATGCGATTAAGCCCCCGAAAGCTTTTACTGAAAAGTTCAACTAATTTCGTCAATGTAGCACTTAAGCATTTGTTTTCGTACTAATAATGCAATGAGATTGGTGTTTTTGTTGAAACTGTTTAAAGAAATAAAGCCGTTATTCCTTGATTAAAATATGCTAAGGCGTTCAATCCACATCTTTCAATATGTCATTACTTAATCTTCAATTTAATGTGGGAAAAAGCTCTTTTTCCTCATCGGATTATAATCTAGTCGTACCAAGAACACACAGAGAAAAGTATCTCGGTTGCATATACATGGGAAAGGATCTAATCTCAAAACTGTAGCAATATATCAAATTGCGGTCATGGTCAAGCTCAAGTATTCAGTATTTCAACGAATCATTATTCCTGATAATGAAGTTTCTTGCGTCTTCTAGTTTGATTCTTAAAAAGATAGTAATAAATTATTTTTCAACCTAATAGTGATGCAAGTCATCATTTTGCGGTAGAGGGTTTTTCCGATAGGAAAGTGCGTTTCCTCGGAGTAAACCAGAAATGCCTGGCTTCTCACGAATTAGCGCATCCCGCAACAAAAGCTAAGAAAACGACGGTTATTCCGTTGTTCAAACGCTTGTGTGGTTTTGAAATCGAGTAACTCTGATTGCAATCGTTAACAATCTTTTTTCACGATTAAATGTTATGTACAAAATAAAAAATAAAAAATTTTGACATAGAAGAGTACGAATGTGATAAAAGGACATGCAGCCGAAGGAATCTAAGGAAAGGGGAATTTGCAGTAGCTATGTGAACTATAAGCATACAAAGAAAGGACGACAAAATTCCATTGAGATTAGTTTCTTTGAAAGTTGTCAAATAGTCTAGGTGTTTTAAAACAGAGATGGAAGATGCCGTGTTTGGATTGACTGGGAGTCTTAAAACAATGTTGGCTGGAAAATTGATACTTTGAATAACATAGAATACAAAATGGATTAAGTATCGGTTTTATGGAGCCATAGATTTAATAGCAAGTTAGGTTTGCGTCTAGGTGCAAGATTACAAATGTCTACAATTGATTGCGCAGATTTTCACAACGTGTTCCTTGGGGGATGGTTTGGAAAGGCGATAGTTCAGTCGTTGGTTTTATGGTTACACGAAAGAGCAAGGGTGACAATTCAATAACAAGCTGCGTTTCCAAGATATATCAAAGCCCTTTTTTTCAAAACGGCTATCTATTAGAGAGTCTCAGTAACAGAATCTTTAATATATCCCAAACGAATTATCAAGTACTGTTTTCCGTTTCAAATGCATAAATTTGGTTTTTTTGTTACGTGATTGAAACTGACAGATCCGGACTTATGAGAGAAGCAAATGCGGATGCAAAAGAAAATCAAGAAATATGCAAAGTCAAGCAAATCATAAGTGGCAGGAACAATTATGTTGAATCAATGAGAAATTCCGATTGAAAATTGAGTCCGTATGCCATAAAAGGTCTTTTCATCCAATAAACTCACTTTCTTAAATGAAATAAAAACCGTTAGGAATGGAGAGAAACGAAAGAAATAACGAACTCACCAGAAAATCCAGAAATTTGGCATTAAAATCCATTTTATAATTCAGTCTTCTCGAGGTTCTTCTTTGTTATTGCTCCTCTGTGCTCGTTTCTCTAAATGATTGCCCGGGTTCTGTTCTCTCTTTTTTGTTACGAGTTCTCGCTATGCACTGTAGTTAGAGACCAACTCCGCGTGTTGCCACTTGGCCGTACTAAGCACATTTATACTTTTCAAAAGCCAGAGAAGCGTTAGTCACAAAAGGTATGGCTTTCCTTTTCCTTAACAGGAGTTTCATTGAACTGTGGCATAAGCTTAGTGAATATAAAACTGCGGAAATGTTTTAACACTCATAAAATTCAAGCGGTTCTTGTTCCGCAGCCTCCATGCAGTGAACTTGAATCGAGGCAGGATGCGGCATCTTGAACCTGTCGTTGTCTCTTTGATAAAAAGTTAACCAAAACAAGAACTGCCCACTGACTGCAGACAGACAGTTTTATTATAAATACCCTACGCTCTTCATTTCCTTTCTTCTGTTTGATTTGTTACATGTTGAGTACAATGCTAAGAATGCTTTTGTGTCAAAATTTAGCCTTTCGTTACCAACACAGAATACAGGCAGACAATTGCAGAGATGTTGTCTGATCCGCGAGCATTAGTTTGTTTACTTCTTCATCTTCAACAAGGAGATATACTGGAAATATTTGTTCAACTCTTGCTATTTGTATCACATGTTGCTTAGCAAATCTATAAACTTTCAAAAACCCAGCAGCTACCTCATTTCACTGTCCTGTAAAAAGTGCAAATTGCAGCGATGTGTATCATATAATGGAGCTAAAAAGCAATACAAGATAGACCGTGTGGAATTCAAACTGCTTATTCAAGGCATTATCAAGCTAGGGTAAAGATGAAAATTTTGCGTAATGAAAGAAAAAGAAAACCTCTGATGTAAGCCAACAAAAATGGCATCCAGTTGCTATAAAGTTTATGTTTACTAAACACAATCATGACTCATAATTAACAATGAAAGGAGGCAACTGGTTGCTAGAAAATTTCTCATGCTATTTCAAAATATGTTGAAATAGAAAGTAGTGATTGATTCAATTGATTTTATTTCAGAAATTGCTAGGATTAATGTTGAGGAGAACTAAACATGCAAGAGGTCTCATTGAAAAGCAATTGTACGTTATTCAACTCTTTAACCTATTACATAAGTAGCACCCAAAAAGTCATAACTGCATGTTGTTTAATTTAAAAAAGAACAATATCTGTGTTCTCCTTTTTCTTTCTGTGATTTTCAACATTGGCTTTCTAAAAGTTTCGCTTTTTCATCTATTTCATGAGTACAATCAATTTAAAGAAAATACCCCATAAAATGGTACCTTAAATTTCTTTCAACCTTGAATTTTCTAGACTAGATAAATTCACTTTTTTCAATATTATTTGCATTGTTGTCAATACTATCCTAATGACACCTCATTAGAAACAAACAAACAAACAAATATATTCGACAATATCATTAGATTATATAAATTCATTTATATTTCAATAGATCACCAAATATGCTAAAAGTAGGGTTTCCTCGATAGGTAGAGTGACGTGTTTAGCTTGCACGAGACTGCTTATGAACGCTGTTTGTTTCTCCTACTTGACTATTTTTTACAGCGCATGTGATAACAGAGCATTGAACAAGCAGAAAACGGACTGATCATCGGATCCAAACTACCAAATAGGAAATTGTTAAGCTTCCTCCCTGGTTATACAAGGCTATGCACAACCCTATCCGTTGTTTTTCCTTAACCAGACCTGTTTTTCCTTTCTTCAACGACTTGTCATTTTTCAATACTCATGTGATCATACCGCCATTTTCCTCTTGAAATATTTGCAATGATAGGCATTTCCTTTGCGAAAATATTTATTTTCGAATTTTTAGGAATGGGACATGGCTTTTTCTGATTTTAAGAGGGGTTTAAGGATGTCTAAACGTTTAAAGATCGATTTGTGACAAGAAGCCAAAATAGCAACTCAGTATTCAAATTAGAAAACTTTAGTACGGAAATAAACAAAAAATATATTGGCCATATTAATCTGCTAATTTTGTTATACGAATTTACTTCTCTTGTAGCAAACTATGGTCGAAAATAGTTTGTGTACATGTCTCTAAATAATGAACACAATATGTCCCTTTATTTAAAAAAAACCAAGGAATTATTCAATGAGAAACCAAATGTAAAAAAATCAATACTAAAAAATTGATATTTGCTAGAAAATTTCTAAAAGGCCAGAGTGTTAGGTAATTTAAATTAAACCACGAAACTCGTTGCTTGTTGTAAAGTATTGGTTTACAGAAAATTTAAATTCAAGAATTGTGTTGATAAAGGATGTCATTAGCTTGATGTTCTTAGAATAATTTTTTTTACACCCGCAAACAGGACCCTGAAAAGTCTGCAGCTATGGTCCTAAATTATTGCACATCAAGTAAGAGATGGTTCGGGAAAGACTTATCTTACAAGATTGTTAGTGGTGTACTTAGATTGAAGTGGGCCGTTTTTCCTGGATCACACGTGGAAGAATTTTAGTCCAGACCAGCTGCATTGTGTAAGCTTATGGTTTACGTAAAAAACCTGTCATAGACTGATCATATACTGATCAAAAACTTTGGTTAGTTAAGTCGATTAGCACCTTAGACCCAAATACACATTTAACGATTCTATATTGATTTTGTGTTTAGCTTGCTGGGACAATATTGCTTCTTTCTTGTGTCATTTAAAATGTATTTGTTTCAAATATAAGTGTGACATGGCGTACGGTACACGACAAAATCACAATACTAGCGTACGTTAAGTTTACTCAAAACTGCCTGCATATCATCAAACAAGAAATTGAAAAGGTTTTTCATGGAATTTTGTTCTAGTCCAGGTCGTTATTTTCTCGGAAAGAACTCATAATGCTAACAACAATTTTTCAAAGTGAAAAGTGTGGAAGTCGGATAACTAGTTCCCATAGAAAGGCTAACAAGACTAAAAACCCTGCGTTAGTAATTTTGAATATAAGCAATACGTTTTCCCAGTATCTTTGCTCATCATCCTAAATATCTATCTTAAATGTGAGTTGCTTAAAACTGCTCTACAGCAAATAATATAAGACTAGTGAATTGAACAGTATTTAACAGATGAATTTTACCAAAACCTATACTGTAAGAATATGCTGAACTGCAGCTGATACCGTGTATTAGCTTATTTCAACTACTTTGAAAATGCTTTCAAATGTTTTTTCGCCGAATGACTGTGATTATTAATCCTTTTACATTGCGCCAAAATTGGACCAATAAACAACGACGGGTAAGTAATAGATCTGAATAAAATAATTGCAATGAGGGGGGGGGGGGAGTTTGTTACATTAATATTTTGTTATAAATTTAATTCTATCGACGAGTTGCCTGAAAGTTGGGAGTGTATATCCCCACATCCCCCCGCACGCTACGCCCCTGTTTGTATGTACACCAATACCACACAAAATGGCGTACCTGCTTGAAATGCTAAAAGAGTTAAATAACGGAATAGAATCTTGATTTAAATGACTGACAGAGCAAGAAATCTCAACAGTTTGTTTTTAATTGTTTGCTTGGCCTTACCCTGGAATCCAGAGCCTCAGAATGTCAAAGGATGAAGAACGGGGGAAAGGAATTGCTAAATAGCTTGATCTAGAGTAAATAAGTTCAGAATAAATATTTCTTAGAAAGCCTTAGAAAGCTCTTGATATGTTCTTGAATCTAGATGAATCTAGAAGCCTCCATGTTCTTTATGAACTTCAAGAATGATTTCCACACACTGCTGCAATCCACTCTTTTTTTACAAGGAGTATTCTATAAGGGAGATAGTATACTCGAATAGGCAAAAATTAAGGAATTTACAGTAATGGATGTAAGACTACTACAAAGCAAGGAAATTTAAATGTTTGAATGTACGCGTTTTGTTTTATTTCAACCACAACTGGGTATAATACAGCGATACATGAATCAAACTTGCTTTACTATAATTTATATTTTGATCTAAAAGGTGGTGTTTCGTTTAGTTAACCTTTTTCATGAAACTGACGCATGGTATCGAAGATGTATTTCAATGCAAGCAATACAATTAATTTCAGCTTATCTTTTGACATCTTTTTACTCTTGCTACATTTGTTTTTTCTTCATTTCCAAGAATCATGGAGAAAATAGTCAAACAATCGCCAATGAAGACTGAACACTAAAATTGGTTAAAGATTTTGCAATAAGGAGCCTCAGCAGAAATACCTTATGAATTTTGTGTATGGTAGAATCTGCATAACTAAAATACTTGGAAGGTTCTTAGTATCAGCGCAGCATAAACCTTCCTGTTCTTCTAAAGATGTTCTTAACTTTCACTTTGTTTAAAGGTTGCCTTAAGCTGCATTTTTATAAAGAAATATGTTTAGCTATTGGGTAGAAGACATCAAGTCTGACATGACTACGTAAGAACTGGGAGGCCACAAGCCGCACCTGATCAGTGACATTTGACGGATGATTTCCAGTGTGATTACTTTAATAAGCGCGGGAATTACAAATCAATCATCAACAAGCCGGCCAATTATTTCATCTTTCATTAGGGTTCTTAAAACAAACTGCCTAGTAATGTCCGTTTGATTCCAGCGCTTTGGCGGCCCATAACTCGAAGCACTCGCAAATCCGTGCTTCCTCTTGTTTATCACTTGGCTTTTCGATGTCTTCATGACAACGTAGCCGACATCAGACACCTGATACCGAAGAGTGCCTCCATTATGTACTGTTTTCCTTCTAAATACTCATAAAACCTCCAGGCAAAATATGTACAACTACTCGAGTCACAAGATATTGCTAAGACTGTTTTAGAGATTATAGAAATTAACCGAGTTAAAACGTCTTAGGTATCTGGTAATACATTCTTTTTTGTAAAAGAACCAGTTCATTTTGGCTGTAGCTCGATGTGGTACCCCCAACATTTATCTTGGCTGGTGTGGTACCCCCAACATTTTGTTGGTAGGCACATTAAGGATCTATGTCGGGCAAAAGATGGAATTTGTGTACTCACTCTGTAGCCTTTTTGCAACAATTATTAGCATTTCTGTGTAGTTGAGCTTTCAAAGCATGGGACTAGAGCATAAACTTTGACAAAAGCATAAAAGTAGCATGTAAGAGTATTTATCTTTTGACCACACCCTTAGAGAGTGAGATACACCTGTTTTTGCAGGCGAAAACCACCTTTTTCACCCCTCCAAACAATTTTCTTGGCTTCGTCCCTGTGGCTCCAGTGTGTTTTATGCTGTTTATTTCTACATTAATATTACTACAAATAAATTTTATCAATTGCTTCTAAGACCACTTAATAGTAGTTTTGCGTTCCAATTTTATTAAATCAATTATAAATTTTCGCCTTACACGTTACACGTATGATCAACTTGTAAAATCTTCTTTGATTTGCTAATAGAAGGTCGTTATTTACTCGCAATTTTCTCGCCTTTGTCTTACTTTTGTCAAATCGTGCCTCGATGTTCTTATAATGTGCGTTCTAATATTAGAAAGTTTGGTCGATATTGCGCGAGGAATCAGGCACAGCTTCACTGGGGGCCTGAAGCCTCCACTTTTTCAGGGATAACAATTTTTGACCGTCTTTTTTGACCAAACTGTTTATAAACTGCTTGATTCTATTTGATCTATTTACTAACTTATAGTATATTTCTCAAATATTGTATAAGTATATTTCTATTTTTGTCTACTATTTGCATCCATTCAGTAGATAACTTTCTGTATCATTGCAATATCTGCATTTTGGATGTGTAAACATGGCCTACTGTCCTCGATACACATTTCTGTCCAGGAAGTAAAATTTTCTCAATCAATACAACAGCTTCTTGTTATTTACATCGACGTGCACTCTGAACCAAAGTCACCCTTAGCACGAGTCCTCTTCTCACAGATTTTTCCTACAAGTCAATAATCAATGCTTCTCTGAGAATCGTCGAGTTGTATATTCTGAGCGGTATAATAATTTGCTCAGTTTTAGTCTGGGAAATGCACAATGAAACAATTAAAAAAGTGCCGACTAATAAAAACCCCTATGAAAGGTTTTGGGAAACATAAGTCGCTGCATGAACCTTTTTAATACCTTGTTCATTGCAATGTTGGTTACTTTGTAACGCTATTATTAGATTCAAGTTGAGTGACATAAGAGGACCCACCATGGTTGGTCCGACGAGAAAGAAAAATTTTGAATTTAATTTCTTAAGACCGCTTTTTGAAAAAAACCCATTTTAAAGCACTCCAGATAATGAGACTTGTAGAATAAAATTCAGGTGGGCATCATTCGGAAATGAAGACCTTCTTCCTCGTGGAAAGCGGTGGTAATGCAAGGAGATCCAAATTCATCTCAATTTAGGCCTATCCAGGTTCCGACAATATGAGGCGCTTATCATTGGTTTTAATCTAATCTATTGAAGATTACTTATTGATTTAGATTAGTAATCATTTAAGTCTATAGCCATAAATCCTAAGGGGGAGATTTCAAGGTTAGCATCATGCGACATCTTCACCCGCGAGGAAAAAAAGTGGTCAGAAAATTCAACATCTGACGTTCTTTGCCATCACAAGCTTCAGTGACATCGAGAATTCTCATCAAAAACCAGTCCTAGCATAGTTCAATTATTCAATTTAGAGAATTTGGCATCAAATCTGTATTTTAGCTCATTCTTCCAAAATTTTTTGCACACAAGAGTGTCAAACAAAAAGATAAACTATGATATAAAATATTTTTTTATCCGAGGCTGTCTTTAAGTTATGTAGGAGATTAAAGCATGGGTGAATTGGTTCAAATTACTAATTTGCGTACAAAATTAGCAATTTTATTAATTTTGTCATAAGTTGAAAAACTGCAGCACGAAGCTGACATAATAAACACTAATCAATCAGTTCAGGAGCTAAGTAAATTAGATTTTATTCGTTTAATGCAAAAAGTGAACTTCAAACCCTGTCAAGAAAGATGAACATCGCGTGAAAAGAAGGTCAAGCACAGAAAAACTGCAGGAGGAGTATCCCTTGTTAGAACAAAGGAAGCAGTATTCTTTGACTGATTTTAAACTCATTGTATTTCTTGGATAATCTTTGCTTTTCAGTACTTCATTCTATGGTTTGTATGGACCTTCGGTTGCCTTTTTGGCTGGGATGTAATAATATACTAGTGGTTATCTTTCCGATCAGTCAAAGGCCAATGAAAACCAGACATCTAGAACAAAAGGCCTTGATAAATTTTGATAGTATAACTGTGCTTTGGCTAATTGCCTTATGACCATGGATTACACGGCGTAATCCACGAAAACCCAAATGTTTGTTTTACATCAGCTCGATTTGTAACATCTTTCATTGTGATATTTAAACTCGAGCGAAACCTCTCTTTGATCTCTTTGTACTATGAGTAATAGTGTATGGAGTCTCGTTCACAAGAGACAATTAACGGCCTAGACAGACAGCTGAAAATCAAACGGATTACAAGGTACTTAGAGTTTAGAATCAATTTCGGAAATGTCTTCAGGTGCCTTCCTTTGTTTCTATATAACTCCTTGCTAATGTGCACAGGATTTTTCTCCTTTCTTTTTCTAGAATACAGGAAGGAAATAATATAGTTTCCACGTAGACATCTAGTCTTTCAGAACGGCAAATTGAGTTGTAACAGTGACATTGTAGCGCGAGAGTTTGAATGAAAGATAGAAATACATTTCTGCAAGTTAAAGGCATCTTGCATCCTGCTACGTCGATAAAAGACAACAAACCAACCGAATTCCATTGTAGGAAGGGAGTTGCATAGAAATATAGACGACCCATCTTTGTCAAAGTCATTAAAAAAAATAGCTAAAATGAAACTCCCGACTTTTACCTTGTTGAAAATATGTGATTGTCGAATAAATCAAATTTCACCTGGCTCCTTTATTTCAGCTCGAAAAAGAATTGACTTTTACTTATTCCCTGTAGAAAAGTATTTTTAGGATGGGTTCTAGAGAGAGAGGTACATAGAGAGAGATCGCAAAGGTTCAACAACTATAAAAAATTAATGGAAAAGATAAACGTTTGCAAATGCATTTACCCCTAATATATTGAAGTATAACGGAATGAGTATCAATCGAAAAATCGGTTCATCTTTGCCTGATTCTAAAATGCTACCTTATTTGTCCTTACTCCACATAGGTTTTTCAAAGCAAAACGACTGCACAACTAGTTTATTGTCGGTTGCTGCTCTACTCAAATATCTGTAGGACTTTGCATAGGCCCATAATATCTTCGTTCTAATATGGTTAGGGAGTTCTAGTATACTTGGACAGATTAATCGAGCATAATCTTACATAGTTCTTATTTTGAAATCAATATGGATTATTCTGAATCTACCACTGGACATCCGTACTGTAAAGTAGGATTATTTGGGGACACCGTTGTTTGAGATCAAGAAGAACAAACTATATTGTTCATTGAAAACGAAAGGTTTCTATAATTTTCCGGGAGGGGGGCTTTAGCCCCCAAAATTGCAATGTTTTCAAGAATGTTTTATATTGAAGAAAGCAAAGATATTTGCTTAGTATGTTGACCAACTAGTGCTAAAAACACGCTGAAAAGTCTATAGTGGAACCTCTATTAACGCACACCTGTACACAACGGACACCTCTAAAACACGGACAGAACTTTTTGTCTCAGGTAGTCAAAATGCCCTTTAAAGAGCCTCTTCACAACGGAAACCTCTATAAAACGGATATCTCTATACAACTTTGCTACAACGGACAACAACATTGGCTACACCGGTGTCCGTTCTATGGAGGCTCCACTGTACAAATTTCTAAAACTTGATACAAGCTAGGAATGGGAATCCATGTGCCACAATTAGAGATACAGTATGTTGAACTACAAAACTTCAGGTAAGATCTAGATTGTCTGATTAAAATGGACAGTAAAACTTCCGGCAACAAAAAAGCTCTGGATTTGCTGAATAAAATTGCTACAGGCAATACAGAGAAAGTAGAATGCAGGGTACAACGATAAAACACGTCATTCATCTATTGAGAAACTAGAATATGCACAAAAACATTATTGTTGTAAAAACCAAGAAAAAACCAATTCTACAACCCAAAGTCTCCTCTCTATTCAGGTTTCACTTCTAAAGGAGAAAAACAAGCTGATTAGTAAGGTTCCTGGCCTTAGAAGGCTTTACAAAGCTTTGAAAGATCCCACAAAGATTAGGAGAGATTCGAATGCAGAATATCAATTCATTGCAGTTCAGGTGATTGTCCTTCGCAGTATCAAAAAGCTCATTTTAATGACATAACTGACTTGGTTTCTTATGAATACGAAGCCAACTGGCGACGCTAAATAAGCCTGCCGTTATTTTATGTAGGCGAGTGATTTTAACGCGAAATCATGGGTGGAGAAGGAACAGTTTCAGAAGAGTGTATTCTGTGCATGAAGGCACCTTCGAAGTACGTTTGGTCAGAGGGGTAGGAAAGCGTACAAACGCATTCAAGGGAGGGGGGGGGTTCAGGAGAAAGCAAATGTAGGCCCTCATAAACTTGTTTGTTAGAAAACCAACATTATATAAACAAAAGGGCTAATGATCCACCTAAAAATCTTAACCACGTCTGAAGAAGACCGTTCAACTGGCTACAAGGACGCATATTCTCGCAAAAGGGGCAGGGAGAGTCGGTCACAAAGTGAACGAACCTGTGAAGGAGAAGAGGGTGTGGTCGGAAAATCGTGATTTTAGGCATATGTATTTAATCGATGCCCTGTATCAGAAAGATTGGTACATGCGTATCTGAAACAAATGTGCCATCGGTTCGAATCCAGAAATTCATCCTCCTATTTCATGTTTCTAGCTTTGAGCCTCATTTTGGTGACGCAAATTGACTTTTTTGTTGCAAAATAGATTATTAATTGCGAAAAGGAGAATGTCTAACTTGAAACCCATCTGTGCACAGTTTGTGAAAAAAGAGCGGATTAGAGCTGTGTGGTCTCTGCAACATAATGCCTAATAAATGTTTCAAACGTCTTGTTGAAAAACTGAGAATTAGTAAAAGTTATAGTATAAAAGAGCGCACCTGTCTAAACAGTACTTCTTGAGATATGAAAGCCTTAGCTTCAAAAATATGCTTGAGTCTTATTGACAAGGATACTGTATTGTTAAAAACAAAGTTAGCGAAATACAATTTCTTTGCAAGGCTTAGTTGATTTTTATGACACACTACTTTGGCAACAATAGCAGTCCGGCTTGTCATGCAGCAAATATAAAATTTCGTAACTGACATTTCTACTAGATCTTATACATAATGATGTTCTCGTGCAGACAAAAATCTAAAGAACCCTATCAAGTAGAAAATCGAATAATACTACTACTACTACTAGGATATGATACTAAATCGAATGATACGTCATCTAAATACATCGTTTCTTGTAGGTAAAAACCACTCGTAATCTCTATAAAACATATGTATAACACATATGAATGTGTCTGGGTAGCATTTAATTATAAAAAATTGTATTCATGCGCCATTGGTTCTTTCCAATAGCTTTTTTTTCGCGGTTACCAACAGATGTATGTGAATGGCGATGGCTTCCAAGAAATGGTGCAAATAACTTTCCATAGAACTTTAGTAGTCTTCCTGATATCAAAATAGTTACCCTTCAAAAATGAGTGGTTGCTCTTCAATGCAGAAATATCTACCCTCTTAACAATCATCTACGCCTTTGAGAGGTTGAATGCAGCAGAGGCTGCAACTTCCAAGAAGAATGGTCCCTCTTGGCCAGGATGAAAAGTTGAAGGGATAATTTTATACCTCCCTGGTGCAATGTCTTTGAGTTCAAAAGCAAGGAAGCCCCACCTAAAAAAAGAAAGAGATAAAGCAGCGTGAGAAAAAACAACTTGGTCGACTATAGACTCTCTTTAGACTCTCTATGCAAGATAGGAAGACAACAGAGTCAATGCAAGACTCGAAAACATGATAGAATACGGTTTAAATGACACGCTGTGGTTATTATGTTATAAGGTATCATCATAGAGCAACCTGGAACCCCCCCCCCCCCTTTCGAGTAGATACCTCTAAAACAGGAAGTTATATTAGTGAACATGACACCCGTTCAATGATAAGTTTTTTTCAGTTCAATAGTTGATTAGTTGGGACAACTGAAAATGAAAGGGTTCAATAACAGGGGGTTATAACACATCGAAGGGATAAGAATGATGGTTTCTTGTGGGTGAAGTGGGAATATGTTCAGTTATAGGAAGTAAAGTTATGGAGAAGTGACGAGTAAATATCTAACAAAAACAATCCAACAGGAAATGATTTTAATGATGGCTGGGTGTGAAAGTATCTGTTTTAAATACATTTTTGGAATTCATATAGAACAAACTTCAAATGCTTTCTTTCGTCATATTCGGTATTCCTTAGAGAAAGCAAAAACCAACAAGAAAAATTTCCCACGTTCCCTTCTAATTGGTATTGGCAAGACAAAAAGCGGCTGCTGGCAGACATTGTAGGAAAGAGAACTAAGCAACATAACCAATAAACAAAAGCAGATAGCTCTCACAACAATACACCAAAATCGTTTAGAAAAACTGAAGATTCTTACAGACTACTGAATTCACTTTGAAATAACCGAGCACCCCTGCGACTTTCCAAGGACCTCGCACCCCTCATCAGACAAAAAGAAAGAGCCCAAATAACTTTTCCACGTAAAGCTTAATGAAAAACCGGAAGCTCTCCTCCTTACTTAACTATAGTTTTGTTAATGTCACGTCCAGAGTGATAAAGCACTCAGCTGTTTATGCTGCTGTTCAAAGAAAACGTATCGTTTATTTCAGGCAAGATATAGGGCTAAAAATAACAGTTGAATAAAGAAAGTAAGAACATACATTGCTTGAGAAAAATCCTAGTACAAATTCTGATTGCATCATTCCAAAAAAATCAATTGAACAATCACAAAACGGGGCTTTTGTATCATTTTTCGTGAAATTTTATCGAAAGTGCATTTTGTAAAAATAACATTAACAACAAAAGATTAACAAATGAATGAGCGATTCGATTAATGTCGCAATTAAAGCTTTGTTGGTTAATTGCTTTATCACATCTTTTTGAGGCGTGATCCCGAAATTTTTTCATTAAATAGAAAAAAACGCTCTTGCTTGAATTTATACATTTCATCTCCTTAAAATTTAGCCAGTTATATAAAAATGGTAATTAAAATTTTTCAACCTTGACGCTAAGCATTTGGCGTACACTTGGCTTCAGAGTTGGCCCAATTTTAACCAAGGAAACAAACCTGTGCTACCTTCAAGCTATCAGGAAATACTATAGACTCAATTGACAGGTTATAAATCCTACACAGAGAAAGCAAGATAACTGGAAATTCACTTTTAATTATAAAGCCAACTGGAAATTAACTTTTAATTACAAAGCTTGGTAAGAATTGATGGAGGTGTAAATGAGATGAGAGTTGGCTTAGATGAGCGTTGTGCCTTAATCGTCCTCGCTTGAAAGAATTTGCTTGAATCAGCAGAAGAATGTCCTCATTACCGTTCAGAAAAAGCTTGTAAGACCTGCAGCAAATGATGTATAATCTTATTTATCCAGCCAACGATTCATTGACGTGAAGTAAAAATTCAATGTTTGCTCTGTTGGTTAATTAAAAGCAGCTACCTAAAACACATGCTGGACACCACGCCCCACAGCTTAGCAGTATGATATACTAGGGCACAATAGGCAAGCCTTTTGACAAGACAAAATTACGTTTTATTCAGAAAAGGTGACAGAGTTATACAAACAAACATTCAATGAAGTTAGAAAGAATCTTCATTGCATTGACAATACTTGATTGAAAGGTTGAAAGAGAAAACACAGCAGCAGAAAAAAACCAGACTGAAAATAACTGCAAAGCAAAACTGCGACAGACATGTGTCATTTCCGCTGTACGCCCCATGTTTAAGTCGAATTTTCGAGGGAAAAGCTACACCAAAAACAATGTACAGTGGATCAAAAGTTTTGCTAAAGACTCACGAGCTTTCCCTAGGAAAAATGTTCAAAAAGGAGAAATAATATCTTTTAATATAATGATTTGATAACTAACTAACATATACTTAGCGACGTAGAAGAACTGTCTCTAATGTTAAAGGCATTGAATCATGATAAAATGGATTGGGTATACTAATAGTGCCAAAATCCGCTGAGTCACGATTTTCGTGACTGTGATGCTATTGGTTGGCCTTAAACTGGACACATGAACTCACCCCGTACTGACTAACAAAACAGTTTCCATCAATAGAAAGTTGTCAACAATATCACATGAAACAGCAACGATCACGCCGAAACCAAATGACCTCTTATAGAGAAGGCCTATTTACCTTGACCAATGCCTTTAAGCTTCTTTTTATTGCTGGGTCTGCATGTTTCAACTGCCTTGTAACTAGGTTTCTTTTTATAAGAAAGGTACCAAGCTTTCCCATTGGTGTTTCGGTCTCTTTCCCATCTCGAGATTACGATACATTTTCATATTTTAACTTTATTAAAATAATTTTCATTTTAATGACGTCAGCAGCCTTACCTCTGGCAAACTAGCAGTAGCAAAAGCTGCCATAACTGTGCACTAGTTTCTATTCTCTCAATCAAATTTACGAGTGAAAAGTCTTGGAAAACCTGTAGCGCAGCTGTTTAAATATAAACTTATATGACACTGTTCAAAACTTCTCTTGATCTATAACTTTTGCATTTGTAACTCATTTTCATCATATAATCATTTACTTGATAGAATTCTGCCTCTATTTGGTGAAATTTGATAAAATCCTCTCTAAATAAACTTGCTCCTATCAACACCAAAATAAATGAGAACATACAACCAACAGTGAATGAATAAATAAAGAATAAAGTAATAATAATCTGGTCCAAGAGAGGACAAATTACATCGACAGCAAAAAGTTAAACAAAATAGATATGTCCTCGCAAATTTATAGAGAGGAAGCATTAGGATATTCCTAGTAGAAGTGTTTTGACCTAGTGTCACAGGTTGATGCAATTATGACAATACTGGTTGCCTTAAATCCGGGAAAACGAACCGAAGATTGCACTGAGCAACACTCAACATTTGCAAATCTAGATCGTTTGCTTGATGTTCTGGGCCAGCAGAACCATTGGTACAAAGATACCTTGTCTCGGTGCAGTTGCAAACTGAAACTCCAATCAATATTAGAATGCACATATATCAGGCCTGGCTATGAGTATCTAAGCAGTCGAATCAAACTTAACACAACGAAGTGTTGGGTAAAAAGAGAACAATTACATGCATTGGGAGATTCAATTAATGGTATAAGGAAAGAATCTTTTCAAGGGTACTTAAACTGTCACAATTTATACAGGAAAGAAAATACCTGATATATTTTCTTTTTTAATTTAAAATCATTTATAAACATCTGAAAACAATGATTTAATGAACGTTATTTTGAAAGGCAAATTCATGGACCTCGATCAATTGTGCACTTGCAAGTAGCAGGTGAGTGTGGAGGCGTGCTCACGTGATCGAGGGCCTTCTGGGCAAGGTCTGTAGCTAATAGTGCAAGGTGGACAAAATACCTGTAATCGCCTGAAGTTTGTTTGAAATTTCCTTCTACTGATGAAATTTCAACGCCAGTTGCGTATTGCCTACAGAGAAAGGGAAAGAGCGTTTTACTTGCTTCTCTAGATAACAGTCAGAAGATTATATTTAAAAGCTGCCAAATTGGGAGGTTATGAAAATATGAAAAAATAACGATGTTGATTGTCGGCTCGAGCAATATTTCAATGTATAGAAATGACTAAATAATTTTAAAATAAACTGAAAGGAAATGTTGACCTACTTGCTTGCTTCAACTTTGATCAGAAGTGAACAAGGGGTATTTGAGATTATTTCAAGGTCATATTTTGGATTGTTTAGGTATGAGGGATGATTTGCACAACCACCAGCTGTCAATTTTGTCCATTGTCCTGTTACCTGAAAACACAGACGAAAATGGTGTTAACTGTTTATTCGGAATTAGTATTATGATACAGCAACACCCAGCAAAGAAGAAACTAGGAATCTAGGAACCTACAGACTGTCTTTCTTCGACTGAGCACTATGTATTCAAGAAAGCTTCTTAGGCTGTTTAAAATGAAAAATTCTTAATATAACATGTAGGTTCGAAATATTTTGCATGTTGATCGAGGGTGATTTCATATTTTAGTGTGCATCTTGGCAACACGGAATTCCAAAACTCTCAATTGTTTAGCAATCTCGTTTTTACGAAAAATGGCATGGAAGTAATTTTACTTTTCTTTCTTTTCTCTTCTGTCCAATTTAAAGGATAAAAACATTTGATCCTGAAATTATCAGAGAAATCTTTGAAATAAGAATTAAGAAGGGATTAACTCTTGAAAAAGAAGGTTCTTCCTTGAGGAACTTATCGTAATATCAAGAATGAAAACGAGGCTTTCTCAATCTGAAGCAAGCAATGGGAATGAAAGAGGCAATAACTTAATCCGTAGCAAAAAGGCATTTGAAGGTTTACAATAGAATTTTGGATAGCGAAAAAACTTTTCACAAATAAGTTAAAATATGAAATAAGATGTAATTTTCTAGCAGTGATTTGTGACAACTGGTTGTTTGATGCCAAATCATTTCAGCATTCAATTTTTAGAGGCACATTTCATTTGGTATATGATATGCCATGACCTTTCCTAGAAGTAGCCCAGTGTACAAATCAATTTCTTCTTTTAGATTTTGAGACAGGCATAAGTACACGACTCATACCAAATTCAGAAACAAATCAATGAAACATAACCTAAGTAAAAATGTAAGCTTTTGCGTTTTGCGGAGCAAAAATCTGGAACGAGGTTGACCGCGAGGCCATCTTTATCTTTTCTAAGAAATTATCTTATCAAATATTATCTTATCAAATTATCTTATCAAATAAATTCTTTATTGCAATTACTCGAAACATCAAAATTATGATTTTTATCAGTTTTCTTTTGTTATTTTTAGTATTGTAAATTTTTAAATTGCAACGTTTTTGACACGGTCCCCAAATCAATCATAATGGCTGACGGGGCAGCCGTAGATAGATAATTTCAACTTGCAATAAAATGAGCAAAGTATCGTAAGTAATTGCAAAAGAAAGTTTAATTTAGATGCTTGATCAAAAGGAGATCTTCATAGACCCAATAATAACAAACACGAAGATCAATACAAGTAAAAGAAAACGTTTGTAATCTCCTTTCATGCGAGACAACATCATACATAAAAGTTAAACGAATCTTGATACAAAGTCAATGAATGTTTAAAGGAAAAGTTATGAAGAGTGTAAAACTTACCCTTTTACGAGACGTGTACGGATTGCCAACAGGACCAATTTCAAATCTCACAGTCCCGAATACCTGCAATTAAATGTAATAAAATAAGAAGCTTAATACATAAGTTTTCATCCTGACGAACAGTTTTTTTCTCTGAAAGTTGTAACGTTTAGGATTTGTATTCTTCAGTAATTATTATTATCATGTTAAGCTAGATTCTTTGATTATGTTGCATGTTAATGTCGCACGTTTGTTTGTCGCGCTGTTGCGTTAGTAACTCCCTTTCCAAGAAATGTGCGTCACTGTTATCGTGTTGTGTGATGTTTCACAGTGTTCCTTTGTTTGTGTTCAATATAATGTAATCCAAGTTAGAATAAAGTAGTCTTACTGTTTTGACGATAAAGATAACACCATAGAAGGAGTACCTTTTGTGTGCAATCTATTTGGGGCTTAGGCCCGTTGGTTCGTTTACAAAGACATAGTCTTAAGACGAACCCTATCGTTACAAGTTATCGTTTCAATGATACAAAAGTTCAGTTGCTTGAAATTGGTGACTGATTGCGAAAGTATCCAGTGATCTTGTTGGGTATCTTGAACATTGAAAACAAAGAGGGTATTGATTACAAAATGCAAATAGAAAAGCTCTTCATTCTGAAAACTAAAAAATGACCTTACGTAAGAGGGTCATGAGAACGAAGGTGAAGGCGATAAACTTACTTTTAAAGTGTAGTAAATTGTATTGTATTTCTCATATTGGGAAACGACCAAGTTGAATCGTTTGTTCCTTTGGGTGGCCTCATCTTCGCTAGGTAATGTGGGCTGTTGATTTTGGTTCCCTGAAAGTAGGGGTTATCTGAGAAAGGAGAGACTGTGGTTACTTCTTTATGCATTGTAAATTAAAACGAAGTGCATTCAGTGAGTGAAGAAGTTGGCTTTGAAATGTTTGTGCAAAGAATGATTAAAAAAGTCAAAACTAAAAGCTGTTAAACTGCAAAATTCAAAACATGATAATTGCCTTTCCCATTTACCTGGATAATAAACACGAGAATTCCCTGAATTTTTGTAAGCATGGACTGTTATGAATTCTTTATTGTTTGCAAAGTCATCCTACAAAAAAGCAAACATTCAAACAGTGAATTTTGTGTTCACAGTTAAAGGGTGTCTGGTATTGATCAACATTAAAAAGAATTGAATACAGATACATTTATCGTCCTATCCGGTGATCTTGTTGGAAATGCAAGCAACGAAAACCTGTATTTTTCACGAAGGCGCAGTTTTCAGTAGACACAGGCGGAAAAAATCGTAGGTCAGAGAAGACGGGTGCAGAAATTGAAGTCAGTTTGGCGATAGAACACTGTAAAGGAGAGTGGGGGGGGGGAGTTAGGGAGAGGGAGAGAAAATTATCCAAACAATCACCTAGATAAAAAATCCGTACACTATCGGGCCTTGAGGGCAGTAAGAATATCTAAGACTAAGCATCTTGAACTTAGTTCAAAATGTTTGTAGAAAAAGATAAGAGAATGCTGAAAACATGAAGTGACGGGGCCAGGTGAGGAAAAAGTAAAAAAAATAGACAGCTTCTGCAAATTATGCTTTTGCCAAAATGCAATAAGAAATTATAATCATGCATTCAGTCATATCATAACATCAATGATGTTTTTAAAGCTGGCTTTGTTACAGAAAGGGATCTCGAGGGGAAGGTGGGAGAGGCTAGAAGAAGAGGGAGGTGAATCGCCTTAGGTGAGAAAAAGTTTGATCGAAAACAGGCTATAGAAATCTGGGGAAAAGAAAAAGATAAAACGTTTTAAAGTTTGCGAGTTCTGGAAAGGAAAGATGAGTGTATTCCTCTGAGAGGAACCCTCCTGTAAGCATCTGGAAAAGAAAAATTGCAGAGCAATGGGCTGGAGAGATTTTGAAAGGTAAGAGTCGTTGTTGAGGTGACTGGTTTTGAATGGACTAGAAGCTACAAAAAAAATAGAAAACACTAGAACTATTTAAACAACACTCTTAATTGATCTAACCATTGGACCACAGACTGTTAAAACTAGGAAGTAATTCTTCATTAGAAAATGCCGTTCGTAGAAAAAACGTGACCACAAGAAGTTCATCCGGGGATCGCAGCTTGACAGACTTCGGATGCAGGTAATAGGAAATTCAGTGGTTTTCGTACCCGTTCCATGATGTGTCTTGTTAGCAGAATCCAAATAATTCCTTCTTCATCGCCGCTATGAACAGTAAGTAAGTACTGTGGGTTATCACCTATAAACAAGAAGAAAAAAAGAGTATAAGACTGAAGGTCATCTGATAATAGTTTTAAAGAAAAAGAAAAGAAAGTGCTTTTCTTTTAACTGTATGCCCATACCGAGTAAATTATGTATCTATAGAAATGTCAGTCTTTGCATGTCCATGAAACATCGTAACCCAAGATTTAGTGCAAGATGAGTTCACAAACATACACTTTGAATTGGTGAATATAATTGGTATGTCAAAGAATCAAAGACTACGAGAAATAAAAAATCGAGCGAAGCGCAAAAAAGCCAAATTTATTTGAAAAAGCTTCGTTGTCTCTGACATATCTAGTCACTGAATACCAAAATGCCAATATAAGCTTACCAACATTGTATGAATCTTTAATGGGCCCATCACCGGCTTGCCATTTCCTTCAAAGAGAGCAAGACATCAAGACTTTTCTCTCTTTTAATTCGTAAAATAGTGTTCAAGGAAATGTGGATCGTACAAGGAAAACTTTAATATCTTCCAGAAGGCTGGAATTTTTTAGTCAATAGAAAAACAAAAAGAAATAAAACACATGGCAACATACAACTTACAAGGCATATGAAAATTAGTTGCAAAAAAGTATTGTCTATACAGTTCTGTAAAGTTCATTTGAAAAATAGAAAATGATGAATGCTTTTTCGACAGTCTTATCAAGCGTTGATTGCTTAATGAAACTTGATTTTTACATAATTTCATAAATTCATAGGTGATAACAAGGAACAAAGATGAAGTCATGTGTTTTAATAAAGATGCAAGCAAAGAAAATCAACATCATCTGACTCAGGTAAAAAAGAGAAAGAGCTTCAAATATTTATAGCTTCTGCACATGGCATGTGTAGCACAAAGTTTCAAAATGGCACAAAAAAATTCTTTCCCAAACACACCTTCAGAGGTTATGATGAAACTTCGAAGCAAGATTTAGAAAGGTTTAGAATTTTTCTCAAACGGATAGCAAGAGGACTCAGACATGACAAAAAAGAAACACATAACTTCAGGAAAAAAATTCCGCGCTGTCAACGGCAAAAGAAAAATCCTATAAAAATATCAACAGCAAAAAGTTAACGAAACTATGGACATAAAAAGCATGTTTATTGTTCCTATCAAATTACTTAAATCCATCATTTTAGATAGCACTGTCTCACATATAAAAAAAAGCGATGGACGTAATATAAACACTTACGAATGTATGGTGTATTTAAATTTGAATAGTTTAGGATTCCAATTCAAATAAAATACGTCGAAGAAGCGGCAAACGGATTCCCAGTTTATCCAGAAAACACCTGTAGAGCCAAAAAACGAGCTGTTCACTAAATATCGAATATTTACTTGATTTGCAAAAAAATAAAAACTGTTCTCGAATGAGCTATATTTTCTATTGAGGACTTCAGTAGGGCAACTTCATGCTTTAAAAAAAGCTATTTCGAAGATAATCTGTTAGGATACTCTAACAGAAACTTTAATGTAAATGTATGTATTCTTGAAAGTATGTTTTATCCTTAAAAAGAAAATCTAGATATATTTACATTGATTTGAGGACAAACTATAAGTTTTTAGCTACCACATATCCACGATCCACTTAACGCAAAACTGATGGACCTAAACAGACCAGAACTGCATTCAGATAGATATAATACAATGGGAATAAAACACGCAGGTTAAATGTAGTTTGAAAATCGAGTGAAAATGCAGTTTCTCACCATTATCGTTTTGTAGGGCATTCATTCTGTCATAGTCTAATGCCCTTAGTAACTCAATGTTCCAACTTTCAGTGTCAGTTTCACTATATTTCCCCTAGAAACAGAAAAAGTCAAGCGAAAGGTTAAATGCCTTGAAAACGCTAGCCAAGACAATAATTTTGGCCTAGATTTGTCGCAAAAAGAGAGGGGTCAACAACTCATAAACAGTTGGCTTCTCAAATTACTGGCTGACCAGACATGGAAAACACAGGTTGACATTTGGACTTGACAGATCGATTTTGAAGTTCAGAAAATTTAAAGCAGTCAATTTGAAACACAGGGCTTGAATTGATCAGAATTGTCAATAAACACATAAGCTTTCCTGACATTGCTGTAGTAATGTAAAGAGACTTTCTATAGCTTTATAAAGCATATACGATGAGATAAATCTAAGATATCATTTCGTGAGATGGAAGACACCCTGATCTTATGCATCTATTATACTGACAACATAAATCATTCTTACGCCTTTTTTCTAGGCCTCGAGTACGCCACGATGATGTAAGGTTAGAGAAAGGTGTAAAGGAGCTAATGTTCGATGAAATTTTTCTTTCAGTAAGATGGTATTCAACAGAATTTATGTGAAGTACATATACATAATACCCTAAGGTACTTGTCAACCTATGGTGGCATATTCAAAATTTTTCGTGATAGTAACCAGCCACCCAGCCACATTAAAGAAAACACCAGACAGCAACATTCCCCAGGGATATCATCGAGGTTGGACTGGTGCATCAATGACGTCAAATGGAACTTCCCCAGGGTCTTTCGGCGCTTAGTCGGCAAGGATACGAATTCTCAAGGGTTAAATACGAGAAAAATGACATTGAACATTTCTTTCCGCATTATTGACATGTGTTTCCCACTGCTTATACCAGAATGACAAGAAGATTGCCCGGTTACTGGATTAATCAAATAGCACCAGAAATTATAAAATGTATTGCAGGAAGGGTAATACTTTTATGACAGACGTTGGAAAAAAGTAAAACGGGCAGTGATTGATTAATTAGAATTCCACTCAGTATAGTCATTTCCCCGGTCACCCTTAAAAACTACGGAATGTAGAATAATATGAAAAATATCCCTGCGTTACTCATGATAGTTAAAACATAAAAATTCACCAATCTTCAGTGTCTAAATGAAAAGGGATCTTATGATTGTGCAGGAGTGTATCTCCATATTCTCTTTGAGGTTTTAGTGCATTCCTTATAAACATCACGCCCAAGATGTACCAAGGATAAGCCAGGTGACTGTTAAGGTTTATATCCAATCATACGTCAACCTTTCTGGGGTTGGTTGGACAAAATCTTTAATGGTGGGTAAAATGGCCTACTGTATTTATTCATTAATCGCCTACTGTATCTTGTTTATAAGCTGCCCTTGATTATAAACAGCAGCAAAACATCAGTCCAGGCTTAGAATAAAATAAATACAGTATCTGTAGATGAAAAAACCTCTAAATTTGTCTTGTGTTTGTCTTCATCAGTAGATTTTACTCTGGGTGACCATCCACTCCCTAGTTTGGAAAGTTAAGCTATGCCCCTGAACATCACATCACACCAAATAACTTACAATGCCTGGCAAAAGTACTTGGAACACCCAACAATTTGCAAAACAAGGAACTGCCAAACCAGAAATTAATTGCATTTTTCATAATGACGCGATTAAATAAGCAATAGATCAACATAGAAAGAGACATCACTCAGGACCCTGATCACACGAGAAAAACTCACATCATCTAAAGCCGGCTTTGGTTCCCGAATGGAGCCAGAACAGGTACCGAAGGAAACCAGCTTTTCTCGTTAAAGCAGGGAAATAGTCGATCAATTCTCGTGCTTTCTGGACAACGTAAAGTAACTATCAACCATATTCAAACTACATTTGCTTATTCGTTCACAACATGTTTACAGAATTCAACGAATGCGATTAATTGAGTGGAAAACTTTGAAATTGAACACAATAGGTCTTTTTGATAGCTGAAAATTTTTCTAGGAATTTTTAAAAGAGAATAGCCCCAGAAGCACACGAAAAAACTTTAAAGTGGAGCCCTTCGTTGGGCCTAGGCCAAAAGAAAGATAACAAAGACACAGCAATATTGTAAAAAAGGTAGTCGAACCTTCCATCTCAAGTGATTCCACGGGTTTTTTAGTTGCAGCAGTCGCAAGCCTTTAATTTTTCTTATGTCGAGTACAGCATACGCATGGGTTTCTACTAGACCAGAACGCTCTGTATCTGCTTCTGAGAGGAAGCCTGTTGCCACTGTTATCAAAACATCACCTGAAATTTTCATTACTGCTAAGTGAATTTCAAAATCTTGCTTCGAGAAGATAAAATACCTGCTTCTTTTTATAAGGTTTTAAGGCAATTGGGAACTCAAAAGCAACAAGGAACTGCCAAAATCTTCAGATCCAAAGATTAAACAAAGAACATGCAAAATTTGCTTTAAATACTCAGTTCTAAAATTATGGAGGGATACACCTATTGATATGCAAGATACTTTAACTCTCGTTTGCTTTAAACAAATTGAAAGCACACTAAATAAAGGGCTGAACTTGAATTCGCTGATCAGAACTCAATAGTTAACCTTCTTAATTATTTTTGTATTTTAAAAGAAAGTAAAAAGACTTGAGTGTCTTATACGGTTACTTCTCGTGTATAAATCTGTATTCATATCACATATATATATATATATGTATAATTCTGGTAGTGAAGGAGATGACGCCGATGATGACGATGATTGACGATGTGTATAATGATAATAATTGATTGATAGTGATAGTTCTGATCGATAGTGATTTTCATGATAATGAAGATGGTGAAAATGCTGATTGACAGCGACGATAAGGATCAACGATATTGATTGGTAATTGTGATTAATGCACTTAAACCATATCGATGATATGGCGACATTACCTCGGTGAAGAGCCTCGAACATACGCTCAAACAAACGTTCTTTGTTGACTTCTTCACTCTTCAAAGATGCCCTCTCGGGAATCCAACCCGTCAGTGCACCCAAATCGATATTCTACACGAAATAAAAGCAAGTTAACGCCAGGTTGCACAAAGACGTACATGATAGATGTATGATGGTAGAGATAATTTTGCCTCTGCTAAAAAAATTAAATTGCTTCGATGAAATCAAAACACTTTTAACGTTATTTTCTCTCTTTTTTACACCCATCTTGATAGACATGCTGCAAGTACTGGCTAAAATTTTGCCATTCACATGTAATATATTGCCCCTATGTTGCAGAATTATTGCTATATTGTGCCACCAAGCGGGAAACATGGGTTGGAAAAAAGAAAACAATTCAAAGGAAGTAAGTAGAATCGTTTAAAGGGAAAAACTCACGGAATTCGAGCCTGGAAAGTCATATCCACCCATAACCTGAAAAGAGAATATAGAAGAAATTAGAATAAAATGAGAGGAATCTATGTATAAAACGTGTGCATTTGCGGGTCAGTAAATTGGACGCAGAATGGTTCAGGGCTACTGTCTTAGCATGCTGATAACAAAATAGCAGTGAAAATTTAAGAGGAATAACCTATTTTCTTTGCTTTGATATTTCAACAAAGACTGATTGCTAAAGCATTCTAGTGATAATTAGTCTTCAAACAAACTAAGTAAAAAAGGTTTACCACCACTTACCTTTAAGTAAGCCTTTTCAAGGAGACTAACCCAGAACTCATCACTGTTATTCGAGTAGGAGCAAAGAAGCTCGCCATCTTTTCCAATTGGAAGAAAATCATCAATTATGACCTGGGGAAGATGTTACCGAGGAGAAAATTTAGAGAATCTAGCACAAAAAAGGGAAAACAATGTACCATTTAGAATCAACCTGTACACTTTTGGGTTGTAGAACAGAACAGTTATCAATTAAACTTGGTGTTTCAGGCTTAATGCGATCATCAAGCAACTGTACTGACGTCATTTTGTGATAAAAGTAAACCATTGCAGAAACAGTCAACTACAGCGACAATAGAGAGACAGCAGCAGCAGAAAGCTTCGAAGAAATGTATTTGAAATTCTTGATCAAGAAAATTTATGAACTCCTGTTATCTAAATCAAAATAGTTTATAAGTTGACATCAATTAGAAAAAGGCATGATTTGGTAAAAATCAACAAGTTAAGAGAAGAATTAAAAATAACACGATTGATTTAACAAAGGCAAAACTCGAGAAAAGTTTATGAATATAATACTTCACTTTTGTACCATTTACCATTACAACGGTTTTAAATAACTAGAACATTAAAAATTATGAGAGCCGGGAACGAACCGTAAGGAATGAGTTGAAGAGAAAACAAACCTTTCGTGGGACACCATTTATTATCAACTTTACCATATATTTTCCACATGGATTAATCATCGGTTTCCCTTCTTTGTTCTGTGGGTATATGATGCTGCAACAATAAAAAAAGAGAGTTGGTAACGTACATATGCAAAGCCATCTTAACGAACAAGCAATCAACTTCTGTCTCATTAACAGCCTCTAGGTACTAGGACCCTATGATTTCTGTTCAAAGATCATGAGAATTTTGATTATTTTATATCGGTGATTAGTTCTTTTGCTACAGAAAAACTGTTTGATTAAAATGCGATGTAAAGACTCACGATGTTATCAGCTGTTTTCTAAACTTTCGTTCATATGCTGCACTTATTGCCAAAGATGCAACGAAGGAGCAATCTGAGACTATGGTCTACAAGAGAAAAAGAAATTAAAAGGAAATCAACAAGGCAACAAGGAAATCACCAAGATAATATAGAGCAATGCCATATAGTATACCCACAAGGAAAATTTGAAGGGAAGATGATAAATAGCAATGTAATACAATTATCTTTAGATGAATATCAGAATCATTTCAGACGTTTAGCAACCTAGACAACCTACCAATAAACGTTTGTTTGCTTATGAGAAATGCAATCGAGTTTCATATACACCTGGTAGACATCTATGATCATAATACATGGCTTTAAAGTGTTTGAAAAGTACGAGCAACACAAACCATGTTGTTTTATCGTTTGCTTTAGAATAACTGCTTGTAGCACGTTAGAGCGGCATGATGGTATAAAATAAAGGATTACTGTTATATATGTCAAAATCTATTTGTATGGACAACATAAAGCAGGCATATCTCAAGTTCAAACGGATGCCATTTTAATGTATTTGATCGACACATACCTGTCTAATGCTTAGACTGGTGATAGCGTATATCATGTGTGGATCAGCACAAAGATCAGATGGCCTGGTAAAAAAAAGAGAATCAAAGTATTGGACGCAAAAATAATGCAGCAGATTTGCAACTGTTGCTGTTCTTGTTAAACATGAATTTTAGAAAGGCTGAAAAGTCTGAGTATGGGCTAGAAAATGGGAAATTTGAAAAGCGTTAAATATTCTTTGGAGAATCAGATTAGCACTAAAATGTGTACACTAAAATGTGTTAAAAGAATGAAAACTGTTCACTTTCTGTCTAGCACCAAAACGTTTCTGTCTAGCAACAAGGCCACAGAGGTAGTTGAATGATCAAGCTGTGCCCTGGTTTTTGATTTTAAATAGTAACATACAAACTGAGTCGATGACTTTGGTCTAAAGAAAGCAGGCGACTATCCTCAATCATGGGTGACACAGTTAAGCATAGACTGGGAATCTCTTTCTTTAATCAAAGATGGGCTAAGAATAACATATAAGCAATCTGCCATTTCTTATTTAGAAGCGTTACAGGGTACATTCTACGAGGAGGTGGTGTGAGTAACTCCTTTTAAACAAAATTATAATTACAGCGACAAAGTTCTAAACAGAATTCTCCCATGGGTAAGCAATCTGCTTCAGTCCTCCTCATGCCACGACAACTCAGCTCACGAGGTTTGGTTCTATTTAAAAATAAAATGGCATTATCCAGATTTATTGTGACAAGCTTTAATGGTTCGCGTATCTCTCGAAAGCAAACCAAGAGAAAAAGATCTAAGTGAGTCATGCCCCTATCATCTTCTCCTCATTACTTTACTTTTTATTCTTTTCATCCCCAATTCTTGTTGTATCATAAACGCGATTCATTACCTGACCCACTTAGCAAACTTTGCCTTTTGCTTTGGAGCTAATGCCAGCTGCCCGTCTGGATCACTGCAGAAAATGCGAAAATAGTGAACAGTACTGACTAAAAGGTTTTACAAGGCCTTTCATATTAAAAAATTCAAAAATTTCAAACTGCTTCACACAAGCAAATATTAATGTCATCTGAAAAATATCAAAAGCATCATCATAAGCAAGGCTGCAAGCTAGAACAAAAAATTTGACAGCGAACTGAGGGCTTTATTAATAAGAAAATTTACACAAGTTTCTAAGTAAAAACAATGAAATTAAGACTTTGATGGTTCATGTGTTTACATGAAAGAATCGCGCACCTGAATGGAATTGGAAATGCAAATCTTTCAAGTAAGTCTCTATCTATCCATGGAGGGTACACATTTTTGTTGATATAAGATGAATGCCTGTCGAAAAAGAATTAGAAAGTATCCGTTGAAAATTACAAACAAATAAATTACATAATAATATTATAATGGTAAAATAGAATCAAGGAATCCTGAATCATTTAATCATGATTATGATAAACCAAAATATATTGACGCCCAACGACCTTGACTACATTTGCAATCATGAATTATCCTTTAAAAATGCGCAGGGCTATATCAGTTTGCATCAACTCTGTGTGTGATTTAGTCAGCAACCATATATGTATATTCTGTTCAGAAGCATGTGTTTACATGGTTAAAACAGTGTCTGGTTTCCAGTGAAATTTTTGAAGTTTGGCAAAACTCATCATTTCATTAACCTGCACTGCAGACCTAAAAACTTCCTTTTTATGCAGTCTTTGGCGTCAGTTAAGGTCCTTAATGGCTTCCCCATGGCTTTTGTCACGCCTTCTTTCCAGCTCATTCTAGGTCTACTTTGATTTCATGACTCTCTACATGATGATACATGCTACCTCTACAGGTTCTTCTCAAGTTGTCTAAAGACCCACATTGACCATTGACCCTTCTAGAGCTCACCATAAAAACAGCAATGCTCAAACGCCTTATCTCTGCACAATAATTACTGCTAATCATAAATGTGTTATAAATATATTTTTCTTCTTGTTGTTATTACTTTGATTCATGTAAAGGGGATTGGATAGTGCCACAAACTACTGGCAGTCTGGTCTGATTCTGGCACTCTTAAGCCACATTTGAGCCATCCCCAATATCTGATGAATTTAGGACAGGATGATACTAGGATGACACTTGGCAGGAGCCCTACCCACTCTTATGAAGTCCCTGCCTTAAGCACATGCTGGCTTTTGAATGTATCTCCTAGTTTAGGCAGGATACATACATTTTGCACTTCCTGCCTCGCTTTTAAAGAATTTGTAATGGGACGAGAAGCATACCAGTAGCACAATTTGCCTACATCAAAGCCAACTGATTTGCAGATATCTAGACCCTTGTACTGAAAAGCATTATTTTAAGCGACCAGAAAAGCAATGAGCTTCAATCTTGGTCTAAGAACCGAGCTTTTCAAGTATTTAGACAGTTTTCCATTTTATCAACACTGGGGGTATGTTTATAATTACAAGAAAAAACATATTTTTTTTCTAGGAAAACAAGTTGTGTATCATTTGTTTAAATTGCAAAATAATTCTGCACGAAGAAGAAAACTATCAAGATAAATTATGCTAATTTATAAGTTCAGTTCTGATCAGAGTTCTACAGAGAGTGTACTGTCAATGCATCACGACCTGTAAGAGCAACAATTGACAAAAATTTTCAAAACACTTGAAGCAAGCTTTCATTACATACCTAAGTGTCTCTATTTCCAACTGAGTCAGTTTTGGACGATTTTCCATTGATGGATCTGGCCTCATGCTAACCCTATTAACTTGTTGTGTAAGTTGTTCAATGGCACTTTGATTGATGTTTCCTCTTGGCTTTTTGCCTTTCAAAACTTCAGCCCGGTCAAGTGCAGACGTTGCCCATTTGTTGAGCCTTTCCTTGGCAATACTATCTGTGGTTGATTGTGCTGCTTGAAGGCAAAGTTGGACAGCATCTGTGTAAAGCGTCAAGGCTTCTTCATGTTTTCCATTCTCATCTTGCTCAAGAGCTTGCTTTAGGAAAAATTCTGCTCTTTCAAGCTCTTTCTGCAGAAAGATTTTTGTTATCAACTTCAGATGAATAGAGTATAAAAGGAAGCCAAAATAATCCTAATACAATAGAAACTCACATATAAGAACCTAGGTTTTTTCTAGCAGCCTGAATAGGTTGTTAATTAACAGGCTGCTATTCTAAATTCCAGTCTTAAAGGTTCTTAACAAGGTTCTTATATACGTACAGGCCTTGCACACATTCACAATGTTTTCCACCACAAGAATTCTAACAGACACACTTAAACCAGTTTTGTTTTTCATGTTAAACTTCAAGTCAATCAAATAATTTGTGTTGTTAGATTGTCAAATTAGAATGCAACATATCTGATTTACTCTAAGCTGGTTTAATTTGCCAGTGTGAATAGGGTATAGGTAAAAACACCACTCTAAAAACCTTTTTTCTTATATATATATATACATAAGAACTTTTCCAAATTTCAGCCTCTTTGAGGTTCTTAACATTGATTAAATTTCAGCCTCACGATTCTTATAAAAACAGGTTCTTTTATGCGGGTTTCTACTGTAAATCAACTTATTCAGGCCTTGCCTAAAGCACACCTTAAAACAACCATATAGAGTAATTTCAATGAGTACCTGAAGAAGTAAAACGACATTGCCACGAAGAAAAATATTGTTTTCAAAGAATGGTGATCAAACTTAAACTATTGTCTCAAATGGCCGAAATGTTTTGATTCATAAGATTTACGAGAGTTTATACCATTCATTAATCTTTTGACGACATTTATACTTGATTTTATAGACCAGGTCTATAAGAATAAATATTCAAATGAAAAGATTGTTTTCCATGCATCAAAAATACAAATGTATTCTATGCTAGGTAGGATTCACTACCCAAAGATAGAGGGATAGAATAAAACGGCATGTCCCTTCCAGCATTAGAAACAAAACTCTTCCCCAAAGAGAGCAGCCTCCTCGGTCTTGCAGGTCTAAAATTACATCTAAAACATTTCATTCTGATATCAGGCAGCATTTACTGGAAAACCCAAATTTTGAAAAAACTAATAATAGTGACAGGTTTCTGGTTTTTGGCAAAGCTCGATCGTTGATGACGTATACAAATGAAACAACAAAACATATCATACCCAGAGCCCAGAGGTGTGGTGATATGGGAGCTTAATATTCATTATTGATTGTAAAGAGGAGCAGATTTCCACATAAATGCTATTATTTTGAAAAAAATTTGCATTCCTCTCAAAGATGCTCTCAAGGCGATGTTTTAAAGCTGTGACACAGAGTACCTCAAGTTTCATTAGACACATAAATTTTGCTAAGTACAAGGGCTGCATATTACATTTTCTTGTTGTTGTTTGCCACCCCAATTGTGATTCTACTGCAAAACAAAGTTCTCGAAGTCTGAAAATATTTGGTTCTTGATTTGAAACATTCTAATTGCCATAACAGAAATAATTAAATCATCAAAAAAGTTACAGGGTGGTCAATGGCAGCGCCAGTCACTTGGCTCTGGGGGGGGGGGACGAAAAATATGTATCTCCCCAAGTCCCCCCAGTTGCGCGGCTACTGAGGGTGGTAGTTTAAAGCATGGAATGAAAGCAGCAGCTTTGAACATCACTTCCAAAAATTGGACAAATCATATTGTGGTCAAAAGTGCTAATCAAGTAACAAGGGAAAAGGATGGACAATCATGAGACCATGGGAAATTGATGTTAACAGAAAACTGCAAAAACACATGTTTGCGCATGTGATGAAAAGCATGCACAATTTAACTTGCGTGTGTGCAGGCTTATGTGGGTGCGATCGCACGTGCTAAACAAAAAGGACTGTATATACGACAAAGCATGAACTGCACTGGTCATATATTATCTAACACCAGCGGCTAATTTAGGGACTGCAGGGACTGGGACCAAAAACATCTGCAGGGCCCTTGTTTTTTAAAAATCTTTATTTTTATCTTTTTGATTACTGTAAGTGCAATGACTAGGGCTATGGCCCCTCTTGACCCCTAAAACTGCGACTGTCAAACACTCAAAAAAAATCTTCTTATTCCTTTTACTGTGTACCTTTAGCTTGTACAGTGTACCTGATACTCAACAGAATCAAGAGCCATGTAAACATATTGCACAGGTTTGACAAACGAGTAATGGTGACCGCATTGTAAACAACAAGGTGATACATGTTGAAATCACTTTTGTGAAGCCATTAGGCATTCTTTTGTAGTTTAAAACCAATCAAACCAATTTTCAAACTTTTGGCAACACTTTTAATTAAAGACTGAAAAACTTAATTTTTAATAAAAAATGAAAAAGATTTAAAGTAAAAATTTTTAACTTTTTATTGGACAGTCCTGCAGCTTTGAAACCTTTGTGAGACTTGCTAGAAGTTTGCCAGAAAGTTGTGTAGCAGGTACTGTTGATCAGGACATGATAAGTTCAGAAAAAAATTTGCAAGATCACATTTAGGTGCTGGAGTACCAAGATGATCATTAATGGCCTTGTATTTGATGGAAAGTGGCATATTTTAAGCCATTTTATTATACCTACTCTTTTGCAGCTATTGAAGCACTTGAGTGAACCTGCTTATCGCGGGATTTTTGGTATTTTCATTTAATGAATGGAAGAAATGTATTTGTTTCCATTACAACATAGCAATCGGTTGGAAAAAATGGACTTGGGCGATTTTGACACATTTTATTGATTGAGTTCTGCTACAACATATCAAATCAAAAGGCTTTCCCATTTTTCTAAAGGCTTGTCTACTTGCCACAAATTATCAAATCATTTCAAACAAACCTGGTCATTTGTTTGTGAGACTGTCCTTTGTAAAATAATTTGCCCTTGAGCTGCAAAAGGAAAAATGATGTACTGCAAATGAAAGCATTAAGGTTTAATATGGAAATCAATGTGAGACTTTGATATGAAAATATTGAGCAAAATGCTTTAGAGCAATATTCAGAATCGGCATTTAAAGGCATTGAGTCACGGTAAAAAGGCCTTCTCTATAGGGGGTCATTTGGTTTCAGCGTGATAGCTGCTGTTTCACGTGATATTGGCATCCGTTGTTGACAACTTGCTATTAATGGAAACTGTTTTGTTAATCAGTACGAGGTGAGTTCATGTGACCAGTTCAAGGTCAACCAATAGCATCGCAGTCATGGAAATCGTGACTCAGCGAATTTTGGCACTTTGGGTATACCCAATCCATTTTATCATGACTCAATGCCTTTAAGTTAAAGGAACACAGATTACAAAACTTGTTATTTCTGATGACCAGCTTTTTCTTCAAACTTAAACTAGAAAAGAGGGTAAAAGGACAAAAAAGGGACAATGGTTGCTTCAGAAAGAAAATGTAATCTTTTTGTACTTGATGCCCAGTTTGGAGAGTGTGATTGATCTTGACAAGATCTTGGGTGTGCCCACCAGACTGGAAACTTTGTTGTACCTTCGCAATGATTTCAGGTGTGCAGTCGCAAATTTTTCAATGCCCACACAAGAAACAAAGTTTCCAGTCAGGGCACCAGCACTATCAACTGTTCCAAACCAAAATCTAATGTGCCCCCCCCCCCCCAGTGCCACAATGTCTGCATCTTAGGTGGTTCATTGTCATGATCTGCTTACTGGGCTGGTACATGGGGACATGCTTAATAAAGAGTAATGAAAACTATATAGTGAAGATAATCAAACTTTGCACTGAAAAAATAACAAAAGAGTGATTTTGTCAGAAATTGCAAGTATACAAGGAAGGCTCTCATGCTTGGAGGCTAGTTGTTCTAACATTTTATGGAGATCTTACCAGAGAAAGAGATTTTGTCCAGATTAATTGCTAATGGCTAAACATTTTAAATGAAACGAAATGTCACACTGTTTAAAACAAAGTAGTGGTGTGGATAGAAAAATTAATATTTACAATTTAAATTTTCAGGGGTAAGAAATTTAATTCTTTTTAACAAATATATAACTAGCATTTTATTGTTTTATACATTGGGGCAAACAATAACGACATTGGTATGACAATAATACTGCTATGCTCTTATAATTTTTTTAAGTTTGGTTTCATAAATTAGGTACTACTTGAAGTTTTATGGTGTCTTCTCCTTTACAATATTTTCTAAGTACCATACCTAATTGAAAGAGAGTGCCAATCTGTTCAGAGCAACAGAAAAGAGACAACCATGTTAAATTTCCGACAAGATCATTTGGGTGTTACACTTGTCATTTAGAGTTTGGCTTGACATGAGTGGTCTGTCAGTATAATGGTCTGTCCCGGGTGAAGTCACTCCAAAGATCTGTGACCTCTTAGAGCCTTTAACAGTTATATATAGTTATTAGTTAAGATCAGAAATTTTCCGACAAGATTAAAAATATTCCGACAGAATGACAGTTAAGCATTACAAGAGGGTCTTGCCCCCTGACCCCCTCTTTCTACGCCAGTATAACAAAGTATTTCACTTGAATTTGCTCGTACCGATTTGCTGGTGCAACGTTTCCGCTCTATCCAGATATTGATGAGCTTTCTCGCTAATCGAACCAAGCCTCAAATTCTGATCAAAGTCCAAAGCCTTTTTTATTGCTTCTGCAGCTTCTAGGTAATAAAATATTGCAACTTTGAAATTTTCTTCTCCATCCGCGGTAGTTGCAAGCTTTGCAAATTGATAACTATCCTGAAGAAGTTGGTTAGGATCCATTTTGTCTCTGGAACCAAAACATCCTTCGCAGAAAGCGTCTCGATTTCAATCAGGGCTCCAGAATTCAAAGGGAGACTTGCATATTGACCTTGAAAATACAATTTACTTATCACAAATTTATTTTACCATAATTTTCAGAATAACGAAAGCTTTGATAATTTATTTAAGAAATCATTCGTTATTCTAAAAATTAATTGCAAATCAATCGTTTTCGTAATAGAATACAATGAATCAGTCCTGTAGTCAATATAATGTTGTTTTTTCTATTTTTTTGAAAATGTTTCCCGACCGAATATGCACAGTAGAGAGCGTTCAGCCGTGTTGATAGGTTGATACTTCTTTGTTCTTTTATATGTAGCCATTCCCAAGTTACACAGTACCCATGTGTTGAAGCATGTGACTATTGAAGAATTATTTGGCAATGACTCTGATTCCGGGACACTCATTAGCTGTAATTGTTAATGATTCTTTTATTAAGCTTAAAAGATACATTCCTGATCTTACGTGTTTCTAGCTGATTGGCTGTTCTTAATAGTTGGTAATATGATTTTATCTATAAATACGCTGTAGTAGTTTTAGAGTTAGGCTTTTTGGCGGAAGCATGTTGCTGTTTGGTCGCAGTGCTGACGAAAGAAGTCGTGTCTCTCTGCTCCTCTCTGCCACCAGTCAATTTTAAAAGGGCCGTTAGTTATTCTATAAATATTAAGTTGCACTGTAGTTAAAGTTTAGTACAACATATGTCTTTGAATTTATCTCACACGGGAGAAGATTGGCGATGCTTCTTACATTAGAATGTGCTGAGCAGTTCAAAACTGTACTAATCTATGTTAATATATTTTCTTTCTTAGACAACATGATTTGTTCATCTTCTTCTTCAAAGGCCATGCAATCGTGATTGTACAAAGTTTGTCATAAAGAGCCAAAGTATGAAAGTTTATAAAGATAATAAAGGGAGTGGCCAAAAAGTATGTTATACAGGGTTGATGAGAAGATAACATCTTGGATCGGGACTCTTTAGAAATCTTTGCTGACCACGCTATAATTAAATGACAAGAAGAACAATCCATTTATGGTTTTTGATATCAAGATTGATATCTCATCTAAGACAATTGATGATGAAAGAGATAGACCGATTACACTTTTTACAAGTCGTAAGTTCATTTTACGCATTTTATCTGTCAGTGAGAAATACGCTCGAGAATAACTTTTATTCAGAAGAATCCGATGGAAATTTTGGCTAATTTTAACAGAATTGAAATTAAATATACAATTCACAAGCAGTTTTCATTTTGGTCATATATTTTTTGATTGATTAATTAGTACTGGCTAATATTTCATCAGCTATGCAATGTTTAAATTTTGTAAAAAGGGCTCAGACAGGGTATAAAGGCCCCTGGGAAAAAAAGGAAAATGCAGATCACCTGCAAGCAAGGCGAGCAGAAAATTTGGCAATTATGCCCCTTAGATTAGCTTGAAATTCTTTTTCAGAACGATTTCTTGGAGTAATTTCGACACGTTAAACGGATGTCAATTATCCGACGAAAGCCCCAATTTTCCAACGACATCGCTGATTGGGAGGGGGGGCCAAGCCCCAAAAACCCCCATAGTTTCCGACACTGGATCCAATAGCCGCAAGCAGCATATAAAAATACCACTTCATACTACTATTTCTTGGTCTCTATTCATACTAATTATACAAAAATCATCAGTTCTTTCATTTCATATCAAATATCAGTAATGGACGGGGTTAATTTACGTGATACGGGCAAAATTAAGGAATTTGATTTATAAATTTTTAAGAAGTAAGATAACTATTTCCATTCCAAAAGCAAGAGTTTTGCAATTGATGCACTCAACTTACCTTTGTATAAAAGCTTTTGAATACACACTGTCAGTGAGCATGCGCACAAAAGACGTTGAAAACCGTTCGTAAAATATCAGAATTTGACAAGTTTTATGACTCCTGGTGTTGTAGGCTTCATCATCTTTTCTTTTTTCGCCTAAAAAGGTCGAAAATGCGTCTTTTATCTGCCTGCTCTTGTTTCTTCTTCTCATTAGTTGCTTTTCTCTCTAGGTTCTTAACGAGTCGGCCT